TTTAAAATTTTGGGTGGCCATTAGTTGTGGGAAGATAACTAAGCATATCTTATACATATAGAGAAAAATACCTTCTCAGTTACATTACCTCCATTTAAAATACACCTCTTATAAGGGTCAATTTTTCGCCCCAAAGAGGGGGGGGCATTAAATAAGGAGAATATTTTCTTAAAAAATTCCTTTCTTTCTTCCAAAATGCCAAAAAGATATACATAAATACACATACTCTCCATTCATTTATTTATTTTTAATCTTAATTTTTTTGCTTTTAAAGACTTGGCAAATTTATGCAAATGCTTGGAATAAAAATAGAAAATATCTAAAGAAGTAAGATTACAGGAAAAAGGAAGAAAATCCAGAAAAAAAATTAAAATATTTTTGTTTGTTAAAAAAAATTTGAAAACCTCATTATAAGATACTCCCTTAAGTCTGAAAAATCGTATGTTAGAAACAATATCTTTTTAATTATTTCTAGCCCTTCTAAATTTATCCAAAAAAGGAATATTTCTTTATTAATATTTATTCAATTTAATAATTTTACAATTAGGCTAAAGGGGATTTTGGGAATTTTTAAAAGTGAATTGAAGCTGAAGCTAAAATAACAGAATTAGATGAGCTTATATAAACAGGGAAATGACAAAAATGATTAAGAATGTTAAATAAAAATAAAGTTTAAGAAATTGTATGAATAAGAAAATATATTTAAAAAGGACATTTTTGGATTTAAAAATAAATTTAAAATAAAGAATTAATCATAAAAAATAAATCACATATATTTTGATTGTAATTTAACATTATTTCCAACACTCCGCGCAACAAAAGTATTTAGGATACACGAAAAGATAAAGCGAGTTAGTAAGGGTAGAATACAATAAAACATTAAGATGAGTAAAAAGATGGAAATTATTAAAAGGAAAAGGTAGCGCGGGAAAATGAGTAATTTTAAAAGGTTGGTAATGTCCATATTTGGTAGTTTCAAGTGCCAATGTGGTGCGGTTTTGTTTCCATATTCTTCGTTCCAAATCACATCATTCAGTGCTGCTTCAGGATAGGCAAGTTTGCCTTGTAGTTGAAATGTTGTTGGTGAACTGCCACAAAAAACTTCACACGTCTCATCAATATCCGACGTGGAGAAATGAATACTCAAAATCTTTCTTTCAACAGTCGGTCGGCACGGTATTGCCATTTTTGCCGACGGGCAAATTATGTTTGCAAGAGTCGATCCAAAGTCTGTTTTACATTCTAAGTCCACATGAGCTCCTTTTTTACAGTCAAAACATCCTGTCAAATTTGCTCGGACTATACAAGTATTCATGCTTATTTCAGTCTTTAAAATCATTCCTTCAATTTTTATCTGAACTTCTGCTGAGGTTAAATCGGGAAAAGCTGTTATTTCTCCATGATCGACTTTTACTAATATTCCGTTATGATTGAAAGGGAGATTATTCGATTCTTGAAAAATTTGTTCATCTTTAATAATTTCTGTACAAAGACAATTTACATTATCGTCAGCTGGTCGACATGAACAGGTAAGTGGATCTACAGTGCAATTGAAATTGCCTGCTTGGTATTTATTTGCGCATTTAAATTTTTGCAATTGCGTTTCAATTTCATAATCTAGCATGGCTGCCTTTTTTCCATCAAATACAAAATTTTTATTTAAAACAGGCAGAATGGGAGTGGTTATGCTTTTTAACGTTATTTCTATTTTATTTTTACTTTGTTTAGATGCCATTCCTGGGATTAGATTAAAGGCGCTTTCCCATTTTCCTTCGTTTGTATCAATAGTTAAATTCATACTTAGTCCTAGCTCCCATTTAGGACATTCAAAAATTTCCAAAATTCTTTCATCAACAGGAGTGGCATAAAATCTATAGAAAGTACAAGCCGGGGTTGTATAGAAACATCCGGAGAACCAACCGCCGCTACTTTCTACACATTGTGTTATTCCTGGGTAATCATTCGTGGCATTAAATTCAATTAATTTTTCATGAGATTTTATTTCGCTGCATTTTAAATCATAGCAGCTTCCTGTTTCAGCGCATCTCTTTGAAGATTCAACTTGCATGTGGAAAAATCGGGAAAAATATTTTAAACTTTTAGTACAAAAAGCCTTTGTTTTATGAATTTCCATTGTTAAAGTCCCTAATATTTTTTCGGTATGATCGTTTAAAGAAACTTGGATTTGTTGCTCTTCGGGATTAAATGTCAAAACAATTATTTTTTCAAACGAGCAGCTTCTTTCACCGAGTTTATTCACAACACAACTTTCTTCAGTTGCTTGTAAACTAGTGAGGCAAAAACATTTAGAAAGATTGATTAAAAACAATAAAGCAACAATCACTTTCATCGGACGTTTTTTCTTTGTTATTAGTGGTTTAGTTGGTTTTGGCTTTGATTCCTTTTTAATTTCCTCTTCTCTTTTACTTTTATTTGCGATGAATCGAATAAATTTTATTTTATGTTTTATTACCCAGAATGTCACTTTCAAAATCAAAATTATTGTTTTAATAGCAATGTATATTAAGTTAGAACAAAAGTAAACTAAAATCCCAAACAATATCATGGAAACTTCGGGGAAACAATGCGGGTTCATTAAACGTTCAAAACAAAAGATACAATTCATTATTTCACAAATATTTAATTTTTCACACTCAATTTTCATTCTCTTTATTAATTCACCATTTTTATAAAATTGAACGTCAGTTTTGTATTTTTCCAAAACAATTTCATGGCTTAAAGTTATGTTTTCTATTTTTTCGGGAAGGGCTCTATAAAAACATTTCTTTTCGTTACAAATCTCTATTCCACCTATCATTTCATTTGTTTTTACTTGTATTCCTTCTTTTGTGCATTTTAATTCACACCCTTTACAAAGTGACGTTTCTTTTTTCGGAAAGCCATAAACTTTTATTTTCACTCTTCCCCATGCTTGTATCGCTACTCTTCCCTCCGGAGTGACAAAAAATGCTTTTTCAATTCTGGGGTAAAAACAAAATCTAGTTCCCTTTTCGGAACAATGGTATTTACTACAATATCTTGGGGAACCCGTAATTTCCTTTCCTTTTCCAATACAAACAAATTCTTTTATTGCATCTTCCAATTCTATTTTTAATTCATTTACCAAATATTTTTCTCCCGAAATCAATTCAATTTGGTTAAATTCCTTCATTTCAAATGTTTTTGCGCATGATTTATCTTCCTCAGTAGAACAAATTTTTGGCTTATTATTTTCCAATATTTCTTTTATTTTTTCATTTTTATCTTCCGTTTGGCCTTTAAAGAAAATACATTGTTCTGCCCAATCGGGACACGTGCATTTTTCATCACAGAGGTACTTGATATTTTTTGTTGGCCAACGTATGTGTTTATTCTTATCGTTGCAGCCTATTTCTTTCCAACAAAGTGACTTGTCTTTTCTTTCAAAAATTACCAAACCGTTCGATTTACACTCTTCTAAATGTTTCAAAACTAAATTTTCATTTTGTGCGCAGCGAATACTTTGAACTTGAGCTACTTGACCGAAAGTCAATAAAAAAATTATTAACATTGTGAGAAGCGTTACCGAACTTTTTGCTACAACTTTTAACACGCTAGTTTGTTTTGATTTTTGATTAGACCCTTTATCCTCCTTTTCTTTTTTAGGGGTACAAAATTCGGTTCTAATTCTTATTAAATCATTTTTATGTCTTTCTATCTCATTACTCAATTCCTCTTTAGATTTTTCTTTCTCTGTCAATTCTTTTAAACAATTTTTAATTTCTATTATTTCTCTTTCTTGTTTTTTCAATTCTTTACCTATAGCTTCTTTTTCAATTTTTTCCTTTGACAAATCATTTTCAACGCTATTTAATTTTTCCTCTAGCGTTAAATATTTCCCTTCTAGGTTTTTATATGACTCTTGCCAATCCGTCTCTACTTTCGATGAAGAAGGGGGTTCCTTTTGATTTAAATTTTGATTATTTTGGTTTACAAATTCGTTTCTTCTATACCAACATTTTTGTGAGGGGTGTCCGGATCTGCCACATATCGCACATTTCATTTCTTGTCTGAACATTGCTATTCTTACCTGCTCAATATTTTGCTTTTCTTCTTCTGATTCACTTTCTATTTCTTTATAATTTATTTTCTTTTTAGCTCTCAATTCCATTTTGTGTGTTTTCTGGTTCTGATTTTTTAATTCACTATTTTCAATCTTGTCCTTTTCCCTCTCAATTATTTTTTCGGGCATTTCTGCTTTTAATTCCATGGGATATAATAAGGCAATTGCGCGGGTAATGATTTTTCCTTTAACCCGAACTTTAGCAATTCTTATTAACCCGTCTTTACTTTTAATTAATTCAACAATTTTACCCAAGTTCCAGGCTTGTTTTGGCACCTGTTTATTTTGTATCAACACTATTTCACCAATTTCGGGCAAATAATTTTTCTTGTACAACTTCTGATTATGTTTATCTGCCCTTTCCTTTAGCTTATTTAAATACTCTTTTTCCCATTTTTGCCAAAAATGATTTAACATTTGATTTGAATTTTCCCATTCTTTAATTAATATTTCTCTTTGGGTTTCCTTTTCTAAAAATTCTTTTTCATCGAAAATTTCTAACTCTATATTTTCTTCATTACGTGATGGTAAAATAAGGTCAATTGGACGCAATACAGTATAGGCGTCGTCAAAGTTTTCGTATACATAAGTTAGTGGTCTTTTATTCATAATTGTTTTTATTTCTGAAAGTATTGTTCTTAACTCCTCATAGTTTAACATTTTTCTGCCTATAGCAGCCTTTAAAGAATTTTTCATAATTTTTACCATGGCCTCATATAAGCCGCCAAACCATGGGCTGAGGCTTGGGATAAACTGCCAATGTATTTTTTCTTTTTCTGTTTTTTGTTCAATTTCTTGTATTACTTTACATGTTAATTTATATTGCGTGCCGTTATCGCTTATAAAATATTTTGGTTTGCCGTATTCCGATATAAATCTTCTCATGGCTTGTATACAAGATTTAGCTGATAGACTCGGTACCAATTCCAAATGCGTGAATCGTGTGGCCATACAAGAAAATATTTCAATCCAGACTTTTACAATTTCACCACCACTATTTTTTACTTCAAAGGGACCGGCATAGTCCAGTCCCGTGTTTTGAAACGGCTTTGAACGCAAAATTCTTTCTTTTGGGAGATCTGGCATTTTTGGAATTGAGTATGGCAATAATTTCGCTCTTTTACAATGTAAGCATCGATTTATTATCTTCTTTATTAATTGCCGTCCGCTTGGTACCCAAAACATTTGTCTCAATTCAATTAAACTTTGATTTATTCCACTATGTAATGTGCGCAAATGGGCTTCTAACGCAATTTTTTCTACCAGTGGGGCTTCTTTGGAAATAAAAATAGGCGTTGGTGTGTTTAAGTCCCCTAAACGCCCTGGGCAAGTCCATATATTATATTTTTCTTTTTTCATTTTTAACTCTTGTATTTCCTTTTCAGTTGGCGGGTATTTATTTTGTGCTTCTATTATTAACAATATTTCACCCATTTTTCTTAAATCTACTTTATTTTTAATTTTTTGTAAATTTGACCCAAATTCCGTTTTAAATTTAATTTTTCTTCCAAAATTTTTTATTGCTTGACAAAACGCGGTAGAAATATTAACAAGTTTAGGCCATTCATTACGCAATTCCGTATTGATTAAATCCTTTGTCAACATTTCAATTTTTATTTCTTCCAAATCTTTACTCCATTCTTTTTCATTCCTTTTTAACTCTGGTGATTGGGGCCACTGTTCTTCACTCTCTTTCAAAAACTGCGGACCCTTCCACCATTCTTTATAATTTTTCAGTTCATTTGTAGTGCAACCACGTGACGCAATATCTGACGGATTTTTCTCTGTGGGAACGTATTTCCATTCAATTTCTTTATTTTCTCTCAAAATTTTAATTCTATTTTTTACAAATTTTGGTAATTTATCAATGTTTGACAATAAAATCCATGAAAGTACACATTTAGAATCCGTCCAGATATATATTTTTGAAAATTTAATATCAATTTCTTTTATTATAAAATCTGACATTCTTTTTCCAGCAACGCTTGCCATTAATTCTAATCGGGGGATTGTTAATTTATTTTTTATCGGGGCTAATTTTCCTTTAGACATGATTATAGATGTTTGTACCCCATTTTTATCAAATTGTCTTAAATAAGCGACCGCTGCGTAAGCTTTAACCGAAGCGTCGACAAAAATATGTAACTCAGTTGGATTTTCTTTATTGACTGAAATTCGCCTTATTTGGAAATTGCCATAATCTACTTTAATTTTATTCCAATCCTCACATTCCGTCTTTTCAATTTCTTCATCCCAAGTTTTATCTGTTTTCCACAAACCTTGGAAGAATAATTTTCGGGGCAAATTAGCGGGTACTAAAAATCCAAGAGGGTCAAAAGAGCTAGCTAAAGATTTTAAGACACTTCTTTTTGTCCATTTTGTTTCTTTTATTTCTTTCAGTTCAATTAAAAGAGTGTCTTTTTCTAAATTCCAATTGAGACCCAAAAGTTTTATAGGGTTCTTTTGCTCTTTATCTCCAAATGTTTTATTTATTTCAGATAAATTACTACAAATTTCATGCAAATTCATTTTTGCCTCTTCAAATATTTTGGATACTTTTTGGCACTTTTGTTTCGCCTCCTTTTCATTTTCGGCACAAAGAAATACATTATCCGCATAAATGCCTCTTTTTAATTCAATACTCAATGGGGAATTCAAATTTTCAATGTGGTAATTAATTACAGCTGCTAATAAATATGGAGCTGCGATTACCCCGAAGGGCATCCTTGCGAATCTCCATTTAACAATATTTTCATAAGTTGGGGGTGCCTTTATGTCATTAATCCATAAAAATCGTGTTAAATCACGTTGAGCTTCATTGATTGCTATTTGATGGAACGCCCCCTTTACGTCAGCCGCAATCAAATTTTTAAAGGTTCTAAGTCTTAAAAGCATTCCACAAATATCAGGCAATAAGACTGGACCCCTCAAAATTATTTTATTTAAACTCAATCCATCCTTTGTCCTACAAGAAGCGTCAAAAACAATTCTTACTTTCTTCTTTTCTTCATTTATGACGCAATGGTGGGGTATATAATGAGCTATCTCACTTTCTTTCTCACATTTTTCTATAATACAATTTTTAGCCTGTTCAACAAATAATTGATTATATTTTTCTAATATTTCAGGATTTTTATTTAATTTATTCCAAACCCCTTGTAATCGTTTCATTGATATCCAAAAATTGTCAGCTAAAGTTTGATTTTCTTTAATGGGCCAGGAAACAATATATCGACCATTGTTTTCCCTTTTTATATTTGATTTAAAATGTTCAATAGCAAATTTATCGTCTTCAGTTTCCTTTTTTATATCAATGCCTAATCCCTCTAATTCCCACCAAAGGTCTGTATTTACCATTTGACAAATTTTTGGATTTTCAGAGCCTTTTGAAATTTTTCCCTTTCCATAAATTATATTTCCAATTTTTGTATCAACAGTTAAAAATCCAGATTTTAATTGTTTATTTCCAAAAATTAATCCGTAATAATCGGCACCTATTAATATTTCGGGTTTTACCGTTTCGAATTGCCCAATGTTTATTTTTGACATTTGGTCAATTCTATTATTTATTTTAATTTTTTCTAAAAATTCGACCATGTCATTAGTGCCTCTAACAATCATATTTATTTTGTCATTATTTAAACAAATTAAATCAATAATATAAATAGGCGCATTAACAGTTATTGTTTTATTGAAAAGTCCAATTCCTCTAAATTCTTTATGACCAATGGGTTTCAATCCAAGTTTTACCGCAGTTGAATTATGTAAGAGGGTGATCTCGCATCCAGAATCGAAAAATGCTTCCACATTTAAAAACTTCTTCTTTGTGGGATTTTTTATTTTTACTTGTGCGACCTGTAAAAGTGTCTTTTCATTATTGTTTTCTTTAATTTCTTTTTTATTTGCAAAATTTTGTATTAATATGTCATTTTCGTTTTCAGAATTATCAGAATTTTCCCTGACGGCCAGACACATTTGTTTTCTTTTATTGAAATCATTCCCAAATTTTTCAAAATTTTTTATGGGACTTGGTTTTTGTTGCCCTTTTGTATATAAATTATGACAAAAAACAGAAATATGGCCATTTTTCTTGCAATTAAAACAAAATGTATTGGCCTTACAATCTATAGAGCGATGATTATTTCTTAAACATTTAAAACAAATTTTTAGCTCTTTTATTCTTTTTATTCTCTCCTCTTTAGTTTTATATTTCTCACATTTATCTTCCCAATGAGAGAGAGAACAGAATTTACATGCGTGCTTATGCTCTTTTTGGAACGCATACATAGCTGTTCCTTTGAATTTTTTATAGGGTTCTCTATTATTATATTTTTCAGGCTCTCTATTTTTATATTTTTCAGGCTCTCTATTTTCTTTTTTCTGATAGGGCCTTTCATTTAATTCTGAACCGAAATCTTTATGAAGCATGTGCACGTCTTCTTCTAATTTTAAATATTCATCTAAAAATTTTAATAATTTTTCTAAAGACCATAGTGGGTCTATTCTTTTTCTCTTAAATATTTCAGTCAGTATCTTTTTGGGCATTTTTGATTCCACCTCTAAAATTAGCTGTTGGTGCTCAGTATTTTCGCCCATTAATTTTAACTGATTTATAATTGCCTCAATTTTTCTTAAAGTTTTTCTAATTTCGGGCACAAATTGGTTCGCCCTGGGCAATTTTCTTAATTCAGAATGCAGGCTGCTTCTGATTGTTATTTTATCCCCAAATCTATTTTTTAGGAGATCTAAAACGAGCTTGTAATTACCCGCTTCCAACGGATATGGCTCGACAATTTCTAGGGCTTCATTTCTCAAGGCACTTTTTAAATACTGCATTTTCCTTTTATCAGGAATTGGCTGCTCATCTACTGCCGCTTTAAATTCTTCGAAGAAACTTTGCCAATTTTTAGTATCCCCCGAAAATTCTGGCAGTTTTATTTCTGGCAATTTGACATTCATTTCATTTGCCTGACTTTGTGCCTGCCCTGTATTATTATTTAAAATTTCTTCTAAAATATACTCATTTTCATTTAGGGCCTCAATAATTTCCCGAGCTTCTTCCATAATAGTTAGATAACCCTCGGGCCCATTTGCGAAATTTTTATATTCATTCTTTTCCTCTATTTTTTCTTCTCTGTCTAAAGTAGGGAAAAGATTTACATAATTGACTGTCTGGCCGTCTAAATCATTTAATAAATTACTAATTTTCTTTTTAGTTAAAGTTATATATTTTATCATTCTTTTGGCCGTTAAAATTTTTTCTTCCATACCTAAATCAGCAGCAATTCTAAAATCGGCGTCTGTAGCCGCTGTATTGTATCTGATGAGGCGCTCTTTCAGCCCATTGATTGCCTCTTGTATTACTCCTGACATATCCCCTTTGGAAAGATTGCCTACTGTAAAATGTCCTTGGACCTCGGTAAATGTGACCTCTATAAGCTTGTTGTTGACCACGGAAGGTTTGTTGGCCTCTCACAAATCGGTAGTTTCTGCGGTGTTGTCTAAAATTCCTATGCTGCCCACGAAAATTTCTTTGATTTCTTGGTCGTCGGTAGTTCTGTTGCCTCTGATTTTGTTGCCAATGCCTCCAATAACGTCGGGGCTGTTGGTAATTTTGTCTATTATTTAATTGCACGCTGCTTCCTTGCTGTTGAGCGTTTGGAGCAGGTTGAGGCTGTATTTGAATAATTAAAGGTTGTGAATTAGCAGCTTGTTGTATTTGAGCCGGCTGTAATTCGCTTGGTTTTTGCCGAGCAACCTTTAAACTTCTATTTAATAAATTTTGAGCTACCCGATTTCTATTTAATAAAACTTTCCTTTGAATTGATGTCTTTGGTTGTTGATTTGGGCGCGAAGAAACACGTTGTGCGATTCCAACACGTTCAAAAATTGAACGCTCCGATGAGCTCAGTTTGAACAATTAGACCGAGTGGCACCAAATGTTAGAAACAATATCTTTTTAATTATTTCTAGCCCTTCTAAATTTATCCAAAAAAGGAATATTTCTTTATTAATATTTATTCAATTTAATAATTTTACAATTAGGCTAAAGGGGATTTTGGGAATTTTTAAAAGTGAATTGAAGCTGAAGCTAAAATAACAGAATTAGATGAGCTTATATAAACAGGGAAATGACAAAAATGATTAAGAATGTTAAATAAAAATAAAGTTTAAGAAATTGTATGAATAAGAAAATATATTTAAAAAGGACATTTTTGGATTTAAAAATAAATTTAAAATAAAGAATTAATCATAAAAAATAAATCACATATATTTTGATTGTAATTTAACATTATTTCCAACATCGTACCTTATAGTGAGTTGTTTGTTGAATAGAGGGTCCTCGCTTAAGCACTCTCCTATCATATGGCCAGATAACTTTTGATAAAACGTCTCTTAAATAGAGGTGTATCTTATATTGGGGGTATCTTATAATGAGGTGGGAGGATTTTTAAGTTCTGGATATTTGAAAATTTTCAATAAAACGACAACCATTTTTCCTTAAATTTATTTTTTGTTAGGAGTAAAAAGGAGAAGAATTCAACAGGGTGGCCACTGGGCCCGTATCATGAGAACTCGGTTGCCGGTAAGGTAACCACTAGAGTTGTTGGATCCGGATATCCGGATCCGAAAAAAGGCAGGATATCCGGAAATTTTCGGTTCGGTTAAAAATAACAGTTACAAGCAACAATGCTTTGACTGTCTTGACATCAAGAGTATTTCTTTCTTTAGTCCATTGAATTCACTTTTTTTTGCGCTACAGGCGAAAATTTTGAAAATTTTAAGTAGGGTTGTTCACGACAGGTTTTAAAACCGGAATTTTTGAAATTTTTTTGCCAAAAATTAACCGTTTTTAGAAAATTTTAAAAACTAAAAACCGGAACTTTGTGAAAATGAGTGATTTTATTAAAAATTCCCCCAAAATAAAACCGGTATTTGTCTAAAACTCAAAACCGAAAACCGGGTTTTTAAAATTTGGATTAACCGAAAACCGGAGGTACCGGTTAATACCGGTAGTGAACAACCCTAATTTTAAGGTTAAATTTAATTTTTTGGGTACAGCCCAAGTAGGCGCACGGCCATAATGGCGCAAAGCCATAACTTGTTTCAAAATTTCCGATTCTTTCAAAATTTAGTATTAAACGATTCCTCTCATCGAGCTAAAGAGATTGGTATCAAAACTGTTAAGGGCCAGAAATTTTCAAGCTAGTTATGGCTTTGCGCCGTTATGGCCGCGCGCCTACTTGGGCGTGTCCCAATTTTTTAAACAAAAAGTCCATTTGTTGAACCTGAATTTTAAACCTCAAAAATTTTTGAAAATTTTTAATTTTTTTCAAATTTTCAAAAAAAAATTTTTTCAAAAAATTTTCAAACTCCATTAAAAATTAAAAAAAACTCAAATGAGTTAAAAAAAAGTTCCACTCAAAAAATGTTTAAAAACGCGGCTATACAGTAACACTATATTGATGTGCAAAATTTTAGCGTTAAACAACAGAGAAAAATAAAAAGAGAGAGAAAGCTTCTTTTCTCGTGGTGTACAGGCTCCGGTACAAAATATGGAATCGTTAAAATATGGAATGGTTAAAATCGCGAATAGGCTAAAAAGGGGTTAAAATACCGAATCGTTAAAATATGGAATCGTTAAAATATCGAATCGGGTAAAAAAGGGTTAAAATATCGAATCGTCAAAATATCGAATTGATAAAATGTCGACACGGCCAAAATACCGTATTTATTCTAATAAAATGGCCCCTCCATTAGAATGGCCCCTCCAATAGAATGGCCCCTTTTTGGGGGTAATGAAAAATAGAATGGCCACCTCCATTAGAATGGCCCTCTAATAGAATGGCCCTTTTAACTAATAAGTATATGCCTGAATACATTTCTTTATTTTCCTATTATGTATTAAATATTACTCTTTAGTAAGGATAATCATAATATTTTCGAGCAAATCTGGAGTCATAAAAGGGAGATTAAGAGGGATATTAGGGGATTTGAGAGGATTAGTAGGGATATCAAGAAATTACAACGATTTAATGAAGATGCATGGGATTAATAGAATTAATAGATATTTATGAATTTGACGATATAAGGAAGTTGGATATAAGGTTGTCGGATCCGGTTCGGATATTGGATCCGGATATCCGAAGATTTCCAACTATCCGACAACCTTAGTTGGATACATTTATTTTATCAGGGGACTTGCAGGGACATAGGATTTTGAGGAATAATGATGGATTGATTGAGATTTGGGATAAAATTCTGGATATTTCAGGACGCTTGAAGACATACGAAAATTTTGGAATTTTTGGTAGTTTAGAATTTTAATTACTAATCAATATCTCTCCAAATCTCTCCCAATTCCAATATATTACGTCCAAATTCCGAGATCCCACGAACTTATGAGCAAACTATACCGGAAATTTTGATTGTCTGGCACCAAAGTAAATAAAAAGTTGCCTTTTTGCCCAGCAGGCAAAAGATTTTTATGTTTTATAGTGTTACGAAAAGAAAGATTCACTAACCAAAGTCGAAAATATAGAATTTTACACGAAAAATCGATTAAATTTCTAAGTCAAAAAATATTCGATCGAACATTTGATTCATCCTATCTCTGATTTTTACCTATGAAAAATAGAATGGCCACCTCCATTAGAATGGCCCCTCCAATAGAATGGCCCCTTTTTGGGGGTATCGAAAAATAGAGTGGCGGCCACTCTATTAGAATAAATACGGTAAGTCAAAATGTCGAATTTCTTTAAAAAAGGGTCAAATGAGTGCCATACGTTGATTGTTGATAATTTTATCAACTTATCAACTTACTGCTGATAAGTTGGTTAATAACTTTGGTAGGTCGTAGTCCGGCGTAATCTTTTCTGCCAGAGTTCACTGTACTTTACAGAGTAAAACCGGACCGGATAAATCAAGCATAATCGACCGAATCCGGTCCGGCATGAACGTGCGGATCCGGAAAACATAACGCGATCCTGATACGAAAAAATTAGAGTATCGTGCACTTGTTTTTAGTAAAGACTTAAATTTTGTACCTTACCGTATACGGTACGGAATACCGAAAAATACCTATTAGCTTTTAAATTTTATCGGTCGGCATTCCTTACCGTACTACCGACACGGAATACCGAAAAATACCGTCGGTATTACGGTACCGACCGGATTCTAGTTTTGGCGCCATTTTAAAAAAAATTCGACATTTTGACCCATTTTGGCCGTGTCGACATTTTTACCATTCCATATTTTAACGATTCCATATTTTAACCCATTTTTAGCCTATTCGATATTTTAACCATTCCATATTTTAACGATTCCACATTTTAACCCCTTTTTAGCCTATTCGCGATTTTAACCCATTTTTACCCGATTCGAGATTTTAACCCTTTTTTAGCCTATTCCATATTTTAACGATTCGATATTTTGTCCGGACACGGGTGTACACACACTCCCCACTATATATCTCTCTTCTTATTTCCCTCATCCTTCATATTCATTGCATTCTCTCACTAAAAATTATTTTCCCTTTCTAGTCTTTGCATAGGCGCCATTGCGGTTATATTTTTTTCAAGATTCTCTTGTCTTGCTGGCCTAGATTTTTTTGGTCTGATTTTCTCAGGGTTCAGAAAAAATTTTTGTTTTTCTGATTCTGGTCTTTCTGATTCTGGTATAGCTAGAGATTGCAGACTACTCGACGTTTCACCTTTAGTTTGTACCGAAATTCGATCAGTTACCGTATACCTCTTGAAAATCGATCGGTTACTGTATTCAAGAAAAACTTAAGACGTGGGTTCTCTTTGATTGTATGAACATTTTATAACAACTTTTCTTTCATAGTTAAAAAATATTTTACAAAGAAAGAGTTGAAGGAGTGTTAGTGCCTATCCTCCACTTTTTGCACATGCGCTGCAAAAGCATTTTCTTATATTTTATTTTGTAAACTTGTGTATCAAAACATTAAAATGACTTCAAGTGAAGATAAAACGATGGAAGAACATTCTACTGAACGTAAAAGAAAAATGGCTTCGCAACCAAGCTTTGACGATGAAATGGATTTGGATGGGTTTAGTGAACTTGACAAGCTTGATCCTGTCGATTCACAACAACAACAATCAACACAACAATCTTCCCTTCAGTCTTCTGCTCCATCGTGTAGTTCTACTAGTAATCCTGTTCATAATGGACCGGTATTTTATTTTTAAATGTCTTAAGGGGGAATCACTCGAAGGGGGTTGGGGGGTCGGTTCGGAGCAGAAGAACCGAGGATTTTTTGGTGTGGTTCCGGATATCTGAGGATTTTCCAAGAACCAACAGTTCTAGTTGTGGGGGATTTCTCAGTCTCTGAGGGCTTTGAGAGAGAAATTAAGGATGAGAAAGGGTATATGGGGGGGGGAGGTAATATTCTGAAATTGTCTCCTCAGAACAATGCAAAGCAGAAATTTCTCCTTCTGATAGAAACATAGCGGGGGTGAATAGGAAATGTTTTGTCGAGTTTATTCATCGTTTCCATCAAAAACGATGATATTAATGTGCGAGTTACGCCCTAAGCTTCCCCCTTTTTTACAGCGTCCAGAAATGGAGCAAAGTTGGAGGCCCTCGAAGAAAAGTTGAAGGTGGCAATTGAGCCTTAAATTCTAAAAAGTTTAAAGCACCTACCATCCTCGATTTTTTTTTACTTAGGCCTTTCCTTAATAAAAGTTGGGGAATTCTAAAAAAATTTTCGTGCTCCGAATCCCAAAAATCGAACATCTAACGCTGCTAGTGCCTCCAACTTATTTAATCTTCTGCCTTCTTTCCCCGTTGATTTTTAATTTTTTAAAGATGTTAAACGGTCTAACAACAGCATCTCCTTCAATTGGCCATCCTTCCTCACAACCCCCACCTCAGCAACGACTAAATAGTCAACATGGACCAAATTCAGTAGGTCAAGTCCCGCAGCAACAAAGTGCTGTGTTGGAACTTCTTTTAAACAACCAATCTTCTAGTGCCTCTTCTAATATAAATAATAGTCCTAGGCAGCAGTCTTACTCATCAGCTGGAAATTACCCAAACAAGTAAGGAAGGGTTTGAGTTTTGTTTTAGGGTGTTTGGTATCTTTTGTCCACTTTTATCATTTATTTGGGCGATCGAATGCCAAAGGATTACATCCCTATTAACCCCTCAGGTTACACACATAATACTATCCTGGTAGTTATAAAATCGTTTGGATACTTTTCAATTACCCAAAATAAATTTTTTAAGAAGCCCAATGCCTCCCTCAATGTCTGCACCAAGTTCTCAATCCTCAAATATAAGCATGGCTCAGCAACGGCTTTCAGCAGCACAGCAACAAATGCGCCAACCAATGCCACCAGGGTTTGACCCAAATATTGGCGGTCAACCTTCAAGTTCATTGCCTCCAGGAAGTTATATACAAGGACAACAAATCATGGCTGGTCCTCCTCCACCTCACAATCAGCAACAATTTTCTTCTTTTCCACAGTTTTTTTTCAAATTTTTTTTTGATTTTTTTAAAAATTTTGAAGGCATCCAAGACAAAACATGTACGGGGCCAATTCTGTTAGACTAGCTCATGGTGGTGCCTTACCCCAACAAACTATTAGACAAGGATTTCCTCCGAATATGTCAGGGCCACAACAAATTATGAAAGACATTGTTCGTCAACAAAATCCTCATCCAGGTTTTTATTTTAAAATTTTTTTCATTTTTAATCAGCTCTTTCTTTTCCTCACGGTTCATGGAACTTGTAATCAACGAACCCTAACAAAATTTTTGGGACCGTCTAGTAACGAAATTGTCTTGAACAGGGTTATGCCATTTTTGTTTTCGAAAATCTCAGCGCCGAGTTTTCGGCGCTGAGACGCATGCGCCGAAGGTGTCTCTGTTGAAGGAACTGTTTGATTTTTAGAATAGAACAGGGAAAAGCACTAAATCTTATTCCTCTTCGATAGGTGCTGTAATGTCAAATGCCCCAACCCCTCCAACTCAAGGAAGAGCAGGGACAATGATATTGAATCAAAATATGGTTGGTCATAACTCTTTTGATGGGGGGAATCATCATCAACAACAATTCCAACCTATGCCTGGAGGAGGGCCACATCAAAGATTACCTCTGTCTGAATCTAATAATGGATATATTATACAAGGAGGACAAATGATAAGTACATCTTCACATCAACAAATGCCTTCTTTTATGAATGCTGGTCAACAACAAATGGGGCCACAACATAGAATGCCTCATCCACCCGGTTTTGGTTCTACTGGGCATCAGGTTTTTTTAATTTTTTTTTGTAATTTGAGGGAGGGAAGGGTTATGACGAGTAATTTTTATTGGTTTAGAATTAAACATTTCTGAGCAGCCAATTTAATCAAAACATTTTGATCGATGTTGTTTTGACGATATTCATGACACAAATTTCTCTGACTTCTTTGTCCCCTGAACAGTTCTTGAACATCCCCGTAACAAAACCTCTGTCCTTGTAAAATAAAGCATCTGACTAAATGTCTCCTAGAATCAAATATTGTAAACTTTTACACTGACTAAACTTTAGTTTTTTAGTCCAAAAACTAAGATTCAGATTAGGGCAGTTTTTTACCTAATTTCAGTCAGTTTACTTTGTCGAGAAACAATTTAAATTTATTTTAGAGACAATTCATTTTCTAGATAATGTCTGGTCCTTGTGGTCCAGTAGAATCATCAGCAATGATGGGTGGTGGTCCTATGCAACAACAAATTAATTCCGGTCCAAATTCTCAACCTGTAATGGTAAATGGAAATCAAGCAATACAAGGAGGACCTAGACATCCCGTCTCTTCTGTACCTTCATCACAATCTCAACATGGAATTATTTCTCAAGTTCAAGGTGGAATAATGGTACGTGAAAATTTTCTGATTTTTTTGTGTTTTTTTCATAAAAGTATCTGCGCCGAATTTTTGACATTTTTTACTTACCCGAGATTATCTGAATTTAAGCCTTGTTGTTACGTCGGGCGCCACTTAACCACATTTCGCTGTCCCTTTGGTTTCAACTCTTTTATTTTTCTCACACCCATTTGTTCAATTATTTTTTCCACTTTTTTCACTTCAATTACTTAAAACTTCTTTTTCATTCAAGCATTTGTAATTTTAAATTTCTCTAGATGAACGATCCTGGCCAACAACAACCAATGCGTAATCAACCTGGTCCAAGTGGTGGTGGACTACCACCACAACACCTCCCACCACCATCACAACAATTGGTGGGTACTACACAGCCACAAGATCCTGAAAAACGAAAATTAATTCAACAACAATTAGTTCTTTTGTTGCATGCACATAAATGTCAACAGCGAGATAAGGTTACTTTTTGTTGATTTTTTTAAATTTTTTTCTAAATAGGTGGAGCCCCAAAATCGTAGCCACTGCAATCTTCCCTATTGTAGTACAATGAAAGGTGTTTTGGAGCACATGGTAAAATGTACATATGGGCGTCAATGTCAATTTGCTCATTGTGCTTCTTCTCGCCAAATAATTTCTCATTGGAAAAATTGTACTAAAGAAGATTGTCCTGTGTGTAATCCTGTTAAAAGATATACACATCAACAAGGTGCCGCTGGTGGTGAACATAAACAAGGTTTTTTAAAAGATTTCTTCTGTGAAATTTTTGGAGACCTTTTGGTATTTTTATCGAAATGATAATGGATTCCTGTCTCTTATTTTTTAAATTTTATTATCAAAAAAATTCCCAGCTCTCCCCTACTCTTATTAAATTCCTGGTCCTAATTCAAGGTTACTTGGCCCCCCTTTGATCACTGACTCTCGTTCGGCTGTTACCCTGCCTCCGTTGGACTTATAAACTCTGTGAATCCTTTGCCCTCATTCACTGGTTTTATAGCCCTTATTGTATATCTTGATCGACCCTGCCCTCATTAGATCCTTGTATCCTTAGCCGTTCCCTGTCTCTCCATGATTTCTTGGTCTTTTTATTATTCGCTTGCCTTTATTTAATTATTCCTCGTCACAAGGAAAATAGCAAAAATAATTATGTTTTCATCGATCCTTCGTCCATTGATAAGCTTAATATTGTACTTTTGAATCGCTGCTTCAATGCTTATTTTTAAATTTTTAATTATTTAGATATGATCTTAAATCCTTCAAACTTTGGTGGGGGTGGTCCAATGTTACAGCATTCATCATCATCAGCTGCTTCTGGTGCTGGTCCTTCTTGCTCATCAATACCATCACAACCTCAAAGTCAAGTTTCTTCTCAACAAATGTTTGGATCGCCACCATCTCAAGCAACAACAGTCAATACTTTATTGGATGGATACAATCCAAATCCGTTTGGTTTTTAAATAATCCGCAGTCTAAAAATTTTTTTTAGATTCCGTTCAACAAATCCTCCAAACAAAACTGGTGGTCAAGGTAGTGGACAACAACAGTTTTCATCAAATGATGGAATGCCTCTTCCTGAACCGCCAGCAACTACTAGAGATTGGCATGCTTCTATAACTCCTGATTTGAGAAATCATTTAGTTGGAAAATTGGTTAAGGTTTTCATTTTTTAATTTTTTACAAATTAGATTTGAATATAGGGTAGGGTGTTAGCTGATAGGTTTAATATCATAGGGTTATCTAATTTAGCTGTTAGCTTCAAATTTTCGAATAAAACCAAAGACTATTCATGCATTGATGATTTCCCCAATTTCCTCCTTAAATTGTTTCCCTTCCCAATTTCGGAGGGTAGGAATTCCCCTTTCCCCCCCCCTCTCCTTACGGATGTAATGGCAACTTTAAGGATTCTTTTCTATGCATGTTAGTAGTAGATAAGTTTTGGGGATTATACTAACTACTGACACCCGGCATGGTACCTGAGTTTATTAGTAAGAGATGTGATTTTTAGGTTAGTAATTTCAAGCAAAGCTAGCCCAAATCTTTTATTAAAGGCCATTTTTCCATCACCCGATCCTGCTGCAATTCATGACCAACGCATTCGTGATTTAATCACATATGCTCGAAAGGTCGAAAAAGACATGTTCGAACAAGCGCCAGATAAAGAAGCTTATTATCATATGTTAGCAGAAAAAATTTACAAAATTCAAAAAGAATTGCAAGAAAAGAAAAACCGACGATTAAATGAACAACAAAATCAACAACTTGGAGGAGGACAATTACAACAACAGGCAGATTTACAACAACATCATCAAGCATTGATACATCAACAATCAGTACATATTAGAGAAATAAAGCAAGAACCAAAAGGTGAACAACAACAGCCTCAAGGGAATCAACCAATGTTAAATTTTGTTGATCAAATACCTAATAAACGTCCAAAGATTGAGGAACCTGGTAAGGGAAAATTTAATTTTTATTTTATTTTGTGTTTAGGGAAATGTTGGGGAGTCCGGCTTGATTTGATATATAGTTAAATTTACTATCTTTTTTCGGAGGTGGGGGGGGGGGGGGTGTAACAGACCTACCGGTCAGTTACATTGATGCATATTTTTTATTTTGAACATCTGTTAGAATCCATCATGTTTTTGCAGAATCTGCGGTCGTCTTTTCCCGTAGAATCTATGCAAATACAAAAATAGAAATTCTGTGGTCTTTGCACTGAATATGTGTTGGGGAGAAATGCCTTTAGTTTCTTTCCCGATTTATGGCCGTAGCAAATCTAGGCGAGGCAAATAGTGCCCATTTTGTTTTTATGATCTTTCATCAATTCAATCTCTATTATTTGCTTATTAATTTTTTTTAATTATCAATATTTTTTTCAGATATTCCATCAAACTCAGAACTATCATTATCAATTAAAATGGAATTAACTAATAATACTAACACCAACATATTTCCATCAACATCTTCAGAATCTGCTTCAACTATTAATACTAATAGGCGTCCTACAACACCTAAAGAATCTAAGCCAAGCACTTCAACTGCTCCTCCTGAACCTATAATTCGTGATCCAAAGATATTTAGTGCTAATGAATTGAGAAGCCATTTATTACCAGTATGGCAAAAATTGTGGGATACTGAACCTGAATGTATACCTTTCCGTTTACCTGTAGATCCGGAGTCGTTAAACATTCCGGTAAGTTCTTTATATTTTTATTATAAAATATCATGTTTACTTCAATTGGGGTTCAGTTTATATGTCTTGGACCTCTAAAAGGATTTTGAGAATTTTTATTTCGAAAAAAGTCAGAAACTCGGAACTCCCTCTGACTTTTGATCTTTTAAGATCTATTTAAGGTAGTTTTCATAATAAAAAATATTCTGTCGACAAATACCGCTTTTGGTTAGGGTAGTACTATTAAGGATTTAATTTTACAAGTCTTGACCCTCTGGAAATTTTTTAAATTTGTTTTATTTTTGGAAGACCTTTGAGATTTTGGGAGTTTTTTTATTTGCAATTCGGAACCCTCTTCTAACTGGCAAAATTTTTTTAAATTTAACAAATAAAAATTTTTTCAGGATTACTTTGATATTATTAAAAATCCAATGGATCTTAAAACAATAAAAGATGGGCTAGATCAAGGAAAATATAAAAATCCATGGGAGGTTTGTGATCACATGTGGCTAATGTTTGAAAATGCTTGGCTCTACAATCGTAAAAACACAAAAGTATATTTTTAACTATTCAATTTTTATTAATTTGGTCAAACCTGTCAGTTTAAAATACCTCAATATCATTATAAGTTACCCGCAAAATTACACCTCTATTTAAGATAAGATTTTCAAATTTGGTTTGCTTCTATGTGAAGGGGCAATACCTTTCTATTTAAGTTACACCTCGTTATAAAAGGCAATTTTTCAGCCTCAAAGGTGGTATTTTATTATGAGGGTTGACTGTCTTCTAAATTAATTAAAAATTAAAAAAATTCTTTTTAAAGGTCCACAAATGGTGTACTCGTTTAAGCGAAATATTTATTGAAGAAATTAATCCAGTAATGAGACAAATGGGTTATTGTTGTGGTCAAAAACTTTCATTTACTCCATTAGTTCAATTTTGTTTTGGAATAACTAAAAATAATGCTGCTTGTGTTATTGCTAGAGATCAACCATATTTTATGTATGAATGTAGTTCTAGCGGTTTTGGTGTTACTGTTGCTGAAAAATATATTTATTGTGTTAAATGTTTTGAAGCTTTGCCTGAAAAGGGAATTAATTTGAATGAAAATACTTCTGATCCTCCAAAGTTTGTTTTTGTTTTTCGATTTTTTTTAGAAATTTCGTTATTCGGGTCAGGAAAGGTCTTCTCATACATCCTGAAAACGTAACCGCTATTTTTCGACTTGAAACTCGAATCCCAATCCGACAGTTTCTTAACCCTACTCATCCCTATACAAGTGTTAAAATCGTAGGGTGAAAATTCAAAGTTAGGTGTTAGGAGATAGGGAGGTCTCACTTCTTTTACCTAAACAATTAGACTGTGCCATATATAGTTATGTTTATTTTGTTGTTAGCGGATTTAGTAATCGGATATCTTGAATTTTTATTCTGACGTGAGACTGACCCGACACGAGACACACACAGTCCTGTTTATAAGTCTGACTTCTTTCTAGTCCAGATCCTCGCCAACCCTATTTCAGTCAACTACTGGCTGAATTTATATTTATTTGTAGGGGGGGGTCTTCTCTTTTTTTTTAATTTTTATTCTTTTTTCAGTTGGATACCAAAAACAATGTTTCAAAAAATGAAAAATGATCAAGTTGATATGGAACCTTTTGATAATTGTTTAATTTGTGATAGAAAATGGCACCGAATATGTGCATTAAATAATCGTAAAATAAATCCTGAAGGATTTATTTGTGAACAATGTCGTGTTGAAAAAAGTAGACCACGCCCAGAAAATAAATTTACTGCCAAAAGTAAGGAATTTTTTTTATATTTTTTTTTTGAAATTTTCTCTTTTTAGAATTGCCACATTGCCAAATTAGTCGTTATATTGAAGACAGAGTTAACAACTTTTTGAGACAAAAACTAGATGAAAATGATCCTGAAATTGAAGTTATAATTCGTGTTCTTTCAAGTTCTGATAAGGAAGTTGAAGTTAAACCTCAAATGTTGAAAAAGTTTGTGTTTAAAATAATTTATTTAGTCGTTGTACCACATTTGGTAAATACCCCCAATATTAGGTAAGGGCGTGCCATGGCCTGAATTTCCCCCCCCCCCCCCGAAATAAGGGAAATAGAAAAATTTTGGGAGAAGATTGATTTAAAATGTGAATCCAAAATACCTAAGCGGTATTTATGAGGTTTTTATAAATTAAAAAAATTTTTCTCTTGAAGATATGGAGCCTCTGGTTATCCTGAACGTTTTGCTTACCGCTCAAAAGCCATTTTTGCATTTGAAGTTTTGAAAGATCCAGACACTGGTATTTCAACAGAAGTTTGTTTCTTTGGTTTGTATGTCCAAGAATATGGAACTAATTGTGCTCAACCAAACCAAAGACGTGTTTATATCGCCTATCTAGATTCTGTTCATTTCTTCCAACCGAGGCATTTGAGAACTTCTGTTTATTATGAAATCCTTTTGGGATATTTGCAGGTTGAGAAATTTATTTTTGTTTTTTTCTTTGACTGTTTGGGGATGGCCCTATGACTTTATCCTTTTTCCTTGCAAATTACAAAAGGGTTTGGAGCCTATAATGGTATAAATATAGTAAATAAAATTTATCAGAATAGTTACAAATGGAAAACGAGAAGATAATGGTTTATCGACTGCTTTTCTAAATTAATTTTATTTTTACAATTATATACCCTTTTCCATTTGTAATTTTGAAAGGTGAAAATTTTAAGATTAACTCGAGAGCCGAAACCCTTTTTTCAAAAAAACTTAAACATCAAAAAATCGAAAACTAGTCCACCATTTTTTATTAATTTAATATTAATTTTTTAAGTATGTCAAACGTCTTGGTTATACAATGGCACATATTTGGGCATGCCCTCCTTCAGAAGGCGACGATTATATATTTCATTGTCATCCAACTGAACAAAAAATTCCAAAACCTAAAAGATTACAAGATTGGTACAAAACAATGTTAAATAATGGAAATGAAGAAGGAACAGTCTATAGCTATAAAGATATATTTAATCAAGCAAAAGATGATGGACTTGACACACCAACGAGATTACCTTATTTTGAAGGAGATTATTGGCCTAGAATAATAGATGAATGTATACAAAGTGCAGAAAAAGATGAAGAAATTGATAAAAGAAAAGCTTTACAACAAGCACAAACGGAAGATTCGTCAAACCTTTCGGGTAAAAAGCTTGTTTTTTAGTCTTGAGGCTATTTTTTGAACCTAACTTTTTTGTTTGTACAAGAACAAATTGTTTTACACCGAGCGGGTTTGAAACGAATCTTCACCCTATTTTATAAAATTTCCCGCTTTACCAAATAAATCCCTCCCTTTTTTCAGATGACGACACATTCCAAACAGATGATGGATTACCAGTTAAAAAACAACAAAAGACAAATAATAATAATCATAAGAAGAAGAGTAACCTTAAAAAATCAGCGCAAAATACAAAAAAGAAGGGAGGTGTAACAACAGGCAATCCTGTTGTTGATCGTTTATTTCAACAATTGGAGAAGCATCGCGACGTTTTCTTTACTATTCGTTTATTCTCTGTCCATGATGAACAAATTATCATTGGACAAAAACCGAGAATTGAAGATCCGGATCCTTTAATTAGTTGTGAATTGATGGATACAAGAGATAATTTTTTGGCAAAATCGAGAGATGAACATTGGGAATTTAGTCAATTAAGAAGAGCAAAATGGTCAACTCTCAACTTTTGTTATACTTTACATACACAAGAACAAGAAAACAAAGGGTTAAGTTATACTTGCAATGTTTGTGAACAATCAGCCTCTTATCATTGCAATACTTGCGATGTAAGATTTAGTAATTTTGTTGTTTAATATAGTCAGACTTCAATATAAATTACCTTCCCCTTTTTGGGGAGGGGATATTGGGTACTCCCATTTAAAGATTACCACCCACCCACTCCCTTTTTGTGGACTTTTTATTGCGGAAGATCTTTTTACTCTTTATTTCCCCTCTTTTTCAATGAGTAAAATCATAATTTCCCCAAGCAAGAACGTAATTTCGTCAAAAACTTACCCATCATTTTCCTCTACATAAACTCTGAGAAATAACCCTTTAAATATTGTTCCATTATGCTTCTTTTATTCTTCTAGTTAGCATTTCCATAAATCCTTTTCACTTTTTAGGGTATTAACATTTAGTTTCAGGGTTTATATATGAAATTTAATCTTGATTAGTTAGTTGCCTGTAGCATAGACTTAATAGCATTATAAGGGGCAATTTTTAAGCTTCTTGGAGTATCTTACAATTAAGTTTGACTGTATTTTAATTTTCAAATTTTTTTCTATTTTAAAGGATTACGACCTCTGTGAATCCTGCAAAACAAAAATTGACCATCCTCACGATATGGAAAAATTATCACTTGTTGAAGAAAAAGCATCTTCTGATGCATCCGCCGTTTCAAGAAATGAGTCTATAAAGAGATGTATTACTTCTCTTGTTCATGCCTGCACATGCCGGGATGTAAATTGTCGTCGTGGAACTTGTCACAAAATGAAAAGGGTTATTTCGCACACAAAGGCGTGCAAAAGAAGAGCATCTGCTGGGGCAAATTGTGCTGTTTGTAAACAATTGATTGCTCTTTGTTGTTATCATGCAAAACATTGTACACAACCAAAATGCCAGGTACTTGAATTAACAAAAAAACCTCGTTTTTAAATACATTCAGGCCTATCTCACAATCAGTCAAAACTATATACTCTTGATATTAAGTACACACACCAGGGATGTCACGGGTTGAGAAAAATGTCGGGTCGGGTTTCGGGTCGGGTTTCCAAAATTTTTCTCGGATCGGGTTTCGGGTATCGGGTTGAGCAAAAAGTCGGGTCGGGTTTCGGATCGGGTTTCCAAAATTTTCTTCGGATCGGGTTTCGGGTCGAAAAAAGTCCCTTTTTCAGCGCCGCAGGCGAAAATTTTCAGAATTTTGGAGGTCATTAAGCTAAAAATCTTCCCTTTTTCAGCGCCGCAGGCGAAAATTTTCAGAATTTTGGAGGATCATTAAGCTAAAAATCTTCCCTTTTTCTGCCTCACGGGCGAAAATTTTGAAAAAACTCGGGTCGGGTTTCGGGTCGGGTTTTGAAAAATAAAAATTCTCGGGTCGGGTTTCGGGTCGGGTTTTAGAAAATTTCTCGGATCGGGTTTCGGGTATCGGGTCGAAAAAAAGGCCGGGTTTCGGGTATCGGGTTTCGGGTAACCCGTGACATCCCTGACACACACACACCCTCAATTTAATATTCGCTTTTTAAATTTTTTGTTTATTGAGCGAGGGAGGGTGGGGGGGGGGGGGACTTTCGGAGGGATATACCTTCAGTTTAAAATAACCTCATTATAAAGTTCGATTTTCTTTTCAAGAAGTGATCTAATAAATAGATTTGACTTGATTTTCAAATTTAATTTAGGTTCCATTTTGCCAACAAATTCGACAAAAATTGCAAGAACAAAAACGATCTCAAAATCGTCAAGCTGAAAGAATGATGCAAAGAAGAATGATGAAATTACAAAGTTCAGGAGGTGGTGGTGGTGGAATGAATGGAAGTGGTGTTGGGGGTGGTGGAGTAGCTATTCCTTCAAGCAATATATCAACATCACAAGGAGGTGGAGGACCTCAAATGGGCGGTGGATGGGTACAACCTCCTTCCCAGTCACCTCTTATGGCAGGTCAACCTGTTTATGGCTCTTCACAAATACTACAACAACAACATATAGCTGGAGGAATTCAATCAAACCAAGTTATTCCATCAAGTATACAACAACAATCACATTTGCGTTTAAATGGTCCAGCAGAATTTCATCGTACGAAAATTTTTTTTGAATTATGAAACACTTAATATATGTTTTGAATTACTGAACAAGTCACAAAATTTTTCGAGCAGAAGGATGGGTAATAGTTTGGCTGTTCCCTCCCCTTATTCTCTTTTGACAAATTAGGAAAGGATATCAAAATGTTCAGGGAATTCAAGAAAAAAGTGGGTGTGGGAGGGAGGATCAGCCAAAATATTACCGAAGGATTGGGACATTTTTTGTGATTGACTACATATATTGACCCGACCAACTTACTTGTCTTTTTTATCTCAGTTTTTTCGAGTTGATTGTCGAATCATTCTAGCTTAATTTCCTAAAGAATCAATCTGTTTTTCCAATCATTCTGTGAAAATTCATGGTCTCGGGTTTGTCCCTTGACATGTCTAATTATCTGTTTATTTTTCACATAACACCTTTTAGATATTCAAAATCAATTACAAAATCGTATGGTTAACTCCCCTCCTATTGGTGGACAACAACAATCTGGAAGTAGTTATCATCAACAAATAATTGGAGGACCAAATTCCCATCCTCATCAAATGCCACCGGTCCTAGAAATTAAAAAATTTTAATTTTTCAAAATTTATTTTTAGGGCGTCGGAGGAGCGAGTATTCATCGAGTTCCCTCAGCTGGTACAATTCACCAACAACACCCATTAATCTCTCAACAACAACAAATAAATCCTCCTTCTTATGGAATTCGTCCAAGTCCAAGCCAACAACAACAAAATTTGTCTTTTGTTCAACAGCAACAACAACAAATGGGACAGCAACATAGACCTCAACAGCAACATAGATTTCAACATTCACAGCAACCACCTCAACGTGGTGGAGGAGGTGAGAAGACGAAGAAATATTTTCGAAATAATTTTTGATAGAACAATTAATGTTTTACGTGATTATCTTTCAATATTTAATTAGAAAAAATTAATTTTCCATGAGTGGATTTGAACCCGAGACCTATTTTTAATTAGGGATTTTGTAGTCAGCGCTCTCAACCACCTAGCCAAATTTTTTAATTGTCTTTGTCCACTGTCGATTCGAGCTTGCAAAAATTTGAATTTTTTGGCGCCAAAAATGACAAATTCACGCTTCTGAGCAATAAGAAATTCAAAAAACAGCACAAAAATTATCTTCTATTTCTATTTTCACACTAAGCTTAAGAAAATCTTCTGATGACTAGGATGTGATGACTACGTTACTGGTTTCGTGACTAAGATGAAACCAGTAACGTGGTTTCCGGTTTTACCAACTAAATTAAGCTCAAATTAAAAAATTTCCTCGTTTTGGAGTTGATGCTTTAAAAAATTTTTTGCCTGCGCCGCTGAAAAATGAACAAATCTGTGTATATTGTGGGATTTGCAGGGATTAAGATGGATTTGGGAGGTCAAAGGACAAATTCAGGGATGGGTATGATATCGAGGGATCAAGGGTGTAAGTGAATATTGATGAATTTGGAGGATATCGGGAGACTAGACGGATAATTGGGGTATCATAGGAATTGAAGGGATATCAAAGGATTTATCTTGCCCTTCCAGACTTTTAAGAAGTTTTGCCTTTAACGGTGAACAAGTTTCATCAATTTCTTTCTTCACTTGGTGAAGAAAAAAACCTATTTATAGGATTTGTTTATTAAGATTGATTGACCAACCTCTATGTGGGCGAAAGCTTTCTAAACTATACACTCTTTTTAAAATACACCTCATTATAAGAGACGATTTTTCGTTTCCAAGTTGGTTTTTTATATCGAGGTCCGATTGTTATTTTAAAAAAATTTTATTACCACATTTTCAACAAAAAAATAAAAATTTTTGTATTTAGGCCATCCATTACCAGAACAACAGCAGCAACAACAACAACAATTTCACCTAATTTTTGAAAGGTTTAAAACAGCAACTTCTCCAGAAGATAAGGAAGCAATATTCAAAGATCTCAGAAAAACTCCTCATTTATTTAATGCTTTTTTAAAAATGACAAAAAGGGAAGGCCCAGAAGGTCAACATATTTTACAACAAATGAGGCATCCTTCAGAATCATCAACATCCTCCTCCTCCCAACAACAACAATTTATTCAAAGACAAGGACAACCACAACAACAATATTTTCAAGGAGGAGGAAGAGGACAACAAAATGGTGGTGCAAGTATTTCACAATTTAATTCACCTCCGTCTTCTACCCAACAACAACAATGGTTACAATCACAACAACAAATTCCTCATTCAACACAATCGCCTTCACAACAAAGAAATAATCCCACATAAAATATATTATTTTTATTTAATTTTAATTAAACACCTCCCTCTTTCTCCTAAAAATCACTAGTTTTTCTCTATTTTCTTTTTATTTAATTGTCTTTTTATTGTTTTAATATATTAAAATTCAAATTATTTTTTTAAATATGTATGCTACCAACTACCTATTCATTATTCTTCAAATAGTCTTTTTTTAAATAATTGTTTATTAAATTATTTAAGATGGTTGAAAAATTTATTTTAAATACACACAGTTAAACTTTATTATAAGATACCCCTTGTGGGTAGAAAAACTCGTCTCTTATAATGAGTTGTACCTTAAATAGAGGGTATCTATTATTGGTAGTGTCTTATAGTGATGGTATCTTAAATAGGGGGTATCTTTGTTCGACAGTAATTGAAAAAAAAATTTTTTAATGAATACATATTAGTATTTGTTAGTGCATTTTTCATTTAATTTTACACAGGATATTATTTTTCTTTTGTTGTTAAACAAAAAAATTTTTTTGTAAATAAAAATTATGATGATTTTAACATAGTTTTAAAGTCCAAAATATTTTTATTTTAATTTATTATTTTTAGGTGGGCAGTCAATGATTATTATAAGATACCTCCCCCTCCATCCTCCCCCTTCTAACCTCTATTTAGTTTACACCTCATTATAAGAGACTATTTTTTCAACCTCGAGGGATGTATCTTATATAACGTGATTTGACTGTATATTTAAATTGTTTTTTTACTCGCTAGGATTTTTTCTTCAAAAATATTTTTTGCTCATTAATTAACCTACCCACACACTCTGCTATTTTTATTAAATTTAATATATTTTTTCACACTTTCGCGCGACTATAAAAGAACCTCTTAAAAAACTAGGAAATCGAAAAATTTATTTTATTTTTCATTATTTAAATATATTCCTAGAATTATTTTTTTTATTTCTCTAAAATATTTAATTTCTGTTAATAAATGTGTATTTTTTAAATTAAAATTTTTAAAGCTTCCACTATTAAATCTCTATTTTATAAAATGGTCAATTATTCTATTATATATTTTTTAAAACATTTTTTTCAGTAAATAAAATTGATGTTTGGCAAAAATTTTTTTGTCTGTTGATGTTAATCACTGTTCCAAAATCCCGGATCCCGTGTCGGGATCCGGGATCTCACCATTCCAAAATCCCAATTTTTTCTTTAAATCCCGATACCGCTGAACTCTGTACTTTAAACAGATATATTTTAGAAAAATTAAGTGCCGGTCTATTTTATAGGAAATTTTATTGGCTTTCAGATAGACCTAAGAGAAAATTTTTATTTCTTTTTTAGTAATTGTTAAGGACTTTTTTTGTCTGTTAAGTTTTATAAACTGTTAAATGTATTTTGGAACGCCTCATTTTTTCTTGAATTAATTTTTTTCTTGTCGTCGATGTATTAGAGTATTGATGTTTGCAAAAAATTTTTTTGTTAATCACTGTTCCAAATCCAGATTTTTTAGGAAGGGATTGGATTTTTAATTTATTATTAATTTTCACATTCATTAAAAATGTGGAAAGGAAATCGAATTTGTTAGAAATAATTTTTGATTAAAACAAACGGGACTCTAATGTCAATTTCAGCACACAATAAAAAGTAGGCACTGAAACGTATTAACTAAAAAGAAAGCTGATTGACTGACGTCTCTCTTAAATTTACACGCTATTTCCAAACATAAAAATGGACGGCTTGTTGCCACGATTAATCAAATTTTTTTAGTTAATTTTAAGAATTTTAAAAATTTATTTTTAAGAAAAATGGAACAACCTGAAGAAGTTCAAATTCTTGACGAAAAAGAAGAAAAGGCTCGAAAAAAGAAGGAAAAGGAGAAAGAAAAGAAGAAGGAAAAGGCTAAAAAAGATAAGGAAAAGGAAAAAGAAGGGGGTAAAGATGGAAAAAAGAAGAATAAGGTTTTTCTTTTAATTTTTATTCAACAAGATTTATTCTAAATTTTTTAGCAAGCTGAACTTATCAAAGAATTATTAAGAAGAAAACAGGAGCAGGAAGAAGAAGAAAAGAGAGCTAGGGAAGAGGAAGAGAGACGACTTGCAGAACTTGAACGGCAGAAGGAGGAACAGGTTTGGCATCTTTATGGGAATTTTTTGAATGTCATTTTTGTATGTTTAAAAGAGATTGAGATTTTCATAAAAGTTTGAAAAAAGAAGGAAAGGGTCCACCAATCTGGACCCGATATTTGATCCGATACCTGATATCGCTCCAAAAGATGGAGAAACGGCTCCAAAGGTCGAAAACTTTAAAGCCGTATAACTTCTCTAATTGGGGGTCAGGGGGAAAAAGCCAAAAATTGGCAATAGATTATCGTTATATTTATCGTTTATCTCTACACTGATTATAACAATCTGATAGAAACGAAATAATAAAGATAATGTTGATCAAATGATTCTAATTTTCAGGAGAAATTAGCTCAACAGCGCAAAGAGGAGGCAAAACGTAGAAAAGAAGAATTAATCCAAAAGCAGAAACGTGAAGGAACTTTTTTGACAAAAAAGCAAAAACAAGCTGCTGCAAAGGCTAGACAGTTACTTGAAAGTCAAGGTTTTTAAAATTAATTTTTGGATTTGAATTTGAAATGTTTAAGGTCATGTTGTCCCAGAGTTGAATAGAGATGATGAGGAAAAACCAAAGAAGCCTATTTTTGCTAGAAAACGAGGTGCTAAGAAGACGAGTGAAGTTGCTGAGAATGTAGAAGAACAAAGTGTTCCCGAAGAAGAAAAAGTTGTGGAAGAAAAGAATGAAGAAAAAGAAGATTTGGGTGACGAAGAAGAGGTTTTTTTTAGTTATTTTATACGACTTTTAGTATTTATTCCATATATCCAATTTATTCCTATTCGACTTGTTAAGTAAACAAAATTTTAAGGTTGTCGACGACTGGGAAACAATTGTTGATTCTGGTCGAGAAATTAACATTCCAGATAAATTAAAAATAATTAAAGAAGAATTAATTCCAAAACCTTCAATTAAACAACAACCAAATAATATTCCTTCAACAACTTCTGAATTAAATCAAAATTTGGAAGAAGAAAGTTCAGACTCGTCTTCTGACGATGATGAAAGTTATGCTTCTGAATCTTCAATTCCAACAATTTCAAAAGAAACAAGAGAAGAACTTGTAGCTAAAATTAGACTTCGTTTTGCTGTTTGTGAATTTTTTGAGAAAAATTTTTTTAAATTCTTTTTTATTAGGAAAGAAGCAAATTAGCAAAAGAAAAGAAGACTACAGATATTTTACGTTCTCCAATTATTTGTGTTTTGGGACATGTCGATACTGGAAAGACTAAAATGCTTGACACGGTTTGGATTTTTTTCCCAAACTTCTTTTTCATTTTCTCCTTTTATTAGATTCGTCGAACCAATGTTCAAGAAGGGGAGGCTGGAGGTATTACACAGCAAATTGGTGCTACTCGGGTACCTGACTTGGCTATTAAAGAACGGTGTAAAATGCTCAAAAATGTAATTTAAAATTTCTTAATAATTTTATTTTGTCATTTTTTTTAGTTTTCCGGTGATTCAATGAAAATTCCAGGATTTTTGATTATTGATACTCCTGGACACGAAAGCTTTGCGTATTTTTTTTTGAATTATTTAGTAAATTTAAATTCTATTTTTTAAAGAAATATGCGATCACGTGGCTCTTCTTTGTGTGATTTTGCTATTTTAGTTGTTGATATTATGCATGGCCTTGAACAACAAACAATTGAATCGTTAAAATTGTTAATTAAAAGAAAGACGCCCTTTGTTGTTGCGTTGAATAAGGTTTTCTTGTTTACTTTTTTGAATTATTTAATCTATTATCACCTAATTGAGTTTGTAAGGAAAGAAAATTATTTAGTTACTTGGTAGTTGAATCGTTAGTGAACTTGAATTTGGTACAGTTCGATTCATTTTTTGAATTAAAATGAATATTTTGTCGAGGGTTTAATGAATCTTTTAAGGATTAAATTTTAAAGATACTCACACCAGTGGTTAAATCGGTGTACGACATACACAATTTGTTAGGCTAAAAATTGGTGATAGGAAATTGAGAAAATTGAGATTTATAATTTAAACAAAATCAAAAAATTTTTTTTCAGGTTGACAGACTTTACAAATATGAATCGAATCCAAGAAAAGATATTTGGCAACATATGAATACACAACCAACAAATACACAATTAGAATTTAGAGAGCGTTTTAATAAACTTATTGGGGAATTTTCTGAACAGGTTTAATTTTTTAATTTAGAAAAAAATTTTTTGTTTCTTTTATTTTTAAGGGAATAAATATAGAATTGGCAAATAAAAACACAAATTTTGATGAATATGTAAGTGTTGTCCCAACTTCTGCTTTTTTGGGTGATGGAATTGGGAATTTAATGGCACATATTGTAGACCAATGTCAAAATAGATATCTTGAAAAACTTGCTTTTTCTGAAGAGCTGGATTGTATTGTGATGGAGGTTTGTTGGGGGTGATTGATATAGAGGCGAGGCGTAGTCAGGGGGTTCAACTGGAAATTTTTCTATTTTCGATTTTGAAGATCTCTTTGTTATTCTCTCGTTTTTGTTGTTTGTGGTTGGTTGAGTCTAGAATACAGGTTCTACAAAACCATAAAAATCATACTTTTATCTGCAATTTTCCTCATTAAATTTTTTAGGTTCGTTCTCTTCCTGGTTTGGGCACAACAATAGATGTTATTTTAATTAATGGTACTTTGCGTGTTAACGATATTATTGTTCTGACAGGAAGTGATGGACCTATTGCAACGCCTATTAGGGACCTTTTAATGCCTCAGGTTTTTATATTTGTGTAGGACTCTAATTTTCAAGACTGGTAATGTGTAGAGTAAAATGCTACTATTTAAAGGGTGCGGAAAATCATAAATTAAGGATCCCTTCACAGGGTTGAGGTTCAAAATGTCGACGTCATTTCTTTGGATCAATCCCGTTTGTCATTTAAACTAACAGTAAGGATTTCGGAACGAAATCTCTAGTATCCATTGAATATGACATGTTTGGCTAAGGCAAGGCAAAATAAAGAATTTTTAGAAAATTGAAAAGATGTTCGATCCCTTTAAGTGGAAATCAAAAAATATTTCCAAAAATATTTTTTTCTTTAAGCCTTTAAAAGAAATACGTGTAAAAGCCGATTATGAGCACTACAAAGAAATTAATGGTGCACAAGGAATTAAAATTTTGGCAAAAAATTTAGAGAAAGTAATTGCCGGTCTTCCTTTATTTGTTGCACATCGTGAAGATGAACTTGAAGTTTTAAAGTTTTATTTTAATAAAATTTTAAAGAAAAATTAATTTTTTACTTTATAGAATGGATGCGGAAGATCAATTAAAAAATGCTCTTATGGCAATAAAAAAGAAACCTGAAGGAGTTTATGTTCAAGCGAGTACTTTAGGGTCTTTAGAAGCGCTTTTGGAATTTTTGAAAGCACAAAAAATTCCGGTATGGTTTTTTAAAATTTCATTTATTACACTCGAACCTCGTTATAAGCTACTCCTCGGGACTGAAAAATTGGGCTCTATTACACAATATATGTACGTCCAATCAACTATTATGCGCCCAATCAAATTTTATACGTCCAAACATATTTTTATCATCTGTTGTTCGACCATAAAATTTTTAATTTTCTATTTAAAGTATTCAAATGTAAATATTGGACCAGTCCATAAAAGAGATGTACAAAAAGCAGCAGCAATGCTTGAACATAATTCTGAATTTGCCTGTATTCTCGCTTTTGACGTTCCAGTGGATCGAGAGGTTCAATTGTTGGCTGATAAAGAAGGAGTGAGAATATTCCAAGCAAATATTATTTATCATTTGGAAGAAAGCTTTTTGAATTATAGGTTAGTTTTTTTCAATTTATTTAAAGTGAAAGAGGTTGGGATAGAGATGATTTTTGGTTGTGGATACACACCAGAGATGTCACTAGTTATCAGATTTCCGAAACCTGGGCTTTTTTCTCAACTCGCAACATCCCTGATAACAAACCGATTTGTCGAAAGTTTACAGCGGTTGATGAAAGTATCAAGTCATACCATCTTGGTATTATTTGGACATACGGTAGATATATCAAAATATGATCCGTTCTAACAATAAGAATTGAAGTCTGATTCTGTGGTAGAGAACACGATAGATCGACTAAATTTTTTACTTTTGGGCATGGGCCTGGATTAGGGCTTTATACTATCTGAAAACTATTCACGATTTTCAAAAAACGGGTGGGTAGCTTTAGTTCAATTCTTTATAATTCATTTTTCCTTAAATCCTTACGTACCAAATTATTAATTTCTAATAAAAAATTTCTTTTTAAGAAAAGAATTAGCTCTTAAACGACGTAAAGAAAATGAACATTTGGCTATTTTTCCTTATAAATTACGTGTTTTACCACAACATATTTTTAATGCAAGAAATCCAATTGTTTGTGGCGTTTCTGTGGATGCTGGGCAATTAAAGAAAGGAACTCCTGTTACTGCTAAAACTAAAGAAGGGGTTTGTTTTGATTTTAAGTTTGAAAATTTTTTTGAATTTTTAAAGCCTGTATTCCTTGGAACAATTTCTTCAATAGAAAAAAATCATGAACAAGTAGATATGGCTAAAGCTGGTGATGAAGTTTGTATAAAGATAGAGAACACAACAGGAGATGCACCAAAGCTTTATGGAAGACATTTTACTCATGAAGATATTCTTATTAGCAAGGTTTGAAAAAGTTTCTTTCTTTTTCTTAAGGATAATTAATTGTACAAGGGAACCTGGAAATTGGGTTTTCATTCTTGAAAGAACGCTCAGAAAAATTTGAGAAAACTTTTAGAATTAAATCTTTTATATTTAAATATATTTTTAAGATAACTCGAGAATCTATTGATGTTTGTAAAACATATTTTCGTGATGACTTGACAAAGGCTGATTGGCAATTAGTTATTGAACTAAAAAGAATGCTAGAAATTTTATAAAAAAATAGTTAGAGTAAACAGATTTAAAGAATATAAAAAGGTGATGTATTAAATTGTTATTTTATATTATTATAAATGTACACAATCGAAAAAAGAGAAATATTAAAAGAAAAAGAGAAAATAAATTTAAAATGTGACAAACTTTTAAAGAAAAAAGATCCTTCAAGACGAAGTAAAAAGTTCACCCAAAGGTGGTAGAGTTGTACTTGCAGCGATTTGTGAAAGGTCTATATAAAGTTTTTAAAAAATTAGATAATTCAAACAGAAATTAAAATAACCCCTCAATTTTCAGATTCGAAAATTGGTTTGGGAACAATTCAGAAAATTTCCCTCTTTTTTCTAAGGGAAGTAAAGGGTCTCCTTTTCCTTTCCTCCCCTCCTTTCTTCAAGGCAATCTCGAAACGAAACTTTCATGGGCTCTGATTCGAGCAAGATCGGCCCAATTTTAAAAAAATCATCCCCATATCGAAACATTTCAAAAAACGGCAAGAGAATTGTTCAAATCGGTAGAAAATTAAGGAAGCATTATGCCCAAAAAGTTTAAAAAAATAAACTAACCTGGCAAAGAATCAATGTGCTTTGCCAACTAAAATTCATTTTAAAGATTTCAAAAAAATAATTTAAAAAAACTTCTTTTTTCTCAGCATCCAACCTTGAAATTCCCTTTTTAACAGAATCAAGTAGTGCTTTATTTCGTTCATTTGCTTGGTCTAAAGCCTTTATATAATCTGCCATAAGATATTGAAGATTTTGACGTTCTTTAAGTTCGTCTTGTAATCTAGTGCAATATGCATCGACAACTAAAATTTAATAAAAATTACAGAATAAACCATAAAGGTGTAAAATCATAAAAACTACACCACAAGAGGGGTCGAACCATGACCAGAATAACCCACCAAACAAATAACTAAACCGTTACACCAATCCATACATAAACAATAAATTTTAACTCCCATTAGTTCCAAAAAAGGTATTTACCCGGCACAGCCTCCACAGTTTTAGCCATCAAAGCAGCTACTCCCTCTGAAGTTTTGATTTCTTTAAGAAGGAGAGGGTTAGCTATAGCTTCAGGATATGCAGCAATTATTTGTCTACAAAATAATTTTTTAGAGAAATTATAAATAAATTAAACCTAATTTTTACGTCTGCCGATGCGGGGTCTTCTAAACGTCTAAGGAGGTTAATCTGTGAAACAAAAAATAATTTTTTAAATAATTTCAAAACAAACCATATTTGTACTGAGGCTAGAAAATGCATGAAACTCTTCTTTGATTTTCTAAAAATGAGAGAAAAATAATAAAAAATAAAGGTCTTTTACTCTCGGTTTCAGATCCAATAAACAACTTTATGGGAAACATAAACTAGAGCCGACCCAAAAAATCCAAAATTCAAAAAATCCCCGCCATGCTCCCTCCTCTGACCGAGTCCTAACAACAAACCTTAGAATTGTCCAAAGAACTTCCTGGAGAGCCTGAAGGTAACAAAGGAGAATCCGTCCGAATTGGACTTTCTGGATCAGAAATAAGATTTGGAGTTGAAATGGACGTTTCTTGAAGGCAATTAACGAGTAAATCCAAATTTTCTGTTGAATAAATTCCCCTTTCTCTCCAAACAGACAAAATTCTTTCTAGCAATTGTCTGTGGTATTGATCGGCATTTTTTGAAATATGACTGAAAAATAAAAAAAAATTTAGAAGTCCGCAAAAGTTATACTGAACGAAGATGGGACGATTTGAAAAAAAAGGTTTAAAAATTTTCTTCGGAACGGGTCTCGGTTACAGGTCGAAAAAGATACATTAAAAAAACTTTCTGATCAAAAAAATTAAAACCCAACCTAACAGCAGGTTGAAGAACTTCGTAAAAAGCGTTCATAAAAGCTGGGGCTTTTTTTCTAGCATTTTGAATAACATCATTAGCCAAATTCATTAAACTTAAAAGACGTTCACTGTCTGTAATACTTCGAACTTCCTATTTAAATTTAAAAAATTAAATATAATTTTGGCATTTGTCGGATGAGGGGCTTTTTTTTGCGGAATTCTATTCACAACAAAAAGTTCACAAGAAACAATTCAGCAAAATCTCAAAAAGTGTCCGTAAAAATAATCAGCAGAAAATTCACAAAAAGCCCCCTCCTTCTACACAATCTCAGAAAAGAACCTTTAACCAAGTATCCAAAATAGCATCAGCATTCTTCTTTTGATGATGTAATATCCACATTGATAATGTTTGTATTGAATGTGTTGTGTTTGTTAACTTCGTAAGTCTTTCACGCATTGTAAATTCTGAGAAACCACTCATTTTTATGGCTGGAATTATTCTAAAAAATAAAAAAAATACATAATTTAAACCTGCAAAAAATTATTTAATCAAAGCTTAACAAAAAACAGAATGGGCCGGTTAACGACAAATTGCCAATAAAGGCATAAGCGATAGATTGCCAATAAGGCAAAAACGACAAAGTGCCAATAAATGCATAAACGACAAAATGTCAACAAGTGAATAAACGACAAATTGCCAACATGTGTATAAGTGACAAATTGGCAATAATATTACCATTCACAAAATGAACCTTAATTTTTAATCTAAACTTTAGAATCCATAACAAATTACGAGTTTTTCTACACAAAACATCCCCCTAAGAGCTTCTTTATTTTCCAAATTTATCCAAATAAATGTAAGTACATAAAATCTTTAAAGCAAAAAAGAAATACTAAAGCCCTCCAAAAGCTTTTCGATCATTTCTCTACAAAAAAACTTTAAAAGTGTCAGTTGTTATACATAGATTTACTACTTACTACTACACCTTTTTTCCTTCTTGCGGTGTTGTTTCTTTTCCTATTAAAATTGTCCATCCAATTTCCCTCATAACATTAACAAATCTACACTAATTCTTCTTAATATTTCTTTTCTTTTTTTGATTAGTCAGAAAGTTTTAAAAAATTAATTTTTTTTATTCGAGATTATGGGGGGTTATTCCTTATTTACTTTTTATAAGGGAGGAGCTCAGTTAATAGAACATTTGAACTCAATGGTTAGCGAAGCTCCTAGCAATTAGGTGGTAGGTTCGCTATTCCTGCGCGGGTAGATTAACTTGACGCTTAATTTTTACTAACAAGGGAACATTGACTACTGTGTACAAAAACTTGGTATTTTTTAGTCGACTTCCTATTTCGAAGTGATGCGGGTCATATCGAGCTAACTCAAGGAGGTCGTGGGTTCGAATCCGAGTGGGAAAAATAATTTTTTGAAAATGCAAAAGTGGACCCCATTTTAGTACTTTTATAATGATATTTTATCTCCACACATTTTTTAGACTAGAAAAACATGTGTTTGAATGTGTTCATAAGCTGAACCCTTACCAAATTCCTGTACACAATAAACGATATTCCCTTGTAAGAAGAATATAGGTAGATTTTAATAGCTCAATATAAGACTATCCTTATAATGACTTTTCTTTACACAATTTCGACTAATCATCCCAAATTAAAAAAAATAAAATCTTCAAACACTCTTCTTCTCTTTTTAGCATGTTTTATCCCTTCACACGTGCAAAAATAAAATTTATTTTAAGTAGCGGGGGCGAGAAAAGCATCTCCTCCTCTCTTTCCTTGGTTTTCCAACACTCTTAAGCAAGTGTTTGAAAAAAATAAAAAGGAAACACAAAAAAACTGTTTTTATATTAAAAAATCTTCCTATTTATTATTTCCACACCTTTTCATAAAGAAAAAATCTTTTAGAGGGGCATTTTGCTGAAAAGACTTGACAGATTTATTGGGAACTACATAATACCATGAGGGCCTTTTACTCCAAGTTTCTGTTTACAGAAGCACAGAACTTCTTTTTGAGGAAGAAGCGTCTGTTCTTTCCCTGCATTATTTTTATTCAATTTTCAATGAATTGTGTTTTCAGTCAATTACCCCCAAAATTGTTTTTTTTCGCAACAAAATCTACTAATATTTAGTTTTTTTTCTTGTCCACTTTTAATGTCCACTTCCTCTGGCAATTTTTATGCTTTTGACAAAATTTATTCTTTTGGTCTTTTTATCCGTCTTTTTTTCCGTCTTTTCCATATAAAAATCGAATTTATAAAAATTATTTATAAAAAAACTTTTTTGCTAAGTTTTAAGACTTTGAAAATCAATTAGGCCTCACTATAAGATACGGGCAGAAAAAATAGTCTTCTATAATGAGGTGTGTGTTAAATAGGGGGTATAGTTTTTCTACAGTTAAACCTCGCTTTTAAACCCATCGACTAAAACGTACCTTATAATTAGTTGTACGTTAAATAGAGGTGTATTTAGTATTGAGGGTATCTTATAATGATGTTTGAATGTATAGGTAAGCAAGAGATTGGACCGATTTAATCAACTAGAAAAGCAAAATTGAAATTATTGGTTAGGTGGATAAGAGCCCTGACTACAGAATCTTCAAACTTAGGGGTCATGGGTTCGAATCCTTACATGGAAAATTTTTTTTTTTTCAATTTTCAGAATATTTTTTTAAAAAATGTCTTCAAAATTTATTTATTTTCCAATTTTATTTTTAATTATTTTAAACAATTCTTGGGCAAAATGGGCATTTTTATCAGACCAATCCAAATGCAATTTGAATTGTTTAAATGGAGGGGTTTGCTCTTTTTTGGTTAAAAAACCGGAAGTACATAAATGTATTTGTTTAATTGGAATGTTTGAAGGACCTCAATGTGAACAGGCTATTGGTAAATTAGTTTTGATTAGGCGGGAATGGGGAAAAACAAATGGAGGTAGTCGGAACAACCTAAGGCGTCGGGAATTGGAACTGGTTGGTTGTTGGAAGTTGGAAATTTTAAAAAAGTTTGCGTTTGACCAGACGGGGTATAATAGTTGATGAGTAGGGTTGTTCACTACCGGTTAAACGAAATCGGGGTAAGTGTTCTAATAGAACCACATGTTCTTTTATTTTTCGATCCTCTCGTATATGTATTAGAGAGTATGCTTCTTTCAGAGAGTTTGGAGCATTTATGGTATCCAATTCATATTTTACACAATTAAAATGTCTCATTGAAATATTCTATAAATACAGGCACCGAATTTTTTTAAATTTAACTCCGTAAGTTTAAGAATTTGGCTAAGTCGTTAAATCGGATTTTGCCGCTCTAACCTTTTGAGGGGGCCCGCTCTCTAATTAATTAATTTAATTATTAAAGACCAAAATATACAAACAACAACACCAATATATACTTCTTTAAATAATGAAGAAGAAGAAATGGAAGACGAAGAAGAAGAATTATATGAAGATGATGAAACTAAGGAGGAAGAAGAAAAGAATGTTAGAGAAATAAATCAAAACAATAACCCCCCAATTTATGGACAAACACAACACTTTATTGGGCCAGAAGAGACTAACACAATGAGTACAAATCTGGAAAAATTTGGTAGAAATTTCTTTTAAAATTATTTTTAATTTGCCATTCAAACCTCCAGTCAATAACAACCAAAAAAGGAAAGTTGGTTACCTTGGTGTAGTGGGATAATTTTTCAATTTTTTGGGGAAAAGGGAAGAGAGTTCGATCCCTTTTGATGACTAATCTCACGTCTTTATTTATTTTTCAAAAACTGAAATATTCGAGGGAACTAAAATTTATTTCCAGATTTTTTAAATAATTTTAAAAACAATTTTATTTAATTCTTTCATCCCTCTTATTTCGCAATAATTTTTTAAAAAAAATTTCCGGCCCTATCCCGAAAGAAGGGTCGAATCGTTTTTTTCTTTACTTTTTATTACTTTATAAAAATGGTCAATTTTCCTTAAAGTTGATGTATGTTGATGTTTGCTTTAAGGAAAAATGGTGAACAAAACTAAAATAAGTAGTCAAGGGCAATATTTTTCTTTTATTAGAAATGCTTTAGACGAGCTCGTCCGTGTTCGTCCGTGCTCGTCCGTGTTCGACCGTCTTCGTCCGTGTTCGGCCGTGTTCGGCCGTGCTCGTCCGTGTTCGTCCGTCCTCGTCCGTGTTTGTCCGTGTAAATGATAATACAAAAAAATATGAAAAAGTTAATTTCTTTCACTATTTTTCCTTAAGGAAACATCAACATACATCAACTTTAAGGAAAATTGACCATTTTTATAAAGTAATAAAAAGTAATGAAAAAAACGATTCGACCCTTCTTTGGGGATAGGGTCAAATTTCCTTTTATAACGTTTGATTAAAAAAAGGAAATTTTTTTTCTTAAACCGGTTTTTCAAACTATTTTTCTCTAAAAGTTTCCTTTTCTGATTTTTATTAGTCATCAAAAAATCTTCCAAAATTAATACTTTATATTGGACACCAAAACTATTATTTTACCCTCTAATCCAATTAAATTTTATAAAATATTTTACTTAAATCCCCTTAAGTAAAATTATTTTTCTTTCCTAGAATTTAAAATTATTTTGGGTTTTTTTTGAAAATTAGACTATTTTCTCTTCCCGAATATTTTTTTCTCAAATACCCTCTCATTTTTCTAAACTATTTTCTAAAAAATTTTTTCATTAAATTTTTAATTAATTTAAAAATATAGCAGAATCATGGCATCGCCCTCTCTCCGCTGTCCATGAAGAAAATTTTGAAGAGCTAAAAATAAGCACTCCAACAAAACAAAAATTTAAAGGAAACGAAAAAACACAAAAAGAAAAAAGAAAAAAAATTTCAAAAAAATTTCCTCCCCAGCCAACAACAACTTCCTTTCCTTATAAAGAAATGGGAGGAGGAGATGGATGGATGGTGACAAGACGGGGGGAAAATTCTTTTTATTCGTCTTCTTCTTTTGCTTTGAGGAGAAGAAATTTGCCTTTAATTGGGGGAATAATGATTTTTATTTTGTTTATTTAAAAAAAAATTTTTGGTAAATTTACTGGAACTTCGTTTAAATGGTCTGTCCCTAGTATTCCAAAATACGGCCCTGGGACTGGAATGAAGGGATTGAGGTGTCCCCTACCCTTAATACAGTCGGACCTCATTATAAAATATCCCCTTGGTGAAATCGTCTCTTATAAGGAGGTTTTCTTAAATAGAAGGTATCACTTAAGTTCACCTACTCAATGGCTAAAATAGAGGTTATATCTAGTATATGAGATCCGATTGTAATAATATTAAACCCCATTTCCGGTGTGTTAAGTTTAATTAAAAGCTTTTAAAAAATAATTAAATTTAATTCTTTAATTAATCCTTAAATCTTTCCTATAATAATTTTTTTGTAAATTTTTGAAATTTTTTTCTCAAAATACATAAATCTAAAAAATATATAATTTTTAATCCTTTAATTGATCTAAAATAAATTAGAATTAAATATACATTTTCTCTAACACTCTCATCTTTTCCTATACTATTTTCTTTTTCTTTGACATTTTTTAAAATTTTAAGGTAAATTTTTGTTGCCATATTTGTCCCATTAATTTTTTTATTTTCTTTTTAATTTTAAATAAAAATTGACAAATAAAGTTTCTTTTTTTTCTTCCATCAATTACTTGAAATTACAAAAATAAATACATGTATTTAAATTTTAAAAACATATTTCCCCTAAAAATTAAATATTTAATAGAAATCTCGATAATATGTATGTACATATGTATGTCACCCTCAGCATTCTCAATCATACCGACATATAATTAAACACAACGTGTGATCGGGGGCCATATCAGGCCAAAACACACCTCTCGTGCCCGAACTGTGTCGACGTCTCGATAATATATCACGAGTATGAGGTATGGTTGGGGTGACTATTAACGGGATTCCACTTTAAGGAAAATTCTGAAAAATTTTCTAAAAATATTTTTTAGTGGAAGGATAGTTCACCAACAAGACAATTCACCGTATGTTTCGTTCGGTGAATTGTCCATTTATGCGAATTGTAATTTGGTAAACTTTCCTAATAATTTTTTTATTTTCCAGAATTTCTTCATTTTCTATTTTTGTTTTTCAAAAATTTGGCATTTTTTTTTGTTTTCATTTTGATGAAAAATGAACGTCAAAAAATATAAAAAATAAAATGATATAAAAATGCCCTTTTTTTATTTTCCTTAAAGAGATAAATGGTTGTCCTTGGAGACAATAAATAACCAAAAAAAGACGTTAAAATGGTTGCGAGGCATTCTCTCTCCTCAAATTTATTTTTTAAATAAATCCAAAATAGTTTTACATATTTTTTTATTTTCTCTGACTGTTATATTTTTTGTATTTTTCTCTAACATTCTCTTAATTTTTAATAGTATTTTATTGTTTCTCTTACCAGCTTCTTAAGATTATCCCATTTAACAACACTAAATTATCAACTTTAGTAGTGATGAGTTTGGATATACATACAGGGTGACCAGAAAGAAATGGGGCAGCTAATTTATGGCATAACTTTATCCAAATTAAAAATAATTGGATCAAATAAAGCTTAAATGATAGAGAATAAATAAAATACTAAGTATTTTTGAAGTACCCACTTTTTGCTCGGATACAGAGTTGAAAGCACGCGGAAAAATTTTTGATAAAATTTCGCACCACCTTTGGTTGGATTCTCTCCCATTCCCGAGCGAGTGATTGCCGAAGCGACTCCAAACTTTTGTGTTGGTTAGCGCAGACATTTTTGGCAAATCTTTTTTAAAATTTCTGCCTGTCAATCTCTTTTTTATTTTTATCTTTCTCGTTCCTTCTTTCTTCCCCTCTCTCTCCCCTCCCCTTTTTTAAATCTTATTTCCAGCATTCCCCTTCAGCATTTATTTAATTCCTTCAATTTTTAACCAAATAAAAATTTTTTAAATTTTATTTTAAAATTAAAACTTTTTTTTGCGTGGACGGAATAAACGACCATATCTTTGTCGAAACTTGTTAGATTACGTTGATTTTGGTGTCATTCGACTCAGCTCGTCGAACAAAATGAGTAACTCCCCCTATGGTTTTTTTTCAATCACGATATCTCGATCCCCTATGCCGGACCAACTATGTCCACTCCTAGTTCGACTCAGTTTTCCGAGCTCTTTCGAATGATATATAATTTGTCGAAATCGGTTCAGCCAAAAAAATCCCCTAGAAATTATAGCAGAGGTGAATCGGAAATCGGAAGGAAGAAAACGTCGAAAATTTTAATTCCGATTCACCTCTTTTGTTTATAGTATCAAAATCTCCACAAAAAAATGAAAATATTTATTATTATTTTATTAACACTTTTTGGAATTGTTTTGGCTGGAGATGCTGAGGACGGCCTTTCGAAAGTTGGAAGGAAAGTTGATGAATTTGGACAGGATGTTAGTGAAACAGTTAATAAATTGTCTAAAACTGAGGTAAAATAGGGAAAAAAATAAATTAAAAAATATTTTTTAGGGAGGTCAGATTTGGTGTCCCGTGCCGGCTGTGGGCACTCGTTGCCCTGACAGCTCTGTCTTCCATTACTTCCGTTGCTGTGGGACTTTGAATAATGGTAAATTTAGATTAAAATTGACATATAATTATTACAGTCTTACTCCTTTATAAGATGCACCCTTGGGGTCAGAACCTTTTAATGGTGGGTGTCATGTCCGATGTTCATGCTGTGGAAAAATTGTGGATGGGAGATGGAATTGAACCATCACGGAAAGAGCCCAGACCGAAGCACAACCGACTGTGCCACCATCCAACCCATTGCTGGGTTATTTATTTTCATTTATGTTCTTTCTGCAAGTGCGGACACAACAGTGGGGGGGGGGGGTCTAAATTAAAATAGAGGATAACGTTTTTTCCCTTTCTGACTAAAACGTATTTTACAATGAGATGTATCTTGAATAGAAGAGGTATCTGGTATCATGGGTGTATCTTATAGTGAGGTTTATAAGCCAGAGATCGTGTCGATCTCTGGCTCTCGGAGATTGACCTCTCGCTTGGCCATCTCTTTGGTCAAGTGGATAAGAGCGCTGACTACAAAATCTCAAGCTTAGAGATCATGGGTTCGAATCCTTCCATGGATTTTTCTAATTAAATATATACTTTAAAACAAAATAAAAAAAATATTTTAGACTTCCCTCGAATTTTTATAAGGGTTTATAACACTAAAAATGACCTTATCAATTAATTCTTTTAGAATGTTGTCTCAAATTACAAACATGGGCTTTTGTTCTACTCGTAGCTGTTGGCGTTTTGATTGCTTCTTTGATTTTGCTTAGCGTTATACGCTGTGTTTTTTGCCGGCGGAAATAAATTTTGAAAATTGAAGAATTTTTTTAATTTTAATTTTTTACATTTCTTTTAAAACCGCTAAATATAGGCCAAATTAGTGTGTACTGTCTAAACCTTGGAAAAAAGAAAAATGCTTATAAAATTGATAAGATTTATTCTGATTGGGGCAAAGAACCATGCTCAATTGGCCTAGCTTTATTCCAGTTGTATAAAGTAAAATTAAAAAATATTTTTTTTTAAATATAAAAAAAATTTTGTAATTAATTTAAACATAATTTTATTTAAATTTCATGTATGAGCAGTATATACTTATATAAATATAACATATGTAAATGCTAACCGAGCTTATGGTTTAATGGTTAAATGGGATAAACTTGTAGGGGTCGGGGATTCGAACCCTTTTGTGGAAAATTATTTTATAATTAAATTAAAAAAACTTTTTAAAAATATTTTTGGAGTTTATTAGTGAAAGAGGAAATTTATTAGAGCATTTACGGTAATTAAAAATTTGTATGACAAGAATAAAAATATGGCAATACAGACGGGAGAATAATTATTATCTCAAACCCCAATTTTACATAAACTCTTGGGTTAAAAAAATCGTACACGATTCCCCATAGGTGTATCTACATAAAAATGAGGTTCATCTATTTTATTTAATTTCTATGTAAATCCCCCCTCAAAATTCTTTTAAAAGTGCGCTTAAATTGTTGATTGGCAGCAGCATAACAAAGTGGGTTTATTGGCGAATTCATATAACAAAGAATATAGCTAACTGTATATAACGCTTGGAAGCCTTTGAAAAACAAAATTTTTTTCAAACCAAAATTTAAATACCAGCAGAACTACTACAACGTTCACAAAATCCATAAATTGTGGCCAAAACATAAAAAGGAGTCCAAAATAAAGTGAAAGTACCCAAAATAACGGTGATTGTTCTCAAGGCTTTTCTTGCCCGATTTTCAGAACGGGATGAAGAACCCTTTAAATAATAAAAGATTAAAAGAGTTGGTGAGAAATAAAATCTGATGAGAATAGAGCCAAAAATGGTACTTTGGAGAAGATTCTCAACCCCGGCTTCGATATTAAAAACTTATTTGAAGAACTAGATCCAGAAGCATCTCCCCACATAGTAGTGAGAAGTATCATTCAACTTTTTAGCTCTCATCAAGACAAATCGAACGGCTAACCTTTACCTCCACCTCCTTTAGACTTACCTTAGAAAATTTTCTATTGTGAGGTTGTCCTTTCTGTTTTTGTTGTTTTCTTTTCTTTTCACTTTGTGTTCTTACATTTCTTCCCCCACACCTAGCAGCATCTACCCATTTCCTTAATCCACCAATTCCTTCGGTAAAATTTGCAGTTATTTCTCTATGTATATTTAATTGTGTAACTGTTATTACTGATGGACGAATTTGAAGTTGAGGAATTTTGTCAAAAATTGGTAGAGCTTTTTCTTCCTGCATTTCAAAATGGTAAAGATAAAAGATATTTAAAAGCTGTAAAAATTTAGGGGAATCAGGTCTGCCTACATGGGACAAGTGACCGCACGTAAAAATGTTTAAACATGTCATAAATATGGACAAATTATATTCGAAAGAGCTCGTCGAGATGAGTCAACAGGCCCGTAGCTCGACCCTATCAGGTCAGAATACGAGGATTTTAGCCTCATTCGACACATCTCGACGAGCTCTTTCGAATGAAATATAATTTGCCCATACATATTCATGATGTGCGGCCCCATAACGGAAAAGTGCCGCTTACCTTCATTAAATTATCAACATTTGTTTGGTTATTACACCCCCCATTTAATCCATTATTGAAATCTATTGGAATAAATGTTTCTTCTTTATGTTGATTGGGAGACGGCACAGAGTGTGACCGGAAAGAATTTGGGCCAACTTTAGTTGGCATTTTATTTTCTTTTTCTTCCTCCTCTCTAAGGTCTTTAGGTGTAGACAAAGCAGATGACTGTGCTGATTCGTCAATAAAAGGCACTCGATCCCCAAAATCAGGCGAAAATGCCCCATCACCTCCCTCACTTGAATTTTCTCTTTTTTCCAAAATTCCTTCTTCTTTATGCGGGGATAAGGATTGTGATTGTTGTTGTTCTAAACTATTAGATGTTTCGTTGTTTGGACCAAGTAAAGTTAGAGAAGTTGATCTGTTGGGAAATTAAAAAATCTTTATAAGATGACATGATTTATATTATAGACAAATATGAGATAACTCTTGTGGACTAGAAGAAATGGGGCTAGAAGTAAGGTGTCCCTTAAATAGAGGGTATAGTTCAAACACTCACCACTCTAGAGGCTCATTTTTAAAAATTTTGTCTTAAAAAGAGGTGTATCTAGAGTGTACATATCTATTGGGTGGATTGAGATTTTCGAATGTATTTTGTGAAATCCAGATCCATGGTCATTATTAAACACGATAAAAGAGAAGGCAAAATAATCGCTTCAGTTGAAATACACAGTTAGCTAAGCTCCTCTGGCAATTAAGTAACAGTAAAAGAACACAGGTCTGAGTCTTGACACAAGTCCGAGTCTTAACATCAAAAAAATTTCCTCACTTATTAGGTTCAATAATATTTTGTTCTTTATTATTAGCATTAATTGATAGCTTTTTGGGGCATTTTTCTTTTGTATTAAGGCTGTCAGCTTTAGAACTAGCACCATCACTTGTTGAAGAATTGACGCCATTTTTTGTCCTAAGTGATAAAAGTCGGCCATTTTGTATTGCGTTTAATAAACGAGTTGATGCTCTTCTAAATGGTTTGCTGAAAAAAGGAAAAATTTTTTGAACGATTTTTGAACATTTTTTAAGAGAAATGGGAGGTTAGTGTTTTCGGCCGGACAAGTTCTGTTGTAGAACACTACCTCGGTAAATGCCCAGGTTTACTTAACAGCAAAGAGATTTCCTCTCATTTTTTAGAGCGCCAAGGAAAATGGGGGCAAATAAACGCATAGTACCCATTATTCCCTTTACATCTTTGGCGTGACAACTGGACATCCACTGAAGTAGTGTTCTGCAACAGAGAGGATCCTGCTAGGTTACTCAAGATCAAATTTTTATGACTGGATTATTCACACAGGATTCAAACTAAAGTATACACATACTATACCAACGGGGTGTATTTTTATACTCCGACTCCAAAAATCAATCCAAACTCACGTTTCAGAAGAATCCAAAGTTCCAAGAGCTTCAGAAAGCCCAGGGCCAAGTGACTGTTCATCTCTAGAATCAGGCCTAATAGCTACTTCTTGTCCCCCACCCTCTCCTCCCCTCATTTCAGCCAAAATAGCCAATCTTTTTTGTTTTTGATCTGATTTAGATGCTAATTGTTTTGCAGCAGAGTAAATACCATAATAAAGATAGAGCATTAGTATCAATGTTGACCAATAATATGAAAGATACCTAAGAGTTTAGGAAAACAAATTAACCCATTTGATACCTCTTGGAAATATTTGTAGGTGATTCTTTTGAAAATTTTATAGGGCAATATATATGTAATATTGTGGGTATTTATACTTACATTCCAGCATTCAAGTAAGGATTAGTCATAAATTGTACATAACATTCGTCTTCCCTTAAAATACGTCCTTTACCCGAAAACCATCCATAGCCAAAAATTGATATTGAAAAAAGCACTGAAGGCAATACCCAAATAGCAGCAATAATTAAAAGTACTCGACCTTTAGTTCTCCAATTACGATAAGCAGCAGGGTATTTTACAGAAAGATATCTTTAATTATTTAATCGTTAACGTTAATCAAGAATTTTTGAATCAAAATTGACATATAAAAATTTAATTCACAGCTCATCTACACCAGAGGGGTTGATCAGTCTCTTACTGCAAAAACGTTGATAAGGCTTAGGAGGGGGTAGCAAGATTGTTTGGTGGAGGAGCTGCGGAATTGTAATAAACGAAGCTCTAAGGATCATAAGACAGCCTAAACATAACTGAACGTAGAAAATCACAGAAAGCTTATGTAGATCGGAGTTTATAAAATTAAGGTCGCTATTTTCTTGTCGATTTTTGAACATTTTTCGTTAATCAAATTTTGTCACCTAACTCATCTACCCTAAATTTTACCGTACGAGTTGATCAAATTTTTTTCTTTTTTTATTTTTTATAAGTCATTAATTGTATCTACCTATCAGCAGTAATACCCAAAACAGTATAAATTGAGGCTAAACAACAAGCATAATCTACAGAAAGCCATAAATCACAAAGAAAAGCTCCAAAAGGCCAACGTTGTCCGTTAATTAAAAAATATGTATATACAGGTATTCCTTCTAATCCAATTATCTTTTTAAATTAAAAAATAAAAATTAAATTTATATAAACTATTCAATTTAAGTCAATAACAGACATTATAATTCTCAATGAAAAGTAGACTCTTGTCCAGATTACGCGTCCAATGAAAATTTTACGCGTCCAACCAAATTTTATGCATCCAATCACAATTTTTAAGTACCCGGTCCTTCAATTTAGACCAATGACTCTGGGTAAGAAGATATCTCATTCACTTAGATTTTATGGTACTAAAATGAAGAACCGGGTATTTAAAAATTGTGATTGGATTATAAAATTTGGTTTGACGGGTAAACTTTTTTCATTTGACGCGTAAAGTGCCATGGACTCGTAATCTGGACAAGAGACGGAATTATAACGAATTCATCTACCCTTATGTTTTAACGGGAGCGCGAACAAAATTAATTAAATTAATTTAAAAATATATGCCCAACTTATCTACTCTAATTTATAATTGATCAAAAAGTTTAAATCAACTTAAAGAAAATGTTATATACGCAACTCATCTACCCCAAATTATAACGCAAGCGTTGATCAAATTCTGACATAATTCTTTTCTCAACAAAAAATTTTTTTTAATAAATTAAATTATAAAAATATACATATTTATTTTCCCCTCTTTTCTTTTTCCAATTTATTGCTTGTATTTTATTTTTTTAACAAAAAATTTTTCTTTGGGTCAAAAACTGATTGCTAAAAAATTTCCAAAAATTCCTTTGGGATATAAAAATGGACGGAAATAAAAATATAAATTCTGATTTAAAAAATAAAAGGTCAGAAAAAGAACAGAATTTTTATTTTTAATTCTTTAGGGAAATAAAAAAAGTTGTTGAATGAATGAAAGAATATATTTTTGGTTGATGAAAAAAAGAAAAAATAAAGGGAAGGAAGCTATTTTTCTTAATTTTTATTTATGTGTGTAGGAGTCTAAATTAAATTTTGGCCGGCCTTTTTAGATGATGTTTGGGTTTGGATGATGTTTTGTGTTAATGATCTGAAGAAGAACATCTTTGGGGTTGTTTTTGTTCTCTTGTTCTTCCTTTACTATAATATACCGAACTCGTCTACCCCTAATTTTACAGAAAGTGTTGATCAAAATCGTTTATTTTTGAGAAAATTAATTCAATCTGGCCGGCCAAATTGAATTTGGACTTAAACACTTTCAATTCCAAACTATAAATTTATTTAATAAACTCCATAATTCTCAATTTTTTGCAACATAAAAACAAAACATCCCCCCCCCCTTCTAGTCCAGTTTTTACTCGTCGCATATAAAAATCCCCCCATATATATTTTTCATTCCCTCAACTTAAATCTTCCATAAAAATTTTTTCTCGTCTCTTAAACATCTCTCAAGAGAATACTTAAAAAGCTTTGGAATTAATTGCCCATCCATCCCCCTTTGAGGACAATCGATGTTTTTTTAATATTGTCTCTCTTATTTTTGAATAATCTTTTCTTTTCTCTGTTCTTTCCTTCCTCCAAGTTCTTTTGTTTTTATTTTTCGCGCTGCGTGAAAAAACAAAAAAACAATAAAAAATATTTATCGCAAAAATTGACTAAATTTCGGCTTTAAAAACTTCGTACACAACTCAACTACTCCAAGTTTCAACGGAGAAGTTGATCAAAAAAATTAAACAAGAAGGGAAATAAAAAACCAAACTCATACACTACTAACTCACCAAGAACTCATCTACCCCAATTTTGAAAGGGGGGTCCACCTCCCTCTCTTAACATCTCCCCTCATTTTGTCATACAAAATCAAAATGTCCCTAAAGTTTTAACTCTCAAAAGTTCAAATTACCCGAGGAGGTCAACTTCAAATCCTTTGAAAAGGAATCCATAACCGGGTCCCTCATCTTTCTTAAAATTATTGCCAACCTAATCAATTTATTCATCTACCCTACTAGAAAGACTAATATTTTTTTTAATATTTTCCCCCTTTAGCTACTACTTCAGTAGTATATGTTACACTTTTAAGACAAAAATTTTTTCTTGTTTGTCTTAAAAGCGCACAAAAATTTTCTACAATAATTTTTCAATAGGTTAAGGGGTTTTAAAAATTAAATCAGCGATGCTTAACTTGCCAGATCGGACGGATGGGCACATTTACAAACCAGCACGCACGTATTCATAAGATGTGTAAAATTTCAATATAAGATAAAATTAATTCTAAGCCAATTAAAATAGCAAACGTTTTCATACGTTTTAAAGAAAAGCAATTATAGTAAAAATATACGGAAAAAATAAATTAAAGATAAAAAGTGTATTAATTGCTAACGCTTTTACAAGTTAATTGGTATTAATCTCTGTCCAAAGTATAATGTTAGCTTCGACACCCCGATAACAAGGGATTTGGTAGCTACAGCAATGTCATAGCAAGTTTCTTTTACGAATACCCATGCGGTATCGAACATACTTGGTTTATAATACACTACAGAAAAAGTAGGTTTGTATATTTGTTTCCACTCCTTTTCGTTCTCATCATATTCAAACCAAACATGACCACTCGGTTTTAAGGTTGTAAAATTTGAATGAGAAGTTAAGGCAGGGCGTAAAGTATTCTCAAAAGTTTGTGGTTTAGGAGTTCTTCGAAAAAAAGATATTTTGTTCTCTTCGTTCTTTATTATTTTATTTTCACAATAAACTATTTCTACTATTGCAACAAAAATTAATATAAAAAGCATTTTTGATATTACGCAAATAATGTGAATGATCATTTATATAGTTTTTATAAATTTCTATTCATTTTTGTTCTTCAACCTCAACAAAGTCCAAACACTCCAAAGGATAGAAATATTGATGCTGTCGTCCTCCGACAACGCAAACAAGAGGCAGCTGTGGATAAACAAGGTCTATGTGATGTCGAACATAGAAATATTGCCTAATAGTCACACGTAAGTATCCTCGTAATGCAAAAAGACGATCCGCGCCCATCTTAGTCAATTTACTTGGATATACTTCGAACTGAATATGTCTTAAATGATTTGTTACTATAGCCTTCTTTCCCGGCTTCATAGTGTTGTCAGAAAATGTTTTTTGACCAATTCCATTCATGGCAACATCTTCATTTGTCATAGTAGTAAGTGATTGAAGGAATTGAATATTTTCGTTGTATTTTTTACGCATTTCCCTGTGAAGGGATTCTGGTGCACATCCTCCATTAAATTTACAAAGTAATTGAAGTAACGAACCAGTTTTGACGCGCACATGAGGCGGAGGGGATTTTGATGAAAATTTAACAGGTTCTCTAAATTCTGACATATTAGCACTAGTACGAATGTTCATATCCCCGGGTAAAATTTATCTCTAAAAGCTTATTGCTCTTGGCTTATATACCAAGAGGCCCTTTCGCAAACCTCATTCCAGGGAGTTCTCCGTTTCCATTTCTTCTCAAATTTACATGTGCTTTAAACACTACAGCCAAAACAAAAATTAGTAACAAATCGAGGACATAAGCGATTAATAAAAACATATCTTTATTAGGATTTCCTGAAGGACCGATTGAAAGCGCATGAGCTTCATCAATAATAAAACAAGCGTTTACATTTGGAGGGTATGGGCCATGAATCGGGTAAAGTATATTACTATCATTTTGTTTAAAAGCCCAGGTGAGACCGATTAAGGAAATTAGATATAGAGTAAAAATCATTTTTGCTTATATTATTACTAATAGTAGTATTCTTATATACTAGGGAGCATGGCTAATCTTTGGACGAATCTCTTTATAACTGCATCACGACTTTCTGAAGGTATTGAGTGCAGTTTCCTAAGTGTGGAAGAAAAACTACTTTTTTGTTTTGAACGGTTTACAAGGAAACAGATGCAATAATGCCCACATGTATCAGATAATGGAGATTGAATAGAATAACGGCTTTGTTTAACTATTTTAAAGCGATTTAGCATAGATTGACGCATATCACAGTTAGGGGGGTCTCCGAGCGAGTCAAAGTATTCCAATGTGTTTTTTCTATCTGAATAACAAGCAATCCAGTGTTCCCCTACAGTTCCTTTCTCCATAGTATTTGCAATAAAGCAAAAAGGGCTATTCCATTCTATATTTGGAATAGTATTAGATGAAAAAACACCCAGAAATTTATTTTTAAGCGGAGTATAGCGGCTTAATATAGTTTCAATTTGCAGAGTATTCATCTTAAACAGATCCATCCGTACTTAACACGCGATCTGCATTTATGGACAAAACCGAATCGAACTCACCCATAATTATCATTTCATAACCTTCGTCTTTGATTGGCTGATTAAAAATACAACGGATAGTCGTAGTTCCTTGCCTGATTAACTCTAGTCCGTTCGTGTCCTCTAGTGTTGAAGTCATCGGTATAACAAAGAAACAGGAGGATTTAGAAAATTCTCTCATACTGATATCGAGAGTTCTCTGGTCAGTGTTTGGCCAATTATCGAGGTCCATACCCACAAACATATCAACATAAGCGCGAACAAAGTTATTATCAGCAAAATCAAAATCATACGAAACAGCAGGAAATTGGAATCCACCAAATTCTGCAGAGACAGAGCGCAAGTTTGCGTGCTCAAAAGTGAAAGGCGATAAAGCACTATTTCCCGTGAATGCGGGAGAGCTAACAAAACAGATTATTAAGCGTCTCGGACAAGTACTTGTGAACGCCGCATGAGTAATTTCTTGACGTCCTTTTCCCAGGAAAACACTACGGATATCAATTTTTCTAAAAGCATACTTTGCAGGTGTTTGTTCTAGATGTCTAGCAATAGCATTATTTAAAGACATACTCAGATCAACTTGTTTTATTAAAATTCTCATGTCGTGAAGCCTAAGTCGGTAAGTATGCGTGTTTTCTACTAATGCTGCAGTGCTGCGGAATTTTGGAGTATGAATAAGAAATTCATCAGAATTTCTGTAAATGGTCCAGATCACGTCACTTTGTGGAATTAAGAGCTGGTTCTGTCTAGCCATGTCATAATCTAAATGGGAAAACATTCTACATAATTTACCTTTGGCAAAACGAGAAACTCGAGATTTAAAGCCAGAGCCCTCGGAATCATCCTTATCCACTGCGTCTTTATAATAAAGCGCCGCTTCATATAGGCCCTTACTTACTTCTTTATCGGCGCCAAGTTCATGCAGAATTATACAGCGGTATGCATAGTGGATGCCAGAATCATAGCACTGAACCCCATTAATTGAAAGTGTAAGGCGACGAATCCATGTAAGCCCTAAATATTGAGCAACCCCTGTAAATTTATCACCTTTCAACTCGGCAGCTTCACCGTCTGTGATAGGAACCCACTCACCACTAGTTGTATCTTTTCTTTCAAGAGATAAAACCAAACTTAGAAAAGTTTTGCTCAAATCAAGATAGAGCGAATCACCAAAATATCGAAAAACAAACGGTCCTGCAGATTGGTTGAGAGCATTAAGAGGTAGTATTTCTTTGTATGCCGAACGCTGTATACCGACATTTGTAGAGGGTATAGAAAAGAAGGTCAGGCGATTATCAACCCCTTCGGAACTATCTTTATCAATTTTCTTTAATGTGGACATTTTTTACTTAGAAAGAATTTGTAATTATGCTATACTTATATACTCAGAAATTTTCTAAACTAAGTTGATCTCTATGGCGCCGTCCTTTTTTCTCTAGACTTTCTGTAATAAGTTTTGGCTTCCGTTTCCTTTTACCTTTTCCGCATTGCTGGAGCTTTTTCCCAACTTTTTGAAGACCCTCGCTACCGTGCTGCTTCAAGGCATCACTAACTGATCGCCCTTGTGAAACATCTTCAAGCACATTTTTACCAACGTTGATTGCTTCTTGGCCTGCACTAGAAGCGAAATTTTTAACTATTGGCATTAGAAAACGCCCTACAGTACTGAGCACTCCAAAACCTCGTTGATACCTTGTTCCCTGAAAATATCGACTTTCATCTGATATGTCGGTTTTTGCCCCACCATCTTGTGATGCTAGAAAAGGACCCCAGTCTATCTTATCTAGATTTACAGGTACATGTGTCATTTTTAAAATAGAGAGCGTTGAAAATGTAGTGTTAGTATACAGGTTCCCCAATGGAATTTTACTAGTTTTCCTGCTAGGGTACGAATTTCAATAGTAATGTCTGGATGACGTTTACCTAATATACGATGTTGATGTTCGGTCATATATACTTCGGAAATACTATCACCAGGCTTACCAGTGAGATTCACAACACGTAATAGAGGAGCAGTTACGTTTCCAATTATACTATTTTCAACGAGCCTTGGCGCATAAACCAAAAATTGCCGCACGCCCCCCGAGATATCAGGCATATACTTTGCCACTTGTCCACTATGAACTTTCTCAGAATTAAAACCAAGAGTATATGCTAATTGACGACTTAATTGAATATATTGCACATTTCCTTGTAAGAAGACATGGAACCTCTTATGCAATTTATCGAAGTGTACTGAAACCCATTGATATTTTGGATCGGCTAGTTGTATATTGGAAAAGCTAAGAAGCATTTTTAGATATTCAGGAGGATAGCCATATTTAGCAAAATGCATTTTCTTTACATTAGGATCCGAATCATCAACTCTTATTGTTAACTTTTCTTTGTGAGGTTCTGCTTTTTCCTTTTGGCCTGGAAGCTCTTTAGGTTTTGTTTTGTCTTCGCTTGACACACCGCCAAGTCCAAAGAAGCTTTTCCATGAGGAGGGATGGTGAGGAGGCTCTCCAATTAACATTTCAGGACGGGGAAGAGAAGGCCGCTCCTCTGTATGAATTATTTCATCTACTTTAGGCTGCACAATATTTTCAAGTAAATTTGCGGTTGATGGTGGAATACTTACAGGGTCTTCATCTGCTAATGGAGGTGCCCATTGCTCATCCTTATCGTAAATTGTTTGAGATTCCTGCAGAGTCTCTTCGCGTGTATCAATTTCTTCTGTTTCTTCTTCGATAATCGTTGGTTCAACGTTCGCCTCAATATTTTCTTCAATATTTTTTTCTTCTGGTAATGGAGGTGTCCATTGATCTTCGTCCTCATCGCTTATTGGTTTCGATTCCTGCGGAGGCTCTTCTCTTGTATCATCTTCTTCAGTATCTTCTATTGTTTCTTCATGTAACTCATTACTTTCTTCTGGTAACGGAGCTTCCCATTGCTCTTCATCATCATCGGTTATTGTTTGTAATTCATGTTGTGTATCTTCTTGCTTATCTTCTTCCGCAGTACCTTCTTCGATAATCGTTGGTTCTTCGTTCGTCTCAATATTTTCTTCTTCTGGTAATGGAGGTGTCCATTGCTCTTCGTCTTCATCGGTTAGAGCTTCATTATTATCATGCTCCTCAATATTTTCCTCGATATTTTCTTCTGGTAATTTTTCATTTTCATCTTCAATATTTGAAGATACAGGAAATAACGAAGCATCTTCTTTCGCAAGTTCTACGTCAACTTTACCAATAATTTCTTCTGATAAACGTTTTTGCCCTGCAACAGCTTCTTCAACCTGACTAGCTGCTTCCTTTACCTTACGTTCTGCGGCCTTAGCACGATCTGCAGCTTTTCTTGCTTCTGAAACATCACCGCGGGTTTCTGCAGCTTTAGTCTCTAGTTGTGCTTCCGAAGCTCTTTTTCCATACTCTAAACATTCCTGTGTCCATTTATCAATTGAAATTTTACGATTAGTTAACAATATTAATTGAGATTTAACCCATTCAATAATATTTTCAGGTGTTTTTCTTAAGTATACAGTTTCGCCCGTTTCTTTTAAAGTAATCACGCTATCTTTCAATGCATACTTAAAGCGCGCATTCTGCCAATATTTTTCACCAAGTTCCATATTTATTTGTGCTTGCTCTGCCAACTCTACACTATTTCTCCATGCTCTTGTAGCGGCACGAACGGCCATTTCCATTAAAACTTTTTGATCATCAGTTAATAATGGCTTTTCATCAGTCTCCTTCACATATGAAAGAGGAGTTATTTTCCCATCTAAAGGAGTTTTGTCATTAGATTCAAGGTGTTTTTCTTCATGTGTTGACACTGGAGTCTCAGGAGTGGGCGGAGCTTCGATTATTGGACTTGTCATGGGAGTGGGCGGAGCTTTGATTATTGGGCTAGTCACTGGGGTGGGCGGAGCTTCAATTATTGGACTTGTCACCGGAGTGGGCGGAGCTTCGATTATTGGCCTTGTCACTGGAGTGGGCGGATCTTCGATTATAGAACTTGTCACCGGAGTGGGCGGCGCTTCGATTATAGGACTTGTCACCGGAGTCTCAGGAGTGGGAGATGACTTAACTGGGGGCTCAGGATTGAGCGTAGCGTCAATTATAGGACTAGTCGCAGGAGTTTCTTCAATTTCATTAGAATTTTCTTGATCCTTTTCAACAAAACTTTCTTTTGCAGAATCTGTTGTTTCTGATTGTTGAATAGACTCAGGCACGAATGGAGAATTGGACATGAAGTTTTTAATTGCATTCATTATTAAATCTTTCTGATTAGTTTGTGGCTCTAATCTAACCGTCTCAACAGAGCTTCCCGCAACCGTAGATACATTTGGAAGTTTTGCGCCCTTAATTTCCGTATTTAAATATTTTATAAATTTATAAGCACGGTCCTTTGGCATATCAAAATAATCTTCCTTTTCCAATTGTTGAGTGATAGTCACTAGAGAGAAATCAACCTGCGGATTCTCATGCTCATCCTCTGTTTGTGGAGTTGATTCAGGGGTTATTTCTTGACTATTGACAGATACAACTTTCTCTTCAGCTTGATCGTCCCTCGATGGATTCATAAATTCTTTAATAGCCTGTTTGACTCGCTCCATTTGATCGGTATACGGACGAAACCGAACCCTTTCTATACCATCAACTGCAAGAGGGGCAGGGCTAATAGGAGGTAATCGAATTCCTTTTTTGCCTAAATATTTCATAAAATTAAAAGAGGTTTGCTTTTGCATATCGAAATAGCCATTCTTAGCCAATTGCTCAGTAGGTTCTAAGGGTTGTTGTGAAACAATAAATTTATCAATAACTTTTAAATAAAGAGATTTTTGATTTGCAGGAGGCAAAAGACGAATATTTTTTCCTCCTTCTCCTGGACTCAAATTTGTAAGTTTTGGACTAATTGCCTCATCCTCTTCTGATAATAGCTTGATAAATTTATTGAGTTCATTTGTATAAAGATCGAAATAACCATGTTTATCATACTGTTCTTTTATAGATTCGACAGAACGCCTTTTACGAAAATTCCCATAAATTCTTTTTTTATTCTCTTCAAGCCTTATTTCCTCTCGTTCGCGATCCAATTCCTTTTTCCATACATCAAGCAAAACTGCATTAATAGCCTCTTCCAATGCTTCTTCTGAGGCAAAGGACAAATCGGGTATCTCGATACGAATAGGTAAAAGTTCATTTCCGTATCTTCGAAAAACGGTTATTGATTCTTGTTCTTCGGAATCTCCGGCCAATGAAAAAGAAAACGGATATATAATATTAGATAGTGCAACAGTCCAACTTGAATCCAATTCAAGAGTATCGGGCATTCGAACAGTAAATTTAGAAGTGGTATTTCCTTCAACCCCTCCTGTATTTGAGGGTAATATAACATAAAAAGAGTCCATATTTATCTTCTAACAATATCGCTATCGTTAATCCAACTATTAAAATTATCGTTATATCCTATCCAACGAACAAAATGTTGCTTAATACCTTGACGTGTACGTGTTTTTAAAATTTCAGCAATACGGTGAGTTGTATCTTCTTGTGTGGGTACCAATTCTTCTCTATAAAATATCCCTTCAATTAAATTTCCTTCAAAATCTTTTAACTTATATGTAATGGGCGATCTATTGTCGTTTTTAATATGTACGCGAAACAATTCGTCAGTGTAGTTGGGTAAATATCCCTTTTCAAATTTACCTTTTTCTTTAGTGATACGAACAATTTTCCCTGGCTCTAGTATTGAGCTTGTTTTAGTATTTTGTATATTTTTAGGATACTTATATAGTCTGTTAAAAAGTTCCCCAGCATTCTTAAACGTAACAGAATTTGGAGTTACACCTGTGATTCGATTTATACTTGCATTTATTCCTGAAACAATTTTTTGAATAACATCTATCCAACGTAGTGTATTTTGTTCGCTAAAGTATCTATATAATCGCTCTTTGATAGTACGGTTGGCCCTTTCTGCCATTGAAGCATGCACATCTGGACTATAAACTACTCGTTTATTTATATCCTTCTTTTTAAAATATTCTTTCATTCGTTTCGCTTCAAATTCTAACCCTCGATCCGTATATAATTTATGGGGAAGTATTCCTTTTGAAAGTTTAAAAATATTTTCAAACGCACCAATCATATCCTCAGAACTCTTAGATTTGGCAGGCACCGCATAAATTTTTCTACTTAGTACATCAATACAAACCAAAAGATATTTGTACCCATCATTATATTTAGCTAACTGATCAAAGATTGCCAAATCCGCGTGCCAATCTGTGTGCAAACCGCTTGGTCTAGTGGCCATTCTAGGAAACTTTTTTCTTAGAGGCCTATGCATTGTGTACACTCTCTGCTTATGAAGAAAATCATAAACATATTGAAATTTTATTTTTGGGTATTTACGACGCGCTTCTTCATAGACCCGATTTATTCCAGCATAGGAGGCGGGTGAATTAAGTGAATAATATATTTTTTCTAAGAAGGTATCTAAAGCTTTTCCCATATTTGTGGAATAAATTTATTTTTTCTTCTTACTAATCCTGGTGAATTTATAGGCAAGACTTTAACTAAAACTCTTTTTCTTCTTTTCCCGCTCCCTGATTGATTATCGGTTGAACTACCTTCATTAGTACTTTCTCCACGTGTCTCTTTAATCATTTCTTTCACTAATGGGTCCTTAGAAAGACGATTAAAAAGAAAACTGAAACCTTTTGGGGGAGATGATGTCTCGCCCTTTACATATTCGAGAACATCTGTGAAATTGCTATTCTTTACAAGTCTTCCAGGGACATTAGACTCAAAACTCCCGTTCTTACTTATTCTGAATTTTTCTGCGTTATCTTTTACATAATTATCCAATTCTGTGGAATAGCGTGTTGCAATAATACCTTTGAATTTGGAAAAAGGAATTGCGCTTTTTCTTTTTGTTTGTGCCCGCTTAGGAGTAACTTCAGATTCAGACGGATATTCGGAGGTAGAATTCGGTTGAATTTTGCTGGGAACTAACTTCGGTTTTGGCGTATTAGCGATGTTTTCCTGCAAGTATGGTGCAACTTCTGGAGAAGGTTTGCCTTCATCGATAATAACTTTTTGTGGGCGATTTTCCAACGCATTCTTGAGCTGACGCCTCTTCTTATATAACCAATTATATTTCTTTGCTTTTAAATCTTCCGAAATTTTTGGGTTATCGAGGGTTTTCATAATATCTACATCTGTTTGTGTCTTCTCTTTTTGTAGAAAGTCACCACCTTTAATCATGCTTAAAAGCGTAAGATATTCGCTCTCAGGCACCATAATCATTTTCTTTGTATGTTTCATTCTTGAGAGAATTTATGAATAATGTGTTCAGCTAAAGCTCCCAAGACGGGTACAAGTATTGCGGCTAGAGCGGCACTACCTCCTTGTTGGATTCGATTTCTGGCACTATTTTCAGTACGCGTCCGAGCGATGGCTCTATAGAAATCAGCAAATTGAGCTAATTTTCTACGTTGTCTAGTACTCAGGATGAAATTGTGCTTCAAAATATTAGCACAAATTTCAACAATAGCTAAAATTTGATCTGCGCTTGCTGAAAGAATAAGAGCGTTTTTCTTTTTATCTGAAGTAGTTTTTGATAATTGTTTAAGAAACGCAAAATTATTCTTAACGTATGGGCTATAGTTATACGTGGGCATTTTTATTTGTAGCATTTTTGAGTACTTATATATTACATAGGCAGATATATAGTAGTTTTTTCTCCAGGAAAAATTTTTGTAGATAAGCGCATATTTTCATCGGTGCTAGGATGCATGTTTATTAGTAGATAAGAAAAACGTTCCGATGTTGCATCTCGATAGGCTTCAAGAAAATAATTAAGCATTTTTGGGAAAAGCTGCGAGCCGAGTGTCCGTACTTGTAGAAGACCTTGAGGGTTTTTTGTTAAAAGAATGTAATGGGCATTTGCTCTTGCAGTCTTTATATCGCGTCCATATAGGGATTGAGTTACAAAAATCACACTTACGCCCCAATTATGTGAACCTCTAGTAAAAAGTAAATCTAGAAAATCATTTGGAATATTAAGCATTAAGTCATCTAGAACTAAAAGCTGATGCTGCTTAATTAGTTCAGATTCAGGAACCCCATTATAAGTAGTGATTCCCATTTCCTTCAGCTTAAAGACAGTTTCATTAATTTCTCCAAAACAATATAATATTTTTGAAGGAGAAGGATCAATAAGTTGGTCAGAATGTTCAAGAAATTTTAATAGCCATTGAGTTTTGCCACTTCCTGTGGCACCCGAAATTATCATAGTGAAAGGAGCTGTGAACATTTTTTATTTAACAATAAAGTCTTGAAATTATTTATATAGGACCTTAAAATGTATCAAAAAGCAATTATTCAAAACGTGGTATCTACAGCTAGTCTGATAGAAAGTAACAACAAATTAAATCTTAATAATCTTGCAGCTAATATTCCTAATGCTAAATATCGTCCTGAGCGCTTTTCTGCACTAACAATAAAGATAAAAGAACCAATAACTGCTACTGCACTACTTTTTGCTAATGGAAGAATAGTATGCGTCGGTACAAAATCAGCAAGGGACTCGGAAACCGCAATTCACCATTTTGTTAAAATAATTTCCGCAGCAGCCAAATTATTCATAAATATGCACAATTTTAGAATTCAGAATATAGTTTCTTCGTTTACATTTGGAGGATTCATAAATTTACCAGGTATATTAAGTATTGATTAAAAAATAATGTTTAGCATTGTATGATTCGATGCGGTTCGCTCCACCCTCATGGCTGGCTAGGCACATATCGTATAATCCTGAATTTTTTCCTGGGATGTGTCTAAGACTGAAGGAATCTCACACAGTTATAATTATCTTCACAACTGGAAAATGCATTATTACTGGAGCACAATCAGAAGAAGAAATTTATTCAACACAAAATAAAGTTTACAATTCAATTTCAATGTTTTTGAAAAAATAAATTAAAAAATACTTTTGTTAATTTCGGTTCGTAATTCCATCAATAATTCACCAAGTTTGTTCTCTCCCTCCCAAATACCTGGATCATTCAGAATCGGGCTTTTATGGCTTAATCCATTACTCCAATAAAGATTTGATGCTGATGCATGTGTAATGAGTCCGTCTCCAGTTGCACGTAACTGATTGAAGAGTTGTACATTCTGAGTAAATTTGGCCCACAACCCTGTGTACATTACCTAGAATTTTTATTTAATGCCTTGCATAAAATTAATCCTTGCCTTATCTTTGACTGAATCCCATTCATTTCTATTATAATTTTTCACACGCGTTCCAATTCGTCTTATAGCCAATGGATTATTAAGCATAAGCACCTCAGCAGCAAGTTCCAAATCCATAAAAAATCTAGCCTTTTGCCAGATGAAATACTGTTCAATGGAAGAGAATGAACGCCCAAGCAAAGTAAATGTTGTTATAAATCGGTTGTCGAATCCACATCTGGGAGAATTGAAAATAAATATATTTTGTTTTTGTGCCCCAATAATTTCTTCAGGAGGCAAAGAATTTTGTTCATGCTTCAAGTTAAGGCGTTCAAGCATAAGTGATGTTGTTTCTTAAATTATTTTTATAAATTTTCGATTTAAATGTTTACCAAGATTTACGTCACTGATCATAGTGATTCTAAAAACTGAAAACATGTATTAATAATCGATAGAGATAAATGTATAAAACAGATTTATCTAAAGTCACTGATTGAACAATTTTATTCTTGGATAATAAACATTAAAATTAATTTCCAGTTTGTTTATCGATTTCGACAAAGTCCAAGCACTCGATTGGGTAATAGTATTCATGCTTTCCACCACCCGAAACGCATACAAGTGGAAGATGAGGATAAACAAGATTGACACGGTGTCGAACATAATAAAATTGACTTAAAATATAAAATAATCGAATAAATAAAATACCGAATTGTTATTGATAAATATCCTCGAAGAGCAAACATTCGATCAGATCCCATTTCCGTAAAATGTTTAGGATACACTTCAATAAAACGATTTTTAAGATGATTTGTTATTAGACATCGCTTTCCAGGAAGTATACTGTTTTCATTAAATTCCTTTTGTCCAACACCGGCTTTCTTAACGTCTTCAAGAGACATACTTGTTAGTGATTTTATAAATTGCAAATTGTCGTTGTAATTATTTCGTATTTCACAATTAAGCATTTCTGGTACGCATCCTCCATTGAAGTCACATAGAAGGTTGATAAGTGGTGTAGTCTTTATGCTGTTAGAATTTATTGATAATTTCTCTACCATCATTGTAGTGAGTTCTTAACGTTTAATTATTATCTAAATGGGAAAATTAATTTACCTAAATTGTCAGCCATTTGAATAATTAATAAAAATCAAATCTGTAATTAGGTAAGCAAATCTTTAAGTAGATTTTAATTGCAAAATGTTAAGATATTTTTTGTATAAACAATAATTTTAAAAATTTTTTAAAATTTATTCGAAATATTTTATTCGGTTGGATCAATAAGCGGTTCACCTCTGTATCCGTAAGGATAACAATCAAAATTGGCATCAACTATTCCCTTGTCGTAGATTGGCGCATATCGTCTAAACTTTGATTTTTATAATTATTATAAATATATGATACCTTTTTTGTGATCTGCTTGTAACCTCCCCTCTACGCCAACTTGGCTGAAAATGTGTTCTTTCCAAAATGACAGGTTCTTGTTCCTCCCCATAAGCTTCAACCATTCTCTGAAATATTTTTGAAATTTAGAAACGATCGAAAAATAACCTTGAATTGTTCAAAGTCTAGTGGAGAATCAACTTTGTCCCAACAACCACGGCATTTTACAATAAATTTTATATCACCACTATTTTTGTGCTTCATTTTCATGGCATACTGGAAAATTTACGATTGTTAAAATATGTTTGTATACCTGCTTGCACCCTCCAGTATAGAATGCAATAATGTTCCATTCACCATATTCGCGATCCATCATCCCTAGCATCTCACCAACGCGAAAGGGGGGAGGTTGTCCACGGCGATGCACGTAAAAGCAGCTATCCGTGTCCGTATAAAGCAACTTGCATTCCTTTTCTTTAACTATTTTTTCCATATAGTCGTAAAGCATTATTCTGGCTTTTGCCGTTGTAATTAGTGCAATCGCAATATTGTATTTGTCATGTGGGCGTACAAATTCTCGTCGATGCCTATATGGAACGGAAAAAAGATTTGGAGCAAGCATTTCCACAGCCCCGAGCTCAAGTTTTGGATCATTAAGAACAGTGTGAAGCTCCACAGGGGAACTAGTTATACAATCCTAAAAATTTTTGAATGACAGATTTATATGGAAAAAACCTGTGACAAGTTACACCTCAGTGCCCATCGGCCCCACCTAAATTAAAAAATGACACACATTAAAAAGTATTCTCACATTGAGTTGTTGCATGTCTTTGCAAGGTAGCGCATTCCTTCGTTTCTTTCAATCCGTGATGGATCTAAATGTATTCCATATACACTCTGGTTTTTTTCAATAAATTCTCTTTTTCTCTGTTCCTCTAATTCAGTATTTTCAGGTACAAACACACTATTCGGCCATCCACTCGCCTGTATTGTTTTTATTAAGTCTAAAAATAATTTTTACCTCAATTTTTAGACGCATCATATCTTGAACATAGGGCCTCAACAAGGTGTCTGACCACTTTTCCCAATGATAAATGCTGTAAACCTTAGTTACGCGATATCCCTGCTTCAAAGCAAGTTCAAGTTCTACCGAGCAAGTAGTACTAACAAATCCTCGTTGCTCGTCTGTGTGCGGACACCATTTGTGACCAATTTCTTTGTTATATTTACTGTTTGCCCGTATTGCCACACCTGGAGATATTTCCACTGCACAACGATGACAAAGATGAAATATCTGTTTATTAATGATATAAAATTTTAGAAAATTTTTACCAATTTTCCGTGAATTCGTTCTGGAATTACTGGAAGATACAAGTCATCTGGCGGAATTATGAAGAGCTTGAACAATCCTCTATATGGATGTAAATCTTCAGGTTTAGTCCAATTCACATCCTTATTTAATTCCAAAATATTTGGATGTCCTAATAAAAATATAATTTTATTTAAATATAGTTTAAATTTACCTATAGGATAAAATGCATAAAATTCACTGCAGGATAAAGGCTTACAACATCAAAACAAGAAATCTCAAATTCGTCTGATCCTTCTAAATCACATTTTAGAGCCAACGGTCCAGTTCTTCCCCCCTTAATTTAAAATTAAATACTACATTTCAATTAATTCATACGTGAAAAGCATCCCTAGGATACAGCGGGCCAATATCTGGCAATGTATCAAAAAACAGAGACATTTCTGGATCCTCTTCAAGTTGCTTCATAACTTCACATTCCCATACGGCAGTAGTCCAAATTCCCTCTTCATTCAATAAGCCAACACGTTCATAAAGTTTATCTTTATTATACAGCGCTGTCTTTCCATTTAAACAAACTTCATGTGGGCGGTATAAACTTTGAAACAATTTATTTGAAGAAGTATTAAAGTTACCATTCATGTCCGTGCCATGCACATCCCAAAAATTCAATAGCTTGGTCTACTCCTCCAATGTTTTTAATATACCCGTCGAGACGCAAAATACTTCCATCGGAAACGCGCACCCTTTTTTCTCCTTCTGGACTTTCTTGATGCTGAACTTGAAGACCTGTCTTGTGAGAAAGCCAGCGTAGAAATTTTAAAGCAATTGCTGATTGATTTGAATCCCGATGATAACCATTATCGGGAATAATCCCCATTTGATTTTCTTTCAAATAGTTTATACCTTAAGATTTTTCTTAAAATATAAGTTTTAAATCTTACAAAAATGACGAATACACGCGCTGGCAATTGTCATAGAGTTAACAAGTACGTCATCTCGCTTGGACGGCTCCGTAGCTAGTTCAAAGAAAAGGCGTTGAAGTTTGACGAGAGCATGCGCTAGAATACGCACATCTTGTTGACAATATTCGACAATTTGTTCACGAAGACAAAATGGTTCATTTTTAGATTTTTCATACCATTCTTCAAATTTTGCTCTTCTCTCTTTTCCCATCGAATCTGGGTAATAATAATGTTGATCAGGTAATCCATCAAGACGAACATTCATATTCTTATTGAAATTCCATCCATGAGGGAAAAAGGATTTTCCTCCTTCATCTATTTCAAGTGCAAGTGCTTTTGGGAGTTGTTCCAATTTAAGCATTGTCCAGTTGAACGAATCGCGAAACGAAATGAAAGGAAATCGCCTTCTTTGTTTCTTAATTAGGACTTCATAAAGCTTGTTTCCTGTTCTAGTAATTTTTGGCTCAATTCCAAAATGTTTGATCAATTCACCCAATAGTAGATGCATATCATATCGTCTGAAATTAATAATGAGAAAATGAATATAAGTAAACCAAACCCCCCATAATGAGAAATGGCATATGTTTTCCATGATCGCTCATTCCCCAATCCATTAATAATCCATTCCAAAAATTCGCGCAAAGGATTTGAAAACTCTGCAGCCGTCCATGTTCTCATCCTCGGGGCCCCTATACCGCAAGTTTTACAAATACCCGTTCGTTCATTTTTCCAATTATCATTTCTGATACATCGTGAACACATCAATAATGCCTAAAAATTTTCTATTTTTTAGATGAAATATTAAATACCGATACACAGTTCACATGATGTATCTGGTAGTTTTCATCTGTTGGGACGGAACTAAGAGGCATTAAAGCATTGTTTTGCAGCTGTTTCCACTCTTGCTCATTTCTTGTCGGAGATATAAGTTCACATTCGAAGTCGAATACAATCTAAATTGAGCAAATTTAAAAAAGAAAAATTAAATACCAATAGATATTCATGCTCCTTTTTTGGTACAATAGGCTGCACATAACATCGTTCTTCGCGTTTGTGATAAGAACGACAGAGGTTACAATAGTGTATGAAGCAAACATGTCCCTTGTTGTTGTTATCCGCGGTAAGTTCACTATCATCTGTAGACTCACTGTCTGATTTTTGTGTGACAGCCGAATCTTTCTTAGCGCGGTAAATATGTCCGCATTTCTCGCATCTAAAAATTTATGTTATTAATTTTTTAAGTGGAAAAATACCTTTTATAAATCTTGCATATACCCTTTTCTATATGTCTTTTAAAGCAATCAGGATTTTTAAAGGTGTTTGCACATTGTAAACATTTTTTTGAAAAGCCTTCAATCACCTTGCATGGGAATCCAAAGCCAATCCCACAACATCGAGGGCATTTAGCAATACATTTATTTCGATGTGCATATTTCTGTGTGTATGGCGCCTCACAATCAATACAATAATATGAACCAAAGAGCGCATTCAGGTTTCTAATCCCATAATAATGTTCTCCTTTTAAATATAGAGCAATCTCGTGTTCAGCCCTTTCAGATCCCTTCCATATTGGCCGGATTCTTCCTTGTTCGCCGAATACCGAAATTCTGTACTTTCCAGGAAAACTTAAATCCAGAAAACGTTGTATCAAGGGAACATGTTCTTCAACAGTGTAATGAGCAGCGTAAGTAGGATAGCGAATTCCATATCTTGGCATTTGCTGTAGCATTTCTTTAATTAATAGTGTTCGCCCGCTTTTTGCTGCCTTATTTTGACCGTTAACGAGCCTTTGAAATTTTTTATTCTCAACTGTAGTCTTTTCTAGATTGACATGCTTTATTTTAAGCTGAACAGCAAGAAGCAGACAATGAATATTCGCTGGAGGGTTAAGGTTTTCGTTATGGACCTAAATATTCAACTTTTAGTTAATATAAAAAAGTTTACAGGTATCAGATTGTTTAGATCAACTCCTTGCTGAATTTCTCTCGATCTCCTTCCCGTTCCTCCCTCGCCTTGTTTTATTAATTCAAGTGCCTCATCATGAGAAGGCCCCATAACAATCTAAATCAAAAAATATATTTATAAAGGAATAATATTCACCTCAATATGTATGGGCTGGCTATATAGGGAAGGTCTCCCCATACGTTTCCCACTCTGGTCGACGGCATCAAATTGTTCCATAACAACTTGAGGGGTATTTTGTGCCAGTCCTCTATATGGTATTTGAATGGGTTTTTCAAGAACGGAACTTCTTATAATTATTGAACATTTCTCAGATTTTTCACCCGCCGCTTTGTCGGCCTTTGCAATAAAATGATCTATCAAATCTTCTAATAGTTTATCGCTGCCATTTGGAGCATTATCGACATTCCTCACTGTGAATACGGTTCTAAAATTTTAAATTTTATAAAAATATTTTTAATAGACCTGAAAACTCCTATTTTAAATTTTGAACTTTTGATGTTCTCTGATACGGCTTCTTTATAAAAGTGATTTATGGAATAATTTCCAAAATTTCTTTCATTCATCTAAAATTCTAAAAATTTTTCCATTATTTTTTTAAATATTATTGCGCAATTAACGCTAAAAATTATTTTAAACGATAATATTTTTTAATTTATTTATTAGAAAAACAACATTTGGTTAAAAACTATCGCTTGCTTGAATATCTTTTACCATTCATCTTCTTCTGGTATCTTGTCCGTAGTAGATAAATAATTCACAGTATCAGGCATAAATATTGACACATTGTCTTGGATTGTGCTTGCCGATGTGCCCTCGCCTCCACGTGCTAAATCCTGACCTTCTGGTGTCTCAATATTAAGTTGAGATTCCAAACGTTTAGTTATGTCGTTCATTATTATGACAGGAGAATTTTCTAAAAATATGAATTACTTTTAAAGCTGAACAAGATTAACTACCTCTTTTCTTCTTTGAGGGTATATAATTTCTGTAGCTGCAAACGTCTATTGCAGATTGGAGATCAATTTGCCCCCAATATTTGCTATTTGTATGCCCTAGCGCATAATACAATTCATTTTTGACGACGTCAACAATGGCCTTTAATAAAATTTTCAAAAATTATTTCAATAAAAACCTGTCTTCCCATTGCGTGTCTTTCCTTCAAAAAATGCTCGTGTATTTTGCTTAATGAAATTTGCGGATATCTATTACGCTGATGTTGAATAAATGCGTTGTAAAGATCCGACTTAAGCTGTTTTTCGTCATACTCCGCATCGAAAAGTTGCTCAAGTTGTCTAGGCAGACGTCTACGTTTCTCCTTGAGCTCCTCAAGTGCAATATCCGCTACATGTTGATCCATCTGAAAGTTAACGTAAAATTAAAAAGAATAAACGAAACCTTTTATTTCACAAAAGAGTTGTACAATTTGAGTAATAGATTTGTAGCTATAAAGAATTCCGAAGATGAATTAGTAAATTAAAAGATAAAATTCGATCAAACGAATGAAAAATAAAATTTCCATTAAAAAATAGCCTTTATTCAACAAATGTTATAGTTATCAATATTCATTTTTTCTTATTAAAATTGCTAAACATATCAAAAGTTTTCTGTTGGTAGTCCTTATTGATGTCTTTACAGGCCTCGCAAATCTATAAAATATTAATTATTTTCAAAGAATTTTTTTGAAAATATACCATGAAACTCAGCTCATATTTTTCCCCGCATTTTTGCAAAAACATGTCACTGGCCAAGGACCTCTGAAGACTAATACATTTATCGCACTAAAGTTTTGAAATAAATCGTAGTTAATATGACATTTTTACCTGATGCAAAATCCAACAATATTTCAATAAGCTCAATAGTTTATAATCCGTTCCTGAAGCAATATTTGCGCCGCGTCGAAAGTACAACACACCGTCAGCTTAAAATTTTTCAATAATTTCAATTTTTATAATTTTCTTACATTTTGAAAAGCTGGACGATTGTTCCTCAGGCGTTTCAAACATTTCCTTGAAACCTTTTAAAAATTTTTAGATTATTTGATAATTATGTAATACCCCAAGAAAGAGCATAAAATGACCCTAGGTTTATATTTTTGTCGAGGTCCTCTGCGCACAATTCGAATGTAAGCATAAGATTTATAGCATTTCCTGCTTTGTAAAGAAAATTTTGTCGTTTCTTCTGCGTTTCTCGACAGTCGTTGCATTGGTGAATGAAAATTCCTTGGCGCGGTATTTTAAGCACCTGAGCACGCTTCAGCAATCCCTCTGGAACTAATGTTTCGGCACGTTGTTTACCTAAAAAATATTTAAATAAAAAATAAATTACTTACGTTCGATTCGCTTTTGCTTGTATTCCTCTTCATCATCGCCCAAAGAAATAACATCATTAGGATCTGGGTCATCAGACTCGTCCTCTTTTTCATCATAATTCATCATTGCATCAAGAATAGCCTTAGGATCTTCTTCCTTTGAATGTTTTACATTTTGATCCTTTGCACGTTTGATAACTGACTAAAATATTAACTTTAAAGTTAAAAACAAAAATTTCAAACCTCAATGACTTCATCATAAGTGTCTCGATGAACATTTTTAATCATTTTATTTGGCTTGCTTTGTGCCTTCTTTGCAGTCGGTGCCTTGATTGAAGAAGACCCCGAACTCAAGGTTGAACTCGATTTTTCTATTGAACGTTTTCGTCGCGTCTCGGCAGCTTGCTTCTTCTTTTTCTGTTCTAAGATAAATGCGCGAACTTCTTGAATTTCCTCTGCTGTCATTGAAACTAAAGGAATATTTATTAAAAAAATATTTAATATTTACCGTCCAATGCAGAACCTTCTTGTGAAGTTTTCAACTCATTTTCCTCGCATCCTTTATCGCCGCACATCTCCGCCCCAATATTTTCATCAATCATAATAGGAGCCTCTGCAGTGCCTGTAAATGATAAGCATTTTATTAAATTGAATAATAATATGATTATCATTTACCATTATTGATTGTTGTCTCGACACTTTTTTCCATCAGAATTTCTTTAAATGAAGTAATATGCGCAACTAAAATTGAATTATGAAAAGAAAAAATTAAACTATTTAAAAATTATATAAACAGGAATTTAAAAAATAAAATCAAAATTAGGGCAAAATAAATTTAAATTTTTATAAATATTAAATAATCTAAATACAATCTTAAAAAGCGAAAAATTTAAGGTGGAAAAATTAAAAGTGTTTAATAAATTATTTTAAAAATTTTTTAAATTTTTTAGTGGAAAATTTCAAATGTTAAATAAAATAATTTTAAAACTTCAATTATAGAAGAGGGTACAAGGAAATTAAATTAAAGAGTGAAATGTTTAGGGAAGAGGGGTTAAGGCTATTATTAAATGTTGCATGGGAAAGCAGAATGATTTTTAGGCCTTTTCTGGCCGCCTTTTATATGGGTCCTGACAGCCCAAACTTTGGCCTAGAATGATTAATTACCCGCTCATATCCATATTATTTGTTTATAATGAAATTACTGTTACTAAATTGGGCACTGTTTTTGAAATTAATCAGCATTTGGACATGATGATTCACTTTATTTTGCACTTTTTATTTTTTATAAACATATAATCACAACTTTTGTGCAAAAATACATTAATCAATTAATGTATTTTGCTCCATCAGAATATAAACATTGCAAATGGACAAAATTTTTCCTATATAAACACCTCCGACATTTCTACTCTTAGTCATTTATCAATTTCATAAAAATAAACCATATTTTTCCTGTTATTATTTTTTGTTTTGGCGTATTTTAAAGATTTAAAATTGGCGTTTGGCGTATTTTAAAGATTTAAAAATTTGCGTTTGGCGTATTTTAAAGATTTAAAAATTGGCGTTTGCGTGTTTAAAATTTGAGGTTTTGCGTGTAAAGATTTGAAAATTTAGCTTTTGGCGTGTTTAAAATATTTGAAAATATTGTGGTTAGATTCTAAAAATTAGGCTTTAGGCGTTTCTTAAAAATTTTAAAATCAAACGTTTGGCGCGTTTAAAATTTGAGAATTTCGTGTTTAGCTCGGCAGGCGAAATGCTCTTTTCGCCGATTGTGAATTTTTATGCTATAAACAATTTTAATTTTTTGTACTGTTGTCACACATACTTTTAAAATGTATAACTACTTATTTTTATGGCACACATTTCTGCAAAGGGTCAGATTAACTACTTATGAATAAACATCCCTGTTAACTACTTATACTCTACATTCTTTGTACTTAAGACTAAACATCTTTTTAAATCGAAATTTTTACCCTGAAAACAATGTCATCCCTTTAAATGTAAGCGAATATCACGCAAGTAAGTAAGGAAAAATCCTTTCACACAATAATTAGTAATTAAATTTAAATAAATTTATTATATTTTCGAATTAATATGAAATATATATTAAAATTTCGCTTTTAGCCAGAACTGTAAGTAAGTATGTTCTTCTAGAAAACGAAATTTTCCTACTTTTTAACATCCTTTATTAAAATTTGTAATTGTTCTTTATCATACATTGATAGCTTTTATAAAAATCATTTTTAGATCGAACATTCATGCATATTCTAGAGAAAATCTGCTCCATATACTGTAAGCAATAAGAGTATATCCAAACAAATAAAAACTCAATAAGGATGTTCAAAAATCTATACAAAAATATAAATACCTAAAAAATTACTAATAAAAGGCAAACATTTAATCTCAAATCTCGATTCAGCATTAATTTTTCTTAAAAAAGGGTCAGATTTTTATTTTTTTCATTTCCATTTTTTACCATTTCCTGAAAAATTTTAATAATTAATCCAAAAAATAAGAAGAATTTTAAAGAAAAACTTCCATTAAAAAGCAATTAATTTATAACTTCTTCCATGTCGCTGCCTAGAGAATTAAAGAGGATAAATTTTAATTTATAAAATAAGAAATCTCAAACATATACTCGCCCTTTCTGTCATTGAGCAAAGAAAAAGACGTGGTAATTTTTAAAATTAGCTTTTTAATCAACAAAAGGATCGAAAATTTATTTTTGGAAACCCCCCCCCCCCTTCAAAAGACAAAAATCCAATTTTTGAACAGTCATAAATAATAACTGGATCCAAATAAGCAATGCTCATCAAAAATTCAGGCCCTGTACTTTGAAAATAAATTTTAAAAATTTTCACCAAATTTTTAAACTACATACAAAGCCCTGAACAATTTATTTTCACGAGGGCCCTGGGATTAATATCATCCAATTCTGGCCCCCCCCCCCCCCAATTAATATTTACATTTGAGAAGAAATTGTTTTGTAGTTGCAAAAAAGTAATAAATATATAAAATAAAAAATAAATACTTGATTTAAAATAAAGAAAATGAAATAAATAATTGAACTAATAGAATTAATTTAATTAATAAAATTAATTTTGGTTTAATAGAATTAAATAATAAAATTTTTATTTAATTACAAAATTAATTTAATTAATGAAATTAATAGTATTAGTGAAAAAATTTAATTGGAAAATTTATGTAATAAAAACATAAATTAAAAATTTTATTTGCAAAAAAGAAACAAGAAATTAAAAAATTTATTTAAAAAAATAAAACTTTAAATATTTATTTAGTAAAGTAAAAGAAAAATTAACTGCTTAAATACTATTTTATTTTTAAATAGGCCAAAAGTTAATCACAATATGTATGTAGTGAAAATTTTTTATTTTTTCCATTAATTTCTAAAAATAGTGTGTAATGAGTGTTTAGTGGGAGTGTAGAAATGAGTGGGAGCGTGATTAATGAAAGCCGATCACCCCTTTTCACATTTTGTGCCCAATCACCCTTTCCATTATATACACACACTTACTGCACAATTGCACTCTATGCCAAAATTTAATCTAAATATGTAATGGAGAAATTTTTTATTTTTTCCTTAATTTATAAAAATAGTGTGTAATGAGTTTTAGTGGGAGTGTAGAAATGAATGGGTGAGTGATTAATGAAAGCCGATCTCCCCCCTTTCACTTTTTGTGCCCAATCACCCTTTCCATTATATTATACACACACACTTACTGCACAATCGTTTCACTAACACTTTTCCTTTTCATATTGAATAGCCTTTTGGTTTTTTGTTAATAAAATAAATATTTCATTTATATTTTTATTTTTTTAAATAAATTTCTTAATTTCTCTTTTATTCTATTAAATAAATATTTAAATTTTTATTTTTTTAAATAAATTTTCTAATTAAATTTTTTCACTAATACTATTAATTTCATTAATTAAATTAATTTTGTAATTAAATAAAAATTTTATTATTTAATTCTATTAAACCAAAATTAATTTTATTAATTAAATTAATTCTATTAATTCAATTATTTATTTTATTTTCTTTATTTTATATCACTTATTTATTCTTTATTTTATATGAATAGCTGCCTACTTTTTAAAAACTTCAAGTAAATATTTTTGATCCCGTTGGTAACCTTTTTTCATATCAAAAATTTAAAATATATAATTTTTAGTTAATAAGAAAACCTTAAACATTTTAGATTTATTAGAAAATCTGTAGCCTTTATTTCGGAAACCCTTTAGTGGTTAATTGAACACTTTAATTAGTTTTCTTTAAAATTTTAAAACTTCCATTTCAATATCTATTTTCAACCATTTTTTCACGTAAATTCTTAACATATGAAAAATTTAACTTATTAATAAGTACGATCATACTGAGTTGAAAATACGTCAACCCGTCCGATCTGGCAAGTTAAGCGACGCTGATTTAATTTTTAAATTCCCCCCTAAACCTATTGACAAATAATTGTAGAAAATTTTTGTGCGCTTTTAAGACAAACAAGAAAAAATTTTTGTCTTAAAAGTGTAACATATACTACTTACTTCCCTCCATCATTTTCCCCCTAATTCTTTTAACATCTCCTTTTTCCTTGCTACTTTAGTCCCCCCTCATATTTTTAAGCATTTTTTCCCCTTATTTTTTGTCATAACAAAATCAAATTTAATCTTCTCTAAGAAAAATACTTATGGGGAAAGGAGAAAAAAATGTCACAAGCAAATTGACTTAAATATTACACATAAACGAAAAGAACGGAAATGAAGAGGGAAGAAGAAGAAAGGGAAGAAGGAAGGGCTTTTTGTGTGCCAAATAAAGTGCCAAAGCTCAGGACCGATTTGGGCATCCAAAAATTGAATTAGTAGTTACAAAATTCAATCAAAAATATACCACAAATGTATGTACACCCAACTCAACTACTCCAACTCTTAAGGGTTGATAAACTTTTTTTTAAATTACCATAAAAATTCCCAATTTATTTTCATTTTACATATTTTATTTTTTTTTATTTTTTGTTACTTACCAAATCGGAAACAGCCAAAGAAAAAATAAAAAAGTTGCTAGGTTGTCGAATTTGTCGGTCGAGTAAAAATGAAAGTAAAACAACCAAATTACCAACAACAGTCACAGCAGAAATAACGGCCATTAAAAGAACTAAAAGAATTTCAGACCAAGCTAAATTTAAATAAATTGTTGTTGGTGCTGTTTGTGTTGTTAATGTTTCGGTATTGTTGTTCATCTGCTGTTGTTGTTGTTTTTATTTTTGTTATTAAAGAAGGCATTTAATGGATGAAGAAGAAAAAGAAAAAACATGTAAAATTAATAAAAAAAGGAGGGGAAAAGTTTAAGAAACTGAAAATTAAACTTTTAAAAATTTCCAAAAACTTGGGGGGGGGGGGGGGGGGGGGGTTATTAAAGAATTTTTTTAGAATTGTTAGAAAACCAAATGGTTAAAAACTAATTAATTTAAGGGTGAAAAAGGAGGATCCTACGAATCCTAAGTTTTTAACGGAAGCGCTGATAATTTAATTAAAAAATAAAAATATTTTTAAAAATTCTAAGTACAATTTAGTCATCCATTTTTGATTGTCAAAAACGAAAACAAAAAAATAAAAGGGCTTAAAGAAATATACCCAACTCATCTACCCCCAAACCCCCTTTTATTTTTTCCAAACACCTCCACTCTTCTCTTTATTTTTTAAATTCCTTTAAAGGGTCAAGTCTACCTCCTCCAATTTCAAAAACGAATTAAAAAAGTCAAGGAAAAGCTTAAATTTTACTTTAAAAAATAAAAAAAGGCTTAAAGTGATTGAAAAGGAAAAGAATATTTTTTGAAATATTTGGAGGTTTAAAAATAAAAGGACAAGGATTTAGGGGGAAAATGCTGACTGACTATTTTTACTATTGGAAAGAAGAAATGACGAAAAAATCTACCCATTTTTCATCTTTAAAAAATGGGTACCCTTTTGGGGATTTAATACATATATACAAGTTGCCCTTTCATAGGCGTTTTGTCATTTAGACGTTTTGAGGGGTTTAAAAATTGTTTTTAATTATTCTTTGTCATTTTAAAAATTTTAAAATTAAAAAAAAATTTTTTTAAATTTCAAACACACCAATTAGATTTCTCATTCATGAAGAGAAAAAACACAAGCCAGTCTCTACTACGAACCAGTGTTACTCCGGCTTCAACATCTTTTGAACCTTGTCAGTATATATATATATATATGTACACCGTATCTCCTCATAAATATTGCCCTTTTAGAGAAGGAATGAATGTGAGGAATTAGTGAAGATACGAGACGTTGATTTTTATAATATCCGTATATACTCAAAACATCTACACCCAGCTTTCAAAACCCCCAGTTTTACACGAGCCGAAATATCCTATTTTTATTTACCTATTGGAAGTTTGGAAATGGATAGGAAATAGAAATAAAATAAAAAAAACTTTTAAAAATAAAATGGGAAAACAAATTTGTGCAAAAAGAGACAATAAAATCTGTGCCGTTCCCTGTTTCTTTTGGTCTTTCATCTTTATTGAAAAATCCCTAATAAACCTTTCTTTCAAGTGCAACATTTATTTTAAAAAAGCTTACAAATAAAGCTGAAGGGATAATTTTTATTTCCTAAAAATTTGCTGAAAAATTTTTTACACTTTTGAAACATAGGGTTGGCTAGATACAAAACTTTGGAAGATAACTTTAAAAAATAGACTTTACTTTTAGGAGATACATATGTATGTTATATGCCAAAAGAGTGATTATTAGAAAGAGGTGACATTTCATCCCAACTTTAAAAAATTACTGAAAGAAAAAAAAGCGTAAGAACGAGTAAAGATAATCACCGGAAATCTGTGAAAAACAAACACATTTAATTTTAATGCAACCTAAGAAAAGATTGAATTTTATAGTGAAAAAGTGACATTTCATCCCAAAGTCAATGAGACGGGAATTACGTGCAGGATGGGCAATGATTTATTCTAATTTTTTTCAAATTCCCCGTTCACACTTAGACTTTTGATTTAAAAATGGACATACCCAACAGGGATGTCACAGATTACCAGACCCGACATTTTTCTTCTTATGGACAAAAATAATGAAAAATAACGAGTAAAATATGTAGTGGCAAAAAAAAAAGTTTATGTAAAAATACCTCATTCTCTCCAGCCTTTTTTAGTTTTTTGAGAAAATGGCATTCTCTTTTTTTTATTTTAATATTTCTCCTGCCCCATCTTTAAAAAAAGAATAAAGGAAAAAATAGTTTTTTAAAGGGGAGGAGTTTATTTTTTAAAGGGAGAGGAGATGAATGAATAAATGAATGTAAAAAATGTGATTAAATTTAATAAAATAATATTTTGTTGTTGTTGCGTAGAGAAAAAATTTTTTTATACCCAACTCATCTACCCTATATTTTGACTGAGGCGTTGATCAAAAATTTTTAAAGGCTCTTCAGTTAAAAAAGTTAAAAGATTATCAGGGATAAGACAATTAATGGGGGAGTTAAATACTAGAGACAATGAACAGAATGTACAAGTCTCGAATTATTGAGATTCTTGTTTGAGATCTCGTCTCTAGGTCAGGACTCTAGAAAACCCAAAAAATTTTTTGGGGTAACCACGATTCTATTTAGGGCATTTCCACTAGCTCTGCAAGTTTATGTGTTTTCATTTTTGCTTTATCCCAGGACTGATTAGCCTCTATTTTTTAGCTCTCTAAAATTGGCTCTATTTTCGATAAAAAATAAAATTTAGAGAAATTTTTGACCAAATACATTGTCCGATAAGTTTTTCTTTAAAAATAAAAAAGAAATTTATATATTTATTTTTTAAAAGACGAACTAAAAATTAATATAATTTTAGAAAATATTTTTATAGAATGTTTAAAAAAATTTTAATGTAGGTACATATATCCCCCGTACTTATTCACATAAGAGAATTTGACTTCTTTTTAAAAAGAATTATAGAAACTCAAATATGGAGGAATAGGAGCAGACGGAGCAGTTCAGTCCTGCTCATGGTCAGTTGAGTCAAGACCCTATAACTCATGAAGGAATGACACTTCTTCATGTTCTTTGTACCCTTAGATAGAGAATTAAAAAGTCTACAACATATCAAAAAAATCAGAATTATCGACAAATTGATAAAAAAAGTTATGATATAAAAACTAACTTTTTCAAAAAAAATGTGATTTTTTGTTACTTGATCGATCACAACTTTTTATCAATCAATCGGCATTTTTATATTCTAGTGCGTTTAATTCTCTATCCAATGGTATCAAGAACACTAACAATAAAAATTATATCCCTTTCATAAGTTATACGTGCCGGACTGAACAGAGGTGTACCCAGAAGAATAGAATAGAATAATGAATAGAAGTCGGCAAGGGACAGGATTACGTACGAGATTTTATGGATCCCGCCCGAAATCACGCGGTCACAGCGATAAACGGGATTGCCGTACTAATCCTGCAGATCCCGTCACGTAAATCACGTAAACACTTTGAAAAAATGACATTAAGCGATCCCGGGAATGCGGTTTTACCGACTTCGAGTAGAATAACATTCTCATTTATGTATTTTTGTATTTAAAAATTTTATGATATACTTTTATCATTCAATAAATCCCTTTCAAAAAAGCAAAAGCCATGCCAAAATAAGAAGTCCAATGTACATAAACATGTTGGACAAAAATTGTTCTTCTGCTTGTTGGGGATTACCTGAAGAGCTTTTAAAGTTATATAGATATAGGGTTGTCGGCTTGGAAATTCATTGGATGTGATAGGGAATAAAACCCCATCCTGGAATGAGTTCAGACAGACCAGCCCAACCGAGACTGTGCAAATATCAAATCCTATTTTACTCATTTATATTCCTAGAACCTAAATTCCTACTCAAAAATACAAAAAGAAATTTAAAAAAGTTTCGAATCCAAAAATATTTTTTGAGGGGATCCTATGAAAGGAAATAAAGGGTGTATAGGAGGATAATGGCCTTTAAATTTTAATTAGAGTTTAACGGTTATTAACAATTAGCAAGTATCCCCGGTTTTCTGTTATGACCTGTTTTCAACTCCATGGTTTTCGTTTTCAGTTAACCGACTGTGAACAACCCTAATTTAAATAAATAAAAAATAAACTGACGATTAGCTTCATTTCGTCTATCAACACCTCCGGTATTAAAAAAGGATGCAAAAAAGGAGATAGGAAAAACGCCTATTCCCAAAGAAAATTGAACACCTCCATGGCCATTATCTCCTCCCCATTGAAACATTCCAGGGAAAGACTTAAAAAAATTTTTTTAATTAAAAAAATTAAAAAAAACCTGAGGGGTTTCTTCTGTTCGTTGTCCTTGTGGACGTGGTGGAACTTTTGTGCGTGGATCGGTGTCACCACCTCCTCGTCCATAAAGTGGAATTACCTTCAAAATTTTTTAAAATTCAAAAAAAAATTAAATTAAAAAAATTTGCTAGTGGAAAAATTTGCGAGTAGGGTTCCGATTTATAGTTCTCAAAGTCCGCAACTTTTTATTCGCACTTGTTTTTAAATATTCTGTAAAGGAAAAGGTATATAGGGCTGGCTTGGGAAATTTCTGGATTCGATATCCAAAATTTAATTTAGGCTCTGTTTTGGAAAAATAATCGAAAAATAACAGCCTCTTCCAAGTTTAAAGAATACTAAAAAAATACCCTTTCTTTACTAATTGCAGATTTACAAACGGGGCAAAGCTGTCGATTTGGTCGAGTATCCAACCACTGGTGAAGACATGGCCAGCAAAATAAATGTCCACACATTGAGACAACCTTTTAATATCAAATTTTAAAAAATTTAAAAGAAAAATAAACCGCATCTTTAGCCATTTCCAAACAAATGTTACATTCAAATCTGTGAAAGAACATAAATTAAAATTAAAATCAAAAGGTTATTGTAGGTTTAGAAAGTCCCGAAGAGAATTGGCACGGCACACCCCTGCGTCCATTCAATGATTACTAACACGAATACCGAGCTTTTGACCCTTACAAAATAAATGAAAGTCAAAAACCTTGAATTTTGATCTTCTTTTTGCCTATTAACTTCCTGCTCTACATGATTTGATGTACTTTCATTATTATTGTCCCCCGGCGAATTCTCATTATTCGGTTCTATATTATTACCACTAGCTGATTGAACAGTTGAATCATCTTCGGATTTTTGTTGTTGTATATTATCATTGTCGGTACCGACATCTTGACTCATTTTAAATTTTTTAAAAAAATTTTCTGAAAATAATTTTTTATTTAAAAAGAATAAAAATTAAATAATGGCTCCGAACGTTTAATAAAATTAAAAAAAATCAACAAAAACATCATTCAATTTTTATCAAAAACAAAAAAAAATTATGTAAAAATGTAAATAAATATTTCCCATTTTTCTCTCCTCACTCAGTCTCTCCTCATTTTACAAACTATTTTTTATCTAAAATTTTAGTCGCCCCAGTTTGTCGCGAATGAATATGGGGCATTTTCAATGATTGTGTTAATCAACGAACTATTTAATACCCTGAGTCATTTGAGAAGAATCTCTGTGTTTCTCACTCCACTTTTTATTAAAATAATCAACAATTTAATTTATTAAATATGTAACAGATTTAAGGCAAACAAATTTTAATAAAGTAGGAGTTCTCTATATAACGTCATCATCGTATCCCAATCATCTCCACACCATACTTAATTCGGTCCCTAGGAATTTGGCCGTCAATTTCCCTCCTATGTCAGCAAAACTCACCCGTGATGACGTAATAGAGACTCATCTTAAAAATCTTTCCTAAAATCTAAAAATGTTAAAAAAATATTCAAAACACCATTTTCCCTCTCTATCTCCCCTATGTTTGTATTACATCCGTATATTTAGCTGTTTGAAGACGAGGCACAATATTCATACTTTGAAGCTCTTGAAATAGCAATTTACATGCATATGGAATTTTAATTTTAGCCATAGAAGCTGAAGATTTTTTGCAGTATTGACACCAACCATCATAACCCATTAAACCACATTCTGTACAGACTTCGACCTAAAAAATTCGAATTATTTGTCGGGGAAAAACACCGTCAAGTGTCAGTCTGCAAATACGGGTCCGAAATGTCGATTCGTAAATATCGTTTAACCATATCAGTTTACGGATAAATTGGCCAAATATCATAATAAAAACCCATCTAGTTCTTAAATTCATCAAAAGTTGAGGCCTAAACCTTTCCAACCCTAAACCTTTCCAACGATTCACACCTAACCCGGTTCCCCAATAAAAATTTTTAATACCACAAATTGATCTGAAGAAACCATTAATCTTTCAGTTAATAACATTGAAGATCCATAAGCAATTAAACAATCGCGTTCCATTTCACCAAGTCGTAAACCGCCTTCTCTCGCCCTTCCTTCAGTCGGTTGTCTTGTAAGAACTGCTCTTTAAAAGAGGATTTTTTTAACAATTACAAGGATGAAGGGTGATCGGGTAGGATATATAAAACGCTTATTAAGCGGAGATTTAAAATATATTAAAACTGAAGGTAAAAGCAGCACACCCCGATAGCGGTAACCTTGTAAATGGCAAGCGACATGCCTAACAATAACTGCAAAGTGAGGTCAATGCCTGCCCGGGGCTACAAATGCCTGCTTTTACTCCTCTCAAACAAATTTTCAAAATATTTCAAGAAATTTTTTTTCAAAACCTTGGTCCTTTCGATCTAGCATGCATTTTATCTATCACCATATGCTTTAATTTTTGATAATAAATTGGTCCAAAATAGATATATGCAGACATTTGTTGACCAGTAATTCCAGATGTTAACATATCTTTTCCAAGAAAATTATAACCAAACTTTGCAAGGTTTTGGCTTACAGAGTTTACCTAAATTTTTTTTTAATTTTATTGAAAAAAATTTTCTTTCCTTACATCATCACCACCAAAAGCTGTTCCATAATGTAAACGCCATTGACGTGGCTCTCCCATTAAAGCATTCTTTCCACTTAATAATTCCATTAATTTACCAACAGTCATACGACTTGGATAACTTTAAAAAAATATTTTAATTGGTATTGTCAATAATTTTATTTGAAAGAGTTGCGGGAAGATGGGGCTGCACGGATTCCAAGGGAATTATTTCAGTTCATAACAAAAAGAGGGATGTGGGGACGAGATTAGAATGAATCTAACTAGGGGAACAGGAAAAGTCTTCCCACAGAGACCCAGTTTCCCATCTCCCGTAGTTTAACATACCACAAATTCCCATAAAATCAATCCCCGCCCCGAATGGTCGTATCCTAAGGTACATAACAAATTCCTTGTCAATTTTAATTGAAAGAATCCCTTCTTTTAAAGCTCAAATTTTTAAAATAACCTATTAGGATATATTTCCTTTAAGATGATTAAAAATGTTTACCCATGAGGATTCATAATTAGATCTGGGACAGTTCCATTCTGATCAAAAGGCATGTCTTGTTGTGGTGAAATAAGTCCACAGACTCCCTTTTGACCGTGTCGACTGCTAAATTTATCACCCAATTCTGGTCTTCTAAAAAATTCAAAAAAAAATTCAAAAAATTTCTCAAACCCCCCCCCCCCCCCCCACAAACCTGCATTGGGCAATCAATACTTTAACTAAATATTGTTCTTCTTCGTTACATGTCAAAAGAACTCTTTCAATAACTGCATTCATACTTCCACGATATTGGATTGATACATCTTTAGTCTCAAAATTATGGTTGAAACCAGTAGCACCTGCCGTAGGTATTGTATCGCTTTGAACCACAGGCATATATTTGTTAATTAGAACCTTTAAAAAGAATTATTCGTGCAAATTTAACGAAATATTGGTAATAGTATGTAGTAGTAATATGTGGCATTTTTTAAAATTCAAAGGACTCACAGAGCAAATACCAAGTAAGGCACTAAAAACAACCGTATGATTACAGACTCGATTACTGTAGATCCTGAACCCGGTAATCATGTAGAATTGGGGATACACTTTTAAAATCCTTAAAAATCATTATTTTTTTCTGAAAATCATTTTATATAGGTAATCGACTATGCTGAGTTCAGATATGAAAGAATTTTTTGCCGGAGACGAAAACTCGTAGAGATATAGGCCCCCGAAAATCGAAAAACCGTAGGGGGGAGTAAGGTCGATTTTGGGTAAAAAATTCGATTATACAAATTATAGCTCTTTCGAAAGAGCTCCTCGAGCTAAGTCGAACGACACCAAAATCAACCAAATCCGACTTCATATGGCAGAGTTATAGACCCCTGAAATTTGAAAATTTTTTGGGTCAAAAAATCAAAAATGCAAGTAATAGCTCATTTGAAAGGGCTCGACGAGCTGAGTTGAATGACACCAAAATGAGCTCTATTGAAGGATTCTGAACAAAGTTGTGACTAGCAGAATCTTAGCTGAAAATCAAGTACTTGATAAAAAATCATAGATAAAATGTCATATATGACAAAATCTGATATCAGATTCATGATCAGCATAGTCGATTACCTATATAAAATGATTTTCAAAAAAAATAATAATTTTTAAGGATTTTAAAAGTGTATCCCCAATTCTACATGATTACCCTGAACCCAACCAAGGATAAAAAATCTAAAAACAAGCATTAAAACGGCAATATGGTTGGACCCACAGTTTGGAGTCGAAAAGTTCAGGATCAGGGTTTGTAGGGGTTGCGAGCGTTTGGATCGGGTTCGGCAAAAATGTTTTGGGTAGAAGTTGTTAGCCAAAAAAAAGGTCGGGTATGAAACTGTTATTGTCAAAAAATTATAACAAAATGAACCTGTCTTGGCATAACTTTTGCACCAGTAAAAACAATTCCTTCATTATCAAGAACTGAATGCCTGAAAATTGGTTTTCTGCTTACAGCATCTAGTGAAGGGCCCATAAATTTGTCCTAAAAAAGGAAAAAATTCAAAATTTTTTTTAAAAATTTTACATAAGTTTGATTTGGATATTTTCGAGCATTTCCTTTAGCAAAACGATAAACCATACAACGTCCAAATCCTCTATCAAGAGAAGCTTTATTTAAAACTAATGCATCCTCAATGTCATAACCACTAAAAGACATTACAGCAACAATAGCATTTTGACCAGCTGGTAATTTTTCAAAATTGGATAATTCGAGTGTTTTGGTTTTGACTAAAGGTTTGTGAGGATATACCAATAAATACATTAACTGTATAAAATTTAAAAATAAAATTTGGAAACTAAATACTTTCGAACATGAATTAAACTAGAGATCGGAATTTTGTTCCGTACCGTATTCCGTACCGTAATACCGAAAAATACCGATGAAATTCAAAATGTTGCCGTACCGTATTCCGTACCGTACTACCGATACGGAATACCGATAAATACCGAAAAATACGGCCGTAGTACGGTACGGTCCGATCTCTAAATTAAACTATGTGAAAGAATCAGGAAAAGACTAGTCCTAGTTTAGAGGGGAACGGATGGAAAAAATAAATGTCCTCAAACATTCCCCCTCCCCCTGATATTTTTGTAAAAAATCCAAACCGTATCAATCCTTTTCTGTTGGTTATAGCCACAACTCCCCATTGCTTGTTTACCCATAGCGCATTGATAAGTATTTCTTGGACTTTGATTGTGATGTGGATAGGGAATAAGGCCTGCCACAACCCCCAATAAAGTGAAAGGCTCAATCTAAAAAATTCCAAAAAAATTTTGAAAAAAATTTTTTTACCTCAAGGTGTGTTGTTTGTGAAATAATTTGATGCTCATAAACGGAAATTCTAGCATTATTAATTTCATTTACATCTAAAAACTCTAAAACGCCTTCGGATATTAAATTGTCGAAAGTTTTTGTTCCATTCTTTACAGCCTGAAAACAAATAAATATTTTCATTAAAAAGTTCGGATTATTTTTGCGGACTTTTCCTTAATTCTTTCGGCTTGCGTTTTCCATTTAATTATCAAAAAAGGGATTAGTTTTATTCAAAGATTCTTTAAAAAAATATTTCCCAAAGGTAAAAAAGCAGTTAAAAATCAAAATCAATGTATTATGACGTAACCAAATCGTGTAATGCCAAACAACGAGAGATGATGTCCTTAATCTGGGGAATGTTTTCAAACGCTTTGGTATTTATTTGTATATTTAATTGATACCCTTATAAATTCCAAAAAATCGAATATTAAATTTAAAAAACCTCAATTTGTGATTGTTTAAGCAAAGGAACACCACTTTCAACAATTATATAAGGTCGACACAATCTACCTCCATCAGAAGCCAAATGAATTGAATTTGCATTTTTACTGACAGAAACAAATGGATTTAAAAACCCTTTTCTTCTCATCATCTTAATTGTAGACAAAATATTTTCAATATCATCAGTTATTCCAACAACAGAACCATTTAAAAATATAAGACTATAAGCTCTTTAAAAATTGAAAAAAATTATTTTTAATTAAAAAAAAACTAACGGATTATGAATAACATTAAATTTTAATGAACGTAAATCTTGAACTCCACAATTGTATAATAAACCAAGTATCGGCTAAAATAATAAATAAAATATATTTTTTGTTAATCTTTTAAGGCTATAAGTGTTGGGTATGTGCTTACACCAAACACTATAAGTTAGCTATAAGTTAGTATAAAAGGCTACGGCTTTAGCCATTCGGGAGTGAGTGTTTGTTAGTGTTATTCTATTCTATTCAGTCAGTCTTATTCTAGTGCTCCACATATTCGGCGTCGGCCATATTCCTATCGTTCGTTAGTATTGTATTTAGTCTTGAAGATAAAGCACAGTTTGTTAGTCTGTCTTATCTCGTTATTCTTGTTAGTACGTAGACATACAAGTCACGTACATAACAATAAGAATAGTCGAAGGTGCCAGAAATCGGAACATAACCAAATGTTGGCGGTCCCAGATTTGAAAAAAATTTGAACTCAAAAAAAAAAGAAAGACGGGAATAGAAAAAAGTTAAAAACTAAATTATGCCCAACCTTTATTCCAAATGTTGTAATTAAAAAATTTTAAGGAAGGCTAAAAATTTTGACGATGCCTCTCAAAATTTACATTTAAAACAAAACAAATACCCCAAGGAAAATGAAAATAAATGACAAAACAAGGCAATGAGAACAATTTACCCCAAAACCAAAATTTTTTTTCCATATCTGTGAAATCCAAATCGCTTACTTAACCCATATCTTTTTTCCGCTACAATCCATTATTGTCCAATACTTTCACATTTACTTTCTCCTCAAAATTCAAATAAAGCGTAAACTAACCGTTTCATCGCTATCTGTAGTTATATGGCTTAAAAGTGCCAAATTCTTTACTAAACCACAAGATTCTCCTTCGGGTGTATCTGCTGGACAAATTATTCCCTAAAATTAATTTTTATCAAAAATCTCAAAAAAATAAACCCACCCATTGTGAAGACTGAAGTGAACGAGGTCCAGAAACTTTTCTTGTCTTTTCAAATGTTGAATTTATTCTTGTCATCATACCCAAAACGCTAATGTAAGAAAGACGGCTTAAAACTTGAGTAACACCTTGGCGTTCCATTCTTTTTTAAAAATCTTATCAAAAAAAATTTTTTTAAATACCCAAAACGTCTAATAGTCCAATTTCCAGTTGCTAAAGCATTTATTAATCCATTTGTAATTAAATCCTTTAAAAAATATTAAAATAAATTAAAAAGGTATAACAATTGCAATATAAAATTTTTAAAAAATTTTAAAAATTACTGAAATTAGAGACTACTATTTTTTAGTCCCGGCTATTTCGAATGAAAACAATTTCCAGATGCGCTGAAACTGTAAAGTTTCAGCGCCAAAACTTAAATAATTTTTTAAAAATTTTATGTCAGCAATTATCGAACCATCATTCAAATTAAAAAAAATTACTTGTCTCATGTGTCTAACAATATCAAGAGGAGCTGCCAAATTTTTACCCAAATGGCTGTCTGTTATTCGTTTTAATTCACCATTAAATCTAAAAAATTTTAGTTAAAAATTTTTTCCTTAAAAGCGTCAAAAATCTTAAAAATAAAAAATTAACCTTTTAAACAAATCTTCAAATAACAAAGCCAAAAGTGAACCAGCAAGTTCTATTCTTTTGTTGCCATAAAAATCACGATCATCAGCATCACAAATGCCTTTTTCTGCTTGTATAAGTCTTCAAAAAAAATTTTTTTTTTATTTTTGAAAAGAACAATTTTTTATCAAAAAACCTCCTAATCATTAATCCAATATAAATTGCTTTCATTTTCATATTCCCTTCAGGCGAAAGAATATGACATATCATCGAATTACTTAAAAAATCCAAAACGTCATGTTCTTGAGAAACTCGAACTCCAATAGAGCCAAACGTTTTTCTTCTTATTCGAGGAATTAAATATTTTATAGCATCGGCACGCGAAATTATATTGAGAAGAGCACATTCATCAATTGTTGGACCTATTGCTGCGATGTATTCTTCTTCGATTCCAACAGTTGTTGCAATTAAGTGATCAGATTCATATCCCATTGCCTGAAATAATTTTTTTGGACTGGTCAAATTTATGAGTCCAATAAAAGATTTATAAAGCTTTATTGGACCAAAAAGATTTATTGGACACATAAAGCCTCAATGGACTCGTCAAAATATAATTATTAAAATCCCAGTTAAAATATTAGTAGCAATACGAAAATAGATTCGAAATGATCAGTCGGAAGAATTTTATCGAAATGAGAACGTCTGACCATAAGGGACAAGAACACCGAATAAAATTTAATGTCAAGTCAGAAATTTTAAAAATTGTCAAGAGCTCAAAATGGTCAGTCAGCAGAATCTATAACAATGAAAGCTGTATTAGCACCAAAAAAAGTTCTTACAAAATCCCCCATAAAAATAAAAAAACCTTAAAAATAATAACAACAGGTATATCATCTGCCAATTGATTGTGTTTTAAGTAATAACGTCCCTTCTTTCCAATAATATAAGTTTTGCTTTTTCTGTCTTGACTAGTACTTAAAACTTCACAAATAAGTTCTTTTTTTGAATTTCTGTTAATCATTATTCGATTTCTTGAGATTTGCTCATGCATTAAAACTGAAAATAAAAAAGTTAAAAATGGTAGAATTTTAAAACGTAAAATTTTAATCTGTTATGAGCTCAAAACAGTCATCAAAAAGCAAAACTATTAATAAGTATGAGTGTCTACCGATCGTGTGGCAGGAATATTTTGTAATTTAACCAAATCACAACAAATAAAAAGAAGGCAAAAGAGAGTAAGTTTTCAACTTTCCATGAAAAATTTTTTGGATGGGAAAAAAGGATTACCGAACCGGAACGACACGAGCGATGAAGAATTTTTAAATTCGTTCCAAATATCTAAAGAATTTACTGACAACCCCATTCCAAATACAAAAAGTAAAATTCATACCAACTTTCTCCGACCCCCTCACAACAAAATAACCGCCAGGATCATAAGGGCATTCACTCGCATGAGCCATTTCCTCTTCAGTAGAAAGTTTTGAAAGAACACAACGAGAAGAACGTAGCATTATAGGCATTCTTCCAATAACAATATTTTTGCTTACAACTCGCTGATTTCCCCTTGTATATTCCACATTAACGTATATTGGGGCAGAATATGTCATATCTCGAAGTCGACATTCGTGTGGAGTTATTTTTTCGTTGATTATGTTAAATCCTTCTTCGCTTGATGGCATTCCAACGTTAATGTCGTTATATCTTTAAAATGAGAATTTAGAGAGAGTCACATTAAAAACTACCCCTTTAACTTCAAAAATTTTCTGACTAATGTAATTGGTTGGTAAAAAAGTCATTTATATATTCTAGATTTTAAGTTTGTCCGCAATTTAGTGATTTGTCCGCAAAATGTCTGGAAACTCAAAAAACAACATGAAGGGAAAACTTTTATCAGTAAATGTCGTTTTTTAAAACAAAAAAAATTACTTGAGATAAAAGACTGGATTTGCATCACTTGTAATTTTATCGTTTGCCTTTACAATATTTTTGATTTCAACATCAACAAAATAATTGAAACTTGCAATGTGCTAAAATTGAAAAAATAAACTTAAATATTTATTAAGATTAGAGTTGGAACTTTTCAGCCTGTCAGGCCCGTATCCAGGGTTTTTTAATTGTCCTGCTCAGAACCAGAAATTTAATAAAATCCGGGTTTTCAGGAGTTTCAAGGTTTTAACCCTTATACACGGTCAGGTTAGTTTAGAAGAAAAACCTGAAACCACGGTTCTGGGCCAGCTCGGGTCCGAACCCTAATTAAAAATAAAAAAAACCTGATTGAAGAGTCCTTTTGTTTTTAAAAATGATGGAATTAATGCTGCTTTATCTGATAATATTTTATGTGAAGCTTGTTCAGTTGATGTCATTTATGATAGATTTTAACAAAAAATAGAATAATTCAGCCTGCACAATCAAAAATAAATTTTAAAAAATCAGAGAAATTTTAGGGAAAAACAAAACAATGCAAAATTCGGGGTAGGGGAAGGCTTATTGTTATCGCCAATTTATAGACTTTAGTGGCGGCACTTTAGTGACTCCAATCGCCCAAAATGTCAATTTGTCAACTTAAAAATGACATTTCATCCCACTTCAAAAAATCGATATTTTTATAAAATTTTGTATCGATTTTTAACTTTAAATTTTTCAAAAAATAAATTTAAGATATAAATTTCAGCAAATTTATCATTCAAAATTCCTCGTTTTACACCACTTAGAGCTGCTGTTCCAGTTGGCTTTGTTGTTGCCCTCCTTTTTTGGAAAATTTCTGAATCGAAGAAATATTTTGAATCTCGTTCCAAAGAATTTAAACATAATTATACTTTAGAGGATTTAAGCGAAATAAAAGATAAATCTCAAAATGGTAATGCCTTCAAAGCAACGTGAAGACATGTATGATTTTTTAAATTTGATTGGGGGTATTTTAAAATGATCAATTTTAGGAATCAGGCTATAGTCGATTATTTAGAATCTCATGGTTATAATCAAACTGCTTCAGTTTTTAGGCAGGAGGCTAATGTTGTATGTTTAAAAAATTTTTTTTATAATTTTGATGCTTTTTGATTTGGGGGGGGGGGACACAGCATCTTAGACCCTGGCGTATGAATCTTGGTTAAGACCTGGCTTCTCTTGTATCAATGGCAGGTACCAAGCATTTTTTGAGCTTCTTGGGTTTTTCTTGTGTCTGGATTCATGTGCCCTGCGGTACATACTCCGCAAGTATGAATTTTGGTTAAGACCTGGATTCTCTTGTATCTTTTGCGGATTCTTTCGGCTTTCAAATTTTCATTTAAAATTTTTTGAAAAGGATGAGAATGCTGATCCCGCACGTAAAGCACAATCAGCTGGATTGCTTGAAAAGAAGTGGACACTTACTATTCGCCTTCAACAAAAAATTTTGAATTTGGAAGAAAAATTGAAGCAAGTGGAAAAAGAGGCCGTTTATGGAGGAAGTACTATATCGAGGTCATTTTTCTTAAATTTTCTAAAATTTTGTATTTTTTAAGAGATAATCGAAGAGTTCAGGAGGATTGGATTCCTCGCCCTCCTGAAAGATATCAACTTACTGGTCATCGATTGCCTGTTACTAAAGTGATTTTCCACCCACTTTTTAATCTTGTTGCTTCTTCTAGTGAGGATTGCACTATAAAGGTTTTTTTAGTTTATTTTTTCTAAGATTTTTTTGAGATTTTACTATTTTTTCTTTTTTTAAATTATGTGACTAATTCCGAGTTTTGCTTTTTATCCTAGTTTTCTTTTTACTCTTTTTGTTCCCAATCTATAAAATAAAGTTTTCTTTGTGAAATAGTTAACATTTATGAAGTCTGACCATTATGAGTTTTTGAGGAGGTGGGAAATTAGGACAAAATTGGGAATTACTTGTATTTAAGGTTTGGGACTTTGAAAGTGGCGAATTTGAAAGAACACTAAAAGGGCATACAGATACTGTTCAGGATATTGTTTTCAACTCATCTGGAAAATTGCTCGGTATAATTTTTTCTTCCTCTTTAAATTATTTTTTAATTTTAATTATTTTCAAGCTTCATGTTCTGCTGATATGAGTATTAAAATATGGGACTTTGTCACTACTTATGAATGCTTAAAAACGTTGAAAGGGTAATAAATTGTTAATTTTATTCTTTTTTTAATCCTTTACTTTTAGACATGAACACAATATTTCTTCTATAGCATTTCTTCCAAACAGCGATTTTATCCTTTCCGGTTCACGTGACAAATTAATAAAACTTTGGGATGTTACAAATGGTTATTGCGTCCAGAATTTTTCAAAACACGCAGAATGGGTTCGTGTTGTTCTTGTGAATGAAGAAGGGACTTATTTTGCATCTTGCAGTAGTGATAAGGTTTTTTTCTATTTTTAAAATTTTTCTGAAAAATTTTTTTAGTCAATTATTGTTTGGTGTCTTGCAACAAAGACACCTAAAGCTACTTTAATTGGACATGAACATGTTGTTGAGGCACTCCATTGGGTTCCAGAAAAGAATTGCGGGCAGATCCTTTCTTCTGAACAGTCTACTATGCAAGGTTTTTGTTTTAAAAATTAGAACAGATGATTCCGCTTTCGGTTTCCTGTCAAAATTTTTTGTCCTGAATTTTTGTCCTGTTTTTCGGTAAACCGAAGGATTTGGTGAAACCGACAACTCTAATTTCGAGACTAATAATAATAATTAGGGGGGCACATTTATTTCTCCCACGAATTGCCTTAAGCACTTTCTCACATGTGTTTATGTGAGGTGTTTTGTTCTTCATTTAGATATTTTCCTTTTAAAACAGGAGTAAATGGAAAATCTGAACAAACAGTTTTATTGCTCATTTCTGCTTCTCGTGATCGTTCAATTAAATTTTGGGATGTTTTTGCTGGAACTTGTCTTTTTTCATTAATTGGACACGATAATTGGGTTACTGGAATTAAATTACATCCAAACGGGAAACTTGTTGTTTCTGTTAGTGATGATAAAACTATTCGTGTTTGGTCAATAGAACATCGACGCTGTATTAAAACTATACAACAGGCGCATGAACAATTTATTACTTCAGTTGGTCAGTTGTTTTTTTTTATTTGTTGGGTTTAAGTTTTGCTAGTTTTTCGCGAAACGGAAAGTATTGAATTCCCCCTTCCCTACCCCCTGTTTATGTGCCTGATTTGAATGACAAGCGTTTTTAAATTTTAAAATAATCATATTTTTTCAGATTTCCATCAAAAACTACCGTTTGTGGTTTGTTGTTTTTTTATAATTTTTGTTTAAAAATTATTTTTTAAGGTGACTTCTAGTGTTGATACAACTGTCAAAGTTTGGGAATGTCGTTAAAAGAAAAACATACTATATGGACATCGAATATGTCAAAGTTCAAATATCCAGTCTCGATAAATGTGAAAAGAAAAAATGGTGCTTTGCTTACAAAAATGTGTTTGAATAGTCCCTTTTAGGCGAATCTAAATACCAGAGCTTTTGTCAAAATTTTATTTACTTGTCAAAAATATTCTTCAAAAAGGATAAAAAATAAAAGGTTTATTAATTTAAAATTAGTTTTTTTGTTTGAAAATTACCGGGAAATATCTGTCAATTTTATATGATTTTTTTCTGAAATTTTTTATGAACCTTTCTTTTACCCAGATTCATTAAATTTTAATAAGAATTCCTTTGCAGTTTTTACATGGATTACAAAAGCTCTGGTCTAATTCTAAAAAATATTCCACATATATTAAATTTAATTGTCCCCTTTTATTTGTCCGCTATTATTCTTTACTTTTCCTTTCCCATTCCGAATTAGAATATATAAAAGTGTTGTTGGAGACTTGTTTTAACCGAAAACTGTGTGAGGGATTAATAACCAGCCTACAACAATCCTAAAATATACATACAATTTTTGTTTTGAGACAACAATCTTCCAAAAAAATATTTTTCAAATTCTCTCTTTATCAAAAAATATATACAAGTTTTGACTAATTTTTAGAGTTTTCTTTTTTTTAGTTATGTAAGAAGGAAACATTCCTTTCTAAACAAAAACTCTAAATTAGTAAATATCTCTCAAAATTGTAACGTTTTAAAAATAATAAAGCTTTTTTGTCGCACTAAATTATAATTTATGTTTTTCTAAAGTTACAGTTTTTAGCTAATATTTTTACCATTTGAATACTTGTGTAATTTTTAATTTTTTTCTCGCTTCGAACCTCGTTATAACAACCTCCTTGGGGCTAAAAATCGAGAGATGTTCTAGTATTGAGAGTATCTTAAACAGTCAGACTTTACTATAAGATACACCCCCTAAACAAGATACCCCTCTATTTAATATATGCTTTTATTAAATTTTGGTTGGCCATTGGATGGGAGAAATGATCGCAGTAAATTACAAGTGTTTTAATGCGATCATTTTTTATATCCCTCTCTCCTCACTCAGTTTGACTTTCCTTCTTTATTCTCATAAGTCTCTCTATTTAAGATACACCTCATAATAAAATACAATTTTTCAGTTGCAAGAGTTTATTTTATAATGAGGTTCAGTTGTTTTAATAATTTCTAGATTTTATAGAAATGATTATTCCAAAGTCACGTCGACCTCCTGTAATCATTAGAGATGGTCGACAAATTAAACCTAATCCTCTACCTTGGGAATTGAAAATTTCTAGAGAGCTTTTACTTGGCAAAGTTAAAGTTTTGAGTCGTATTGGCCTTGAAAAAATTCCATGTCTTCATGTTAGAGTGCCTTTATATACGTAAGTTTTGTTGGGGGGAGGGGGGGGGGGGGGGCAAAAAAGCCGAAGATTTTCTGGTGCTCTATCTACATATTTATACCAAAAAATACAAGTTTTGACTTACATTTCGGGGTAATCCTGCAGAATCTGGGAGACACCTTAAAAACACCTTAAAAATTATTATTTTTTTCTGAAAATAATTTTATATAGGTAATCGACCATGCTGATCACGAATATGAGCTTAGAATTTGTTTATTTCGAACCCCGGACTCGATTTCGACAAAGTCGAAATTCGGGGTAAAAATTCGATATTAAGAATTTAGGGCTAATCTGATTCGCGTTTTCGAACTGAGTCGAATGCCACCGAAATTACCACGATCCGACTCCATAGGGTCGAGTTACAGACCCCTGAAATTTGAAAATTTTCGAGGTCAAAAAATCGAAAATCCAAATAATAGCTCATTCGAGAGAACTCGACGAGCTGAGTTGAATGACACCAGAATCAACTCGATTGAATGATTCTGAACAAAGTTATGACCAACGGAATCTTCGGTGGAAAACCTGTGGGAATATACTAAAGCGACCTAAAATCAAGCATATGATAAAAAATCATAGATAAAATGTCACATTTGACAAAATCTGATATCAGATTCGTGATCAGCATGGTCGATTACCTATATAAAATTATTTTCAGAAGAAAATAATAATTTTTAAGGTGTTTTTAAGGTGTCTCCCAGATTCTGCAGGATTACCCATTTCGGTATGTTTTCTTTTGAGTTTCTTCCCCCAAAATAACTTTGTTTTTTAATAAAATAAAAAGTTGCAACTTTTGCGGACAAAACTTGCGGACTTTTCGGGGCATACGGGAAAAGAAAGAACCTATCTTCATTTCGCCTTACAAATTTATTTTTAAGGTTTTTTGAAGTCACTCGGATTTTTTATCGAACATTTGAGCTTTATTGGGCTTTGGATCCTGAAGAAAAATGCAAATTGGGTGATGTTGTTATTATTCGAAAACTTCCTGAAGAGAAAAGGATTGCTTCTACAGTCCCCTATTTGATTGAAAAAGTTGTTTTTGAACATGGAGCACGTGTGGATCTTCTCAGCAAGGTTTTTTGCTTAATACTCGCTCTTTTTGTTAGAAATTAAATTGTATTTTGATTAAATGTTTCGCCAATTCAAAAAATTTTTCTGTTGAATCTCTAGTGGAAAATTCCGCAGTCTTGATGATTCTAAAAATAAATCTTTCGTCGTTTTTCCTTTATTTAATAAAATTTTATTTTTAGAAACGTAATTTTGAAGGAATTTATGAGGATGAAATGAATATTCGAAAACAGCTTGTTGACGAAGTTTATAACGAGCCATTAGCTGAGGTTTGTTTTTTTTTATTTTAAAATTTTAATCTTTAAATTTTTATTTTAAAGAAAACACTCTCCTATGACAAGAAAAGAAGTTTAATTAAGCAAAGAATAAGGCAAAGATTGAATTTGTTGAAAAATGATGAAAATTGAAAAAAGTTTTTTTAAATTATTGTTAGTTGTTTTGTTTGGTTATTTTTTGTTTATGTTTCCTAAAGTTTCCAAGTTTTTCTGCAAATTTTTTGTCCGCAAGTTTTATCAGTATTTTATCCAAATAATCCCCTTTTGCTTGTGTCTTTTGGAAGCTAAAGGAAAAGGACCAATTGTGTTTTTTGATTTTTCCAAAATTTGATAAACTTTGGTTAAATTTATTTATGAAAAATTTTTTTTAATTTCTACTAGTAGCTATTTTCAATTTTTGATTTCTTTATTTTTAAGAGTTTTTAATTTATTTTTTTAACTTACAATTAGATGGAAGTAAGTGAGGAAGTATTTCGACCACGTTTAATAGACACTACTGAATATGTGAAAGCAAGATTAGATCAAATTGCCGAGCTGTTAGAGGTTTTTTTATTTTATTTACTGCTGTTAATTGATGGCTTTTGTTGAGCTTGGTTTGATGATTTTTGCAGAAATTTTCAAATTGATTGTTTAGCGTCTCAACAAGGTGTCTGATTACCCAACCCAGACTTTTCGAACCGAACCTCGACATTTTCCTAAACCATCTCATCCCTGGTCTCCACTAACAGGCCAGAGAAACTCTCCACTAACAGGCCAGCTTTAAAAATTTTCAAATACTTCCAGTTTGTAAGGAAAAGAAGATTGGGTTAGCATTTGAATGTTCAAACAAGGGAAATAAACGCAGATGCGGTTCATGTTCAAAATTACCGGACCTTAACGTGTAGGCGAAACTCCTAGCAAAAATTGGCAAGAGGTCGCGTTGTTCGATTCTTGCCCTTTGGCGGTTTTTTTGCTTTTTTCTCTTTGTCTTTAAGTCAGTTTTCCTTTAAAAATTTTATTAAAGGTTGTAAGTAGCAATGCCGGCGGTGACGAAAGCACATCTGCACCCAGAACCCTTTTCCAAAGATTGCCGAGACATATGAGGAGAAGAGCAATGTCACACAATGTAAAACGTTTGCCAAGGCTTTTTAGGCCTGTTGATGTTAATTTAAATAAGAAAAAGAAGAAAAAGATGCCTAGTCGTATTTGGAGGAGAAGAGCTTCTAGGCTTATTAGAGTTTGTTTTTAATTTTATTTTTTTTTGGGCAAAATTTTTGGTTTTGGTCTATTTTACGTATACTTTTTGCGTCCATAAGGGTGTTTGACGAATTAAGATGTGACAATACTTACTGGCTTTACCTCAATTTTAGATACGGTTTTTAAATTTGGTTAACCATAGAATAAGTGGGGCATCTCATTATAAGATATTTTTTAGTTGAGGGTTATTTAAAAGTTAGTTTTGACTGTTAAAAAGGGAAAATGATGATACTCTCAATTTACTGTACCCCTCATTATGAGAGATGGGCCAGGAATGTTTCTTAATTTTTTATTCCACAATTTTATAAAATTATTTCAGCGTAGCATGGTAGAGAATTCAAAACCTCGTTGGTTATCTACACATATTTGGCATGCTAAACGATTTCATATGGAGTAAAATAAAAATTAATTTTTTCTAATTTTTTAAATTTTTAGAGCAATTTGGGGATTTAAATTAGCTGCTAAATGTTGTCAAAAAACTTTTAGACCAAACTATCGTTCTTCGCTTTCTTCTTCAATGTATTTTTTAATTTTCTTAAGTTATTCAAGGGCAATTTTGTTTGAAATTTATTTGGAAGGGGACTTTAAATTGGCATTTGGAGAAAATTTTTTTTTGAATCGCTTTTAAATTTATTAGATTAAAAGGCCGTTAACCACCCTAGTCAGCTCTTATTTTTCCAGATTTACTGAAATTTTTTGTAATATTTCAATTTATTTTTAAAGTATAACAGATCGAAGTTATTTAACTTGTTTGCAATTCACTTTAACTAAAAATACTTCAATTTCATTCATTTCAAATTTATTATCAAAATTTTGTCAAAAGGTTTATTTTTTAATACTTATCGGTTTTGGGTCTCCCAAAAAATTTTTTGGGACCCCTTAGGCCAAAAGTATAATTTTATTTTTATAATTTTAAAGAAATGTTCTCCAACTTTTAATAATTTATTTGCTATTTCTGGTAATTTTGAAATATCTCTGCTTCTTTTTAAACCTGGTGACGATTTTAATGGATTTATTGGTCCTTGTCGATTTTCTTGGTTTTTACCTAAGTTTGTTTTTTTATTTTCTTCATTTAAAAAAATTTTTGGACCAAGAAGGTTCGAATCCTCAAAAATTTTTTAGTTGTTATAGGGTTGCCAAAAAGGGGGTTTAAGCGGAGAAAGGATAAAAAACAAATTAAAAATTTTTTGTCGCAACTTGCGGTTTTTAGACTTCGGAAAAAAATTTTTAATAATTATTAATTTTAGTAAATTAAATTTATGGATTCACCCTTCAATTGAGCTTGATTTTTTAAAAGAAATTTCTTTATTAAATGAAATTAAAATTATTTCTCCTTCAAAATATTGTAACAATACAGCAGAGAAGATTGAGGCTTCTATTGAGGTTTTTTAATTTTTTTGAATTAAAAAATTTTTTTTTGAAGTTGAATGTTTTAAAAAATAAAATTAGTCGTTTTCAATTAATTGGGCCCAAATCTTTAATTTATTTAAACTTTGTTTTTAAACTTGTTTTGGATGAAGAATTGGATATTTTGGATTGTTCTGATTACAGGTTGGGGGTTTCCTTTTTCTTTTTTTTAAATTTCAGCCCTCTCACAGGGGAACCTTTTGAACTGTGAGTCGATTTACTCTTGAAAATTTTTGACTTTTTTGGATAGGAATATAAAACTAAAAAGTTATGGGGCTTCAAAGTTTGCTAAAATTAGGAGATCGCTTGAGACTCTCGTTATATACATAGTAAAATGTGAGTAATTTATCTCCTAAATTCCCTTCCTCTCTTCTTTTTTCCTCAAATTAAAAAAAATTTTTTTTGAAGAGATATTCACAATTGGTGGCGTTTATTTGCAACAAAAATAGTCTCAAATTCTTCTCTTCAATCTGGCACTTTAATTAATTTACTTGTAGAAGATCCACGTTTATTTCGTGCTCAACGTTCTTTAAATAATAAATTTATTGAAGAAAATAATGAAATTAATTATTCAAATATTCCTTTACCTCCTTCAAATAATTCAAAAAATTTAAAAATAAATTTATGGAATTGGAAAGAATTTGAAGATGAAATGCTTCCAAAGAGATTGACAAATTCTGATTTTGAAAAGATTTGTGTGGGAAAATTGGTTTTGCCTAGCCGGACAGATTTTAAGGTTTTTTTCTTTTTTATTCTTTTTATATATTTACGTGCCTTTTCCCCAGTTTGATTGTTAATTTTTTTAGGTTCCAATAGTCCTTATCCTTCATTTACCCCAAAAATGTAAAAATTATCTTGGAGGATTTCGAGTTGATTTTTTATGCCCAACACAAGTTAGCTATGATTTTTGGTTAGCTTTTCAATTTGCAAAATGTCGAGCAATTGGATTAAAAAATTGGGAACATTTAAATTTTGAAAATGGTTTGGTAAATTTCCCAAATGAATTTGTAGATTCTTTTGCTGGGAAAAGAAAATTGAAAGAAGAAGTTGAATTAATTGAGGTTTTTTTATTATATTTTTGTCCAAATCGAATATTATTTATTATTCCAAGTAATTTGGGGAAAATATTTTTTCCAAAATTCCGAAAGGGCAGGGACTGGGAAAATTTTTTTCATAATTTTTGAAAAGATTTCCTCAAAATTTTCGAAAAAAATTCTTAGTTAGTTAGCAGGTTATTTATTAACTTGTTAGTCCTATTTTTAAATTTATAGCTTTTAAGTAAGTTTATACATGTCCCTTAAAGATGGAAATTTGACTCTTTTTTTGGAAATTACCTATCCCTGGTTTCAGGGATTTTTTTAATTTTAAAAGGAAAATAATTTTTTAAATTTATCACAAAAATAAAATTTACAATTAAGCTTTAATTAACTTAAAACTTTTTGTTTGTAAAAAATAGATTAAACGATTTTTTAATTTCCCATGAGGTCTCTTCCCTCAGAGAGCAATCAACGTTCTAAGAGAAATACCAAATTTTATTTTTGTGTTAAATTAAAAAAAATTATTTTCTTTTTTTTTAAACAGAAAAATTCCAAAAAATCTCACAAATGTAGACTTGCTTTTATTAAATTACAAAAATGTTTAAAATTAATTAATTTAATGGACAATAATTTATTTGTATTAAAAGAAAGATTATTACTTAAACAAATTGATTATTGGCTAAAAAATAGAGAAAGAAGAAGAAGAAATGATGATGATAATGAATGGATAAATGTAGAAGGTTTTCTCTTTTTTTTTAAATTAATTTTGGGGTTGTGAACGTCGTTTGTTATTTGCAAGTTTTGTAATATCTTAAAAATGAGAGGTAGAGGGCAGTGTTGGATACCATTTGAAGTTTCGAGGTTTACCCCCCCCCTTATAACTCAATTCGTTTTTAAAAGTTGGCCTTTAATTAATGACCGGTGCAGGGTTTCCCTTAACCTTTTTTCTGATTTTATTGATCATGATGGAATTACTCCCTCAAGGAGTGGTGATTGTGAATTTTGTAGTATACATAGAAGCTAAAAATAAATTTTAGAAAATTTAATCAACAATTCAAAACACTGTTTTGTAGCAATTTATCTAAAAATGTTGTCAAAAGGCATTCCAAAAAAATTTTCATTAATTTATACAACTGACAATTATATTTTGAAAAAAGAATCTGAAAATTTTAAAAAATTTAAAGAAATTGAAAATGAGGAGGAGAAAATTGAAGGAGAATTTTTAGTAGAACAGGTTTTTGAATTTTTTTGGAAAGGGAGGGGGGGGGGGGTCGGTAAAATTGAATTTATTTTTGGTTTTCAAAGTTGAGTTTTTTGGGTTCCATAAATGTGAGGTTTGGGATCATCCTTTAATTTAAGACTATCCGGTTTATAAATCCATTGAAGCTTTATTCATTCCGACAAAAGTTTATATAATTAAAAGTGGACTCATAAACTAGACCAAAGCTTTCTTTCTTTTTTAAAGAATGGATACAAAAATAAAAAGGAAATTGTTGGCGGTTTTTTACCACTTTTGGAAGAAAATTTGTCTAATGGAATTTTTAGTAATGAATTGGAAAATAAACCTTTTGATAAACAAATAAATTTAAAAAATTTATTTCCTCAAAATTTAAATAAAAAAGAATTAAAAACATTGAGAAATAAAAGAAAAAAAGAGAAGAAAAAGAGGAAAAAGAAAATTGAAGAAGAAAAAAATGGATTGAAGGAGGGATGTTTGATTATTGAGGAAGAAAAAGAAAAAATTGATGACACGAGGTTGGGAATTTTTTTAAATTATTTAGGCACTTTACTGCTCTAAAGGAAAAGTCCAGGAAAGTATGCAAGTATTGTCCGCAAAAGTTTATTAGGCTCTATCTTAGGACATGCGTCCCATGAACTTTTATGCGTCCCATAAACAAAAAATTAGATTTTTCTTGGTGTTGGAAAGTAGGGGTATGGGTCCAAAACATTTTTTCATGTTTGGGACCTACGCCCACTGGGTCTGGGACCGTTCCTTACCCGATCCCTCGAAATTTCTGAAAGTTAAAATCGTTTTTCTGAAATTTTTAAAAATTGGCTGTAACTTTTAGAAATTTCGAGGGATCGGGTAAGGAACGGTCCCAGACCCAGTGGGCGTAGGTCCCAAACATGAAAAAATGTTTTGGACCCATACCCCTACTTTCCAACACCAAGAAAAATCTAATTTTTTGTTTATGGGACGCATAAAAGTTCATGGGACGCATATCCTAAGATAGAGCCGTTTATTATCAACAATTTTTAACTTGCGGACTTTTTGGGAGCATAAAGGAAAAGAGGCCGTTTTAATTTATTTGAAAATAAATTTAAGACAATCACCAATTGGTTTTATTATTAATGGAAATTATTCTTTCATTGAAGCTAGAGGAATTGCTTTAGGTTTTTTTAATAAAAAATTTACCTCTTTAAATTATTTTAAGGATACGCTTTATTATCTTCCCTTAAATCAATCAACACAGACAGAATTGTTTTTGTACAAAACACTGAAGAAAACTTTTACAAAGCAATTATTGAAATTAATTTTTCGATTGCAGAAATTTAAAAAGTTATTGGAAGGAAGGGGGAAAGGGGAAGAAATATCCCCCCCTCCTCCCCCACACACACAGATTTTGTAGGGAAAAACTATTTTAAAATATATCCCTAGAATAACAATCAAAGCTTTTTTACCAAATTTTTATTTTTACAAGAAAAAATTTTAAGGTCAATCAAAATAAATATGTTTTGTTGTTGTTCACATTTTTTAGAGGAAACATTTTTTAAAAGGATATAGATAGATTATAGAATAATAAGGGTAAAATAAAATCCAAAAACAGTTTTTTTGTGTTTATAATTTTCGAAAAAAGGTAATCTGCTGGTGTAAAATTTCATTAAAAATAATAATTTTTTGAGACCCCCACTATAAGACTACCACTACAGATCTTATAATTGTTCCTCGATGAAAGGAGGAGGAAGGGGCGTATCTCAAATTAGGGTATATTAGACGGCCCTTTGACCCTTCGCCGCTGACTTAAATTTTTGAAATTTTTTCTTCGCAAAATCCACAAAGTTCGGTGCTCCCAACCGGTGACATCCCTGTGGTATCGCTGACAGCTCCCTTTTTCCCTATGGCCCACCAAATTTTAGAAAAACGTATCATAAACTATGGGAGTCTTATAGCAAGGTTTTTTTCAAAAAAATTCAGTTTGACTTAAAATTAAATTTAATACATGACGACCAGAAAATAATTTTGAAAGATTACCTTTATAGACATTTTAAAAAACAGTTGAAAAGTTTTGACCTTTTTTAAAAGAATATAATAATAATAGTCTCATCATTTTTTCCCATCACCTTTTTTAACAACCAAAAAATTTTTCTTTTTAACAGCTTTCCTCTCCCCTTAGCCTCGGTTCTTAAGTTGATTGCTAAGCCAGTCAAGTCCTTCATAGAGGCCATCCCCAGAAGTTGCACATGTTGCCTGGATGTACCAGTTACGATTACGAAGCTTGAAAAATTTGTTTACTTGGAAACAATTAAAAAATATTTTTACAGTGTGAAGTCCTAATTTGTCTGTCACTTCAGCAGCATTCATAGCATTTGGAAGATCCTTGAAAAAATTTAAATATACACCATCTCTTTGTCTTTAGATCAAGTTTTATCATTTGAATTAAGCCCTAAAGGTTCAATTTTTTTCATGGAAAGTGGAAAGGATGGGGGAATAACCCAAAGAGCAAGACTATCCTTTGAATCAAGGACACGGATCTATTTTTTAATATATTATTTAAAAACCTGTTTGTTAGCAAAAACCAAAAGGACAGCATCGCGAAGTTCATCCTCAGCCAACATTCGCATTAATTCTTCGCGTGCCTCCCCAGCTCTTTCACGGTCATTGCTATCAACAACAAATATAAGACCTTTAAAAATAAGTTTGGACAAAAAATAACTTAAAAAACCTTGAGTATTTTGGAAATAGTGCCTCCAAAGTGGACGAATTTTGTCTTGACCGCCAACGTCCCAAACAGTAAATGACTAAATAGAAACAAAAAATTTTTTATAAAGTCTTTATTTTTCAAACTTACAATATTTCTGTATTCGACAGTCTCGACGTTGAATCCTGTAAATGTTTAAATGAGGTTATTTCATAGATTTTATTATTTATTTCATTTCCAGACTAGACCAGTCTAGTAATGCGGAGGTAACAAAATCTCAGAACCGCGCTGGTTATGAACATCTCCCATGCGATTAAGGAAGATTTATATTTAGTTTAAAGGTTCTAGCTGACATATGAAATCGAATAGTCTGGGCTAGGACCCTGGTCTTCCCTGTCAATGAAGAAACTTAGAAACAAGACACAGGAGTCTTTTAACTCGAGCCTGGACGGGAAGTACTGCATATACCTTGTGGTCTGTGGGCCTTCCTGTACTCTGACCTAGACATTTGCTGAGCTCCTTGGGCCTTTCCTAGTCAATAAAAAGTGGAACATCTCTCAAGAAACGGTCCGGTTCTATCAGGTTTTTTTTCAAAAATCCCGGTCTCTGCTGACATTTTTACATATTCTCTTAAAAATTATGTAAAATAACCTATAGTCGGAATAGTAGTAACAATTTCTCCAAGTTTAAGCTTGTAAAGAATTGTCGTTTTACCAGCAGCGTCAAGTCCAACCATCAAAATACGCATTTCCTTTGGATCAGAAAGTAAGAATTTATTTAAATAAAAAATATAAACCTTTTTCCCAAACAATCCTTTAAACAAATTTGTAAAAACATTCCCCATTATTTTATTTGGTCAAAAATTTGAATTTTAAATAAAACAAAAATAATTAATCCTCTCGGAGAAAAGCTGCTGAAAATAAAAATTTAAAACAAAAAATGACTCATTCTGAAAGTTAAAGTTTTTACTGATAAAAAACCTCAAAAAATGTTCCAACAAAACTAACAAGAAAAATACACGTCCTTTTTTTTCATTTAACCAACTATGTAGAAGAAATAACTCGTTATAATTCGCAGTGACGAATTAAAATTTGGTTAAATGAAATTGACTTGGCTGACATTTTTCTTCATTGTTAGAGAAAAATAAAAATTAATAGTGCAAAAAGAAATTAGGTAAGACATCAATAATTTTTGACAGTTCAGTCTTGTTTAAGTGTAGTCGGGTTGCTTCGACTCTAATTACCTTAAATTCGTTTCAAAACTAATAAATTACAGTATACCTAATCTTTGTAAAATTTCGTTTGTCTTATTTCGTGAATTTTTTTCAAAAGTTTTTTACTTTTTTCTTATTTTTACGTTTTTTCGTTTTGAATTTTTTAAATTTTAGATGAAAAGACGAGTACAATTCGCAGAAGATTCAAAAGATCAAGAGTCAACACAACAACGAGTTAAAAGAAATAGGTTTGAGAGAGATGGTGATGAGAATGAGGATAACGACGAATTTGAATTACCTGGAACTTCCAAAGCTGATAAAAAGCATACTTTAGATTCAGATGAGGAAGACAATGTTAATGAATATGAGAGGTTGGACATGCAAAAAGTTAGTCAGAATTTGTTTTCCGATTCTTGATAGGCGCTCATATTGTTAAATAACCCCCCCCCCCCCCCCCCCTAACTACATTGTTTCATTTTCTAAACAAATTTTCGAATTTTTAGGTAGAAGGCCAAGAAGATGCAACACAAGAATATGAAGGAGAAATAAAAATAATGCCCTTTAACATGAATGATGATTTAGAAGAAGGTCATTTTGACGCTTTTGGTACTTTTATTTACAATAAAAAAGAGGCAGCTATAAAAGATGCCTGGCTAGATAATATTGAATGGGATAAAGCAAAGGACGCTGCTGGGGAAAAATGGGGAAAGGTTTTTTTAATTTTTTTGTTTTATTTCAAAAAAAATTTTTTTAGTTAGACGATGAAGTAATAACAAATGAGAAGGAGGACGATTTGGAATTAAAAACAATTTATTCAAAATTACTTGAGTTACTTGGAGTTGGGGAAACTATTGATGGAGCTTTAAAGAAATTAAACAGTCAGAAAGGTTTTTCTTTCGTTTTTAACAATTACGGCTTGACTAAAGAGTTTGTGTACTGAAAACGGTAATGGTTAACTTGGAAAACTCCAGCCTTCTTCTCCCCTGGATATACTTTACAAAGGAAATTTATCCCTTAATTAAAATTTATTTTTTTAGGTCTCAGTGCTTCAGAGGAACGCAAAAGGCGTTGGGCAGCCAAAAAGACGGGGAATACCTCTTTACCTATTCAAAATGATTCAATTCAAAATAAAATTGCGGAATTAACATCCCTCGCAGATTCATTAATTTCTCTTGGCCATATGGAAGCTTATCAACTTTCTCCAGTAAAAATTCAAAAAATGATTGAAGAATTGGAACCTAAAGCTGATGAAAATAATACAGCAAAAGAAGCAACTGTTGATATGTTTGCTGAATAGAAAAAAGAATTTTTTAAATTTTATTTTTTAATATATTAAAGGGTTAATTAAAATATTTTTTTGTTTTTAAGATACCATTTGGTTATCTGGCCATATTTTTCTTCTTTTTCAGAAATTTTAAAATGCTCAAAATCAAATAATTTGGGTTAATTCTCATGTCGTCCACATGTCACGGATTGTGAAGGAAGTAGAAGTCGGGTATCGGATATGCCATCCCTGGCCCAAGGTTGACTTGTAATTCTCTCGAAAATTAAAAAATGCAAACCTTGACCATTTTTAAATTTTTTGAGCTTTTTTGGGACAGATAATCAAATTGTATTTTTTATTTTATTTGTTTTTTCAATTAAATTATTTAATTAATTTTATTTTTTGTTTAATCAAACTTTCAACAGATTTTTAATTTAAAAAAAGTAAAAGAAAAAATGGAATTTATGAGTGCTGATGTTTCCGAAAAGGATGTTAGTAAATGGGAATCTCCATCTTTAGCAAAACACTTGTTCACAATTTCTGCTCATGTTGTTACAAAATATTTGCAATGGGGATTTGTGCCGACTGTTATTTATTTGGGTTTGTTTTTTATTAAATTATTAAAATTTTCTTGGTCTTGTGGGGAGGGAAGGAGTTTTTTTTGTTTATGATGGGCTGTCTTACATTTATTGGGTGACCTTGGCCAGATTCTTGGTTTGAAGTCAGGTAAACCCGAAAAGCACCTTGATCGTAACTCGTACAAGAAAAATAAAGATAGGAATTCAGGTCCAAGCCTATCTTTAGAATTTTTATATATCGATCGCTCAACTTAAAAAAATTTTCTTAGGAATGCGAAATGGTGCTGATCCACTTCCAAATGGAGAAATTCCTCAATTGTCGCTTTTTAGCGTTCTTTGGTAATTAAAATTGACTAAAAAGATGATGATTATATTTATGCAATGTTTTTTCAATAAAGTTGTTTTTTCTATTTTAATTTTTATTAAAAAATAAAAGCTGTTAAAAGCAACTATTTATTTTTGCATTTTAAAGGGTTTTAAATAACATTAATTCTTTGAAATTGAAGGATTTGTTGTGTTATTGTTGGTTAAGTGGGCGTGTTTTTCTTCTTTCGGTTCAAATCGGTCCATTTTGGCAACCCTAATCACAAGGTAAAGTTTTGGAGTGTATTCCCTGCTAGTTTCGTTTATTTTTCTTTTTTATGAAGCTGTGATTTTAAATAATTAAAATTTATATTCTCTTTCAGATTAAAAATTATTTTTGTTTCTTTTCTAAAATTAATAACTTAGAAAATGTTGGAAGAATTGCGTAAGAGAAAAAACGAATTCTCAAGCATTTGCAACGTCTATCATTTGATCAATTTTATGCTTTCTATTGCTTTTCCATTTGCTAAACTGACTCCAAAAATTTCTGAAATGCTTTTTGGAATGGAAAACAGAAATATTGACACGGTTTATTCTTTTTATTTTTAAATTATTTATATTTTTAATGAGTTTTTGCGGGCATCTAGAAGATTTCGCACTTTCAGAAAATCTGCGGACTTTAAGGAGCCTCATTCAATTTTTACAAAATTTACCCCTATTTGATGTAAATTCCATTTTTCTACCACAGAATTTTTGCCTTTGTTTAAAAATCAAAAATTTGTTCTGTGGGTCTCCAAAATATAATTGTCTTGTTGTCTTTTAAATTTTTGACGCTAATTCAAGTCTTGTGTGATAGATCTTAGTTTTGAGTTTAGGAAAGTTTTCGGACTTGTATGTCTTTAGGCGGCAAATTTTGTCCTCAAAATTGTTTGTAAAAAATAAAAATCTTTTTTTTCTTTTCAGAGAGAAAATGAAATTTTAATTTTTCTTGTTGTTATCGTCATTTTCAAGTGCCGAAAATCTTCAAGTTATTTACATACTTTTTCAACAATTTATCTTTACTCTAAATTGGCAAATTCGTTATTATTCTTTCGTGTTAAACCAATTTATGGTCTTTTTTATTGTGTTTTGGTTATTACTTTGTATGTTTTGGTAGATGAACCTTTACCTCCTGATTCTGAAAAAGTTAGATTTTTTAATGGAGAAGAGCTTAAGGTTTGTTTTTTAAATATTTTCTATCCGCAAAAGACGTGCGGATGTCTGCAACTAACTTTTTAAGTTTTTTACGATCATAGTCTGACTCGATTTTTTCTGTCCATTTCTAGTAGTAGCTGTATCTAAAATGACTTTTTCCAAGAATAATTCTTTTGAGAAAATTAAAGATAGATTAAAGATAGACTCTTTTAAATTATTAGAATACACTTCAAGAAGACAAATCAATTGTTTGGATTATTGAATTCTTCTCAACGTGGAGTCCAGAATGTCGTTATGTTAGGCCTGTATTTAATGCTTTGAGTGAAAAGTTTAGTTGAAAAATTTTTTTATTTTAATTTTAAATATTTTTTAAAGGTTTACTTTGCCAAACCTACGATTTGGTAAGGAGGTTGAAAATTCTTTACGAATGTCCGCAATTTTTTTGCATGTCTGTAAGTTTTTTAGGTGTCCGTAAAGGATTTGCAGACATCAATTGTTGTGGCTGCAAAAAATTGTGGATGCTTTTTAATATAAAACAGTACTTTTAAAAATTTCTTTGAAGGTAAATTGGACGTGGGGAGATTTCCAAAGGAAGCAGAACATTTTAGAATTAATTGTAGCGCTACAAGTAGACAACTTCCTACATTTTCTTGTTTTAAAGGAGGAATACAAACAGAAAGAAGACCTTTAATTGGTACAAATGGAAAGGCTATTCCTTTTGTTTTTACGGAGGTTTTTTTAAATTTTTTTTGTGGTTATCCGTTTTCTTCTTTCTCATGTTAGAAAAGTTAATTGGGCAAAGTCACATAATAGTTAGTCAAAAAAGGGATTTTTAAGGCCCTAACACTTGACCTATTAAAGGAGAATCAGTGTCTCATTAAATTAATAAGGCTAAAAAAAAGCCAAAATTTTCTTTTATTTTTGATATTGAAAAAGTAGAAAAGGATAAAACGAAGGAAAAAAATATGGGCAGATAACCACATTATTTCGAAAAAATTAATTTAAGAATTTTAAATTTTTTAAGCAAAACATAGTTTTGGCACTCGATTTGACTAGTATTTATGCAGAATGTAAAAAGAGGTTAAAAAACAGTTGAAACTTTTCTGTTGTTTTTAAATCAATTTATTAGCTTTATCGAATATATTTTATGGATATAAAGAGTAATTAATATAAAATTCTTTTGGAAGAACTTTTGGGGGTGTGGTGGGTAAATTTTGTTTGTTTTTTTTGTAAATTTTTTTTTCAAGAAAATTTCCCATTATTTTTCTTCCATTTTTCTAGTCACCTTCAGGGTATGGTCCAGCCAACACTTTCTTGATAAACTCTGAAAAAGTTAAATTTAGTGAGAGAATGAGATACACCCTCCTTGAGTTGAGTTGAGGGATATCTTAAATAAAGGTTTTCTTCACTTTCTGCCGTTAAACCTCGCTTCTAAATACCCCACAACTGAAACGTACTTATCCTATAATGAGGTGTTCCTTAAATAGAAGGTGACTGAAAAGAGGTTATTAAATAGAGGGCATCACTTAGGCAGCACCCCATTCAATGGCCAACCAAAATATAAAAGGTGTCTTAAGTAGAACACTGGGTTATCTTTTAGTGAGGTTCGACTGTGTATTTTTGATTGGAAATTGGAAGACTTGATCAATACTCGATCAATTCGGATATATGTAGGTTTTGTTTTTTTCTTTTTAGTATTATCAGACATTTTTTTCAGACAATTCACTCAGACAATAACAATTTAAAGATAAGTAAATTGAAGCGACTTATTTTATTAAGTAATTTTGTGTCTAAAATACCCGATTAATTTTTAGTTCTCGAATTTATCCTCTAACCACCATATTAGGTGTAGGTTCCAAAAATTGGGCTAACATTTAGTTTTTCTTGACGATATTTGCGGGCACTACTAGAGTAAAGCAGAGCTGGATATTTCTCTCCTTTAGCTATTTTCCATTACACCACGCCGCCTATTGCATAGCCTTAGGAATAAAATAGAGTCACCGGGGCTGGATTCGAACCTGCGATAACGCTGACAGTGCTTGCTCGGCCTTGCTCACACAAATGCAGGTGCTCTACCACTGAGCGATCGGGGCGACGACTAATGCTTTCTTCGTTTTAGATGCTCTAGATGAATCATCCTTATAATAGCTATATGTTTTACACTAGTTGTCCGCAAATTTTATAAGCATGACTACAAGATTTTGAATACTTTTAATCCAATCAGAGCGAAAAAAATTTTTTTCTTTAAAGTTAAAGAAAAACTCACGATCATAATTAACCATTCCCTCTCCATCCTCAACTCCTTGTAAAAGTTCATCAACTTCTTCAGTATTGAGACGCTCTCCCAACGCCAATAATACATGCCTCAATTCAGCTGCCATAATTTTTCCACTTTCATCTTTATCAAAAACTTTAAGTCCTTCCATAAAATCTGCATAACTTCCAACTTCTTTTTCTTTAGAAAGTTGGTCAAAAATTGGCAGCCATTCTTCAAATGTTAAACGTTTTTCACCTTTTCGTTTGTATTCTTGCCCGGCAGCTTTCCAAACCATTGCATTTGTTGGTTTTAAGCCACAGGCGCGAACAACTTCCCCTATTTGAATACCGTCAATTTTGCCGTCCAATTCTTTTAAAAGGAAAAAAATATTTTAAATTTTATTTGAGAGGATTAGTAGAGATAGGAGGGAATTGAAGCCCTATAAACTCAATTTTTATCTGGGATTTCTGGGGGATCTTGGATAGGTCTTGGATAACAGGCAGGCATAAGGTGGAGAGGGGCTGTAGGCTATAATTGATTTATAATAAGTACCAGCTATAAATGTAGACTTAACTCTAAGGATGAGGGGATATACTACAAAGTGAAGTTTATTCTGACTTAATTCTGATTACAAGTTTTAATTTTATTGACTAAACTTAAGCTTAAATTAAGTTTAATTTTTATTTTTCAAGTTTGAAGTCCACAAGTTTTAAGACAGCGAGTCAGGTCAATTACAAACCTTAAGTATTCAAGTTTGTAATTTTCAAGCTTGTATTTGCTAGCTTAAGCTTAAAATTAAGTTTAATTCTGGTTTTAAGTTTGTAATCAAAGTTTTCAAGTTTTTGTCTGATTCTCTAACCTTTTATTATTATTTAACTCACCCTCATCGTAGAGATTGAAAATTTCCTTAATCTCTGAAAAAATAAAAAAGTTAATTTAAAAAACAAAAAAATAGTCATTTTTTACCAGTTTGCGATGGCATTTTTAAAGAAGATTTTTAAATAAAACAATTTTATTTAGAAACAAAACTGTGGTGATTAACGTTGTTGAGAGAGAGAGAGAGTATCTATGTATTTATGTATACAACAAACAACACAAATAAAAAGGTGGAAGCAAGAGAGGAAGACTTTTTATCTCTTTTTGAGCTCTAAGACAACTTTTCAAGTGGATGGGGATATATTATTGAGTAAAATGGCTAAGGAAGAAGATATAAAAATTAGTAAATAAGAATAAAAAAAAGTGAGTCAAAATCGTTAAATCTTTTAGCACTTTAGAAAGATTTTTGTTGGTAAGAGGAAGCTGATTGAAAGAATTTAAAAGAAAGAGCAAAAGAGAGCGCAAAGTGTGTCTAGTATATAAAAGCTAAAGAGTAGAAACTAGCATCCCGGAAATGAAACAAAGTTTTTAAAAGTTAGAGAGAAGAAATCAGAAAAGAAAATATTTCTCTTTTCTTTTTCATGTTCTGATCTCTCTTTAATTCTGAAAAATGCTTTGAAAAAAAAATTTCTAACCAAAATTATTAGCTGTGTGTTAACGCCAAAAACTTAAGTTTGTGGTTTTTGTGTGTTATAAATTTTTTGGCGCACACCCTGATCAGTATATATAATTTTCAGACTCTCCCCCTCTCTCTCTTAAACATTTATCTGTTTTATATCAAGCTCTCTTAAAAGAGGAAATGTTGGTAAAAATAGGCAGCTGTCCTTTCCTTTTTCTTCGCAAGAATGGAGTAGGCGGCTTTATAAACACAACACGGCTGCTCTTCTTTAAAAAAAATTAGTTGTTAGAGCATTTCAGATCAATTTTAAATTTGAAAGAAGAAGAAAAATAAATATGGAAGAGGATTTGGGTATAATTAAACATAAGGTGTATTTTTTAGGTAAGGGGGACAGATGTTCGTCTCTAAAAGTATAATTCAAATAATTCTCATGAAAGAGAAAAAAGTTAAGTTTTTTTCGTTGTTGAATAAAAATAATGAAAATGAATCATTGACAACAATGAGGAAAGAAAAGAATTCTGAAAAATAAACAAGCTTGAAATAAATAAAAAAATAAGAATAATTTAATATAAAACTTTGAACTTGAACTAGAGAACGAGAAAAAAATGAGAATTTATAGAAATTAAAAATAATTTTGAATATTAGACTATGGGGAGTTCAAGGGATTAGGAGGGTTCAAGGAATCGGGAATCTTCAGTTGGTCCTTTAAAATTCTCAAAAAAAACTCTCTCCTTATTTTATTCCCGCAATGGAGGAAATCTGGCTTTCTGGCCTTCCAAATTTTCTGAAAATTTTCGTCTGCGGCGCTAAAAAAGAAATCGAGCTTCTAGTCCTTTAAAAATTAAAATAAAAAATTGACCAAAAATCCGCCAATGGTGACATAAATTTGACGCATAAATTATTAAAAAATTTTAACTCAAATTTTAGTTAAAATGTTATCTCAAATGATTAGGGGAAATGGACAAGATATCCGGAGTATAAAGGAATTGGTAGAATATCGGAGGATTAAGAGGATGTGAAGTGATATAGTGTGGATTAAAATGTTTTTGAGGGAAAAGGGGGATTACCCCTAATATCCCTCTCAATCCCTTCAAATCCTCAATAGCCTTCTAAATCACTGATATCCCTTGAAGCCACCCCTAATCCCTTCTTATATCCCTAGATATACTCTTTATCCCATGAATCCTTCCAAATCCGTTTAATCCGTCCAAAGTGTGACGATTTTCACCTTTTTGGACTATCATCTTTCGCCGTTCGCTGCTGAATAAAAAATTACAATTTGTACTACTTCTGATTTGAATATACTGTAGCAGTTTAAATAAAGTATAAAAGCGAAATGCCAAAATACTATTTCTCTTCTGTTTTTAGGTTTAGACGTTACAGACACGTTTTGTCAGGCGAGATTTTTATTTTCTTTATTTATTCATAGGTTAATTTCGGTTTTTCTTTTCTTTTTTTTTTCGTGAATAATTGGTAAAATGTTTTAATTTAATTTTTTTCCCTTTAAATTTTTGTGCTTTTTTAGATTCTTAACAAATATACTATTTCTTTTTTTCTCATTTAGCAGCAATACTACACTGTCCAAGGGATGATCGTCAATCCGATGGACAATATCGGTTCGTACATTACCACACAAGGCGCTTCAATCCTTTCTCGGGATGGAAATTATTCAACCGGATATAATGCTACAATTCCATTGGGCATAAATCCGCAGCCTCTCTACATTCAAAATCCAGCTTCGGTTACTACGGGTCATCATCAATTTGCCTCTCCACACAACTTTTCTTTGGTGCCGCAAAATTCGTTGCCTACTCCAATTCATATCAAAACGCGGGTATTTGTGCCGAATCAGATTGTTGGTATTCTTATTGGGACTAAGGTTATTTTTGTTTTGTAGTAAGGTTTTGAAAGGAAGGATGTAAAGTTTCGATACAAGACCTATACCATTTGATTTATCTCGTCGAGATGAGTCTAACGGTCCCACACTTTTTCAGGAGATGCCTGTGGACCGGGATATAGGTCCAGAAAATCGAAAAACCATAGGGTGGGGGGTCTATTCTTCATTTTTAAATTTTTCTTTTAAGGGTCAGACAATCAAGAGTGTTATAGCGGAATGCGGGTTTTTGTTTTTTAAGAATTTTGACGACGATTTTATTTTAGTGCCATTATAAGGATTGAAGGTGATCGTGATCCGACTCCATCTTCCTCTTCGGTTCATCAAAACACAAATAATTCTGTCGCTGCCAGCCAAGAAAATAGTTATAATAACAACACCAAGAGCACAACTACTTGTGTTGAAGATCCTTCTGTTATTACTAGTGATCATCATTCTCAAGAGGTTGGTGATAACGCTGGTGATAAAACTTCGAATGGTCCGATTGTGGCGCCTGCAGCTGTTGATTCTTTGGAAACTTGTGAAGAGGTCACTATTACTGGTCATGCCAATGGTGGGCACAAAAAGAATAATATCGTTGCTGGACATCCACCAGGTCCAGATCAACGAGGAGTGTTCATTTCTGGATATGACTTTCAAGTTTCTAGGGTTTGCTTTTCATTTAATTTACGATTTAATTTTTATCCTTATTAAGGCGCTCTTTTGGGTATTCAAGAAGTAAGTTGGTTTTTTTTAATTGCGGCTCTTTGAGGGGTTTCTTATCGATTTTTTAATTTGTAGGGTTGCAGACAGTCAGAATTTTCGTGTGGAGGATCTCGTTCTCACTTGTGAGGCAATTGTGCCAAGCAAGGTTGTTGGGCGAATTATTGGGAAGAATGGACAAAATGTATGCTGTTAGAACAGGGCTCTCATCGACAAAATGCCACTCAAAAGTATCAAAATCTTGATAAAAAAGTATATAGGGAGAAAATTTCCAAATTTAAAGTATACTCCAAATTAAATTGGAAAATATTTATTCGTGCTAAAATCTTTTATATTTCTCTCCTAAATTAATCTTTTCTAATAATTTCTTGCTTCCACTGAGCATTTTGTGCATTTCAACGCATGACATGTCAAAATTCGCTGATCAAGCAAATTACTTTCATCCATTTTCAGCGCCGCAGCGATAATTTTGAGAATTTTAGAGCTCTAGAAGCCAGATTTCTCCCATTTTCAGCGCCGCAGGCGAAAATTTTGATAACCTGGATTCGAACCCACCACACGAAATTTCTAGGTAAGCAAATTCAGTCAACCTAACCACTCAACCACCGACCTACATAATGAATGGTGAAAGAAATTATAAATAACTCTTTCCCTTTTCCTTAAAATAATTTTATTTCGAAGTAGGAGAGTGTTTTTTAAAAATAAAAGGTCTAAAAAGCCGTCTTTAGGGGTGAGTCCATCCCTGATAACTTCCGCATATAACTACACAAACACTCTTGATCCTTAAATATCGTGCCCAAATTTCACATTTTGGAGTTCAAGAAGCCAGATTTCTTCCATCTTCAGCGCCGCAGGCGAAAATCTTTTGAAATTTGGAGCCCAAGAAGACAGATTTCTTTCTTTTTCAGCGCCGCAGGCGAAAATTTTGATAATTTCGAAGGCCCAAGGCTAAAAAAATTCACTTTTTTGCCCAATCCCTTCCCCAATTTCATTCTCAATCAAATATGTTGATTTCAAAGTATATACTTTCAATAAAGTATAAATTCAATTTCTTAAGTATGGAGGTCGGTTTCAAAGTATAATACTTTCAAATAAAGCACGAATGAGAGCCCTGTGTTAGAATGTTTACAAAAATATTTTTAATTTTTAGGTTAAGCGACTTCAATTGAAAAGCGGTTTTTTATATTTATAATTTATCTTAAAAATTTTAAATTTTAGGAGCGAACATTAAAGTACCAGAAGATCTCAATCAACAGGACAAAAATTCCGTGGAAGCTGCTGTTCGCGTTGTTGGAAATTTTTATGCTGTTCAAATGGTTCAACATCATTTTGGCACGCTTATTTTGGATACTGAATGGCGTGAAAGTAGAGAATATGATGGTTAGTCTTCCTCAGTTTGTCGAACAATTATAAATTTTTTTCAGAGAAACGTTCCGGTTTTCGTCGCAGTATGGTTGCGTATGATCCACCATTATCCAACTTTGAGTATTCAGATAAGGTTTATTTTAAATATTTTAACAACTTTTAATTAATCTTATTCTTCAGCAATACTACGCCTCTCAAGGAATGCTTGTAAATCCGTTGGATAATTTTGGTCAATACATTACGGCTCAAGGCTTTCAGGCTTATTCAACTGCCTATAATACTGCAATTCCTTTGGGCCCGCAATCTCTCTACATTCAAAATCCAGCGTCGATTACTGGCTTTCAAAATACTACGGGTCATCAATATGCGACTCCGCATAACTTTTCTTTGGTGCCACAGAATTCAATGCCTACCCCCATTCATATCAAGACGCGTGTTTATGTGCCAAATCAAATTGTCGGTATTCTTATCGGAACTAAGGTTATTTTCGTTATCTTGAATAGTTATAGTTTTCTGTGACAATAAGGGGTCATGTTTATAGTACACAGTTTAATGATCATGGCAGACTGACATTATCATTTTAGCTAAAAAACCAGGGTTGGACACGACCGGTTATTAACCGGTACACTCGGTTTTCGGTTTTGGCTGGTTCGGTGAAGGCGTTATGAATTTTGTTGCTTAACGTCGAGGGTGAAAATAAGAACCCAGATTTCCTCCTTTTTCAGCACCGCAGGCAAAAATTTTGGAGGTCCATAAGGCAAATTTCTTCCATTTTTAGCGCGTAGTTCTTTTAAAAAAAACTTGTAAGTTGCGGATTTCGAGTTACGGATTTTTAAGATTTTCGAAATTTCCCACACAATTAATGAAAAAATCTGGTTTCTTGACACAAAATTTATAAAAATTTTCGCCTGCGGCGCTGTAAAAGGAACTTGAAACTTCAAAATTTTATTGACACTTCACCAGAATTTGCTCATATACATTTAACTAGTTTGAAGTGATTAAATTTCTTTATCTCCATTTTAAAAATTGCGGATTGTTTAGATTGTGGGGGTTTTGCAATTGCGGATTTTTAAAAAGAAATTGCGAGTTACGGATTGAGAGTTATTTTAAAATTTCCTACTGCGTACAAGCCTTTTTCTAAAAATAGGAATCAAACCAAAACTTAATCTCGTGCGTGCCTAACACATAACGTGCCTAACACACATAACCACTTAACCACCCGACTCTATAACGATGAGATAAATCGATTAAAAATATTTTTTTCACTGTTTGCTATGCTGAAAAGAAAATTTGGGGAAATATTTTTGTAGAATGTATTTTGAGAATTCATATTCCGAAGAACTCCAAAAAATTCCATCTTTAGGGTGTATTTTTTAAACCGAAACCTATCGGTTTAGGCCTCCGGTTTTCGGTTTTCGCCGGTTTTGACCCCCCGGTTTTTGGTTTATGTTTATTTGCAAAAAACACCGGTTTTCAGTTTCAGTTCGGTTAACCGTTTGTGTCCAACCTTACTAAAAACCATTATCGTTTTTCCTTATATGATTTTATCTTTTTAAGACAAGCTAGTGAACGACAATTTATATTTTTCATTTAAGGGTCAGACAATTAAGAGTGTTATAGCGGAATGCAGGTTTTTATTTTTTGTGAATTTTTATGCTTTATTTTTTTTCATTTTAGTGCCATTATAAGGATTGAAGGTGATCGTGATCCGACTCCATCTTCCTCTTCGGTTCATCAAAACACAAATAATTCTGTCGCTGCCAGCCAAGAAAATAGTTATAATAACAACACCAAGAGCACAACTACTTGTGTTGAAGATCCTTCTGTTATTACTAGTGATCATCATTCTCAAGAGGTTGGTGATAACGCTGGTGATAAAACTTCGAATGGTCCGATTGTGGCGCCTGCAGCTGTTGATTCTTTGGAAACTTGTGAAGAGGTCACTATTACTGGTCATGCCAATGGTGGGCACAAAAAGAATAATATCGTTGCTGGACATCCACCAGGTCCAGATCAACGAGGAGTGTTCATTTCTGGATATGACTTTCAAGTTTCTAGGGTTTGCTTTTCATTTAATTTACGATTTAATTTTTATTCTTATTAAGGCGCTCTTTTGGGTATTCAAGAAGTAAGTTGGTTTTTTTTAATTGCGGCTCTTTGAGGGGTTTCTTATCGATTTTTTAATTTGTAGGGTTGCAGACAGTCAGAATTTTCGTGTGGAGGATCTCGTTCTCACTTGTGAGGCAATTGTGCCAAGCAAGGTTGTTGGGCGAATTATTGGGAAGAATGGACAAAATGTATGCTGTTAGAATGTTTACAAAAATATTTTTAATTTTTAGGTTAAGCGACTTCAATTGAAAAGCGGTTTTTTATATTTATAATTTATCTTAAAAATTTTAAATTTTAGGAGCGAACATTAAAGTACCAGAAGATCTCAATCAACAGGACAAAAATTCCGTGGAAGCTGCTGTTCGCGTTGTTGGAAATTTTTATGCTGTTCAAATGGTTCAACATCATTTTGGCACGCTTATTTTGGATACTGAATGGCGTGAAAGTAGAGAATATGATGGTTAGTTTTTTAAATGTTGGGGGATTATTTTTAAGCTTTATGTATGTTGTCAAAGGTTACAAAAATTAAAGGGTCCGCATTAATTCTGACTAGATTGGTGGATCCGTGTCTTTAAAAAGACAGGTTATCCGGAAATTTTCGTTTCTAATCCAGATATCGAAGGGTCTCCGGGGATTCGCCAACCCCCTAATTCTGTCATCGAAAAAGTAAATATTTGCGGGCAAAATTTTGCGGACTTTTTGGGAGCATTTCACAACATTCCAACGCTTTCTTCTCCGCCTCTCACCCCTTCTCAATTATAATATTTCAAAAAAATTTAAGAGAAACGCTCCCGCTTTCGTGAGGGTGCTGGTAGTGGTGGTGATGCTGGTACTAGCCGTTAATTAATTTTGATCTCAACAACAAACAAAAAAATATAATTATATAGTATTTATTGGATTAAAAAGAAAAGGAAAAATGGGAGGAAAAAATTAATTTATTTATTAAAAAAACAGCAACAAAAAAACTCCTTAACCTTTTAAACAAAAAAAAAAAGAATTTTATTATTATTAATTGTATTTTTTTCCTCTTTTTCTCTCGTTAACAAACAAAAAATGCGAGTATATATATGTATAGAGTTGTTTTGAAGAAATTCTATTAGTATATATATATTATTATTATAATTATTACTACGTTTGCTTGTTTGTATTTTTTGTTGTTTGTTTTGGCTATACCAAAGATATAATTTATTTTTGAATTGTTTTTTGGGGGTTTTTGCTAAAGTTTGGGGTTGTGTTTCACAAAAGTCCACAAATCTCAATGTTTTTTTTTGCAAAAGGATGACTTTAGTCAAAAGGGATCATTTTAGTTAAAATAGGATCAAAGAGTCGCTTATCAATACAACAAAGCGTTTTTAGTATCTTAAAAGGAACTAGCACATTCCCCATGATTTTTTTGTGTTTTTTTGGAATTTCTATACATCCAATAATATTGAAATTTGTGGTCGAAGGTTCGAAGTCGATTGGAGAATTTAAAAAAGCAATTTTTTGTTGTATTGATAAGCAATAAACCTTACAATTAGATTAAATACCCTTAGAATAACCCGAAAAATTCATTTTTAAGCTTTTATTCCATCGCTAATACTAAAAAATAATTATGAGAGTAGTTAACCCACAGTCGGTGTCGTGGCTTTTTACTAATCCACTACCCGTCAAGTGGTGGAGGGGTCCGACAAAAACCAAAAGGGAGAGGGAATGCAGCGGTAAAGATCAAAGGGAGTGGACACTGTCGTGGGGAAGGAGGGGTCCGATAAAAGGAAGAGAAGTGGACACCCAAAAAGAAAGAGGAGAAACCAAAAGAGGGAGTGGGTAATTTGTAATAAGCTGGTTAACGTCGCGGCTGGCAATAACACGTAATCATGTAGAACGAAATGAATGAGTGATTAATTAGTAGAGATGAGCAATTTACAAATCTTCAATGTCGAGAATTCGTATATTACTAGATTAAACCTTGTAATCCACTTCATATCAATAATGAAAGTGATTACCCAGATTGATATCTCAAGTGATTACTATACAGTTCGATTATAATGTCTTAATAATGATTTGTTAGTGATTACTCGGGCTGTTAATTAGACTGATACCCGATAATTTATTAAAAAATATTAAAATTCTCTATTTTCAGTTCCCAATTTCTTTTTTTTTGCTCCCCCAAAATTTGGCCTTTGTTTTTAATACTTTTTCATAAATATAATTGACCTTGACCTAATTAAAATTTGACCTTAATCCTTTATTTTTTATTAAATTTCAAAATTTTTTAAATTTTTTCTATTTTCTCTTTGGAATATTTTAAATTTATGCAAATTTTTGTTTTAAAACCTCTTTGAAGATGCCGCCATATTTTAAAAATTTAGAGGTTTTTGTAAGATTTTCCTTGAAATTCTTTGACCTTTACACTAAAATCGTAGGTAATGGTGTAGGGGCTTTCGGCAAATTTCCATGTTAATTAGTATGACTAATTGACGACTTAGCACTACTAATTGGTTTCCATTTCATCTGACCAATGAATCGGTGTTATGTTTAAGCGTAACAAAATTAGTAAATAATTAATGACTTTGGCTGTCAAGCCCAAATAATGGGTGTTGGTGATTATTGAACAATTAATGCCTAATGAACAATTCCCTTTGTAGTTCCTACTTGTGGTAACTACTAATTGATTTTATTTTATATTACTACAGAGTTGAAGGTCAATGACACCCCTACAATTTTTTTCCCTTCTTTTACATCTTTTTTGCCCCCACGACAATATTTTATGGTCAAATTCTTTTGAGTGGCTGGTCAAAGACTAAGCTTATGCGACTATGCAAAAAGGCATACCTGCAGATGGAAAAAAGAAAGGCAATATTTAGGGAGAGTGGTCTGACAAAAAGAGATTATATCTATGAGTGAGAGTAAACCAAAAGGAAAGGGTATTTTTTGGCTAACCCTAAAGAAAACTAAAGTATAGCCTAACTAAAACCTAACCCTAACCTAAAAGAATGTATTTTGGCACCCTCGTTGGTCAGAAAATGTGGAAAGATGCCAATATTCAGGACGATAGGTCAGACAACGAGAAATATTAGTTTTAAAAATCAAAAGGACGAGAAATCTTTTGAAATTGGCTACGACTTAATACCACTTTTCTCCTGCTCCTTCTACACTTTACTCCACTCTCTACTACACTCCTTTGATCCTCCTCCTACTCCTCCTCTGCCTTCCTCCTACTATCTCTCATCTTCTCCTGTTCTTTTTTCCCTTTGCTCATACTCCCTGCTCTTCTCTTTCCCTCATACCCCTCCTCTCCATTCCGTTTACTTATCTCATTAACTCCTACTCCTTCTCTCCTTTCATTATACTCCTCTCCTTTCCTCTTCTTTCTTCTTAACTCCTACTATTACTCTTTCTCTCCTTTGCTTCTACTACTTCTTCCCCTCTCCTTTCCTCCTACTCCTTTGCTCCTCTCCTTTCCTTCTACTCTTATTCCACTCTTCTCCTCTCCTTTCCTCATATTCATTTGATCCACTCCTTTCCTCCTACGCCCCTGCTTCTCTCCTTTCCTCCTACCCCCTGCTCCTCTTTTCACCCTCCATATACATGTCAGAACCTTTGGCAAAACTACAGTATACAATTGATTCAAGGAAAATTTTTTAAATATAATTTTTATTGTTTTGTTTGGAATAAAATTTTTTATAAAAACATTTTGTATTTTAATGCTTAAAAGTAGTTGATTTTAGGGGTAAAAGTGAATAATTAAGATTACGATTAGCATAATTAACGTTTAGAAGTTGTTGATTTTAGGAGGAAAAGTGCATAATTAAGCAAAAGAAATTGCAAAATGCATAGTGTAAAGTTTGAAGTAGTTAATTTCAGGGTTAAAAGTGCATATTTAGGTAAAAGAAAATACAAATTTTAAATTTTATTAAAACAATAGATCTTAGGTATGCATGTGTTTTCAGTGGGTGTATGTATTTTTAACTATACAAAATTTTATTCAAAACTAAATTAATTACAATTAATTACCAAATATCAATATTATATTCTTCATCTATTTTCTAAATAAATATTGGGGTATTAGGCCCCTCAGATATCGCTTATTGTTAGATATATCATTTGAGAGTTTATTCATCCATATTCTTACCAATTGATCATTTTTTCCACAAATTTAAGCAATTCGAGAATATGGAGACAGTCCTCTCCTCCAAATGTAATGCGCTCGATAATGATTGTAAGTAGGGATACGTGAATCAATTTGATAATCCTCACTACCTACTCCTCACTAAATCATCTTTGTTGTTGGATGAAAGCATGTCAAGAATTGTACAGTAAAAATACTTAGAGAGAGAATGGCAAAGAGAATACCAATATTTTAAAAGGGGTTCACTAGATAAAATAGAATATATTTACTAGAAGAAAACCAAAAGGAAGTGTTCTCTTCTTTCTTAACCTACTCTCATTCCTCCTACTGCTATTCTTTCCTTTACTCCTATTACCCCTGTTATTCTCCTGCTTATCCTCTTCAATCTCTCATCTCCTCCTACTGCTCTTCTTTCCTTTCTTCCCACTACTCCATTTCTTCTCCTCTCCTATCCTCTTCCATCTCTCACTTCCAGCTTCTCCCCTTCTACTATCCATTACTCTTACATATTTTTCCTCCCCATAGCCAAGTCAAATCCCTACAAACAACAGCAAGCAGTCGGTTCATGGGAAAGCTTAAAAAATTTCTTGTGCTGTCAGGTTAAAGAATAGGTTAAGTGGAATTTAATTTTTTAATTTCTCTTCTTTTCTATCTTTTTTCCTCCTCCTACTTATTCTCCTCTCGTTACCTCCTACTCCTACTCTCCTTTCCTCCTACCCTCTTCTCGCTCTTCCCACTCTGATCTTTCCTAAATCATAGTCTCGTTTTCACCTATTACATCTCCCTTCTCCTTCACCATCCTAGTACATCTCCTCTCATTCCGCTCTACTCCTCTTCTCCTTTACAATTTTTCTATCCTTCTACTTTTTCCACTCCACCTCTTTCATTTTCTTACTCCTCCAATCCTAGTACCCTATTGCCCTCCTTTCATTCCGCTCTCTTCTCACGTATTTTCCTCCACTCTCTTCTCCTCTCCATTCCTCCTACTTCTTCCGCTCCCCTTCCTCAAAGTCCTCTTCACCTCCTATCCTTTCTTATACTCCTCTTCGACTTTTTTCCTACTTCTTTACTTCTTTCATCATAATCACCCTACTCTTATTTTCTCATCTCCTTTCCTTTAAATTATTCTCCTCTCCTTTCCTACTATTCTTCTACTCTTTTTTCATAATTATCTTCACTCTCCTCCTAATCCTTACTTCTCCTCTACTATCCTTTTACATCTAATCTCATTCCCTTCTATTCCTCTTCTCCTTCCCTCCTCATCCTCTATCCTTCTACTTCTCCACTTCTATCTTTCTACTCCACCTCTTCTATTTTCCTAATCCTCTCTTATCCTCCTATCTGCCCTCTCCTTTCACACTACTCTCTTTTACTCTCCTTTCCTCCTACTTTCTTCTCCGTTCTCTCTCCTCTTAGTACTTTCATAGTAGACTATTATTAACCTCTCTTTTTCTACTACTACACTTCTCTACTCTCTTATCCTACTTCTCTCATTTCCTTCTATCGCTATTCTTTCTTTTCCTCTTATTTTTTACATTTTACTCTTTCTTTCCTCCTACTCTCTTCAACTCTTTCCTAATACTCCTCTTCTCACGCTCCTCTCCTATTCTCCTACTCCACCTCCTCACTCCCTTCCTCCTCCTCTTCTCCTCTCTATCCTCTTACAGCTCTCATTTCCAACTTCTCCCCTTCTACTATCCATTACTCTTACATCTTTTCTCCTTACCATAGCCACTTCAAATCCCTTGGCAGAACAACAGTAAGTAATTGATTCAAGGGAAAATTGAAAAGATATTTTTACTGTTCATGTTAAAAAGAATTCAAATTTGATTTTCTAATTTCTCTTCTTTTCTATTCCTTTCCTCATACTCCTCTTTTTTTCTTTCGCAATTCCTCTTCTCTCTCCTCCTCCTACCCCTGATCTTTCTTCAGTCATACTCATATCCTCACGTTTCTTCTATTACTTCACCTTTTCCTCTACCATCCTTCTACATCTCCTCTAATTTTGATCTACTCTCCTCCTCCACTTCTACACTTCTACTCCGTCCACTTCACCTTGTCTATCCTCCTACTCCTCCTTTCCTCCTACTTATCCCCCCCTTTCCTCAAACTCCCCCTCACATTCTCTCTATTCTCATAACCCCTTTGGCTCCTCTCCTACTTATCCACCGCTTTCGTCATACATTCCTTCACCTATACTCTCCTTCAACAGCTCTTCTTTTCTCCTACTACCTTTCCTATCCTTATTTCCATTCCCCCTACTCTCCTCTCCTTTCCTCCTGCTACACTTCTGATTTCCCTAGTTCCTCCTCTCCTTATCTTTTCCTCTAACATCTCTCATTTCCATCTTCTCTCATTCTTTTATCCATTCCTCTTACTGTTCTTCTCCTCACCATAGTCAGTTCAAATCCTTAGGCAGAACAACAGTAAGAAATCGATTCAAGAGAAAGTTGAAAAGATTTTTTGTAGTGTTCAGGTTAAAGATCGGAAGAAGTGGAATTTAATTATTTAACACGTGCTTGACGTTTTGGACTAGTAGTAAACATGGTAATTCTAATCTCCTTAGCAGTCAAATTCGAAGCTTGTCTCCTCCCTCCCGAATTTTTTTCATGATTTATTATATATATTTTATTGTTTCTACTTTCAAATAAAATTTTTATAAAAAACTAAATTGATTACAATTAATTACCAGATATCAAGATTATTTTATTCATCTTTTTTCAAAATAATTATAGGACTTTTTTTGCTCCTCTGATATCATTAGTTTATTTGTTATATCATTGGAGAGATGATTCACCCGTTTTATTGGCAGTCGATTCTCAATTTCCTGCCCAAACTCAACCAAATCCTACAGATAAAATCGGTTTTTCTCCCAAATGAAAGGCGATCGATAATAATTGTAAGTAACGATAACGTAAATGAATCTGGTGTCAACCATAAAAGTGATATCAATGATAATTGTATGGAGGTTTTCAATTGTCTCATCCTCCTAACCTTTTCTCTTCTTCTTCTCCCTTTCCTATCCTCATCCTCTCATTTCTTCCTCCTTCTTTCCTTTCATCCTACACTTATTTTCTCACCTATTCTTCTCCCTATATCTCCTACTCCTCATATTTCCTCTTTTTCTATCTTCTCCTCATCCTTCTTTCTCCTCTCTTCATTCTCTCATTTCCTCATCATTCTCTCCTCTTCTCACCCTCTTCTCATTCTTTCTCCTTTCCCCTCTTCTTCCATCCTCCCCCTCTCCACTTCTGCTAGCTCTTTTTACTAATTCTTCTCATATTATCACCTCTTCTAATTTCTACATTTCCTTCTCTCCTTCTCCGTATCCTTTTTCCTCCTCACTACATTAACTTTATTGTATTGATGAGAATGTCGTGTAGGGAATTGTGCGGCAAAAGTACCCTAAAGAGTGAGTGCATATCGGTAATTTTGAGGGGTGAGATAAAAAAGATATACCAATATTTGGGGAGGGGTACAGAAAGTAATGAGGGTATGCCTATTAGTGGATGAAACCAAAACTATGAGGAACCATAACCGTCGTGGGTGACAATAATCAGTAACATATGTAACTTGATTGTGTTTTGTTTGTGTTGTTAATAATTTTGCAACCGTATAGGGTTTAAAGCTAGAATTAATTTGTAAACATCATTAAACATTTAAACTACAAACTTGTAATCATGTAACTACCAATTATTTTCAGTATTTACAAATATTACTCAGGCTGTTACTGAAAGTGGTTTCCGATGCTATTACATTAAGCCTAACTCTCCCAGAGAACTTCTCTGAGTTAATCAATAAAAATTTTCTGTTTGCTAGTACCAATTTTGTAGCTTGAAGGCAATCATTCCAGACAACTTTTTTTTAATCTGAAGCCAACCATTCCAGACAATCATTCCACTGGTCAAACACATGAGGTCCACCCTCATCATTTTACTCATGACTAAAGGAGCTCCATCCTCTCCTCCAGCATTCAAACTTTAAAAATTTTTTACCATCACCTAGTTTTCACTCATTTCTCTCCATTAATAATTATACTTTATTCTTTAGTCCCACTCTTCCTTCTACCTCAATGAAAGTACTGATATAAACACTTCCATTCGGATTCCTTATGAACTTACCAGCCCATCCATCGGTAATTTCATATGTTATATATCATTTAATGCAACCTCCATACACTTGGATAAATTTTAAAAATTAAAAAATGTATTTAATATCTAAACCCACACAATCCTAAACTAACTCTCACAGTGAAAACATGCACACACCTTTAAAACTTGCACGCACAACTAAGATACATGCACACAAATTTAAAAAATTGTAAATATAAGAAGTGCGCATTTATAAGTAAGAAGATATATTAAGCAAAATTAACGATCAGAAGTCGTAGATTTTACAGGTAAAAGTGCATAATTAATAGAACAATGAGCATGATTTACATTTTTAAGTTATTGATTTTAGGAAGAAAAGTGCATAATTAAGATTATGATGAGCATAGTTTAAAGTTTGAAATAGATGATTCTAGGGAGAAAAGTGCATAATTAAGAATACAATGAGCATGATTTATATTTTTAAGTTATTGATTTTAGGGAGAAAAGTGCATATTTAAGATTATGATGAGCATAGTTTAAAGTTTGAAATAGATGATTTTAGGGAGAAAAGTGCATAATTAAGAGAACAATGAGCATGATTTATATTTTGAAGTTATTGATTAAGGGAGAAAAGTGCATAATTAAGAATATGACGAGCATAGTTTACATTTTGAAGTTATTGATTTTAGGGAGAAAAATGCATAATTAAGCAAAAGAAATTGCAAAAAAGCATAATTTTCAATTTTAAATAATTGATTTTAGGAGTAAAGGTGCATATTTTGACAAAATAGAATGCGATTTTTATTTTTTTATTAAAATTCACATGTACATACATTTTAGCTATGCATGTGGGTTTTTGGCATGCGCGCGTGACTAAATTTAATATTCACTGAAGTCGACCCATTCTTTATTAAATCAAAAGTTCCTCCATTGTCTTCACCGCTATTTGTAAGATTAAAGACATAGATACAATGGGTTCGTCCATATTGTTGGTATGTTATCCCATTGCTCTCTGAAGAGCCATTAAAACCTATAGCCTCATTCATATCATGAAATGCTCTAACATATCGATTTGAACCATAGTCCAAATCATAGGGTGCCTGGGGTTATGAGCGCCCATTTGCTATAATACTAATTTCTCTTACTCTAAAAGGTTGAAAATTGAAAGGGCTCCGCTCTTGTGTCCCTACATAGTCAGAGTTTGCAACTAATCCTAAGGTAACACGACGGGGGATTTGATCCATAAAAAGATTTGCATTGAATTCATATCTTCCTTGACTAATAAATAAAGGTTTCATCATAGTTTTTCTAATAGAATAACGAGCAGGTTTAACGTCAAGTCTCCTAGCGATATCTAAAGCAAGACCGTCCATTAGATCTAATTTTTTTACATAGAGTTTACAACTAATAATTTCAAATTGATATTTAGTAAGTTGAGCTGCAGGAGCACCAAGAACGACAGGAGGAGGAGGAGCAATAAGTACAAATCTTGGTTCATTGGGTAATATTTCAATGTCAATTTCACAATGATTTATTTAATCAGCCTCAATATCTCATAAATCATTGTGAAATTGACATTGAAATATTACCCAATGAACCAAAATTTGTACTTATTGCTCCTCCTCCTCCTGTCGTTCTTGGTGCTCCTGCAGCTCAACTTACTAAATATCAATTTGAAATTATTAGTTGTAAACTCTATGTAAAAAAATTAGATCTAATGGACGGTCTTGCTTTAGATATCGCTAGGAGACTTGACGTTAAACCTGCTCGTTATTCTATTAGAAAAACTATGATGAAACCTTTATTTATTAGTCAAGGAAGATATGAATTCAATGCAAATCTTTATATGGATCAAATCCCCCGTCGTGTTACCTTAGGATTAGTTGCAAACTCTGACTATGTAGGGACACAAGAGCGGAGCCCTTTCAATTTTCAACCTTTTAGAGTAAGAGAAATTAGTATTATAGCAAATGGGCGCTCATATCCCCAGGCACCCTATGATTTTGACTATGGTTCAAATCGATATGTTAGAGCATTTCATGATATGAATGAGGCTATAGGTTTTAATGGCTCTTCAGAGAGCAATGGGATAACATACCAACAATATGGACGAACCCATTGTATCTATGTCTTTAATCTTACAAATAGCGGTGAAGACAATGGAGGAACTTTTGATTTAATAAAGAATGGGTCGACTTCAGTGAATATTAAATTTAGTCACGCGCGCATGCCAAAAACCCACATGCATAGCTAAAATGTATGTACATGTGAATTTTAATAAAAAAATAAAAATCGCATTCTATTTTGTCAAAATATGCACCTTTACTCCTAAAATCAATTATTTAAAATTGAAAATTATGCTTTTTTGCAATTTCTTTTGCTTAATTATGCATTTTTCTCCCTAAAATCAATAACTTCAAAATGTAAACTATGCTCGTCATATTCTTAATTATGCACTTTTCTCCCTTAATCAATAACTTCAAAATATAAATCATGCTCATTGTTCTCTTAATTATGCACTTTTCTCCCTAAAATCATCTATTTCAAACTTTAAACTATGCTCATCATAATCTTAAATATGCACTTTTCTCCCTAAAATCAATAACTTAAAAATATAAATCATGCTCATTGTATTCTTAATTATGCACTTTTCTCCCTAGAATCATCTATTTCAAACTTTAAACTATGCTCATCATAATCTTAATTATGCACTTTTCTTCCTAAAATCAATAACTTAAAAATGTAAATCATGCTCATTGTTCTATTAATTATGCACTTTTACCTGTAAAATCTACGACTTCTGATCGTTAATTTTGCTTAATATATCTTCTTACTTATAAATGCGCACTTCTTATATTTACAATTTTTTAAATTTGTGTGCATGTATCTTAGTTGTGCGTGCAAGTTTTAAAGGTGTGTGCATGTTTTCACTGTGAGAGTTAGTTTAGGATTGTGTGGGTTTAGATATTAAATACATTTTTTAATTTTTAAAATTTATCCAAGTGTATGGAGGTTGCATTAAATGATATATAACATATGAAATTACCGATGGATGGGCTGGTAAGTTCATAAGGAATCCGAATGGAAGTGTTTATATCAGTACTTTCATTGAGGTAGAAGGAAGAGTGGGACTAAAGAATAAAGTATAATTATTAATGGAGAGAAATGAGTGAAAACTAGGTGATGGTAAAAAATTTTTAAAGTTTGAATGCTGGAGGAGAGGATGGAGCTCCTTTAGTCATGAGTAAAATGATGAGGGTGGACCTCATGTGTTTGACCAGTGGAATGATTGTCTGGAATGGTTGGCTTCAGATTAAAAAAAAGTTGTCTGGAATGATTGCCTTCAAGCTACAAAATTGGTACTAGCAAACAGAAAATTTTTATTGATTAACTCAGAGAAGTTCTCTGGGAGAGTTAGGCTTAATGTAATAGCATCGGAAACCACTTTCAGTAACAGCCTGAGTAATATTTGTAAATACTGAAAATAATTGGTAGTTACATGATTACAAGTTTGTAGTTTAAATGTTTAATGATGTTTACAAATTAATTCTAGCTTTAAACCCTATACGGTTGCAAAATTATTAACAACACAAACAAAACACAATCAAGTTACATATGTTACTGATTATTGTCACCCACGACGGTTATGGTTCCTCATAGTTTTGGTTTCATCCACTAATAGGCATACCCTCATTACTTTCTGTACCCCTCCCCAAATATTGGTATATCTTTTTTATCTCACCCCTCAAAATTACCGATATGCACTCACTCTTTAGGGTACTTTTGCCGCACAATTCCCTACACGACATTCTCATCAATACAATAAAGTTAATGTAGTGAGGAGGAAAAAGGATACGGAGAAGGAGAGAAGGAAATGTAGAAATTAGAAGAGGTGATAATATGAGAAGAATTAGTAAAAAGAGCTAGCAGAAGTGGAGAGGGGGAGGATGGAAGAAGAGGGGAAAGGAGAAAGAATGAGAAGAGGGTGAGAAGAGGAGAGAATGATGAGGAAATGAGAGAATGAAGAGAGGAGAAAGAAGGATGAGGAGAAGATAGAAAAAGAGGAAATATGAGGAGTAGGAGATATAGGGAGAAGAATAGGTGAGAAAATAAGTGTAGGATGAAAGGAAAGAAGGAGGAAGAAATGAGAGGATGAGGATAGGAAAGGGAGAAGAAGAAGAGAAAAGGTTAGGAGGATGAGACAATTGAAAACCTCCATACAATTATCATTGATATCACTTTTATGGTTGACACCAGATTCATTTACGTTATCGTTACTTACAATTATTATCGATCGCCTTTCATTTGGGAGAAAAACCGATTTTATCTGTAGGATTTGGTTGAGTTTGGGCAGGAAATTGAGAATCGACTGCCAATAAAACGGGTGAATCATCTCTCCAATGATATAACAAATAAACTAATGATATCAGAGGAGCAAAAAAAGTCCTATAATTATTTTGAAAAAAGATGAATAAAATAATCTTGATATCTGGTAATTAATTGTAATCAATTTAGTTTTTTATAAAAATTTTATTTGAAAGTAGAAACAATAAAATATATATAATAAATCATGAAAAAAATTCGGGAGGGAGGAGACAAGCTTCGAATTTGACTGCTAAGGAGATTAGAATTACCATGTTTACTACTAGTCCAAAACGTCAAGCACGTGTTAAATAATTAAATTCCACTTCTTCCGATCTTTAACCTGAACACTACAAAAAATCTTTTCAACTTTCTCTTGAATCGATTTCTTACTGTTGTTCTGCCTAAGGATTTGAACTGACTATGGTGAGGAGAAGAACAGTAAGAGGAATGGATAAAAGAATGAGAGAAGATGGAAATGAGAGATGTTAGAGGAAAAGATAAGGAGAGGAGGAACTAGGGAAATCAGAAGTGTAGCAGGAGGAAAGGAGAGGAGAGTAGGGGGAATGGAAATAAGGATAGGAAAGGTAGTAGGAGAAAAGAAGAGCTGTTGAAGGAGAGTATAGGTGAAGGAATGTATGACGAAAGCGGTGGATAAGTAGGAGAGGAGCCAAAGGGGTTATGAGAATAGAGAGAATGTGAGGGGGAGTTTGAGGAAAGGGGGGGATAAGTAGGAGGAAAGGAGGAGTAGGAGGATAGACAAGGTGAAGTGGACGGAGTAGAAGTGTAGAAGTGGAGGAGGAGAGTAGATCAAAATTAGAGGAGATGTAGAAGGATGGTAGAGGAAAAGGTGAAGTAATAGAAGAAACGTGAGGATATGAGTATGACTGAAGAAAGATCAGGGGTAGGAGGAGGAGAGAGAAGAGGAATTGCGAAAGAAAAAAAGAGGAGTATGAGGAAAGGAATAGAAAAGAAGAGAAATTAGAAAATCAAATTTGAATTCTTTTTAACATGAACAGTAAAAATATCTTTTCAATTTTCCCTTGAATCAATTACTTACTGTTGTTCTGCCAAGGGATTTGAAGTGGCTATGGTAAGGAGAAAAGATGTAAGAGTAATGGATAGTAGAAGGGGAGAAGTTGGAAATGAGAGCTGTAAGAGGATAGAGAGGAGAAGAGGAGGAGGAAGGGAGTGAGGAGGTGGAGTAGGAGAATAGGAGAGGAGCGTGAGAAGAGGAGTATTAGGAAAGAGTTGAAGAGAGTAGGAGGAAAGAAAGAGTAAAATGTAAAAAATAAGAGGAAAAGAAAGAATAGCGATAGAAGGAAATGAGAGAAGTAGGATAAGAGAGTAGAGAAGTGTAGTAGTAGAAAAAGAGAGGTTAATAATAGTCTACTATGAAAGTACTAAGAGGAGAGAGAACGGAGAAGAAAGTAGGAGGAAAGGAGAGTAAAAGAGAGTAGTGTGAAAGGAGAGGGCAGATAGGAGGATAAGAGAGGATTAGGAAAATAGAAGAGGTGGAGTAGAAAGATAGAAGTGGAGAAGTAGAAGGATAGAGGATGAGGAGGGAAGGAGAAGAGGAATAGAAGGGAATGAGATTAGATGTAAAAGGATAGTAGAGGAGAAGTAAGGATTAGGAGGAGAGTGAAGATAATTATGAAAAAAGAGTAGAAGAATAGTAGGAAAGGAGAGGAGAATAATTTAAAGGAAAGGAGATGAGAAAATAAGAGTAGGGTGATTATGATGAAAGAAGTAAAGAAGTAGGAAAAAAGTCGAAGAGGAGTATAAGAAAGGATAGGAGGTGAAGAGGACTTTGAGGAAGGGGAGCGGAAGAAGTAGGAGGAATGGAGAGGAGAAGAGAGTGGAGGAAAATACGTGAGAAGAGAGCGGAATGAAAGGAGGGCAATAGGGTACTAGGATTGGAGGAGTAAGAAAATGAAAGAGGTGGAGTGGAAAAAGTAGAAGGATAGAAAAATTGTAAAGGAGAAGAGGAGTAGAGCGGAATGAGAGGAGATGTACTAGGATGGTGAAGGAGAAGGGAGATGTAATAGGTGAAAACGAGACTATGATTTAGGAAAGATCAGAGTGGGAAGAGCGAGAAGAGGGTAGGAGGAAAGGAGAGTAGGAGTAGGAGGTAACGAGAGGAGAATAAGTAGGAGGAGGAAAAAAGATAGAAAAGAAGAGAAATTAAAAAATTAAATTCCACTTAACCTATTCTTTAACCTGACAGCACAAGAAATCTTTTAAGCTTTCCCATGAACCGACTGCTTGCTGTTGTTTGTAGGGATTTGACTTGGCTATGGGGAGGAAAAATATGTAAGAGTAATGGATAGTAGAAGGGGAGAAGCTGGAAGTGAGAGATGGAAGAGGATAGGAGAGGAGAAGAAATGGAGTAGTGGGAAGAAAGGAAAGAAGAGCAGTAGGAGGAGATGAGAGATTGAAGAGGATAAGCAGGAGAATAACAGGGGTAATAGGAGTAAAGGAAAGAATAGCAGTAGGAGGAATGAGAGTAGGTTAAGAAAGAAGAGAACACTTCCTTTTGGTTTTCTTCTAGTAAATATATTCTATTTTATCTAGTGAACCCCTTTTAAAATATTGGTATTCTCTTTGCCATTCTCTCTCTAAGTATTTTTACTGTACAATTCTTGACATGCTTTCATCCAACAACAAAGATGATTTAGTGAGGAGTAGGTAGTGAGGATTATCAAATTGATTCACGTATCCCTACTTACAATCATTATCGAGCGCATTACATTTGGAGGAGAGGACTGTCTCCATATTCTCGAATTGCTTAAATTTGTGGAAAAAATGATCAATTGGTAAGAATATGGATGAATAAACTCTCAAATGATATATCTAACAATAAGCGATATCTGAGGGGCCTAATACCCCAATATTTATTTAGAAAATAGATGAAGAATATAATATTGATATTTGGTAATTAATTGTAATTAATTTAGTTTTGAATAAAATTTTGTATAGTTAAAAATACATACACCCACTGAAAACACATGCATACCTAAGATCTATTGTTTTAATAAAATTTAAAATTTGTATTTTCTTTTACCTAAATATGCACTTTTAACCCTGAAATTAACTACTTCAAACTTTACACTATGCATTTTGCAATTTCTTTTGCTTAATTATGCACTTTTCCTCCTAAAATCAACAACTTCTAAACGTTAATTATGCTAATCGTAATCTTAATTATTCACTTTTACCCCTAAAATCAACTACTTTTAAGCATTAAAATACAAAATGTTTTTATAAAAAATTTTATTCCAAACAAAACAATAAAAATTATATTTAAAAAATTTTCCTTGAATCAATTGTATACTGTAGTTTTGCCAAAGGTTCTGACATGTATATGGAGGGTGAAAAGAGGAGCAGGGGGTAGGAGGAAAGGAGAGAAGCAGGGGCGTAGGAGGAAAGGAGTGGATCAAATGAATATGAGGAAAGGAGAGGAGAAGAGTGGAATAAGAGTAGAAGGAAAGGAGAGGAGCAAAAGAGTAGGAGGAAAGGAGAGGGGAAGAAGTAGTAGAAGCAAAGGAGAGAAAGAGTAATAGTAGGAGTTAAGAAGAAAGAAGAGGAAAGGAGAGGAGTATAATGAAAGGAGAGAAGGAGTAGGAGTTAATGAGATAAGTAAACGGAATGGAGAGGAGGGGTATGAGGGAAAGAGAAGAGCAGGGAGTATGAGCAAAGGGAAAAAAGAACAGGAGAAGATGAGAGATAGTAGGAGGAAGGCAGAGGAGGAGTAGGAGGAGGATCAAAGGAGTGTAGTAGAGAGTGGAGTAAAGTGTAGAAGGAGCAGGAGAAAAGTGGTATTAAGTCGTAGCCAATTTCAAAAGATTTCTCGTCCTTTTGATTTTTAAAACTAATATTTCTCGTTGTCTGACCTATCGTCCTGAATATTGGCATCTTTCCACATTTTCTGACCAACGAGGGTGCCAAAATACATTCTTTTAGGTTAGGGTTAGGTTTTAGTTAGGCTATACTTTAGTTTTCTTTAGGGTTAGCCAAAAAATACCCTTTCCTTTTGGTTTACTCTCACTCATAGATATAATCTCTTTTTGTCAGACCACTCTCCCTAAATATTGCCTTTCTTTTTTCCATCTGCAGGTATGCCTTTTTGCATAGTCGCATAAGCTTAGTCTTTGACCAGCCACTCAAAAGAATTTGACCATAAAATATTGTCGTGGGGGCAAAAAAGATGTAAAAGAAGGGAAAAAAATTGTAGGGGTGTCATTGACCTTCAACTCTGTAGTAATATAAAATAAAATCAATTAGTAGTTACCACAAGTAGGAACTACAAAGGGAATTGTTCATTAGGCATTAATTGTTCAATAATCACCAACACCCATTATTTGGGCTTGACAGCCAAAGTCATTAATTATTTACTAATTTTGTTACGCTTAAACATAACACCGATTCATTGGTCAGATGAAATGGAAACCAATTAGTAGCGCTAAGTCGTCAATTAGTCATACTAATTAACATGGAAATTTGCCGAAAGCCCCTACACCATTACCTACGATTTTAGTGTAAAGGTCAAAGAATTTCAAGGAAAATCTTACAAAAACCTCTAAATTTTTAAAATATGGCGGCATCTTCAAAGAGGTTTTAAAACAAAAATTTGCATAAATTTAAAATATTCCAAAGAGAAAATAGAAAAAATTTAAAAAATTTTGAAATTTAATAAAAAATAAAGGATTAAGGTCAAATTTTAATTAGGTCAAGGTCAATTATATTTATGAAAAAGTATTAAAAACAAAGGCCAAATTTTGGGGGAGCAAAAAAAAAAGAAATTGGGAACTGAAAATAGAGAATTTTAATATTTTTTAATAAATTATCGGGTATCAGTCTAATTAACAGCCCGAGTAATCACTAACAAATCATTATTAAGACATTATAATCGAACTGTATAGTAATCACTTGAGATATCAATCTGGGTAATCACTTTCATTATTGATATGAAGTGGATTACAAGGTTTAATCTAGTAATATACGAATTCTCGACATTGAAGATTTGTAAATTGCTCATCTCTACTAATTAATCACTCATTCATTTCGTTCTACATGATTACGTGTTATTGCCAGCCGCGACGTTAACCAGCTTATTACAAATTACCCACTCCCTCTTTTGGTTTCTCCTCTTTCTTTTTGGGTGTCCACTTCTCTTCCTTTTATCGGACCCCTCCTTCCCCACGACAGTGTCCACTCCCTTTGATCTTTACCGCTGCATTCCCTCTCCCTTTTGGTTTTTGTCGGACCCCTCCACCACTTGACGGGTAGTGGATTAGTAAAAAGCCACGACACCGACTGTGGGTTAACTACTTATGAGCCTAAGCAGTACTTCTTGCTCTTCCTCAATTGTGGTACTCCAAAAGGAACAAAAAGACGATATTACAAAAGAAATGATTGGACAGGTGTTTGCTGATTGTGACAAGTCTGGAAATGGATTTATTAACATCAAAAAGTTGAAGGTTTGGTTTTTAAAGTTTTCAGTTTTTGATTGTTGACAATGAAAGTTAATTGATTTTGAATTTTCCTGGCAAATTAGAGCGAATTGCACAATTTATGAATAAGTTGTTTGTTTAGTTGTAACGCTTTCGATTTGTTTGAATGTTGTCTCGTATTCTACGCCTTGCCCTTGTTTTTAATTTTAAGCAGACATTTTTTAGCTCCAATGCTTATTTACATTTTTAATCCTTTTTAAAGTTCTGTTTTTACTTTTTTAGTGTGATGTGGTTTGTATTTTATGTGAATTCTTTCCTTTTTGCTTGTAAGTTTTGTGTACTCTCTTTTCTTTTATTTGTTTTTTTCAGATTGTAATGAGAGCACTTGGATTAGAACCAAGACAAGAAGAGGTTTTTTACTTTTTTGAGAATAAATACAAATTGTTTTTAAAGGTAAACAAATTAATGGATCGAATGTTGGAGGATTCTGTTGCTCGTTCTGTTAACCAAGGTTTTTTGAATTAATTTTTTGAATTAGCTAGCCAACAAACTACCGCCTACTTTATTCCACGGAATTTATTGTGGGAACCGACCCATTGTGAATATCCAGCGAAAATTTTTTTGCTAAAAGTCGTAGATTTCTAATCCGCTGGTCTATGTAGCAAATTGGGGGTCTGTGGTTCGAGCCCATTCCTTATTTTTTAAACATTTAAATTTGTAAAATGAACAAATATAACAAATTTTCGAGTTTCTAAATTTTTTATTCATCTAAAATTAAAATCCTGTGTATTCCTCTCGCTATTTTTACTCTCAAAAAATTTATTTTAGAAGCATTTACTGCCCAAGAATTAGCCAATATACTTTCTGATCGTTTAAAAATTGCAAAATTGGCGATGAAATTCAGACTGCTTTTCAACTTTTTGATTCTAATGAAAAAGGGTTTATTAATGTTGAGGATTTGAAGAGAGTTGCAAAAGAATTGGGGGAGGAATTGAATGAAGACGAATTTAAGGTTTTTAATTTTGTAGTTTAACCTCACTTTAAGTTAAACAATTGTGACTGAAAAATCGTCTCTTATAATGAGGACATCTTTAATAGAGTGCATCGCGTATGCAGTCCTCATTCCAGTTTTCGATCAAAATAAAAAAAACGACTTTAAAATGAGAATTTATAATGAGTTTGACCTAATACTAGACATACTAGACACACCTCTATTTAAGAAACGTTTTAAAATTTGGTCACTGGGTGTGGGAGCTGCCAGATCCTACCCCCAATATATTAGACTATTTTTCCAGTTTCAAAGGGTATATCTATTAATGAGTGTTGGTTTATTTTGATTAAAATTTAATTTTAAGGAGATGATTTCATTAGCAGAATGTTCCATAAAAGGCCAGGTTACTCCGAACGAATTTAAAAATGTTATGAAAAAAATTTCGCTTTATTGAAGAAAATATTTTTAAAAAGTTTTTAAAGTTAATTGAAGTATTTTTTGAAGATTTATTCTTTTAAGATTACACATAAATTAAAGAAAAATAAAATTAAAAAGAAAAATAATAGAGATTAATTGCACACATAAATAAACTTTTTCTTCTTTTTTTTCTTCATTTCTCACAAAATCTAACAACTTTCTTTTCTTTTTTACTTTCCTTATTATTCCCCTCTTCTTTAGCAATAACAACTTTTCCAGCTTTAGCCTGAATAGACAATGAAGGTGGAAAATAATTATTTTCTTCTTCTTCTTCATTACTGTTAAATTTTGAATTTTTATTTAAAGGATTAGGGAACGAGAAAATTGTTGTTTTGTTTTTATTTGATGGAATTAATTGAACTGTATCTGACGATGAAAATTGTAAAAGAGGAATTAAACGATTTTCTTGAACATAAACATATCCAGCAATTATTAAAAAGAAAATTGCTGAAATAGCTAAAATACAAGCAATTAAACGTATCCAATAAATTAAATTGTTGTTTTCTTCTTCGTTTTTAATTATTTCTAAATTATTTTTATTGTCTTTTTGTTGTTGAGGAATATTTTCACATTTTCCAATTAAACAGCCTAAAGTGCCTGAAGGAGTATTTGCTTGTCCAATTGAAGAAAGCCAAGAACCAATCCATTCTTGTTCACAAATACATTCCCATTTATTCTGAAAATTTTTTTAAAAATAATCGCGGCAATTAAGGTAAGGTTATATTTCAATCAGAGGGGCATACAAAAATGTCGAAAAAACATTTTTCCTAGGGACCAATAAACTCGACCCAATAAATATAAAAATACCTCAGAAATATCCACAGAAATTAAATTGGAAATATCCAAATTGTCAAAAACTCCTTTAGGTAAATAATAAAGCAAATTATTATTTAAAAATAATTTTTTCAAATTTTTGACTTCCTCAAAACTTTTGCTTGAAATTTTAATTATTTTGTTGTGATCCAAATTTAATTCTTGTAATGAAAATAATCCATTTAAATCTCCTTCATTTATTGAATTAATTGAATTATACGAAAGAAATAATTTTTTGAGTGATGTTAATAATTCAAATACTGAACGGTCCAAATAAATATTTGATGCTAGAAAAAAAATTAAAAAATTTTTTTTAAAAATCTTTCCCAGGTAATCCAAAATATACCAAACTTAACTTTCTGGTTAAGTGGGAAAATTTTATGTAAAAAGGGGGAAGGTTTGAATATGCTATTTGTAACATAATTTTTTAATGAGAAAATCTTTTTTTTATAGTGAAAGATATTTAGTCGAAGAAAATGAAATTAAGAATTTTATTTTTTGTTAGGGGACGTTACTGCATATATGAGACAGGAATTTTATGTAAAAAGGGGAAGGTTCGAATTATTTAAATTGGACAAATTCCCTCCTTTTTCTATCTTTATTTTAAAATTAAAAAAACTTTTTGCTTACGTGAAGGATCGTTAGTTGAAGAACACGAAAATGAAGCAATTTTATTTTTTTGTAAAGACAAAACTGTCAAACTCATTTTTATTGGTTCAAAAGCAAAACAATCAATCCAAGAGATATTATTTCCATCCAAAATTAAAGAATATAGTTTTTGACTTTTTTTCAAAAATTTAAAATCTTCATTTGAAATTTTAAAAATTTTGTTGTTTTCCAAATGTAGAGTATTTAAATTAGACAAATTTTGTAAATTTATGTCTTTGATTTGTTCAAATAAATTATTTGAGAGAAAGAGAATTTCGAGTTTAGGAAGATGAGTAATTTTTAACTGAAAATAATTAAAAAGTGATTTTTAGTGTTAGAGTAAATAAATGGAAGGGAAAAAGTGTTTCTTTGTCAAGGATTGACTTCTGAACCGATTTAAATAATTTTTATACTTATTAATCGAAAGCTTTAATTATGGGGATTATTTTAACTAACGAGGTTATTTTGATCAAATATCTCAAGAAAAGTTACAGGTGTAAAATGAGTAAAATCATGATTTTGTCTTTTATTTTTCTGCAACTTGTCTATCAAATGCTGTTAGGCAAAATAATCAGCATATTCAAAGCTTTCGATTAATATGAAAATTATTTTAAAAGGACAAGAATTAAGAAAGTTTTGACCAAAAACAGAACCTCTGGACTCTTTCGGAAAAAACAATTTATTGGATGTTGCTTTTTCAAAAATAAGAGGTTCCCACCCGTTTTTAGACGTTTAGAAAATTAAAAAATAATTTTTGAAAACCTTTCCAATCCTGTTATTAGAAATATCCAAATGCTTGAGAGACAAAAGATAAGAAAAAGCTTCATCCTCGATAGACTCAATAAAGTTGTCTAAAAAATTAAATTTTTTTAAATTAAATAAATTAAAAAACAAACTTTGCAAACTTAAAGATTCCAAATTTTGCAAATTCTTAAAAACATCTCTAAAAATTTTAAAAAATTTCAAAAATTAAAAGGCAAATGGCAAACTTTGTAATCTTTGTCAATCGATTGTTGGAAATAGTTAGGGTTTTCAATTTGGTTAATGAATTGAAAATGCCGTCATCGAGACTATAAATTAAATTTAAATTAAAAATGCCCTCCTGGCTACGGGCCTGTCTGCCCGTGAAGCAATTAAAATTTTTAGAATACGCCAAAGGTGCCCCAAAACAAATTTAAAAAAAACACAAGAGGTAAAAAACAAACGAATTAATTTGATTATTATCCAACAAAAGAGTCTCCAAATTAACAAGTTTAGAAAAATGGCTGCGTTTAAGTTGACTCAATTTATTGCTGCTGAGATCCAAATATTTTAGAGAAGCCAAATTTAAAAATATTTTTTCGTCAATTGACTTCATTATATTATTACGAAGACTTAATTCTAAAAATTAAGAGTGAAATTTTGTGGAATTTATTTTTGCGAACATTATTACATTTGCGGACTTTTCCAGAAATTCTCTTATTGTTGGTAAGGGATAAAAAGAAAAAAAATTGCAGAGAGAATTGAAAAAACCTCCAAAGAAAGCGTTACAACAATACAAATACACCACTAATATTCTCGCCAAGCTCGTAGCCAGGAGGCATTAAATCACGGCAATACATTTCTAAACTTCTCGTTTTCGGCGCTAAAAAGATTGCCCCATCCCCGAAAATTTTTCCTGGCTACGGCCTCGATTTTCGATAATTATTCTTAAATAACAAATAAGAAATATCCCCAAAATTGGACGCCTTCTCAATTTGAAAGAACGGGAAAAGTTCTCAAGAAGTGCAACCCCTTATCTTCACAAAGCCAACAAAAATATAAAATCAAACAAAAAACCTTTAAGAGTATTCTCAACATTAGAAAAAGCTTCCTTTCGAATAATTCCAACACTAGAATCTTCAATCGTTAATTTATCCAATTTAATTTTAGAGAACATATCTTTCGGCAAAATGTTGATTAAAGCATTCCAAACATGTAAATGGTCAATTTTTGTATCGTTTAATGAAAAAAGAGCTCGAAAAATAGCAGGCATTTTTTGATTAGTACATCCAATCCAAATTTTGTTTGATAAATTTTGTGAAACATCGTTGGTCAGAGAACACTGACAGACCTGGAAAAAGGGTAAAAAATAGAGAAACTAGGTTAATTTTTTGCCCAATCCCTTACCCAAATTTTTTCCTCTTCCCCATTTCGGGGGGGGGGGCAAAATATCCCCCTGGCGGTACTTATGAAGATGGAGGTGCCCTTTCTGCGGACTTTTTTTGCGGACTTTTCCTTTCCTTTAAATTTTTCTTTTTTAATGTTTTGGTTGTCTTGCTTGCAGCAAGTTTTGCTTGTAGCAACAAACTGTCAAAGGCTAATTCTTATTTTTCTATGAATAAGACCAAGCTTTTTAGCCTCGCATCAAAATATTAGTCGTTTAAACGTAGATTTTCCAGAAGATGCTAATATTTGAAATTTTTCAGTTGTTCAATATTTTTAAATATGAATAGGAATGTAATGTTTTTACACAGAAATTTATAATGTTATACACCAAATCAATTTTTTCAATTATTTTTTTGTGTAACATTGTTTTCTAAGGCAAAATATAAGTGTATGACTATAAAATTAATCTTCTCTTTATCAATATGCCTTGTTTGAATATGTCACAGGGCAAATAGAAGGAAGGAGAGGAAGAAGAAAATCTGACCATTATGTACAAGCTTAGGTAAGAAAAATAATAGGGGAGGGCCATTGACAGTTAGTTGCTACAAGTAAAACATTTAAATAAGGGAAGAAAAGTCCGCAAAAAAAGTCCGCAGAAATGGCACCTCCATCTTCATAAGTACCCCCCTGGCTACGGGCCTGCCTGGGAATTTTGAGAATTTTAGAAGGCTGAAAAAATCAACAAATGCCAGGTCAGCCCAGTCAATATCAATATGTATATACCAACCCGAGTCCAAGACCAGAATTAAATTTAAAAAATTCTCCAAAAAACCAACCGGGCTAGCTCCATCCAACTCAGAAAATGACTTTTCAATAGGATGACAAGGATTTTGATTTGCCGAAATTAAAATAATGTTGATGATAAAAATAAATAAAATGCTTCGAAATAAGTTCAAAATTAGTTGAGTTATCATCTTTTTGAGATTACATTTAAAATTTATGTATTAAGAAACAAAAAATAATAAGAATGTTTTCAACAATCAAAGGTTTTGTTTGGCCGTGCCATCCAATACCATTCACCACAGAAAGAATAGTTTCATAATAACATTGTCTTCCTTATTTTACATTGTGAAATTTGTAAATGTTATAATTAGAGAATAAAAATGCGCAGAGAGAACGTGGATTAGAGAAAAAAGAAAATAGTGACTATAAAATATCAACAAAGAAAAGCTTACAAAACACCTAATTTCAGTCAAATTTCAAAACGTCCAATAGGGTTAAATTTTGGAAGATGTCTTTTGGTTTTCAAAAACGCCAAACCAAGGTAAATTCGCGAAACGCCCAGTTTGAAATTTTTTAAAAAAATCCCAATAAAGAAATCTATCAAAAATGTCTATCAGAGTAAATTCAAGAAATATCCAATAAGGATAATTTTTCAAAATGTCCAATCCAGTCGAAATTCAAAATAAACAATAAATATATTTATTTTGTAATAAAATGAATTAAACAAATGAATGAAAAAATGAGTGAAGCAATGAGATCTTAAAAAAAGTTGGACGGAGGACTAAATATATTTTATGATATAATTTTTTATATAAAAAGAGAAAGGATTTTGACATATTTTTGGCTTAAATTTGTTGATTTTTAAGTGTTTTTAGTGAAATAGGACGGAAAAAAATAAAAATTCTTTTAACTATTCAGTGGAATCATCTCTAAAATGTCACTCCTTCGAGACTGAATGACAGTAAAGGGAGACATAATAGAAACATTCCATTGTATAAATTGTGAGACAGTTCACAGTGGAATTTATTGAAGAATACTTTAGTAAAATATCCACCCTGCCATAAAAACATTTGAACTGTCTCCATCTCCAAAAAAACAAACAAACAAAAAAAATTTTTTCCTTCAAGTAAAAATCACTTCATAACGACATTCAAGATTTGCAACAGATTTTTGATCATAATTTGCACCCCAACCCGAACCTATACTTATTGTTAACATTGAAACAGGTAAAGAAGAAGAAGAAATTTGTGTTGTTGTTGTCTCTCCTACAAAATGTTGTGGAGAAGAAATATCATTGGCAATAATTGTTTTGTGAGGTGAACAACGAAGAGGAGGGGATGATGATGATAAATTTGTAGATGGAGATACTCGATGTACACGAATACAATAACCGGGTGATAGTCTACGAATGTTTGGAGCTTCACTAGTTGATGATGTTGCTCTGACTGCATTTTTGGAAATACAAACAAATAAGGGTTGATTACTGCTGAAAAAATATATTGTCAAAAATAAGATAAACCCAAAAAAAACATTCCTTAAATATTTTAAATAGGTATGTACTCTGCTTTATGATCAGGGCTGTGCGCCAGAATTCTTTCATGGCGCGTCAAACGCAAAACGTTAAATTATTAAAACGTGCCAAACGCCTGAACACTAAAATCGGCTAAAACGCAACGCAAAAATTTAAGAAATTTAATCACTGGCTGGTTAATAAATTTAAAAAACAAATAAAGTTTAATCCTTTTTTAGCGCTGAGTTCGGAAGGACCTTGCCCGATGTTACATAATATTAACCGGCTGGGATCATTGAGCGCGGATGGATACAGAATATAATTAATTACCTATTATAAAGCCAAACTTCATCAAAAATTTCTGAAGATTCATCTGATGGTTGTCTAATTAAAGCAAAAGAAGTGAAATTGTCCAAATCCCAAGGACATTTTACATCTTGGCCGTCAAATACAGTACCGGCGAGTTGACCAATTAAAGCAAATTGACCAATAAGAGTAATTATATCTCCAACCCTTTCGTTAAATTGCCATCTTGCCATTCTGCCCCAAGCTTTAAATCAAAAATAAAAAATAATTAATCGGCAAAATTTTTAGAGGAGCTTTGTTAACCATAAAACTAAAGCTGCGGGTAAAAAGCTCGTATTAAAAAATGTGGGGTCCTTTCACTCATGATCTATTTTAAATAATAACTTTTTTTAATTCTTAATCGATTTGAATAATTTTTATAACAATCGAAAGCTCTCGATCTGCAGATTATTTTACTCAACAGGCTCAATTTGATAGGATCATGGCAAGAAAAGTTATAGGCTGATAAAGAGCGAACGATTGCGCGTACTTATCCGCTTTTAACTTTTTTGTGCGTATCTAATTAAATAAATTCTGTTAGGAAAATGATCAGTAGAACATATAGAGCTTTTGCTTGGTACAAAAAAGTCGTAATAAAAAATAAAACCTCCTCGGGAAGACTAAAATGGCGACTATTCCGCGGCTCCTATGTTGTTTATTTTACCATTTTTATAAGGAAAAAACTTTAAAAATCTAACAAAATAACAAAAAAACTAACACATTGCTTGATGATGTACACTATGCGAAATTCGCCTTTTAGCGCTCAAAGCTGGAGGCAAATGATTTCCCATTTGAATTTCATCTAATATTAGTTGATGTTGTTGTTGTGAAGGTTCTGGGGGAGGTTTAGAAGAAGAAGAATCATTTTGTTGTTGTTGTTTTAATAATATATTTTTTGCTTCTGATTTTAAGGAATGTTGAAATGCTGTACGTACATGACCGATTGTGGCATCTGCTGCTTCATCTAAAACAAACTTTTTTTACTCAAATTTCCAGCAAATATTATAGGAAAAATTCTGTCATATGTCTCGGAAACCGATTCAGACAAAGATAGGCCATTCGAAAGAACACACCGAGCTGATTGTGAGTCGATCGAGATCAAACTTAGCTTCGGGACTCACCCATGTACTGAGATATAGGTCCCTGAATGTCAACAAAATCCGCTAATTTTGATGTCGATCGACTCAGCTCGGTGTGTTCTTTCGAATGGCCTAACGTTTGTCTGAAACAGTTTCCGGGTATTTGACGGAATTTTTCAAAATTAAATTCTTTTTTACTTGACAGTCTTGCAGTAGCACCACCACCCCCATTTGCTAGAACACCTGAACTAATACTTTGCTCGTCTGAAGATATTGTTTCAGCTTAAAAAAATTTTTTTCAATCGAGAAAAATAATCTCACTATAATATACCCCCTTAGGACTGAAAAATAGTCTCTTTAACTTAAATGTTTATACAACACCCCCTCCCCTCCCCTCCCCCCTCCCATCCAACCAAATTTCAAAAAATGTCTCTTAAATAGTTGTTGTTTTATCTATTTTGGTAATATTTTATGAGGTTTTCCTGTAATGAAATTAAATTTTTACGTCTTATCCACAGAGCATAATGGTAGGGATTACAACAAGAAACAGTTGCATTGTTTATAGTTACTTTAATTTTTGAAAAAAAATTTTATTTCAGAATTTTCAGAAAAAAACCTCTTCCAAATCTACACCAAGGGAGAGGGTCAAGTCTGTGTAAAGCAGCATCTACTTGCAAATCCTTCCAACGCCACATTTTACAACAAAGATAAGGCATAGACATTGGCCTGATTTTTAAATAAAAATTTATTTTTTTTTGAGAAAATTCCCTCTTTATGAAAATAGAAAGAAAGAAAGAGAAGGGAATAATAAAAATTTGCGGACATATGGAAGGGAGGGGGTGCCAAAAAAATTTTCTTACTTATCAATCTGAGGTATAAGGCCACTGTCAACACCTCCAAGAGTTTCTGGAGGCAAAGGAAGTAATTTTTGTGTTTCTGCATCTGTCGCTATTGAATCTGGAGGTGGAGGGGCGTTGACTGTTCTGCTACTAAATTGCTGTTTTTGTTGTTCTTGTTCATTTTTAATAGCGGAATTTTTTGTTTTTGAAGAAATGTTTAATTCTTCTTTCACATTTTCTTCGTTTAACGGGCTATTTAACATTGCACAACGCCTTAAAATTAAAAAAAAATTAAATTAAACTGTGAGATGAGGAGTTTACAAGAAAAATCCACAAAGGGGGCTCCAAAAAATCTTTCGAAAATTCCATTAGAAATCGTCAACAAAAAACCGAAAAATTTATTTTGGAAAAGTCCGCAACATGACATCCCATACCCAAAAATAATTAAATTAATTGACAAACCTTCCACTACTATAATTGCTAATTTTTCTATTATATCTACTATTTGTATTTGTTGAATATCTCCTTTGATAATTCCCCAATTGTTTATTATCTATTTGTTGTGTTGTTATTAATGTTCCTATTCCTCCTTGTGGTTGGATTTCTGCTACGGTGGACACTCTTTGACGTTGAAAAAGTATTCTATCCCTCTCCATTTGCCTTTAAAATTAAAACAAATATCTTTATAAATTAGATAGAGGCAGAAAGAAGTCCGCAAAGGAAATCCACAAACTATTATTTCGGTAAACTTCCGTCATATGTCCCAAGAAACGATTTGGACAAACAAAATGTTATTTGAAACAGCTTAATGAGCTGAATCAACATTAAATTAAAATAATTTTAGCTTACTTCCCCCTCCCATTTTCGGCTTACAATTGAGACCGGGGCTTAATTTTGGTATTTTCGATAGTGACTGAAATTATTTGAACAGGATTATGGGACATATGACAGAATTTTTTATTATTTTTAATATTTTTAAGTTAAGGGAAGGAAAGTGGAGGAGATAGAAGAAGAGTATTTTCTATCCCCCCTCCCTCCTAAAAATTAAAAAACCTCATTGAATGTCTAGGCCTCGTACTCAAAACCGTCGTTGAGCACCCTGGAACTGCCTCAGGTTCCAATTCCTCTTCATCCTCACTTGTGCTGCTTTCCCTTTCCTCAATAAGGTCCATTGGAGGGCCTGGGGCGCATTGTTTAATATCAATCCCAACAGACTCGACTGCCTTTAAGTTAAAAAAATCTCTAAAAAATTTTTTTAAAGAAAAAACCCTTCGAAGTATTTCCAAATCCTCTGTGTCAAATCCACGCATAAGTGTAAGGAATCGGCGCTTTGCCCGACGCTCGTCGTCTGTGACCTTTGAAAAATTCATTTAATTCTCTTCTAGTATATACTCAAGGTATTGAAGCAACCTGGGGAGCCCTTAAAATTAATCTCAGACATCTTCATGGCACCAATGAATATTAATTTTTTACTTATTTTATTTTTTATTTCATAAAATTTCATCTGGACTTATAAAATTTCATTGGACAAATAAACTTTCATTATGTGGACCGGAGAATTAAAAAAACATGAGTGGCTATATATAGTTTTGTGTGGAGCACTGTATAAATAAATAAATTTTCCATACCAATAATCGTTTACGCCAAAGGACTTCAATGTGCCTCCTTCTTTCTGTGAAAAGGCAGAAAAACCCGCAATCGCAGCTTTAAAAAATAAAAATTCTGAAAAATTTTTTTTCAAAGTCCGCAAGTTAAAAAAAATTTTTTGCGGACTTTTCAAATTTTTCAAAAATTTTTTAATTCTTACGGCATTCGGCGACTACCGCCTGCTCAAAAATCAAAGAGGCGTTTCCGAAATTGAGACAACAAAATGAAGGAATCCTTTTTTGTTTTGTTGTTTTATTTAATAAACAAACAATTTTAATTCTTTTCCGGCAAATTTTAAATAGAAAAATGTTGCAAAATAATGATAAAAAATGTAATGGTTTTAAGAGTCTGTACTTTTGGAGAAACAAAATAGTTGCCATCCACCTTTTAAAAAAAACTTTTAAAAAATTTTGAAAGAAATTGTGAAAAAATTTTTTAAAGTGACACAACGCCAAAAATTAATTTTATTAAATAGTTAAGCGAAAAAAAATATTTTGGTCAAGTGGATAAAAGTGCTGACTACAAAACCTCCTAAAATTTGGGAGTCGTAGGTTCGAATCCTTTCGCGGAAAGTTGACCTCTACCTCATATAAGATAAAAAACTCAGCTCTAAGGGGGCCCGACTGTCAGTTGACCTAACCTTCTTTGTATAGTTAATTATAACAAAAATAAGACCTACCATAGATATCCACAAAACAAGACTGCCTATTTATCACACTAATGCTCTATTAGCATAAAAGTTGTTTAAATAAAAATAAGGTGCCAAAACGAGATTATACTCTTTCTCCTCTCTAAAATTTATGAAAATTTGTTAGACAAACTCAATTAATTGAGTTCCAACCCCTATAACTTACTAAGGGGTGAATAATTTTAAATGTTTTTTGTACCAATGAATAAAAAATTAAATACACTATAAAATAACAAAAAATCAAAATTCTCGAATTATAGGTAAAAAAAGTGCCGAAGAATCACTTTTTTTAAATTTTTTTAGTCTAATCGATCATAACTTTTTTACCAACAGTCAAGAATTTTGATTATTTTTTGTAACGTGTAGTGTATTTATTTCACTATCCAGTTTAGCTGTACTAAGAACATTAAAAATTATCTGCTCCCTTATGAGTTATAGGACCGAAACTGAACTGCTCCGTAGAAAAATTTTAATTTTTAATTAAAATTTTTTCAAAAAAATTTTTTGCAGCAAATTAATTTTCTCTTTTCGCGGCCATTTTTACAAATAAAAAATTTTCTACCAAAAAATGTACATTCATTCACACAAAAAAATGTTTTTAAAAAGCTGTAAAAGGAGAGAAAAGTAGTGGAAGTCGCCTTTTTGAGTGTCTTGGCAGCTTTTCTTCTTTCCTTTTTTCTTCTCTTTTTTGGAAGCAACGGGGGCGGAAGCAATGGTCGAGAGATATATAAAATCGAAAAGTATTTTTCCCCTCTCCCAAAAAAATTTTTTTGGAAGCGCTGGGAGTTGTGTTTAAAAAACTTTTTTTGGAAGAGGAAAAAGGAAAAGCAGCTTTTTGAAAAGCGACGAATGAATGGGTCGATAACGAGGCCCTAAAAAGAGCCCCAGTCTTCCTTCTATTCAGACAATAGATAAAAGGCTTTTTTCAGGAAGAGAGAAGGGTGGTGGTTGAAGGGGGAAAAGGAAGGAGGAGAGGCTTATGTTCTTTTAAAAACTTTTCCCCTTAAAAACTTTCTCCAGTAGTTTTATTTTTTAGCACACAATTGAGTGGCAGCACACCACACCACATGCCTCATTTGCCATTTGCACAAAAAAGGGGGATAAAGAGATAGGATAAAAAAGAAAGGAAAGATAAAAGAGGCGAAAATGCGCCTCTCGAAAAAAAGTTTTTTTTGCCATTGTTGCCCTTAAACGAAAAATGGCGACAATTCAGTAAAATAATGTCCTTAATAGTAGTTTAGAAAATTGAAAAAATAAATTTTGAAAGAGAGAAATATTTTTAAAGGTTTTTATTTGTTAGTGAAATAAAATTAAAAGAGAAAGGAGTTTTCTTTTTTGGAAATGGACATTGGTCAATACCTCCCAGGATCTTTCACGTAACGAGAGTCTCCAGTGCCAACTTGCTGGGATAGTAACGAAGATTTTAAAAAAGTCTGGAGACACTGATACACTAATCCTTGGCTAAGACATTGGCCTCATTTGGATCATGGACCTGTAGTCCAGAAAATATTAGAAGCCCTGAAACATTTCTCGGCCTGGACTCTGCATAAAGTAAAAAGCCTGTCCTTAGAAAAAAAATTGGAAAATCCTCGGTGCCTGATAGGAAATCGTTGACCAAGGCCCATCTCGATTCTATCTTGGGGTAAACCTGGAACGCAGTGTACAACCCTACTATTAATTGTTAACAAACAATTTTTTTAACAATGAGGAGACAATCTTTTATTGATCTTTTAAAGAATTTAACAAATAAAACATCAACAATTGGTTTTATATGCTTTTTAAAAATAATGTACTTACTAACAATAAGTAATAAACAAAAAATTTATATAATAAAGATAAGTATATGCCAGAAAATTTGAACTGACTTTTAAAAAAAAAATTTCTAAAAAGAACACAATATTCCTTCATTTTATTCTTATTTTAATTTTTTTAAAAAAAGAGAGCACAATTTATTTTTAAAGGTACTTTGTTCGGTCAGTCCCGGCCCCTATAACTTATACTAGATAATTGTTGTTCTTGGTACCAATGGATAGAGCCAAATAATAAAAATTATTGACTGATCGATAAAGTGCCAAAAATAATCAAAAAATGAGAATTTTGAAGGTCCTTAAGTCAGATTTCTTCCTTTTTTTGCGCACCAAGCTAAAAGTTTGAGAATTTTGGAGGCTATAGGAGAAAAATATTTAGCTGTTTGCGCTGCGCCTTTGAAAAAATTTTGATAGTACATAAAGTTTAAATTCGTTCTGATGAAACTAAAAACGTAAAATAACTAGAAAACAAGTCTCTCAAATTCCCCGACTTTCGGGAACGGGGACCAAGCCTAGGAGAGAGTATAAACAAAGTACCAATTAATAATATTTTATATTGTTTAAATATATAGAAAAAACAGATTTTATATCAGAAAAACAAATTTTTATTTTTACTTTTATTTTTTTTATTAATTCCCTCCTCCATAATTCTCCTCCATTCTCTGCAAAATATAATTAACAGCTAAAGCCTCATTTTTGTCACAAGCCAAATAAGCTATTAAAAATTAGAGGTATATTAAAAAAAGAATTAAATGACTAGGAGTGTAAAGGGTAGGCAAATTAGTGTAGGCGTTCAGGGGTCAGTATGCATTTACTTTGTAGACAATATATGTATACCCTTTCTATATGCTCAAACAGACATAAAATACGCTTCTTGGGATTCTGAAATTTGATCGTACTCGTACAAGCTAAGGTTGGCGGATAGTTGGAAATCTTCGGATATCCGGATCCGGAACCGAAATTTTTATTGTAAAAATTTTCGCCTGCGGCGCAGTAAAGTTAAGTCCCAGTGGATTATATAGAGGGCCTTTTTTCGGATCCGCCAACCTTACAAGGGAACATTCCGAACTGTGACCAAAAATTTTCAAATAAAAATTATACCATCGTGTAGAGCATGGTCGAAAGCCAATTGTAGTAGGTTTCTTTTTTGGCCCTGACCCCCATTTCGAAAAGTTATAGGCCTTCAAAGTTTCCGACTTTTGGAACGGTTGAGTCGCCCTCACTTTTCTTATTATTTCTTTCCTAAAGGGAAAAATGAGACTCCTTTTCTCAATTTTTCCTTTCCTCTTTTTTTCCTATGTTGGTTAAAGAAGGAGAAAAAGCGGAGAGAAAAGAAAAGGAAAAGAGGCATCTCTGCCATCTCCTCTTTCCTTTTTAATTGACATTAGCTGCAAGGTAGAGACGCCTCTTTTCCTTTTCTTTTCTCTCCTCTTTTTCTCTTTCTTTAACTAATATTGGAAAAGAAAAGGAAAGGAAAAAAGGAGGAAGGGAGTCTTATTTTTCTCCTTAATAAAAGAAAAATCTCTCTTTATGAGGGCGACTCAACCGTTCCAAAAGTCGGAAACTTTGAAGGCCTATAACTTTTCGAAATGGGGGTCAGGGCCAAAAAAGAAACCTACTACAATTGGCTTTCGACCATGCTCTACAAGATGGTATAATTTTTATTTGAAAATTTTTGGTCACAGTTCGGAATGTTCCCTTGTTAGTACAAGCCTATTTTTGGTCTCGTACTTCGTACGTAAATATAAGCCTTCAAATCCCAGTAATCCTATGATATTTTACTAATTCCTTGATGCACGTGATATCCCTCCGCCGATATCCACTTTTTCTGACTCGGAATTTTCTTTCGATAGCTTTAAATGATGTAAAGAATGATGCTATTATCTCAATTAAAGTAAATTAAAGCATAAATGCACGAGGGATTAGCGCCGATTTTAGGAATTTAGGAGGGCAAATGAGCCAGAATTTTCTTTCATGGTGCTTAAATTGCGATAAATTGCATTAAAACTGCGTAAAAATCAAAAAACGCAGTCAAAAAAATCACGCAATTTACGCAACTTTTTTGAGCACAAAAGAAGATAAATAATTTAAAAAATATAAAAACCTTCAATAACTAATTGCTCAGGAAATCCCATTCCACAAAGTCGATCAATTGCTTCTCGATCATTTGCCGTTATAGGAATTGTAACCGCTTGAGGTCCTCCTCCTCCACCTGCTCCAGCAGCTCCCCCAAGAGCAGCAGCAATTGGATTAGCAGCCCCTCCGGCACCACCACCTTCCGCATTTAAGAGCGCCAAAAATTGGTCCTTAAAATTTTTCTAATGAACTTAAATTTACAAAAAAAAACTTGATTATCGCGTATCATTTGCATCAGCTCCGGTCTCGTTTCAGCAATTTCTTGCATAATTTGAGGCAAGGCCGATGGATCATCGCGAATCTAAAAAATTAAACTTTTTGTTATTGATTTTTTAATGTTTTGCAAAATGCTTATAAACGAGATCAAATGACGACTAATATCTCCATGACTAATATAATCAAAAAAATTTAAAATTTCCAAGATATACCATTTCACGCAACATAGCAAATTGAGGGAGATTAGCCAAAAAATCAAGACCACCAGCACCCCCCTCACCAGCAACAACATTTGCTTCCCCACCGCTTTCATCACCACTAGCTTCCCCTTTAAATTTTTTGAAGTTAAAAATAATCTTTTCACAAAAAACCTGCTGCCGCTCCTTGAACCAAATTAACTCCTTCAGGTATTCCATTGCACAAATATTCAACAGCACGATCAGCATTATAAAATGCTGCTTTAAGCGCGCGAATGACTTCATCACGTGGATAACCCATTGAAGTAATATTGTCGAGAGTTTTTTGATGCTCAGCGGGAACTAAAAAAGTGTAAAAAATTTAAAAAACCCCTTGTTTTTTTTATTTATATTTTACTTCCACCGTAATAGAATACCGAAATCCGATTTCCAAAACACGGAGTTAGAAAATCCCCCGTCGTTGAATATGACTAAATAACTTTTCTCGCCAGTTTGATATATTTTGGTGACTTTTGGGGAGGGGGTTTGGCACGCCCCAGAGCAGTATAGGGCGTTCCGATTTTACTCACAATCAACTTGTTTCTTGTTTATTTTACAAATTTAAATATTAAAAAAGAAAAATAATGCAATTATCACCAAGTGGACTTAATCCTTGGTGTTCAAGTAACTTAAAGGAAATAAAGATGTTACTCTGGCTATTTCCAAGTACTTCTTTGAATAAAATTGAGAAACGCCCAAAATTAAAAAATATCATTAACCTCCTTCCTCCTTTTTGTCCTTCGTTGGTGTCCCCTCTTTTTTTACTTCTGCTGTAGTAGATTTTTTCTCTTCCGAAGTAGTTGTTGCCTCAGTAACGCTAGCTTTTGGAGCCACCTTCTAAAAACCCAAAAGATTTTAAAAAATGATTTAAAGCTTAAACCTTCACAACCATCACAACAATAAATTTCCCAGCTACAACGTTGACATCTCCAATCGTCTTGTTGTCTTCCAACACCTTCCCGTTGTAAATAAGCTTTTGGCCATCAACTGGAAAATCTTTATCGCCTTTATTCTCAGCAATTTTCTGCTTCAATTGGAGGATCTAAAAAATTGTGATTTATAAAATTTAAATTCAGTTCTCAAAAATTGAAAGATAACATGGACATTCTAGTTTTTAGTGAATCCCTATTTTTGACACAACCAAAAAAGATTAAAGAAAAAAAACAAACCGTTTCAGAATTCTCAACTTCCAACTCAAAGCTTTGCTGAGTAATAGTCCTCAATTCAATAGTCGGCATATTTTTTATATAATCTCTTAACAATGTGTTAAAAATGTATTAGGACAATAAAAGTAAAGTTAAATGTGAATAAAAACGTGTTTAAAATATAAAAAATCAATCAAGTCTTTTAAAAACTTTATTCATAAAACCAAAATAATAAAAATTTAGGTCGTCGACCACCACCTGCTGAAGAATTTCACAAAAAGCCAGTTTTCCTCTAATTTCAAATGTAGATTCAGATTTATTTTGAATGTCCTAGTAAAGGCCCTGGGCCCTAAAAAGTCCGTAGTAAAAAAGGGGGAGGACAAAAAAGTCACCAAGTGGCAGAGGACTCACAAAACTAAAAAATAATAATGAACTCCCAATTTTTGAAAGTACAAAAAACTCAAAGAAGAAAAAAATTAATTAATCAGCCTTTGTCAAAACAATTCTTTTGATAACAACTTTCTGACCTGCAACCAGATTTAAGCCTTCAGTTAAACAAGCAGGGAGTGGAATTAATGTCGAGGATGCACTCAAACAATTTGGAAGCTAAAAAAAGCCTTACTTAAAACAAAAAAAAAGTTATTTTTAAAAACCTTGTCTTCCTCTTTTCGTTTCCGTTTTTGTAAAATTGAAGGCAACTTTATTTTTGATTGCAGGCCCAAATTTGCAGATTCGATCGAATCAAGAAATTCAAGTGAACTTTCACCGTTGTTTGAATTAATTAATAAGTTGGGCACATAGTCTAAGATAGCTAATTTTAAACGAAAATGATCAGGACGTGAAACTCGACCAAAACAAACCCAAACAAAAACCACGGTTATCGAGAATCAAGATTTTCTGAGATAAGCGCTCAAAAATAAAAAAATAATCTTACAAGGTTTAAAACATTCATCTGTCTATCCATAAATTTATTTTTTGAAACCCCTTTTGGCGGCTAAGAAGGAAGGCAAAAACTTCTCTGGGGGATAGCCATGGTTTTCTCCACCGCCGCTACACATTAAATCTCTAACAACCCCCGCAACACTTACAGATAAATCCGTAGCTTAGCCCTCACCTTCATGTGACGGATCATTAGATGGTTTTCCTTGTCGAAAATGAACGGCACAGACCTAAAAACAAAAAAGTAAATGCAAAAATAATTGTTTATAATTTACTCGATCTTTAGGGCCAACATCTCTATCTCCAAGAACATAAAGCCATTGAATTCGTTTTAGACCTATAAAATTGAAGAAAAGTCAAAAAAGGTTAGAAACCAGGTTCTCGAGGAATTCCAAAAAATCGACGATTTGGAGCCGTTTTACGGGTTGAACCTAAAATAAATAATGAAAAAATGAGAAGGTAAAGTTTTTAAAGAACCTACCACAAAAAATACAACGCTCCATTCCACAAACCAACAAACAAAACAAAAATTAAAAAAAAACAAAAGCAACAAAACTCGCTAATATTCTGCCAACAATGCCAAACCCCACATTTTGCCAACAAAGTCAGTATGGCAAAATGTGGTGTTTTAGCCTTATTGGCAAAATATGCGTTGGCAGAATTTAGAGACATTAAGTAAAAGTTTAGAAACTAAATGCAGTCTCTCGTTTCTCTCCTTCTCTAATTCACTCTCGCACTTTTTGATGATTTTTTAAAATAGTCCGTTTTGTCGCCAATTTTATTATGAAAGGTTTATCGCAGCTTTAGATACTGTATTATAAAAGTACCCACATTTTTCACACTTCACCTATCACTAAACTCAATTGTTGTTGTCGTCCAAAGCCATGGGGCTGTTTGTTTTTCAAGGTATAATTATTCCTTAAGCTTTGGAAGTCCTTCTTTCACTTAATCCCTCAAATTTCAGCCCATCAACTCCAAATGCTGCATCTTTTCATCTTCTTAATAATCTTGATGGTCATTCCACTTATTTCATCAACTTGTTGTGGGTCAAAGAAGGAAGAAGGCGGTGGTGGTGGCGGTGCTTCAAAAAAGTCTGCTCTTCGTAAAACTCCAAAGAAGCAACGCTCCAAAGAAGCATTTTCCGGATCAAAGAAGAAAAGCGATGAAAAGGTCGAAGAAAAAGGGAAGAAGAAGTCTTCAAAGGAAGCTCCAAGTAATACTAAAAAATCGGTATTCAAGTCTAGCTTTGATGGAGTGCATACTGCTGTTACAATGGAGGAAGGAAAAAATGTTGGAGGAGGAGGGAAAAAATCCATTTTCCCAAAGATGAAGCTTCGAAAGAGTTCTGGAAAAGAAGAGGATGCTACTGCTAAAAGTATGGTTTCTAAACCAACAACGAGTACTACTGGCGCTAGTTTCGCAAGAAGGTGATACGTGTTGAGCCTCACTTTTAGATACCCTCAAAATTAGATAAACCTCTATTTAAGATAACCTCATTATAAAATAGATCCTTTTCAACCCCAAGGGGGTATCTAAAATTGAGGTCCGAAAATTTTTCTAAATTTTTCTCTTAAAAAAATTTTTTTATTTCCAGTATTATGGTTGGGGCACCAAACGACATGCAAAGTCAATCAACGGAAAAGACCAAGATGAAAGTAGGAATAGCTCAAAAGAGATTTAAGACGATTGAAGAGAAAATTGCTGCCACCAAAAAGATGCTTGCTTATACAGGAAGGAAAGGACCACCGCCAGGGAATCCAATGGGGAATGTGGACAACCATATTGAAAAGAGGGCAGAAGGACATTTGGCTGTTGCATTCTCACCGATTCATATCTTCGACACGCCTGCATACAGATATACTACTCGAAATCCTAAAGCTGGACACGGTAAAGTTTTTTCCTTTTTTTGTGGGCAGATTTATGATTTTTCGTGGAAGACTTGACTGGGATTGCTTTTCTTAGTAAGGACTTTTCTGACTGGGGATTAGGCCTGTACCTTGAGGATTGTCCGGGGCTTTCTCGGGTCGAACTTAAGCGGCAGTCCGCAACGGACAGCTACTGGTCGGGGTTTTCTGGTTCGACCTAAACCCAAGGAATACTCTGAATTGGGGAATAAATTAATATTCTCCTGCCAAATTCTTCCATCGTCTCAATTTTTTAGTTGCCAAAATAAACGAGGCAGGCAATTTGCTCTACTTATGTGATGATGTGAGTAAAACAAAGTCTGCAAGTTCCTCAACGAGTTCCAAGATGAAAGAAGCCGAAGGAACAAAATCAGATATGAGCAGCAGTGTAATGGAAGAAGTGTATGGCATCAAAAAAGATGACCCTGATACGCCTGATACTAAAGATGATGAAGAAGATGAAAGCTCAGGTGGGGATTAGAGGAAGGAAAAATATTAGAAAGAGAAAATATATATAATTAATAATTGTGTGATCTTTTCTTATTCGATCACTTGTATATATGTGTTGTTGTATATATTTTGAGGAATATTATTATGTAGTAGGAGGCTTATAATAGAAAAAAATATGGGGCTGTAGTGTAGTAAAAATTTTTTAAATAAAAAATCAGCCAAAAATCGATAACATACTTTTTCGATCTTGATCTTGGGGTGAAGTCTTGGTCTCGACATTTTTGGCCTTTCCAAACAAACACCCCTAAGAATTGAGCTTTTTTAAATTCGTTATTTTATTTCCAAAATAAAAAAAAATATTTTCGCCCACGTCATCTACGCAAAATTTTTTTTTACTTTTTCAAAGTACCTTAACAGCTTAATACGACGTAACTCTTTCAACTTAACTAACGCCTTTACAAATCTTCTTGTTCATCTCCAGCTCTTTTACCAACCCGAGTAACAACTTTTTTAGTTCTAAAAAATAAGATAAAAGATTCAAATTCCTTATAGATCAATCATTTATAAATTTTTTTATTTAAACGAAAAAATGTAATGTAAGACAAATCCACAAATTTCTGACATTTGATGAAGTATTTTTTATTTTTTATGTGCGTGATTGGTTCGGTGTTTGTGTACTTATTTTTAAAAAAAGGAGCCAAAGCAAAAAATAAAAGGTCGATCATACATTGGAACAAAAAAAATGTTGAACATATAGAAGAAAAAATAATATTTTTGAAGGTAGGGAGGGAAACAAAACACATGGAGAGATAAAGAGATTGAGAAAACTATAGTTTTTCTGGTACTTGTGTAGTTTGCATCCCATAAGCACTGCACCCTTTTATTCTCTTATAAAATGGCATTTTGGTCAATATTTTTATTTACTTTACACTATAGACTGACCTAAGCTGTTTAGACCCAACGGTACGGTATTGTGCGAAGTACCTAACTCTGGGTGAGTATAACTATTCCGACAAAAGATATGGGCATAAAATGAAACGTGGCCGGACATTTGAGGAGTGGACAAATGGGTAGTGGATTAAAAAAATAATCTCTCTATAAGAATATAACCATCTCTCTATAAGGATATACATAACAGAAAAAGAGGTGCAGGGGACGTATACTACAAAAGTACCGCTTTCTCTCAAGTACTTGTTTTTTAATTAATTAATATTGTCTAAACAATTACAGCCCAAAAACGAAAAAATGACGTGGCGCCGCTCATGGTGGAGCCGGTGTGGCTACAGGTATCAGTGAAAATGTTTATTTACAAACAATGCTGACACAGTGTCAGGTCAGCTCCGCCAGGAGCTGGGCCAGGGCCGTTTGGGCGAAAACTGACGCCAATCATGGTAAAGCTGAAGCAAACCTAACCCCATTTAAACAACCCCATTCTTAATTCTTTTTAAAAATTAAAAAAAACCAAGTACTTTTAGCTCTTTTACAATTCTTCAAGGATATATTTTTGTGGTTGTATATTTATATAAAAAATGATTGGTGTGATTTGTTGCCAACAAGCCTTATATATCCAAAACAGAGAGAGATATTATTCACACAAGTCTTTTTTAAGCCAAGAAACCGAGAGAATCCAAAAGCACAAAGATACAGCCATTTCAGATTGGTTGAATCTTTTCGGACACTACCTTCAAAGAAAAAATTTTTTTGAAAAATTTGTTTAAAAAATTTTTTAAAAACCTGTGGGTTGCTTTTACGCAACTGCTCCCTGCCGACAGTTTTATAGTCGTACGTACACGAGTGAGCGTTGTCATAGCTATTTTAAAAATAGGATTAGTAGAGTTGAGGTACTTGTATAGTAAAAGACGCTTAACCCGACTCGAAAATTTCCGAAAACCCGAGTTTTCCCCTACGAGAAACCCTTCCAAAAATGAGTGGAATGAACCCCCTACCAATTATACTAATCATTTATGTAAAATTTAATACCGATGAGTAGCACAGAACAATCCACCGCATCGGCAGTCGAATCCTTAAAAATATTTTTAGAAATTTAATTGAGAATAAACTAAACAACCTGTGAGTCCAACCCGTTTACTACAGACTTGGCATCTATTTTTAGTCTTCTTTTGTTGGCTAGGATTATCGGGAGTTTCGTCAGATGTCAATGTAGCTTGTGAAGCGGTCTCCAGATCCACAGGTCTCTTACTGAAAGGAAATGAGAAAATAAAGGGTAATTATTTGGCCCCCCCTCCCCCAGTCAATTTTTTTAATGTTAATTGTAAAAATAGTAGTCTGTTAATAGATTATAGAACTCGTCGAGCTGTGTCGAATGACAAAAAAAGGCAATCCCCACAAGCTTCCCGCCACTTTGTCAAAACATCTCCAATTACGTGATTTTGATGTCATTCTCAACGAGCTCTTTCGAATGAGTATAATCGAATTTTTGACTACAAAAATCAGCCTTACCGACCCTGTGATTTTTCAATTTTCGGGTGTATCTCATCAGTTTAAAGTTAAGATCAGGGTTGATTCTGTTGTGATACGACACCGACGAATTCTGTAAACTGTTAGCAGACTGACCAGGGGAGGGGCGAAAAAAAGTTTTGAGCAAGTTTCATTGCTTTTTGAAATTCAATGAAGAAAACCCCATCCCAAAGAAAATCCAATCCATAGAAAACTTATGAGACGCATATAGTACTCCAACGGACACATGACACAGACAAGACCCAATTACCCAATGATTTACTAATAAACCAAAAATTAAAAAATACCCAGACTCGTCAGTGTGTTTGGCATCATCTTTAGTCCCAGTACAACTGTCATCATTGTATTCAGCCTCAACCTTATCAGTCGACGCATCAGCTGCTCCACTTTCTGATTCTTCAGGGATTGAAGTAGAAGCGTCAGAAGCGCCCATATTATTACCTGAAAAATTTAAATTTCAACATTTTTTCCTTGGAAAATAGGGGAAATACCCTAACTATTAGTGTTTCACCGGAACCGAAATTTTGACCGGAACCGGAACCGGATCCAATTTAAGTTCCGGTTCCCGGAACCGGAACTTTTCTAAGTTCCGGCCCGGAACCGGAACCGGAACTTTAAAAAATTTTTTGCTAGCAAATTTTAAAAAATTTGTATTTTGATTTGGGTTGTAGGTTTCACTAAATTTTTCGGTTAACCGAAACCAAACCGTCTAACCGAATAGAAACTTGGTTAACCAAAACCGAGCCGAAAATTTGTCGTCGTTAAGTGATATATGTGGATTAGAGAGTGGTGTATAAACGGATTTGTCGGATATAACTGTTTGATATCGGGCGCTAAAAAGGTTCTGAATTGCAAGAAAATCTCATATCTACCTACTCAATTTCTCGATATCACACCGAAATCCACGATATTACCTATAACCGTTTGAAATCATGATATAACTCAAAATCCAAATTAATCCATCCAAATCCTCCGATATAACATTCAACTTCTTTTTAAGCGACGCAGGCGAAAAATTTTGAGAGTCTGTGAGGACAAGAAGCCAAATTTCTTCCCTTTTCAGCGCCGCAGGCGAAATTTTTGAAAATTTATGAAGGCAATAAGCAAAAAAATTCACTATTTATAAGTCAAACTAAAAATTTTAAGAAATTTAGAGGGCCAAAAAACCACAATTACTCCATTTAAAAATAAAATAATTTTTAAAACAAAATTATAAACTTATAAAATAAGTTTTTATGGAAAGAAAAACATGCAAATTAATTGTCCTATGCCTCGGAAGCGAACCAATCTTTAAATCATTCACGCCAAGGTTGAAGTCTAACACCTTAACCACTCGGCCACCCGCTTATATTAGGTCAGTTAACAGAAAATAAACATATTTCTTTCGTTTTTTTAATACACAAGCATGAGAGTACTAGTAGTTTATTAATTTTTCTAAAAAAATCAATCTTTAGGGGTGTAAAAAAGTTCCGGTTTGCCCGGAACCGATTTGAAAACCGGAGCCGGAACCGGAACCAATTTGAGTTCCGGTTCCCGGAACCGGAACCAAAAAAACACCGGAACTTTCCGGAACCGGAACTTCCGGTGAAACTCTACTAACTATGTATTAAGAACGACCAATAATGGAGGAAGAACAAATGTTCAGAGTCTAGGAGATCCCGATTCAATATCCAACTAGATTCAAAAAGTTCATAATCGGACTCCGCACGGCCTAGTGATAAACCTCAAAAATACCAAAAGATATCACTCGTTTTTTAGGGACCAATGATCTTCACTATTACCAAAAAAACATTATCCAACAAGCAAACCCAAAAAATCATAAACCCATGGAAGACCCCTATCCTTGAGGTAAAATATCAAACAAAGAACCTGAGACAGAAGAAGCAAGCCGCTGAGCAGAATTATTAGCACTATTATTACTTGTTGTAGTCGTCGTTCCGGTCTCCTGTTTCCTTTGGATCATGTCTTTGAAGCACTTTGAACACAAATCCTCTGTTGCCGAAGACCCATAGAATCCACAATTGCCACGACACAAAGGAGTGTTTTGAGGTGGTTGCTGTTGATTCTCCATATTTTGCACACCGAGACGAATCACAAAAAAAAATTTGGAAAGAAAATGAGTTGAAGTTGAATTAGAGAACTAAAAAAAAGAAAAATTAGGGAGTCGTTTAGGCACAATCCCATCTCGTCGCAGACTCATCTTTTGAAAGGAAGGTTTTTTGGATATTCTGTTTGATCTGTTCGGAATACTTGTTATGAAGAAACATGCACATCCTAGTCAAAACGAAATAAATTTCTTAATAGGGGAGGGATATACGTTCGTGACAGATTGGCCTAGCGACAAAATGGGCAAAAATTGATGATAAATAAATGTCAAGGACGTTTCGTAGAAACCGTCTCAGTGCAAGAAAATTTATTGGGGAGGGTACAAAAAATTTTTGAACGTTCCAGAACACATCTTTACCTCGAGAAAGTTGGGAAATTTACTCTTATGCCGAAACGGTAACAAAAACCAAACGAAAATTGATGAGAATAAAGAAAAGGTATTCTCTCAAAAATGAACTTTTCTCTCTAAAATGACACGCAAAATGTTTACAAAAATAAATTTTTGATACGAAAAAATGTGTACAGAAAAATTATCACAAAAAAATCTAAAAGACTAACAACCTCCCCCAAAAAAGATGATGACAAATAAAATAAAAGAAATACCTACTAAAATGGGTTGTTGGCGAGAATAAGCAATAAATTGGGAAAGAGAAAAGAGGAGATAACGATTTGTGTTTAAATAGTACAGAAAAATATTACAAAATATCAAAACTTTAAAACTACGAAATTCGGCCCAATGGGTGTCGTTACATATATAGAGATTACACTGTAGCTACAAGTAACCGGTTCTGTAAGATGGAGGAACGGAATACAGATAACCGGAAAAACTAACGCGGCCTTTGCATTGTTTGATGACTAATTCTTACACAACACAAATTTCTTAGCTCTAATGATAAAAGAAAATTGACAGCTTATGCAAATTTTTCATTTTCTTAAAATAGCACCTATGCATGTATACATAACAAATAAAATGCTTGCGTCAAACACATAGCACAATAATCCCCAAATTGCAAAAAAAAAGTCCAACAAAAAACGTCAAAATGCCAAAATTTCAAAAATACCTAAATTTTTGGCTTACCTTCGGAAAATTTCACAAAAGTTTTCAGAATTTTCGATTTCACTCGGTAGAAATGATTTTTTAAAATAAATTTATTCTCACAAGTTTAGTCAAGATTATGTTAGAGGGAGAAAAATAATGATAGCAAAAATATATAAATGGAAAATTTTCCCGCAACAGAGACTGGGCCGGCTCTCTTTCTCCGTACTAGTAGTCGATGACTGCTGAACGAGGAGAAAAATTCATTCAACCAACCCCCATGTCAGTCAGAGTCAGTGTACGTGCGTACCAACCCCTCGCCCACTTCTCTTTCTTTCCCTACACCTTTTTATTTATGTATTCTTTTGCTTCAAAATTCTTCGAAGACAAAATGCCCATGAGATAATCTGACAAGATGCCAACTCAAAATGCCTGTGAGGGTGAGAAATCTAGTAAAGGCAAATCGGACAAAATGCGAACAAAAGGAAAATCGAACAAAGGCAAATCAGACAAAATTCCAAGGGATATGGGTTCTTTCTGAACAATCTGGCATTTTGTCCTTCGGCATTTTGTCCTTATTATTTCTAACTACTTTTTACTCTTTTTCCTCTTTATTCAGAGAGCTAGTTCCCAAAAAATAGAAAAAATTATATTCTTTTTTCGCTCTTTTCATTTTCCCTCCGGTTTTTATCTCTTTCTGTCTACGAAACAAGCAAAGTTGTGTAAATGAGATACAGAATCTCCTGACAGACGTATTTTCTTTATTAACATAGATAAATCAATAATTTGTAAGCAAAAAAGAATGACAGCCGAATGACAGTCGATATTTGCTGTTTGCTCTCTAAAACACATTTTTTCTTTCTCTTCTTTTTTATTTCATCCTCTAATTCTCTAACATCTACATACATTATTCTGGGTGTTGGGACAAAACACCGTCCGACCAGAAAAACAAATCAAAATGGAAGTTATGTATAAAGAGTGTGTGGATGAATGTGACCACAAGCAAATTTTTTAAACTTAATTAAGGAAAAAATGACTGACCATTTCGTACTTCAACTAAATCGCGGGCTGGGGGGGGGGGGGGGGTAGGTTATAGGCCCTTAAAGTTTTAGGATCACCCAAAGATCCCCCAGTTTTTTACTCCGTCCAGATTTGTCGGAGATAAATTCTGTCGGAGGGTGACTTGCTCCTTATTCTGCCCAGCATCTTTTGTCTCTTGCAGAACTGATAGTGAGTAATGTCTTACTTTGATAAATTAAGCTAGACTCAATTGCCAGATAAGCGTTCTTTACTCTTTTTTCTTTTATCTCTTCCATGTTTGTCAAATAGTCTTTCTTTAAAACAAGTTGAGAGAGAATAGAAAAATACATTCAAACTTTCCTTTTTATTTCTCTAATTACTTAACAATTTTTCTTTTTTTTTTACAATTTGAACACGTGTATATCATAAGTCAAATAAAAAATACACCCGTGATCAATAATCATAAAAAATGTATTCACGTCATTTTTTGTTAACAAATTTTTTGCTGAATTTTATCAGGTACAGCTTTATCGATTATTAGAGCTTCGTCGGAGTTAAAATTCTGACAGACAGAACCTCAGTAAGGGAGCAAGAGTGAAATTGGGAAAGGAAAAATGAGGGTGGAGGGTACAAGAACTATGACCTCGAGAGACCTATTTATCAATATTTCATCATTCTTTTTCATTTTTTAGAAAATTAACGAAAAAGATTACACAAGCTATTTATAGAGATTGTTTACCAAATAATATTTATTGGGAGGGGGTGGACAATGTCTATTAATTCAAAGTATTTTTTAAATTTATTTACAATTCTTACTAATAAAAAATTTTTTTTAAGAAAATATCAAAAATTCAATTGTCAGGGGGGGAGCTGAGAGGCCATAGGGTTAAAATACAAGTTTAGTTAGTTAGACATATATTGACGAACATTATGAACAAAATCAACAATTAACGGCATTTTTGCAGAAAGACTAGATTCTATAAGACGTACAACTAATTGGCATACAGCTTCGTCTGATAGTTGTAAATGAAAACGTTCCAAAACCTTTAAAAATTTTGAGAGAAAATTTTATTTTTTAAGGAAAATTTGATCGAGAATCCGGCCGGATCCGGAATTTGGATTTTCTGTAATCTATGAATAAGAGTTACCCTCTGAATACCCTGGCTACACCCTTGCAGGATTCTAAATTCGGAATTAATTCAAAATCCAAAAATTGATTTCACGCTCCAAAATATATCAAAATGTTTCTGTTCAATGCTGTCCTGGTTCCAAAAAATTAAACGGTTTCCCAATAGAAAAATAAAAAAATAATTTAAAAATTGCAAACCTTCATAACAGCCTTATCTCGTTCAATAGAAATGTCAGGAATTCCAGCATCCAACATTAACGAAAATAAATTTGTTATTAAATTTGCATGCCGTCTTAGAATGCAAAAAGCAATTGTACAATAATTAACAAAAGCGCGAAAATGTTCACTTGAAAAAAAATTTTTTCAACTTTAAAAAAAAATAAAAAGAAAACCTATTTTGACCTCCCATTGCATTAATCATTTCAGACGTCAACTTCATTGGGGGAGGCATTGGTTTTGGATCTCTTCCCAAAATAAATCCAAAATCTACGTGAAACATTTTACCTGAAAATAAATAAAAATTAATTTTTCCTCCCAAAAAAGTCCGCAAGTTTTATTAGAATATTTTTTTATCGAAGAGGAATACTTGGGAAGTTTCCTCCATTTTCCTTCCAATCTCCCTGACCATTTTTGAGCTTTTTTCTTCCTTCTTTTCCCTTATTCTAACAAAGACAAACTCCGTCCGCATCCGTAAATTCAAAAAAACTTTCGGAGATTTCGATATTTGGCTGAATGGCTTGGACTTCTTCAACGGAAACAAACATGTGAAGCTAATCGGTTTTATGAAACCAAAATAATTTTAAGATGGAGTTTGCGGACCTTTTTGTGAGCATGGAGGAAAAAAAGACACTCATTGAATAGTTGGAGAGAGAAAGAAAAAAAATTTTAAAAAACCGTTTTCACAAAGCAATAAATTATGTAAATGTCGATCACCAATTCCAAGAATATAACAAATTATAGAATAACCAGCACATGATTTAACATAATTATTAAGAACATCTGCTTCAATACCTAAAAATAAAATTTTTGAAAAAATTTTTTTCAAATTAAAAAAAACCATATGGGGCAGATGATGAAGGTCTAAATGTACGAAGTGTGTCCTTTAAAAAATAATAAATTTAAGAAAAAAATAAAAAAAAACCTGTATGCTTTTTATATCAGCCAAAGGTGTAGCGCCTCTTACAAATTGGACAAAACCTTCGGAACAAGAAGTTGCGAGAACAGCATATGGAGTTAAACATAAATCAAGTCTGTAAAAAATTCAAGTTTAAAAAATAAAATAATTTTTGATGGGATTATTTAATTTTGATTATTTAAGAAAATTTTTATCGTCTTTTATAAAGATAAATTATTTTATTTTAATTTATTGTAAAAATGATTAAATTAAAATATGGTCAATTTTGTATTTCTAGAATTCCCCCTTCAATTAAAAAGCCTAATATCGACCTGAGAATTTCCCAAAAAATCTCCCAATTAAAAAATCAACTGACTTGTCCTCCTTCAACAAAGAATCCATTAATCTAATCATTTGCAACACAAGTTGATCTTGTCTCAAATCATCTCCACGTTTAAATATTGTTGTATAAGCTTCAGCACATTCATAAGGTGTAATATTTCCTCTAACAGTAGAAAACGTTAACCTCATTGGCATCAAATTACTCGAAAATAAAGTTGTCGATTCTGGCTGAACAGATTTTACATGAACTGAAGGATCCAAAGGAAGGCTCATTCCCTTTAGAAAATTGTTTAAAAAATTTTTTTTAAGTTAGAAAAAACCTTCAAATCAATCAAATCATTATTTTCAATCAATTTTTTCTTTAACAATTCCAATTTTTTTGAACGACTTCCGCTTGAATCAGCAACAGCTTTTGCTATATCAACTAAAGTGTCTACAAATTTCTTAAAAAAAGAAAGGTTATTTTGTAGTAAAAAATAAAAATTAGGGCTCTAGTACAGTTTAGAAGTCCAATGAAAGTTTATGAGTTCAAAGAAAAGATAAATATTTTTAAAAAATTTTGTTGTTATAAAGGAAAAGGTGAAATTTATTTGGAAAATCCTTTAATGGTACTATGAGGAATCCTTTAATAGTACCCGTTTTAACATTCCAAAACGTTTACTGACCCGATTCTCTAAGCGGAACATAAAATTTTATCGGGAATTCCCGATTCCCCAAAAGGGAGTTTATTTATATGTCAACGAAACCTTGCCAAAAACGCAATCATATTGGCAACAAAGTTTTTTTTAACAGAGAACCTGTTACTTACTACCTACTCTAAAAATTTCAAAACTTAAGAAACCTTTTGAGAAGAAATTGTAGCCAATGTTTGTTTACATGCACTATTACCAGTTGAAAGTGCTTGTTGAAGTTTTAAAATAACAGACGAATAAAATTCAGATATTTGTTTATTTCCAAAATTTGCTTCAACTTCAACTTTTAAATACCTTTTAAAAATAATTTTAAAAAATGAAAATTAAAAAAAACCAATAAAGAAAAATAGCAATAGGACTATTTTGACAAGCAATTTTAATAAGAAAAGTAGCCAAATCCATAGACTCATGGCCTTCAAAATAATCGAGAGGAATGTCTGAATTTGTTGATTGTCGACTTGAGGCCATTCTTGGATGAACAGAATCTTTAAAAATTAATATAAAAAATTTGGATAAAAAAAAAGGCTTAAAAGGATCTCTAGAGGAAAATTTTGGAAGGCCTAGAATCCGAAATCTTGATAATTTTGGAAGGCTATATGCCCTGTCTCAATATGTTTCCTTCTTTTCGTTTCGAGCGTTGAGGAATGGAAAAGTGTAATGGAAATAGAGAAAAGTGTCACTTATGTAACTTGTACCCAAGTTCTACGGACTCTGGATGTCACGGGATGAGAGAAAAGCCGGATCGGGGTTTCAAAAAATTTTTGGATCATATTTATTGTTAAGGTCGGAAAAAGTCCGTGCTTTAATTATCGGATAACCCGTAACATCCCTGGTAGGACAATAAGGATTTGTCATACTCACATGTAAATATTTTTTAAATTTTATCTAATAGTTCTAAAAATAGAGGGATTCTCTTACTAAAAAATTTATTAAAAAAACAAACTTGAAGATGTTGCAACAATAGTAGAAGTCCCACTAACATTTTCATTTTGTGTAACAACCAACAAATCTTCTTCTACACTCGCAAGTAAATCTTGTTGTGAAGGTTCGTAACGAAGTGCTTGGACTAATTGAGGCAAAAATAAAAGAATATTTGCATTTGTAGTGTTTTGTAGACGTGAAACGGCATAACGACGTACAAAAGGATGAGAAAAATTTGGAGAAAGAAGTTCTAAAGCATCACAGGCGTCGATTGGTTCCCACTCACTTTTTAATTAAAAAATTTTTTTTGTATATTGTCCGCAAAAAGTCTGCAGAAAATGTTTGTTTGCAAGTTTTAAGTTTTGGATTACAAATTATTATTATATTTTAAAAGACAAACTTAACAGGAAAATTTTGAACTTTGTAGATCCTATTTTTATTTCCTCCCTAGTTTCCCTTATTAAAATGACCCCCAAAATCCCCACAAAAAATCACTTACAGAATGACTTGAATTGCTTGACGAACTTCCAACTTTTCTTGCCAATTAACAGAACGAATAAATTTTGTTAAAGCTTTAGGGTTTGATTTTAACCAAAAACGAAATTTCCATATTAAATCACGCTCTTCCATTAACATTGCCTGACAACTTGCTGACTAGAAAAAAATTTTTAATTTAAACAGAAAAATTTTTTTGGTTTATTTTTTCAGTTATGTTCCTTCCTCTTTTCGGGGCCCGTAGAATAAATTCGGGGTTGGATAACCCGGTTAAATAACCCGGTTAAACAACCCAGGGGCAAATAACCCTTAGCTACGGGTTAAAATCGGTAGAATAAATTCAACCCCGAGTTAAGGGTTATTTAACACCGAGCTAGAGGTTATTTAACTAGTTGAGTTACTGGGTTATTTGACCCTTTATATTTTATTGCCAAATCCATTTCGCAATAATTGTTTACGCAATAATTGTTATTATTAAAAAGAGATATAGTCAAATGAAAAAGTTTAAAAAACTTATAAAATTTTTAATTGTTGGATAAATTTTGCTTCAAAAATTTTTGTAAAAGTTTTTGTTAAAAAATTTTTGTTAAAAAATTTTAAAAAATTTTTGTTAAAAATTTTTTTATGTGTTTTGAATAGAAATTAAAATTTTTAAAAATTTTGCAATTTAATAAATGTTTTAATTTTTTGGAAATTATGCATAATTCGCATGTTACCCTGCCCCCTAGTAGGGTTGCAATTTGCCCCTTACCTGCGGGTTATTTAACCCGGGTAATTAATTTATTCTACCGGTAATGTTACGCGGGTAAGATAACCGGGTTATCTGACCCGGTCATTTAACCCGAAGCTAGGGGTTTGAATTTATTCTACGGGTTACGGGTTATTTAACCCCAAGGTAGGGGTTGAATAACCCTTACCCCGAATTTATTCTACGGGCCCGGGAGGGGAGGGGCTTCAGCTCCCCGGCTACGCCCTTGTACGATGGTGCAAAAAAGTTCAAAATTTTTGGTGACCCCCATGTAGGTTAAAGAACCAATTAAAAAGCCATATTTCAAAGTTAAAGGCAAAAAAATTTTTAATTTAAACAAAAGAGAACCTTAATAATAGCCTCAAGTGTGTCTCTAATTGTTGGATTTGGTTGTAGACGTCTATCAATATCCATAGCTCTCGCATTTCTAGTCATCATATGGTGCTTTATTTCACTCAAATTTTCCATATCCAATTCTGGGTCAGCTTGTCTTTCATTTCGAGGTTTGGGCAATAAAGGATCTACATCCAAATCATTTTCAAATTGTTGAGAATGGTGGTGGTCAGTAGAAGAAGGAGCTTCTCCAGCAAAATAAATTATCGAATAAATTGTTAGATCGTCTGAATCTTGAACAATTGGAAATTCAATTGTTAGAAAGAGAGAACGATCGTCAGATTTCGCCTTTAAAAAATATTTCTGTGACTCAAATTGATGAAACAAATTGGTTGAAAATTTTAATTTTTTTAAATTGACAGCTAAGTTCAACCCCTATTCCTTACAAATATCAACAGAAAAAAACCTCTTGTTTAATTTCCTCCAATTTCGCAAAAGTAATTTTATCCAGCCAATCAACTCTATCAATAAATTTTTGATTATAAAGTTTTTCTTTTTTTAACAAATCATTTAAAGGAATCCCACATTTCAATTGTCGATTATTATTTAAATTTTCATCATTATTTTTAAGTAAAGGTGTTGAATCTCTGGCATCTTCTGACGATTCTGCTTGTTTTGCAGGTGTTGGAATATTCATCAAATCCAAATTTGGATTTTCAGTTATCAGTTTAGTCTTGTCAGATTTCCCAATTACTTGTTCTAATTTTAAATCTAAAATACCCGAACGAAATATTGAATGTTTTGAAAACAATTTTTTGGCACATTGAGCGATTAAAACCTGAAAATAAAGTAAAATTAGTGTATAAATTAGTGTATCCGCAAATCTATTCGGGTTAAAATTGGACTCAATTCCCTCTAATCTTGGCTTGTATATAAGTAAAGACCAATTTTTAAAGAAAATACCCAAAATTCTCTTAAAATATTTAAAAAATAAAGACCGGTTCAACAGTCGTTCCAACATCCCATAAAGTTACATGAAGCAAAGCATCCCTGTTTAAGTCAGAATAATTTACAGGAAGGTTTATCCATTCATCAAATTTTTGAATATCTCGAATAGAAGATGTGCCAGTTGGTAAATATTGTCGAAAAGAACTTTGAACACTTCTTCCAATAATTCTTCCATTACAATAAATCTTTAGAAGAAAAATATGTTTAAATGAAGGATATTAGAGTAAAGCTGTCCCAGACATTCCAAAAAAATGCAAAAAAGATTGGATAGGATTTGATCGTGAGAGCTCTCCAATTCAGAGTTGTTAACCGCCAAAACATCCCACTACCGGTTGCTTATTTTCATTTTTGATTTAGCTGCTAGGCTGGGAGGAAGTTTCAGAGGCCTATTCCACTAGGAGCCTATTCCACTAAACGACGTATCGCCAAAATCACTGATCCGCTCCGAAAAATACCCCTAAAATGACAATGAGTATAAACTACAAGGAGCGGAAATTTTTGGAAAAATTTTAAGAAATTTTCCATATTTGTCGGGCGTTTAGATAGCTACCCCCCTCCCACACCCATTTTCAAAATTTTGTTTAAAAACTAAACAAACCGTCAAACGAACAAACATACAACCAGAAGGTGTTGCATATCTTTGCATATCTCCATGACTTGTTAAATAACCAGAAAGTGAGACCAGTCGGATTCTTAAAGGCACATTAATTTCTGAGCTAAATACATAATTGAAATTTTTTCTCATTTTTTAAAGAGAAATAATGCTAAAATTGAGAAAATAATTAAAACGAGATTCTATTCCGCAATTTTATTGAGAAAGGAATATTTAGGTCTAGAAGTCCCTGGGAAGTCTTCGGGCGGAACTAATATTCGAACTGAAAATTTCCGGATACACAGACTTTTTTCGGTTCCAGATATCCGGAACCGCCACCGCTAGGGATACCTTCAGCATAAGAGAAAAAAGAGGATTAATTTTGGAGGTAAAAATGCGGACAAAATTTGCGGAAAACCCCAAACCTATGGATAAAAATTGCGGACGAATCCTTATACCCAACTTTTGCAAACTCTAAATGCATTAAAGGAAAAGAATAAAAAATAAAAGAGAAAATAAATTAAAGGTACTTCCACCAACAAAGTTAAAATAAAAATCCTCAAAATTTTTTTACTAGAAATTGAGTTAAAAAAAGTAACGGTAAAAACAAAGTTTTGTGTGTATAGTAGGTGTAGCAATAAAATAAAATATTTTTTTAAAGTCAAAACCATCCATCAAAACAAAACAAAATTCATTCATTAACACGGCGAGCCCGTTTAAGTGTCGATGTCGAAACCAACCCTCCCCCTCCCCCACCAACATTCTGCTGTTCGGCATCTGCAGATTTTGCAATATTGTCACAATTTTGATCGTGTGATCGAGTATTTGGATTGTTTTTGGTAAATTGTTTATCTCCGTTTGTAAGAATATTCTAAAATTTAAAAAATTCACGGGAAATGGAAAAATACAAGAGAATTTATTTTGTTAAAAGACCAAAGAATTTTAAAAATTTGGTTCGCTTTATGATATTATGAAAAGAATTTCAAGAATAAAAAGCGAAAAACGAAAAAAAATCGGCGAATTTTTTGAAGTCGAAAAAATCGACTTTGTCATTTTACTAAGTTTTTTAAAATTTATTTGTGATTGGCAATCAAATAAATAGAATAATCCAAGTTAACCCAAAAAAACGATTAACAAAAAAATACCGTTTTTTGAACCAAAAGTTTTGTCTATATACTTCCACCTAATTTAAACCCCCAAAATCAATAAAAATAAAAAAACCTTTTGTAAAATTCCATTTTGAGAAGACTCATTAACCAAACCATCAGCAGAAGCATTTAAATTTAAACTAAGCGAAACAGGCGAAGTAACCGAAGACAAAGAAAAAAATCTGTCAGTTTCCTCAAAATGTCTCTTTGGAGGCCGTCGGCCCTTAGAATGCCCAGAAACTAAATTTAATGCTGCGCCTGAAGATATTCCAGCAACTGCAGATTCCAATAATTTGTTGAAACCTAAAAGAAAATATTTTTTTGAAAATTTTGTTTAAAAATTAAAGAAAAAACCTTTAATAATATTCCCATTTTCAGAAGATTCTTCAAGATAAGTAGTCTCAAAATTGTATATTTGTTTTTCCAAATTGGACAATTTTTGCTTAAAATGATAAATTTTTTGATGAATTGATGTTAAAAATTTAGACATTTAATTTATATTAGAAAAGTCAACAAAAAATAAATCCCCAAAAGTAGCCCCCACAAAAGTAACAACTACATAACTTCCCCCCAGTTTTCCAGCCGAAAATTAAAAAAACGAAATAAACAAACCAAAACTTCAGAACGTCGTCTAATCAATTCAGACATTTCTTGCTTTGGATCGACATCTTTTGAATGAGCCATTTTCAAAAAAAAATTGAAAAAAATAAGATTTAAGAAAAATCAAAGAATTCTAAAAGTTTAAATAAAAAAAATTTAGAAAAATTGGAATTGTGTCGAATTGTGGGCCCGTTAAAAAATAAATTTAAAAATCATGGAAACACATTTTCTAGGGCTGATTTTATCGAACATTTGGCTTTATCTACGATTTTTAATCAAATACTTGATTTTTAAAAAATTTCATTCAAATAAATTCTCGATTTGAAAGGCCAAAATAAATTAAATCTGACATACTATATTTGACAAAATTAGAAGAACAATTTGTTTTAACCTTTCTAGTAACTTCACGGAAAGGAGTGGACGAATTGTGGGCGCTTCAGATTGGACACAGCCCGAATAGTCGCGGGCCGAATTGTCGCTCTCGACATTTGATTGACAAATTTTTCCCTTTTAAGCGACATATGAATTTAATTTTTTAGATAAATCTTCAAACAATTAGGGGACCATTTTTATTTTTGAATATTTAAATTAAAAGTTTGTTTTTATTAAATACAGTAGTCGACAAAAAGATAGGGACAAACGCAAGCAAAATGAAAATCACCTATTTTCTCGGTTAAAAATCGATTTTAGAAAAAAATTTTTGATTTATTAAATACTAGATTTTATGCTCTATTTAATGAGTAGAAAATTTGTCTGTTTAATTTTTTATAAAATTCAACCCTTATTGAAAAACAAAAGGTATGCTATTTTAAGCCCGACAAAAAGATAGGGACAAGTCTTGTAACTAAGTTCTCATAAAAGCAAAAAATCTACAAAATTTTGTATAAGCATATTGATCGATAATAAGAAGAAATAAAAGAGAACTAGGTCCATATCTCATTTCGTTGTCGAAATCTAGATACCCCAAAAATCAACGTAAAATAGGTTTTTTCGACTTTAAAATTTTTTTCGGACCCCTTATTGATTGTTTTAAATTTTCATTTTAGGCTTATTCGATAGATCTTTAATTGTGCTATAAACGTGACAAATTTCATTTTTAAAAAAAATTTCACTCCCGAGATAAAGGACGACGATTCTTCAAAACGTCATTTTTGTGGGAATTTATGGGGTGTTTGTTGCTTTTTGTAACATTCGCCTCTGCAACTAACGAAGTGTTTTTTTCTGAAAAATGAAATTTGGCTAGTTTATAGCAAATTTCAAGAGCTATCGAATAGGCTCAAAATAAAAATTTTAAAAAATCCTTAAGGGGTCGAAAATATTTTTTGAAGTTGCTTACCCTTGCTTTACGTTGATTTTTGGGGTATCGAGATCTCGACATTGAAATGAGATACGGGCCTAGTTCCTTTTTCTTTTATCTTAGTATCGATCATTATGTTTACACGAATTTTTGTAAATTTATTGGTTGAGTGAATAATTAGTTACAAGACTTGTCCCTATCTTTTTGTCGGGCTAAAATTTGCAGTACTTTTCTATTTAAATTATTTCAGTATATCAAAAAATAGTAATCCGCCAGATCTTATACTTATCAAATAGAGCATTAAATGGCGCATTTAATCAAACAAAAAGTTTTTCCTGAAATCGATTTTTAGCTGAGAAAATAGGTGATTTTCATTTTACTTACGTTTGTCCCTATCTTTTTGTCGACTACTGTATGTCTCTTAGAAGACTAAATAGGATTGCTTTTCAAGTTGTTTTGGAGGTTTTATTTTTTAAAAACTTTTTTTATTTAATTTTTTTAGATGATTCAAAGATTTAAAACTGCAAATACTTTAAACAATTTTGGAAAAGTTGGATTGAAAATTTTGAAGCACAATCGATTTACTTTACGTCGAACTGTTCTTAGAGGAGTAAGTTTTCCTTCTTTTTTGTTTTATCATAGAAAAAGCTTGCATTTCCCTAAGATCCTCAAAAATTCCTGAAAATCTAACAAATTAATTTTGGAATTCCGTAACTGAATGGTGATAATAGTTCGGCTTACCCTCCTTTCATGTTTTACTGACCATTTCGGGCTTTCTTGTTTGATATATAATTTACATATGTATTATTCGAAAGAGCTCTTCTTGCTATGTTAAATGATGCCAAGATTGCTAAATTAGATTATTCGGCCCTATCCCAATATAAGGGCGGAATCGTTTTTTCCATTACTTTTCATTATTTTATAAAAAAGGTCAATTTTCCTTAAAGTTGATGTATGTTGATGTTTGCCTTAAGGAAGAATGGAGGACAGACAATGACAGAAACACGGACGGATACGTCCGTTTTTGTCTGTCCGAGTCTGCCCGTGTTTTTCAGTCCGTGCTCGTCCGTGTTTTGGACAGACAAAACACAGACGGACTCGGACAGACAAACACGGACGAACACGGACTGAAAAACACGGGCAGACAAAAACGGACGTACACGTCCGTGTTTCTGTCATTGCTGTCCTCCATTCTTCCTTAAGGCAAACATCAACATACATCAACTTTAAGGAAAATTGACCTTTTTTATAAAATAATGAAAAGTAATGGAAAAAAACGATTCCGCCCTTATATTGGGATAGGGTCGATTATTCTTAATAAAATTATGAAGCTTAGAAATTCGCTGTAAGAGGTTAAAATAAATGGTTATAACTTTGTTCATTCAAGTTGGATCTCGTTAATTTTGGGTGCTTTCTATTCAGTTCGAAGAGCTTTTCCGAATAATAGTATATAATTTACCATAAATAAGTCATTTTTTATTGAAAATGCTAGAGGGAAATAAGTGAAATTGAGGAAGGAAAAAAGTCTGACCATTCTGTACATAATGAAAAAACAGGGAGGAAAAAGGAGAACCCAAACGTTGGTTTGGGGAACCCCAAAAACTCAGGCCCTGACCAGATCCAGCTAGATCGCCTCCACCTCGATCTTTAAATTTTTCTGTCTCTTGATAAATTTTTCATTTCATTAGTTTCGAGTTATAGCCAGACAACCAGCTCAACTTTGGAGGCCATTTGCTTCCCTACATTTCCGGCATCAACAACAATTAAATCAAAGATTGAATGGTTTCAATTTCATTAAAGACAATAAACCTAAAAGAGACATCCTCCATCTTGTTAGGGTATTTCTTTAATTTTTGGATAAATATTAAGGAGAATTTAAGAATTTATTTGGTACAAATGCTCGTTATAATCGTGGCCTTTCTTCAACTGAAATGCCCAACAATTTGGATGCTTATGAAATTGGTTAAAATTTAAATATAATTTTTGTGTAAATAATAATCATAAAGGGTGCTCTTCCTCTTTTTTAATTATTGAAAAAAATAAACTTTCCCAACGGGATCGAACCCAAGACCCCAAACCCACGGAGTATGTTCGAACCAGTATGAGAAAATTAATTTTTTTTAATAGCTAAAAAAGGTGAAAAGACCGTTTTGATCACTTTATAGCGTTATTTATACCATTTCTCTATTACATTAAACATAATTTCAAAAATATTTTAGGCAAGTACATTGCCTCTGGCTGTAATGGCGCTGTCTTTCAACTCCGTCTTAAACAAGAGTTAGCTAGTAATAATAATATTGATGAATCTCAATTTGATCATCCCTACAAAGCAAGTTATATTCTAACCTATATATCTGTGTTTGCGGACTTTTTTGAGGAATTTTTACGAACTTTCTTTTGCGGATTTAGCGGATATATGAGGAATTTATTACCTAATTTTTAAACATTTAACTCAATTTTAGTTGTATCCATTGGCACTCAAAGTTTTATTTATTGATGGATTAACACAGGAGCGGTTTATTTGGAAAGAAATGGCTTCAGAACTTATTCCACTTGTTAGGCTTCCAAAGACAGTTTTTGATGGAAAATTTGCAAGGTTATTTTAATTATTTGTTGTTTACAGATTAAAATTTTCGGTAATTGTGAACCTTACAGACTCCTTTTTTCTTCCGACTCTTCTCGATAATCTAACCCTATTATGTCCGAAAGTTGTCCGATGTTGGCGTGAGAGTAACATTTATCCAGTTTTCTTACTAACTTTCTTAAGGGCCTTTTCTTGGCGACTTTTTACTGAATTTTTAAAAGATTAAAATCAGTAAATGGTACTTCTTTCTTCGATAATGTCCCTTTTTCTTGTCCACTTTTTAAACTTCATTTCAATATCCGTTCTTTTTTTTTGCAGACCCCTTTTAATATTTTTAATTTTAAGAATAAAAACAATTTCTCGTTCCCATCCAAATATAATCAAAATGTATACAGCTTTTACTGATAAATTTTCTGCATTACCTGAGGCTGAAAAAATTTTGATAAATAAACTACAAAATCGTCGTTTTAATTTACAAAATTGTTTAGAGGATTTTAATGAAGCAAAAACACTTTATGTTGTTATGAAAAGGTTTGCTATTTATTTTTTATTTGAAAAAACCCAACCACAAGTTTCGTTGAATTTTTGTTTTTCGACTTCTCTCGTCCCCCGACTTTCCAAATTTCTTTTTGGTCTTTCGAAGTTGTGTCATTTTTTACTTTTGACGCAGCTTTGGATAAGAGCTTCCAAACACTGATCCTGATATTTTGTTAGCTTACCCGAGAGAGAAAAACTTTAGTGAAAAGAGTACATCCACCGTCTCCAAACTGATCGCTTCTAAATTTTTTAAAATTTTTGCGGACGTCCGCAAAATGTTTTTTTGCGGACTTTTCTTTATTTTTAATCTAAACAAAATTATTTTTAAGATATCGAATGACTCTACAAACTTATCTAAAATCTCATAAAAGAAATTATTTGCAAGCAAGAATTATGTTTGGTCAATTAATGGAAGCAATTGTTTTTCTTCACAAAAATACAATTTGTCATCGAGTAAACTTAAAAAAAGATTTTGGCCTAAAATTTATTTTTAGGATATGAAGTCTGATAATATTCTTTTGGATTTTGATTTTGAAGGTTTTTTTTCAATTTTTATAAACTTATAGGGCTTTTATTCGCACTTTTACGCGTCCAACCAAATTTTTATGCAAGCGATCTACGACGATAAATTCGGTTCTGTTTAAAAGCTGTGGTCCTATATCACGCGTGTGTACCATAACCAATTAGTACTAAAGTAAAAAACCGGGTACTTATGACCATTGATTGGGCGCATAAAAATTTGATTGGACGCGTTAACTGTACAAGAGCCAAAATTTTTTTAAAGATGAAGTGCCACATTTGGTTCTTAGTGATTTCGGCTCAGCATTGTCGAATGGTGAATGGATTTTGCACAGTTCTAGTGATGGGGAATTCAGCGACTTGGGTGGAAATTTAGCTTTGAGAGCACCAGAAATACGTAGAATACGTCCAGGGTTAAATTCATGGGTTGATTATGAAATGGCAGATACTTGGGCTGCTGGAACACTTGCTTTTGAGATTTTTACAAGGTTTGTTAAAATATGAGAAAAATGGGGGAAGGGGGAGGGGGAAGTAATTAGGAGGTTTAGAAAAAAGGTGAAAGTCTGTAGGGTTAAGAGTTCCTTCCCTCCCACTTAACAACTCGACTCATTTAGGCTTATTAATTTTTCCTAAAGTATAATTTTGTAGGAGAAATCCATTTTATGCAGTTTTGAGTAGTGCAACATACAAAGAATCAGATTTGCCTCCTTTACCCACTCGTTTAATTAACCCAATAAAACAAGTTATTCATCAAATGCTTTGTATTGATCCAAAGAAAAGACCGAAACCAGAAATTGGTGCAAATATTGTGGCTATTTCACTTTTTGGGATGAAAATTGGAAAAATTTTGGATGAATTTTCGGTACAAATTTTTTAATTTTTGGGGTTTTCGGAATATATTCCCAAAAGTCCTCAAATTTTGTCCGCATTTTTTGTCTGCAAGTCTTATTTAATTTTTTCAAAAAAGGTTTTTTGAAGGCATAAAGGATATTATGTATTGTGACTTCGTAATGAAATAGAGAAAGTAGTTCTAGCGACGAGGTTTTATAATATATTTTAGTAATAACGTTTATTTTATGCCCTTAAAAATCTTGGAAAGTAAAATGTTCAACTTGCGGATAAAAAGTTGCGGATTTTTGGAAAATTATCGAAAATTTAAGTAAATAAAAAAATTTTTAGAATAAAATAGAAAGTGCAATTAATTCTATTGTTCAACTTTATGCTAGCGAAACAATTTTAGCTCGTTTTCTTAATCCAAAAACTATTAGTAATGCTGAACTTCAGGTTTTTTTTAATTATTTTTAAAATTGTGTTCTAAAGCAATTTTTTGTTTTACGGATCACCATTAGCTATTGGGAAAATTTTTATAAAAAAATCCCCAATAACCGACATTTATGGACTTTTGGTCTAAAATTTTTTGACAAGTTTGACCAAAAGTCCGTAAATTTTTTGTCCGCAAATTTTAAATATGACTCCAAAAATATTTTTAAGCTAGAGTTCCACTCATTTAACGTCCATGAGACGTCATATCTCCATAAAACTTGGGCCAAACTTGTCGAAAAAAAATTTTTTAAATTAATTTTTTAAAGCTTCGGGCAACTTTTCTTTCTCGTATGGATTTTGAAGAATTACACACAGCATTAAATTATTATATTGAAAATAGAGAAGGAGGAATTCAAGGAGAGGAAATTCCTTCAAAATTAATTTCTAATGAAGTTTATTCTTCTTTTATTAATCAAGAGGCCTTCTCATCAGCTATAACAAAATAAGTAATAAATAGACTATAATTTACCTCATAATCTTTCAATTTTTCAAATGTAAATTTAAAAATAAAATTCAAAAAAATTTTCTAATAAAAAACCGTCATAAAAACTACCATTTGACAAAAGCATGAACATAACACAAACTCAACCCTCAAAAAATGGAACGACTACTAAAAGGCTTCGCCTTTTATACTTTTTTTCAAAGAAATTTTTATTCATTTATTTAGTAAAATTAGAAATTACACAAAAATACAAAAAAAATTTTTTTCAATTAAAAAAACCTTTTATTTCCCATAATTTTCAAACAATTTTGGATATTTATTCTTCACTTCATCAAAAGGCAAAAGCACAGCATAGCTTTTATCTTCCAGTTTTAACAAAAAATAAATTGTTTCACAACAAGAGGTTTCTCCAATAATTTGAATTGGTTTTTGGCCAAAACAATCTCTCTCTAATTTTGATAAACTGAAAATAAAAAAGTTTTTAGATTTTAATTTTTGGAGTTGGATCTGCCTGAATTTAAAAATATATTTATTTGTGGTTTTTCGCTGATAAATTTTGCAGATTTTTACGAAAATTATATTTTTCTTAGGATGTCTAGCCCTAATCCACTCCCCACTCAAAGCAGAATTAAAACTTTCTTGCTCTGAACCCCCCTCTTCCTTTTTCCAAAAAATTAGTTTATTATTTACCTTGGAGTTTCCACATCGACTCTAACGGTCAAAGGCGAATTCGGATCGACATTTTCCAATTGAACCATTTTTCTAAAATTAAAATGTCTAAAATAATAATTTAAAAATAGGTAACAACTGGTTAAAAACCATTTGTGACAAAAAAATTTTCGGACAAAACTTGCAGACAAAAACTTTTTTTCAGACAAAAAATTCAAAAAAAAATTTTATAAAAATCAATTAATTTCTTCTTCTTCCTCCTCTTTAATTTCAATATCAGTATCTTCCACCCCTGATGAAATAGCTCCCACGTCTGTTTCTTCTTCTTCTTTTTTTGCCTCTAATTTAACTTTTGCCTTCTTTAAAGATTTATTTAATGAATTATTAAAATTATATTCCTTCAATTCTTCCAAAATTCTTTTTCTTTCCTTCATCGGTTTTCCAGCCATTTCTTCAAGTTTTTCCTTACAAAACGCTTGGCGTTCAGTTACTGCATTGAATAATTGAGTTACACCTCTAAAATTATTTTTTTGTGGACAAAAATTTTCAGAAATTTAAGAAAAAACCACCTATCCAACCTAAATTTGTAAAGATAAAGCCAACTAACCCGAACACAGAAAATTTTGGCCCTATCTCAAAAGAACCAGTTTCCAAACCCGTAACCACATTGACTTAAAAATCCAAACCTTGTAGCAACGTGTGTCAATTTCCTCTCCCTTTCTTTATCCAATCCATAATCTGGTTTAACATAACCCTGACGTTTAGCATCCATTTAGAAAAAAAATTAAATTTTTCTGTCAAAATAATTTTAAATTAATTTAAAAATAAATTGAATTTTTAAACAAATATAAAATTTTTTAAAAATTTCTAATAATTTTTTCATTCATTTATCACAGTAAATATATTTAATTAAATTCAAAAAATTATTTTCTTTATGCATAAGAAATTACAAGCCAAGCAAAAACAAAATAAAAAAGCATAAGAGGGTAATATGAAAGAATTTTTCTCTTTGGTGGTTGGGATCCAGACATAAATTTTGTTGAAGCTTTTAAAGAAAAAAGGAATATTAAAAATTAGTTAATTAACAGGTAACAGGGATTTCTCAAATAAAATTTAAAATATTTGGTTAAAAATCATTTGCGAACAAAATATTCCCAACAGCTATTCTCGTTAATTTTTCATTAAACGATTCTGTGATTTGTGATCCAAAAATTGTTAGGAATCGTGATTTTCGTAAATCGAATCAGTAGGATAGAATGGGACCCGAATTTACTTTTATTATGATTCTTAGTTTTTGGCATTTGTAAAGAGTTTTTGCAGTTTCTAGAAATACATACTATATTTTGAGTTAAGCACAGGCCTAATCGCCTTAATTAAAAAAGTCCGCAAAAATTTTGCGGACTCCAATTCAACCTAACCTTAACTTTAAATAAATCCACAACAAAACCAAAAAAACCCTTCCCCCCCTTCTCCCAAAAATTAAAGATATATTTACCAACCATAATAAGCCCATCCAAGTCCAATAACAGTTAAAACAAGCCTTACAATTAAATTAATTTTCATCTTCTTTATAAGTAATAATTGAACAGATTTAATTCCAATAGAAGAAAAAACAAATGGAAGTAGACAATATCCAATAACACAGAGGGATTGGAAGAATGAACTGAAAAAATAGTTTAAAAATTTTGGTTAGTTTTTTATGTTCCCAAAAAGTCCGTAAATTTTGTCCGCAAGCTATATTATTTTCTATAATTGGAGGTATCTTAAATTGGAGGTGTTGTGACGTCATTTCAAATGGTTGGCATTTCGGCGCGGCCCGCTTATGAAGTCTACTTAAATCGAGGGGTTAGCAACCTACTCCCTCTCCGGTATAACAGACAAAATTAACGGATTTTTGTGAGAAATTTACATTTTTCCTCCAAGCAATTTAGCATTAAGCGTAACCACAAGAGAACCAAAAAATGCCAAAGAAAATATTTGGGTAAATTGTGCTCCCTTCTCAGCTCCTTGCAATAAACTAAAATTTTGAAGAAACTTTAAAAAAAAATATTTTTTTCCAAATTTACAGTGAAAGAAGCACACAAATAAATAGAGGACCCCAAAGATCCCAATCAGCAAGTACATTCATTTCATTCTTCTGAGGAAATAAAACTTGCGAAAATTTTTCATAAAGGATTTTCAAGTCTCGATTCTAAAATTTAAAAAAATAATTAAAAGTGAACGCTTTATGCGAGTATTTGAATTCAGAAAAAAATTCTTTTTCTTAAAAAAAATTGCCTAGCCTATCCGAAATAAAAAGTCAGGAGTTCTTGTGACAAACGAAAATGTATCCATAAGTTAATGGAAGCCCAAAAAGTTCAAAAAATTAAAAACGACATCCGGTAATTGGTTCTAGAAAACCTTAAACGATCTTTTTTTGGTTCAGAAATGTTTTTATCTAAACAGCCCTATCCAAAAATAATTGAAAAAAAGAGTAAAAAATACCAAAGTGTCTTTAATGCTTTCATCTAAAGTATCAAACTCGCAATCAAACTGAACAGTGTTTCCCAAAACTTTTTTCGAATCATTTCTCCCACCAATATTTCCACTCAAGTCTGTAGATTTTAATTGTTTGTTTCCTTCTAATTGTTCGCTTTGTTGAATTTCTTTTTCCAACTTGAATTGAATTTAATTTTAAAATTTTATCATTAAAGAAACCTGTTCTAAATCAATTGCAAATGACAAATTTGAAGTCATAGGAAAAAATAATTTTTAATCAAAAATATTTTCTAAAAAATTTAAAATATTTTTGTAAATAACAGATAGCTTTTAATGGATAGCCAGGACCTGGTAGTCCTTCTAGCTGTGATAAATGACCAGCGATTCCAAAAGATCACTGGTTGCAAAAATGGATTTAAGTGATAGCCCCATAGACTCCGAAAACCATAAATGTGGGGGAAACAAAGCTCTACAAATAAAAAACACCGAGATGCGCCTACATACCGTATTTGCTCTAGTAATCCCCCAGGGGGATTATTGTTTCAACCCATCTCTAGGGTGGGGGATTAATAGAGCCTGGGGGATTATTAGAGTGGGGTAGAAAGAGGGGGATTATTGTTTCAACCCATCTCCAGGGTGGGGGATTAATAGAGCCTGGGGGATTAATAAAGGACTGGGGGATTAATAGAGCAAATACGGTACATATATTTTTATAGGTATCAGGGATTGGTCAGGTTGAGAAAAAATAGAATCTAGTTTCGTTCTAAATTTTTTGGGTTGGTCCCCAGGCAAGGGCATTCTGAACGTAAAGCACAAAGCAAGTCCCATTTATATTCGGGTTCAAAAGGGTCAAAAACTGCGGAACGATTTCTGGTTCTTTGGAACTGGGAAAACAATTAGGAATTTACCACGCATTTTTGAGGAGATTAAACTAACCTCTAACATAATCTTGTAATAAATGAAAATATATTAATATACAAAAAAATATTATTTCATGGAACATTCCAAAATTAAAAAAACAAGAAAAATTTTCTTTCATTAAATTTTAACATAACAAAAAGCAACAAATTATTTCCAATATAATCCAAAACCTTTTTTCTTCTCTAACAATTTCCACCTCAATTTCGATAACCACGCGATGCACGACGACCACGAGCGCGTTCAAATTTACGACCTACAAAAAATAAAATTAAAAAAATTGATTTTTAGCGTTGGATGAAGACAAGGAGAAATACAGGGGGAAAAGTCCGCAAAAGTTTGTCTGCGAGAAAAAAAGTCGACAGGAATTGCATTCAAATATTTACAAGTAGGATTGTTGGTTTGAACCAAACCGGTAGCCCAGAGGATTTTAAGTCCGATTCCTCATTTCGGTTTCGGATATCCTAAGATTTTCTAAGAGGCGACAGACCTAGTTATAAACCGATAACCTTCTAATGTCAGACTAGTTTTTGATAATCCTCCTATTTTTGATGCTTAAATCCTGCAAGTCTTGTAATCGTCCCACGACTTCACAGGCAGCTTAAAGGGAAGAAAAGGGAAGAAACGTGACTCATCAGTTTGAAAAAGACTAACGATAAGCATAAAAGAACTCTTATTGTCAAAAAACTTAACAAACCTTTAGAACGAACCAACGGTTTTGCATGGCTCCCGGGAACACCAGGAGGAGGTCCAAAGTGCTTCTCAGCCTCTCGCGACTTTCTCGGTCCTTGCAAAAGCATCGTATTTTCCCCTTTTGGAGCTCTCAAAGCCAATTGATCGAAAGTTATAGTCTCTCCACCAGCTTTAATAATCCGAGCCCGAGCTGCTGTAGTAAAACGCAAAGCACAAACAGTCATTGCTGGAACTTTATAAATTCGTTTGTCATCCGTCACAGTTCCAACACAAACAACTATTTTCTTCTCATTCCCTAAAAAATTTTTTTTGAAGAAAAAGGGAAGGCCTTGGACAAACTAAAATGTGTATATACCCTAATTTGCCATAAGCCCTACCGACAGCAAGAACCCTATCGACCCTCTAACCGAGCAAAACCCCCCACCCCTAATTAAATTTATAAATACAAACCTGGACGTTTAAAGTTACGGACAATACGAGAAATCGAAAGAGGTGGCCGATTACGTTTTGACATATAAAGACGTTTAAGCACAACGGCATTGAAACGCTTTTTAGTATCCACACGTTTAGTCAAATAACGATAAAGCTTGACCAATACACGCAAATAAGGGTCATCACTTTTTGGCGCTGTGCGTCGAACTTTTCGATCATATTTGTGGTCAATATCGATTCCCATTTTGTTTTTAAATTAAATTTGCTTCACTAAAAAAAAATAAAATATAGTAGAAGCCTAAACCGAAAAAAATCTCAACGTAACCTAACAAAAAAATTTTTTCAAGTTGGGTAGGGGACGATTCAGTATCGCCGATTCAGTATTGGCCGATTCAGTATTTGGGCTTTTTGGCCATAACTTTTTGCTCGATCAATATTGTAGGAATTATTATATATGATTTGATAGGTCTCGGGGTGCTGCATCTTTTTCATAATTGGACTGACCTGATCTTATACTCTACAAAAAGTTATCACTGATAAACAACGTCACAGGCATAAAAGATCGGTTTTCACGCTGTAACTTTTTTTGTGATCATCAGATCAGATCGGGCCAATTATGAAAAAGATGTCGAATCACGAGAGCTTTCGAATGATATGAGAATTATTCGAATCGGTCGAATATCAGGAAAGTTATGGCCATATACTGAATCGGCGATACTGAATCGTCCTTAACCGTTCAAGTTTGTTTAGTTTTTGGCATAAAACATTTTGCAAAAATCATATTTTGCCAATAAGGGTAAATTCCCAAATTTTGCCAATGAGTTGGTTGGCAAAATGTGGATAAATTACCCTTATTGGCAAAATATGATTCTGACAGAATATTAATTGCCTAAATTTGAGAAGCCAAGTCGATTGATTGCCGATGAATGAGAGCTAAGAGAAAGTAGCGCTGCATTCGGATTCGTCCCATAGATTTATAAAAAGTCAATTTTGTGTAATCTTCTTCTTAATTAAGCCTAAAAATGTCATCCTCCTTTGTTGAAATTTCAAAAGATTTGATTGGTGGCCAATTTTTGTTGCGTTTATTCTCTTTTCTTTGCAATTTTGCCCTTTTAAGATTTACAGATCCTTCAATTTTGGGATTTTTTAATGTCAGGTTTGTTTTTTTTAAATAACTTTTTTGTATTTTTTATTTTTTAAAGGATTAATCTAATTTACAATACTATTGGATTCCTTTCTCGAGAACCTGTGAGAAAATTATGTTTAAATTCTGATGTTTCTTTGACTGAGGTTGGCATATATTCTTTTTTCAGGTTTTGCTTAGTTTTGGTTTAGTTGTATAATTCTGAGTTTGTAGGCAGTTTGGGTTTTTTTCGAGTCCATTCTCCCAGTATTTTTCTTTTTTCTGAACCTTTTAGGTATTTTTTTTGATATTAAAGGAAGGCGTTTTGGTGTAGTGGTATAGTTCTGGGGGCGTGGATAGTTTGGCCTTGGTTCGAGTCCAAAGTTTTTGTTCAGTTGGTCTAGCTAAATTTATTTTTTTCTCTTTGGGATCACATATTATTTTTGAGACTCGAAAATTTTTATACGACGCAGAAATTTTTATCAAGGAATGCCCCCTCTTTTTTATAATTTCTATCCAATTTAGTTCATTAATCGCCATTTTTGTCTCTACTTTTTGTTGTACTATTTGGTTTTTATTTTGGACTGGATTTGATGAACTTTCAATTAGTAGCAAATCATATCTTTTTATACTTTTGGTGTTTAGTTTTTCTGTTTGTATAGAACTTTTTGCCGAACCAATTATTATAGAACAACTTAAATCTGGAAGGTTTTTTTACTTTAAATTTTTTATTTTGCAGACTTTTGCTTACGAATTTTTATTTTTCAGAACAAGGAATTATGTATTTAATGGCGCAATTTTGTTATTGCTTCAAAAATTTTTGACGATTGTTATGCTTTTGTTTAAAGTTAATCCTTTGGTCGCTTTTAGCCTTTCTCAGGTTTTTTTTCTTATGCCTGGGAAAAGTTGGGTCTGTCTTTGGTTCCCACCCAGTCAGTTTTTGGGCTTCCTCATTTTTTTCAGGGCCTTGTTTTGGTTTTTGTTAAAATTGAGGTTCTCGCTTTTGTCGACTTTTGTTTTGGTTTTTTGGTACAAATCCTGGGGTTTACCTGGGCCTAGATTTTTATAGACTCCAGGCCCGGGATCTTACCCACTTCAAGATTTGAGGACGTCCGCAAATTTTTTGCGGATTTGAATACTGATTTTTCTTTTTTAGTTAATCGCCTCTCTCGTCTATTTTTACCTTTTTATCCGTGATAACAAAAAAAATATATTCAAAATTTACAAAACCTCAATTTTGCAATTTTTCAATTTGAAAAGATTTGATAAAGGACGTTTAAAATTACTTAAAGTTTATCTTTTTCATTCAATTTTGAAACAATTTCTGACGGATGGAGCTAATTTTTTGATGGTTTTCTCAGGCTCTGTTCCTCTTAAAATACAAGGTTTTTCAATTTTATTTTAAAAATGCCGTAAAAAATTGCTGATAAATCCGCAACTTTTTGCGGATTTTATTTTATATCATAGTTATGGTTAGACTTAATTTAAGAATTTGCGGATTTGTCCGCAATTTTTTGCGGATTTTTAAATTTATTTTTAGCTGTTTATGATGCAGTTGATCGTTTAGCAAGTTTATTTGTTCGTTTAATTTTGCAGCCATTTGAAGAATCTGCATTAATTTATTTTTCAATAAATTTAAAAAGAGAAGGAGAAAACGAGGAAAATAAAAAATTGCCTAAAAATGTTTTGGAAACATTTTTAATTTTTACAAAATTAATTTTTATTTTTGGATTGATAATTTTTCCTTTTGGGGTTTCTTATGCTAGATTGGCTGCTTTTTTGTATGGAGGGAAATTATTTATGGAAAATAATGGTATTTTTTAATTTTAAAAAATTCTATGTCCGCAAAAAAGTTGCGGACATCCGCAACTTTTTGTTAAAAAATTTTAGTCACATTCTGAAAGGTTCCTTTGATAGGCAGAAAAACCAAATAAAAAATTTTTTAAAAATTTTTCCAAACAAAAAATATTTTTTTAGCTGACCAACTACTTTCTCTATATTCAATTTATTTGCCTATAATAGCTGTAAATGGTCTTTTTGAATGTTTTGTTTTTGCTCAATTAAATGCTGAAAAGGTATTGCCCTCCAACCCTAACTATAAGATACCCAAAATCCTTGAAATTTGGTTTTTAAATTTTTATGCCCACAAAAAAAGTTGCGGACATCTGCAACTCTTTTACGGACATAAAAGTCTACAAAGTTTCTGCACAAAGCCCTTTCAAACCCCTCGTCAACCCGAGACAGGAAAAGTTTTCATGGGGGAATGTTTTTTGGTGCCTAATGGGTATCCTTATAATGCTGTTTAATTAATTAAAATTAATTTTTTAAGGTTTTACTTCATGCAAAATTTTTCTCATTTTCTGTTTTTGTTCATCTTTTTTTAAATTATTTTCTTTCAAATTATTTGGGTGTTAAAGGCTTTATAATTGCAAATATATTGAATTATTTGGCTAGAATTTGGTTTAATTGGAGATTTATTTGTGTTGCTGTACAAAAGGGGGAAAGGTGGAGGAAAATGTTGCCTAGCAAAAATTTGTAAGAAAATTTTTTTATTCTATTACAGTAACCTAATCATACGATAAACCCTTTGAGACTGAAAAAACATAATAATGAGAGATGAGTAAACTAATAACGAGAGGTGTATCTTAAAGGTTTGAATGTTTAGGTAAGCTAGAAATCAAACTGATATCGATCTCGGATTTATTAGCGGCAGAACAGCAGGTTAGAAAGAATAAAGTTTTGGTCAAGTGGATAAGAGCGCTGACCACTCTTAAACCTATGGGTCGGTGGTTCGAATCCTTTCAGGGAATTTAATTTTTTCTAATTAAATAAAGATTTAAAAAAATTTTTCTTAGATTATTGGCACTTCTTACAGCGTGGATTGTTCTTTTTACTTCTTCATTTATATTCTACTGGCAAATGACCTTTCTTTCACAATTTACCCATGTTTTTGTCGGATGTTTAATGCTTTTATTGATTGGATTTGTTTATGTGAAGAACGATTTTGTTGAGTTTAAAATGTTTAATTTAAAAGATAAATAGGGTTAATTTTGTGGAGGACTAGCGAATTTTTGTAGATTTGAAGAGAGCTTTTTAAATTTTTATTAAAATAAATTTTTATGCTTTAAAAAAGAGAAAAGGGAATACATTTCTATTTAAGTAGTTGATAATTTGGGCAGGCAATAAATTTTTTATAGTGATCGGAATTTTGTACCGGAAGTACCGATGAACTTCAAAGATTTTTTTTATTTTTATGTCCGCAAGTTTAAAAAGATCCGTAAATACCTTAATCCGCAAATAGCTATAAATACCTAAAAAAATACCGTCGGTAGTACATACAGTCCGATCACTAAAATTTTTATGACTAATTACAACAAAAATGGCGAAAAACATTTTTAGTTTGTTATTTTTCTCCTTCAATAAATTTATTATTATTTTCATTAATTTCTCTATTATTACTTTGTTTTGAACGTTTTTGTTGTTCTTTATTTAATTCAATTGGGGCAATTAAATTACTGCTATGGCATATTCTTGTTTTATTTTGGTGATTTCGATCGAGTGAACCCGTTGAAGAATTTTGAAGTTTTCCTTTTTGGGAAAAAAAACTTTTTTTTAATTTAAAAAATGCTTAAAAACCTTTAATACGTCGTTGTCTAGGTGGGGATGCTTTGAAAAAAAATTAAATATTTTTGAGATTTATTTAGGATATATTAGGGGAATAATGAAAAAGTCTGTCAAAAATTGAGAAAATGTAAATCCGTAAAGATAACGGTCATTTGAAAATTCATCAAGAATTAATAATAACTTTCAGACTTTTGGGAAAATGGAGGAAATTTTTGGAATATCGCTTACTTATCATTATCAATTTCAAAAAATTAATTCTGAAAAAATCCGGCGAGTTTTGTCCGAAAAAAATTTTGTTGTCTAACTTACAAGGGCAAGAAGCAACACCTCCTCCACCATCACTAGAACGTCCTCCCTCTTCTTCCACCACAATTTTTTGTCTTCCTTTCCTTTCATTTGTTGTTCCGTAATTTTGTTGTTGACGTTTTAATGCCATTCTATCAAGTATTTCTGAGTTTACAAGAATACTTGGGCCTTCCTCCGGTGGTAAATAACCTCTCAAATTGAGTAGACTGGAAAAGAAAAAAATTTTTGGATTTAAAAAAAGTTTATTTGGGGATTATTTAGACTTTTGGGAATAACTTGGAGGGATTAAAAAATAATATGGGATGCATAACGGATCTAAACGACAATACATTACCCACCGAAATAATTTATAAAAAACCTTGGATATTCAGGAACACAAATAGCATTCAAAATATTTTTAAAACAATTTCCAGAATTATAAGGATTTTTAACTTGAGGATGTAATTTTTGACTAAAAGTTCCTTTAATATCTTCGTTTGTAGTTTGTCCAAGAGCTAATAAATAAATGTGAAAACCAGAAAGACCCAACACAGACCAAATTGAAATTATGTTAATTACACCTAAAAATTGTTGGAAAAACATTTTGTGGACAAAGTTTTGAAAACCTGTTAATAATGAAGGTGGTGTTTCCTTCAAAGCATCCATAAATGTGCCTTTTTCAATACTCACTGTGTATATAAAAAAATTAAAAAAGAAATGTTTGATATTTGCGGACCTTTTTTGCGGATTTTTTTGTTTGTGAAAATATGGGGAGTGGTGACTAGTTTTTTTTGGTTTGGGGGCTAATTCTCTTATTTTATAAAAAATATAAATTTTATACTCAAAAAACACCTCTTGAAAAAAAACGATTTTACAATCATGGAGAAAGATGAAAAAAAAGCCCATAAGAATTGTCCGCAAAAATATGTCATGCAGGCATTTCTTGCGGACTTTTTTGTTTTTTTGAAAATTAATTAAAAACTAATTCCTCTTACACAAATAAAAATGTAATCCAACACAAATACCCATAAAAGCATCTAATATCCAAAGAGATGTAACAAACATAAAGAAATGTCTATAATTGCGTAAACCAATGCAATTTCCTAGCCAAGGGCAATGATGATCGAAATTTAAAACACAATTATCACAAATTGAACAATGCCTGGAGGGGAAATAAAGGTTAATTATAAAATTGTTGAAGTCTTTCCTCTTTCTTAAGAAAAGTTTTTAAGTTTTGTCCGCAAGTTTCGAGGCCTAATTATTGGAATTTAAAAAGGAAAACAATAAAAGATTATAAAAAAATTTTAAAAATTAAAAAAACTTTTTTGATTCTTAACCGATTTAATTATTACATCTATCGAATTTATGAAACAGGCTTTTATAGTCAAATGAATCCTTTTAGGTAAAATAATCTCTACATTCAGAGCCTTCAATTGGCATAATAATTCTTTAAATCGGTTAAGAATCAAAAAAGGTGTAGGCAAAAATTTGCCACGAAACTTTCGGTAAAAGTTGCGGGCAGGAAAAATTAAAAATTAATTTAAAATAAAACTAACGAAGATCTAGGAGGCCTAAAAATACAACAAGTAAAGCAATATTTTAATTTAACTTGCTGGCCACGAATATTAACTATTCGAGTTCTAGGTTGAAGCCATTCATCACGTTGGAAGAATGGATCTTTTTTTAAATTAAAAAATTTAAAAAAATGAAAAAATTTTCTGTCCGCAATCTTTATCCGCAAAAATAAAAAAATTTTTATTTAATTTTTTGCAGACAAAAATTGCAAACAACAAATTTAAAATTAAAAAAAACCAGATTCTTGGCATTGTTTCTCCAATTCAAGAACTTCTCTAGGAGTAGCACGAGGTATAATACCTGGATCGGTAAAAGCTGCACGTAAAAGAGAAGAAATAACCAAAAGAAAAAGTAAACTAGAAACTATTGGAATTGCAATTGATACTTTTTGAGTTAAAAATGGTAAACTAGAAAAAAAGGGGAAAATTTTAATTTTTTTAAATTTAATTTTTGGCGATTTTCGTTTAATTCCCCATAAAAATCCCCAACTTTTTGTCCGCAAGTAAAATTTTCTGAAAAGACTTTTTGGATGCATTAAATACTGTTAAAATTAAATACGCGAAGTATTCTCAATTTTGCGACATAAAGTTTGTAGTGACAACAATGTCTTTTGTGTGTGTCTTTTGTGACCTTTTTAGAAAATATTAAAAAATTTGACTTGCGGATAAAAATCATTTTTTAAATTAAAAAATAAAAAACAAACTCAAAAATACAAAACAGGGTCATAGTAAAAATTATAAGTAGAAATGTTAACACGAAAACTGAACTTTGTCGAGCCATAATAAACCTTTAAAAAAAAGAAAATTTTTTAGTTCTTTTTAATTATGCGGCAAAAAAAGTTTTCAAGTTTCGTCCGCGGGAGCTGTCTCCAATTAAGTCAGAAACAGTCCTGTTTCCTCCTCTTGACTGATTAAAAATCACAAAATACCCATGCATAATTGCAACTTTTGTGCCAAATATTTAAAAATAACCAAAAAATTAAAAAAAACCTTCCATCACAAAATACTCTATTTCTTCCTTGATGTCCTCTCCATTTTCTTCCATTTTTACCAATTTTTTCTTCTTTTTGTAAAATCAAATTAGGAGATATTTTATTATTATTTAATTGAACTTTATTTGTATTTAATTGTTTTCCTTTAATAATTACAGCAAATTGGGAAGAAGAGGAGGAAGGGGTTGTTACTTGTCTTTGGTCATTATTTATATTTACTGAAATAAAAAAAATAATTTTTATTTTGTGTCTATAAAAATAATTTTTGCAGACTTTTTGGACCAATATTGGACTAAAAAGTAACCCAAAAACTTAAAAATATAGATCTAAAACTTAAAAAGAGGAGTGTCAGTTATTTATTCACAAAAAGTCCGCAACTTTTTGAAGCAAATTACAATTTTTTCAATAACCGGCATCCCTAGTAATAAAAAAATGTGCCGACAAAAGTTGCAGACTTTATTTATAGAAAAGTTTAACCTTATCTTAACCCAAAAAATATTCAAAAAAAACCTCCTCCTCCTCCTATTTCCCTTCCATTAATTTGAACTTCTCCCTTTTCTACATCTTTATCAGAAAATGTTGTAGATTTCATCTGCCCGTCTTTTCCAATAATTACTAATTGAGAATGTTTTTGAGGTAAATATAAATTCTTATTGTAATTTTCTAATGTTGTTAAATGTTCAAATGGAACAAGTTTTGGTTTTGCTTAAGAAAAAATAAAAAAAAATTTTTTTTACTTTATGCGGACACTCTTAGAGGTCATGTTTACGGCTTATTCTTTTTAATAAATACTACATATCAGCAATAAATTCATTAACCCGCTGTTAGTCTTTCTTTTCAAGCAAATAAAGGTAAAATAATTATTTAAAAAAATAAGGTATAGTAATTTAACTCCACACTAATCTATGAGTCTTATGAAACTTTACCACTCTTAAAAATATTTTTGAGATCATAACTTTTCATTTAACCGATAACAAATTAATTTAACTCATAAACTAGACTAGAGCCAGTAATTTTGCGGAGCTGAAAATTTCTTATTCTATCAAAAATTGAAACCAAAAAACAGAAAGCTTTTTTTGAATAGTCCTTCCCTCTAAAAATATTTTAAAAAACCTTTAAATTCCTCAAATTCAGTTTGCCATTCTTTATTGGTCTTATGACTTTGATGTTTATTATATCGATGGATACGAGGGGTCTTTTGATAAGGATAATGGGTTGAAGCCCGACGACGATGATGAGCACTTAGACTGCTGCCTTTAAATAAAAAAATTTTAATTAAAAAAATTTTTTTTTAAAAAGATGGCATTTAATCCAATAATATGCAAATTTTTGCGGGAAATGAGATCAAATGTCATCTTTTAAATTTTAATAACAGAAATCGAAGAGAGAAACCTGTACTGCTACCACAAAGTGATTGACCCCCTGAATCTGTGTCCAAAAGTAAATCACAGAGAGATGATTCGTCCTACAAAAAGAAAAATTGAAATTATTAATTTCAGAGACGTCTCACATGTTTTTAACGTTCGAGATAAAAATTTAAATTCTGAGGGTTTTGAGGGAATGAAAAAATACTGTAAAATTAAAATTATGGCTTCCAATTTCTGATCGAAAAAATGGATATCTTGTACCCGGCCCATTCTAGAGCTGGATTTGGTGTTTCCCTGAAATCCTGCACTAATAGTAAGTCTGTGGATTTAGAAATCGGTTCCGGCCTTGAATTAGAGGTATGGGAATTAAGTAAAAATCGTTAAGCAAAAAGCAAGCAGCAAAAAAACAAGCCAAAAAAGGCCCACAACAAACCCCTTTGTTAACGTCGTAAAGTCGCCGGCTAAATAAATGTCCACCCCCTCCACCACCACTCGCCGAGCGATGCGAGGTACCTCCACCAACTCTCTTCAAGTAGGCATGACTAAATCATTTATTTTTAAAAAAATTTTATATTTTTTTGAATTTAACCTGAATTCGTTATTACGCTCAACGTAAGAGAAGATAATTTTGAATAGAAAGAAAGGAGAAGTTAACTTAAAAAATTGCAAAGCAAAGTTAATTTATATGAAGAAATTTGGTTTGGTTTTGAATGTGTTGAATAACACTACACTTACATAAAAATCACCGAGTGTCTTGAGACAGATGCTCCACGACAAAACGCTTCTATGTGATTTATGTATTGCGATTTGTCGCAGCAGCAACCCCTTGTCTTGTCGCAAAGCAATTTTTATGTAAGTGTAGCATAAATGGAAAAATTAATTAAAGGTGTCAAACCAAAAAGAAAGCAGGTTAGTTTAAAAAGAGGAAAACGCAAATATTAAAAACAAGGTTAGAGCCAAAGATGAATAAATTAAAAAATCAAAACAAACCTAATTAATTGGCAATTCCAAAAAATATATTTTGTAACCAAAACAAAATTTAACAAAAAAGAATTGATTTACGTCCTTCAAAAGTCAAAGAAAAAATCATTTTCAAAAAAATTTCGCTCTTTGTTGTTTAACACTAAAAAAGAATTTCCGCTCTATTTGACTAATTTTAATCAAAACCTAATGAGAAGAAAATTAAATTAATTAATTGGAAAATAAAGGCAGCAGCAATTAAACAAAACAAAAATGCAGAAAAAGCTTAACTTGAATATTTCTAAAAATTAAATTCTGAAAATTGAAAAAAATTACAAAAAAACCGGAAATGATGAAAGCAAATTTACAAAAAAGATAATGTTAATAAATTAGATATTTTAAAAATTCAACATTTTGAAATTTTTCTTTCGAAATTTCAAAATATCAAATCGATAAAGAAGGGACGGTTGGTCAAAAACACTTGGGTAATGAACAATTGGTTAAGTTAATATTTTTTTGTTTTTAAGGGCAGTTTAATCCGGTCGGGATTAAACATTTTATCTGTGCCTGGAGGGATTTGTTTTTTAGCAGTGATTATTTAAACACTCTCTCCGGGAGAGTGTTTAAAAATTTTCAGTATTTCTCAATGCTTAGATTCTGTGACTTTGTGGTTAAGTGGATAATCTTCAAGTTCTGAGGGCAGAGTTCGCTTTCTGTTCGAACCTAAACACTTTTTATACCCAAAATTTGTTTCCATCATTGTTCATTGCCTGCCCGCGATTTTAATTTCTTTTTTATTATACACTTTACTATAAACAAAAAAGAAAACGAATAAATCGAGAAAAAGGAAAAGACTTAAAAACATAAAAATAACAAAAATACTTGGCTTCAAAACGGAAAATTTTTTTCTTTTCTTTCTTAGCATGTCAAAAAAAAGAAAAAAAGTCTTTGAGGGAAGTGTCATTATCCGGTTGCTTCTTTTTCTTTGGATTTTCAACAAAAAAAAATAAATCAATGGGGATAAACAAATACATATATACACAAACACACATTAATCTCTCTTGGGGATTCTCTTTGCGTGCAAACTTTCCATGGGAAAAATTTTTAGAAAAAATCTTTTTAAGGGGTTCAGAGAATTTAGGCAAAAAGTATATGTATATTTTATTTTTATGTTAAATAATATTGTTGTTTACTTTTGATTTTATTGACCATAAAATTTTTATCACAAAAAAATTGTAAGGTGAATAAATGGACTGTTTTATCTAAAAAAGGGACTTTGGGAGGGGAATAAACTGCGATCCAAAAACAACCTCTCCCTTTTTACTATAACTATTATACTATATATTTATTTATTTAAAACCCCCAAAAATTAATTTTTAATTAAAAAAACTTTTTTTAATTAATAAGAAGAATAAAAAAAAAGATAAACCTTCAAAATTAGTAAACAGAAAAAATATATCCACAAATTTTCCACACAAAAACTAATTTCTTTCCTTCTTCTAATCACTTTCTTCTCCTTCCTCTTCACTTTCTTCACTTGAACTACTTTCACTTAATTCCAAATCTTCGTGTAAAATACTTTTTTTATTATTTTTTGAAGGCGATTTTTTGATATTTTCTGTTAAATTTTGTCCATTATTTGCCATTTTTTGTGGTGAAATTGCTTCTATTTTTATTGATGATTGTTCGACTTTTATTGAATTTAATAATGGTTGTTGTTCAGCTACAGAAATATGCGAATTGGACTGTTTTGGAGCCTAAAAATTGTTTAGAAGATCATAATAAGGTTACCCCCTTGTATCTTACTTAAATAGAGAGAAGAGGAGGGGGGAGGGTAATTCCATTTTCCCAATAGCAAAACAAATTAAAAATATGAGGAATCAAAAGGAGGCTAGATTTGAAATATTAAGATCAGAGGGCTGGGGGGGGGGCTAAAGCCCCCCCCCCCGCTTAAAAATAAATGTACAAAAAATTTTGCTGTCGGAATGCCAAAGTAAAATGCCCCCTCCCCTAAAATCTCCCCTGTCTATGCCCCTAGCTTCCACTTATGCTAGTCTTCCTAAAATAGAATTTTAAAAAGAAAACCATCATCTGTTCCAAAGCTGAAGCTTCTTCATCAACGTCAAACATATCTTCATCATCCTCCTCCTCCTCTTCATTCATTGAATTTGAAGATGTTGAAAATAATCTTTCTTTTTTTATTTCTTCTTTAATTTTAATTGGAGAGGGCGGAGGCGCTTTTAATTTCATCATTTTTTCAATTTGTTCTTCTACATCAGTTGACAATTTTGCGTCTCTTAAATTTAAATCTTTAAGTATTACATAATTTTTCGGACTTTTCTTACGTAATTACACTATTTTGTAGCCAAGGCGTCCCATAACTTATATTCAGGGATGAAATGAGTATTCGACGGTTCTGGCTACCCGAATCCAATCCCAGGACTTGTTCGACACAAAATCCGAAGAAAATTTTGAAAATCCGATCCGAAACCAGACCCGACTTTTTTCTCATCCCTGAAATCTAAACAATAAAAGAATGGTGCTTCACATATTTCGTTAATTGAAAGGCTAAAGGATGAACAAGTGAAACAGAAAGGGAAGTCCTCAAAAAATCCTCCGCAAATCCACAAGTCCGAAAACCCCAAAAATAATAACACTCCCTTCAAGTGCCCATATTTAAAAATAAAATATAAAAAAACCTGCTCTTTTTAACATTAATATTAGCCGAAAGTTTCTCCAAACGAAGTTGACAAGTATTTTGATCAAAAATTAATAAACATTCCTTGTCTCCTTTCAAAGGTTTTTTTGATCCGTGGAAAATTGTTGACTTTTTTGTTTCTCCGGGAACAATAACCTTTTTTAAAAAGAAAGATTCCCTGCTGTTAAAAAAATTAAAAAAAAACCTGAACTCCGTTATTTTCCCCTGAAGAAATTGCAAGAAAAGCTTCTGACCCATCAGTGATAGAAGCAGGTTTAAAATCAACTTAAAAATAAAAAAAATCCATGTGAGTCCACAAAAAACAGGTTTTCCCTCTGACTAAGGCAAAATCTAAAGGATTTCATCCCAAAATATTTTTAACACAAAATTGGCCGTTTTTAAACTTTTATAGATGTTGACCCTTTTACAACTTTTCAAGTTAACGACCATTTCTGTCCAGGGGGTTGATTTCTCCTAAAACTACAATTCCATACGAGCAATTTAGTCAACATTGAGAAGATTTTTAAAGATCTCTCATCTCCAACAACCTCTCATTTTATCACGTTATTTCTATCAAATTAAAAATTAACTTACATCTCAAAGTGTTGAACTCAGCCTTGGAAGATTTATTATTTTTATCGCCTCTAAGAAAAGTTTCACCAATTTTTATTTCATAAGTTCCATCAGGAATAGAACACATTATTTTTTTAAAGTCTAAAATTTAAGTTTAAACAAATAAAAAAACAAAGAGAAAATCCAGTAGAAAATAAAATTTTAGAATAGATGAAATAAAAGTGCTATGGGTACACGGCGGGTTAAACAGGAAATCTTAACCGTCTCGCAACAATTTATAATCAATTAGAATGGTCCCAACGATCATCAAATGGGACCATACTGAATTATAAAACAAAAATTTTACAAAAATAATTTCCAAATAAAAATTTTCCAAAATTAAAAAACCGGCCTAACTACAGTTTCCGTACCAGACTCAAAATAAGCTCGATTAGATGATTATTAACAAAGTTATGACAAACGGAATCTTCGCTGGAAAAACTGTTTTTGAGCTGCTACGGAGGGTAGGCCGGGCATGGTCTTCGCTACACGATGGCCGTGCTTCGCTGCGGTCGTGCTCGCTTCGCTCGCGGCGACCGTAGCGAAGCGGCGGCCGTCGTTCCTCTCGACATGCCCGGCTTCCTCCGCAGCGGCAAAAACTTTTTTCCGCGAAAGCCTTATGTGAGGGGGGTGTATTTGTCCGGGATTATCATAATCTATCTATTTTCAGGATTTGGAGAGGCATTTTGTTCAATATTTAATTAAAAAGATTGGCGCCTAATCGGCCGGCGCCTAATCGGCCGCGCGCCTAATCGGCCCGCGCCTAATCGGCCCGCGCCTAATCGGGCGTGTCCCAGTAAAAATGGCTCTGGTACAAAATATCGAATAATTAAAATCTCGCTGGTTAAAGTCTCGACGCGGGTAATAAAGGGTTAAAACATCGAATTGATAAAATATCGACACGGCCAAAATGGGTTAAAATATCGACTTCTCTTAAAGAAGTCAGATAAGTACCATCCGTTGAGTTTCAAGTACGGGAATCCCCAATTTCTTCAAACGGCTTCATGAATTAGTAAGAATTTTATTTTTATTCTCCAATCTTTGTTTTTATTCTTCAATCCAGCGTAGTCTTTTATGCATAAGTTTCTGCAAAAATTGAGTGAGCTAATACAAAATTAGTGGAGCCATTCCCGAATACTTAAGAAGTAAATCAAAATAACACATGAAAACTCTCACAGTTTTGTTTGTTTTTATCATTGATCGTATAAAACAAAAATTAGGAGAAAGGGCAACTTTGGAGCGAGTTACCGTAATATCTCCAATAAAAAATATAGGCTTTATCAAAATATAGAGATCAAATATAATAAAAAAATATTAATAGCTGTGCCGACATTTGCAAATTAAATTCAAAAAGTGAAACTTGGTTGAAAGGCAGCCTAAATGGACATAAAGTAGATTAACCCCAGAAGTGTATAACTATTTCCACCGGGTTTTTTTAGAGTAACGGGGAAATGCTTGGTTGGATTCCCCTATAGAAAGGGTGGAGGATCGAACCTCGTTACCGAAAAACAATTTTCTTATTAATTTCCTGTGTTCCTTTCACGAATGTCACAGCCTAATTAATTAATTAAAATTATTTTTAAAATAAACATAATTGCAAAATAAATGACCAACAAATTTTTAAATTCTTCCCTCTTTGCAAAATTACAAAAATCACCCGAACAAAAACAAGTATGTTCTTCAACACTTGTTTTATCCAAACAATCTAATTTTTGAATGGAATGTTTACATTGTGTGGTATAATTTGGAATTGAAGTTGATGGGGTTGGACGACTGCTTGTTTGGTCAAAAAGCTAAAAAATTAAAAAAGATTGTGTAATTTAAAATCCTGTAATGTGTTAATTTGGTGTAATAAAGGCTTTTTATGCACTTAAATGTGGAGGGGGAGTGTAAGGATTTTATTAGGTAATTGTTAGTAGTAAATAGTGTTGCACTCCGATGACTCCGTGCCCATTCCCGAAAGATTTTTTCCCATTTATCCCAACTCGAAACCCCGTTCTCCGACCGTTAAAAGTTTTGGGGTTTATGGAGGGTATACAAACCATAAAATGCCATTTTTAGAGGAATTTTAAGGAAAAAAATTCGAAAGTTCCTCCCACTCTTTAGTATTTTTAAAAGGAAAGTGAATGAATTTTAATCCACATATTTCAGTCCTAATAGGGACCCTGAGCGGGCAGTTATTTTTAAATAGTTCCCATTGAGTGGCTTTCAATATTGAATAAGTTTCTATTAGAGACGGGCTTCTATTGAGACATTTAAGTTACATTATTTTCTTTCTCCCTCACCCTTTCATAACAATCACGTATTGTAGAATACGATAAAACTCCAGAATTATTTAAAATTTGTTGCCATTTAAAACAAGGTCCATTACAATCAACCGAACTTTTATCTCTTATTAACCACGAATCTAAATCACACATCTAAAAAGAGAATTATTTCTTTAAAAAATTTAAAATATTTAACCGAATCATAAAGTTTAGGTTCTTTAACACGTCCAGGCGGACCTCGATCACGTGAAAGGAAATCCTTTAAATTAAAAAAATAAATTCAGGTCTTTACTTTCTTGGGTGTACACAAAATACCCAATACCCGGGACTAATAGTGAGGTTATACTGTATAAATTTTTTAAATTTCATTTTCTGATTTACTTCTTTCATATTTTCTGATGCACAACTGTAACAACGGTCTAAAAACAATAAAATAAAAATTATTTTAGAGTAATTAAACAAAAAAAACTTTTGAGGGCAGAATCAGCCAATGTAAAAGTAATTAAAGAGAATAATAATAAAGTAGGGAATATTAGGGACATCAATATTTTTTAGAGCCTGGTACTTAAATAAAAAAAATCAAACAACAATAAAAATATCCACGCAAATCCATCCCATAGGCATCAAACCCATGTCACTTGATAAAGCTAACACAGTATATGTCTTCATCTTTTACTCAAATGAATGTACAAAAATATGTATATAAGGGACAATTTTGAAGTTCAACACGGCAGATGTTTTTGGTTAAATTAAAATAAACAAAGGAAAACTCCGTTTTTTCTTAATGTTTTAATCAATAGGGGGCCATAAACGAAAAAAATATTTTTTAGGGCAAAGTAATATGATCCTCCTTTTCTCATTTTCAACAAAGATACTATTCTCTCCTCTTTTCACTAAGATTTTAAGTAAATAAAATATAAAAAGTTCCTCCTCTTTTCACCTTTTTACTTTACCTATTAAACAACAAACACACACTTTTACACCCCCAAAAAGTCCCAAATGATCTTCTTCTTCTTCCTTTTTTTTCTTGCAACAAAAAATTTTTTGGGGCTTTTTCTAATCAATAATATTGGACAGAAATTGGACAGGTTTTTTGTTGTTTATTTTGAGAGAAAATTTTTTTTTGAGAAATTAGAAAGATAAGACGTTTTGTACACACATTAAATTTGCAACAGAAAATTCCAATAATACTACTATTTTATTGGAATACTCAAAAAAGTACGGGGGTATTATCATTATCACTATTAAGAGCGTAGCTATGGGTATATTTCAGGAGGGGGCTATTATTATTTTACACCAGAAAAAACTTTAAAAAATTTTATTGGAGCAATTTTTCAAAATTTGGATTATTTAAAAAGTCAAATATTTTGATTAAAATATTTTTTAAAAAATACATGTATTCCAATAACTCTCCTTTCTTTATTATTGAACATTTTCAAATAACAAAGCAATTCCCTGACCACCTCCAATACATGCAGAACCAATTCCATAACGGACATTTCTTCTTCTACAAAAAAAATTTATAAAAGTTAAAATCTTAAGGAATTATGGAGATCCAGCTATCAAGCAAAGGAGTCGATTTCGGGGGAGGGGGAAAGCTAACCCCCTTGGATACGCCTTTGCTATCAAGTATTCAAAACGCTTTTTAATCAAAGGTTTGTGATCTATACTAAAAAAGGAAGGTAGGAAAGCACTAAAGGCCATAGCAATAACAGCTAGGAGAGGTTGGAGAGTCGATGTCTGCCCGTGGCTAAACTAAACTTTCACCCCTCTCTTTCTTACAATTGAACCAAAAATAATTTAAAAAACCAACTTCAATTCATAAGCTAAATGAGCAGTTATACGAGCACCACTTGCTGCCAATGGATGTCCTAAAGCAATTGCACCACCATTAACATTTAGACGATCCAAATCAATTCCTAATTCGCGTTGAACAGATAAAACTTGCGGAGCAAATGCTTCGTTTACCTTTAAAAGGAAATTCTTTTTCGTATTAAGCCTTCTATTCGGATTCAAAAAAGGTTCGGATATCCAAGAATTTTCCAGGAACCACTAACCACCTACTTTTCTTCTCAATTCATTCATTCACATTTTTGATAATAAAAAAAATTTTTCAAAAAATGTTTTGCAAGGATAATGTTTCTAAAACCCGCAACTTTTATCCGCAAGTCTTTTTTAGAGTTTATAAAATCAACACACTATAAAAATTTATTTGAACGTATAAAAGTGATTCTGAACGCTTAAACTGGACAAGTGCCAAAATTGCGGATTTTAGAAAGATTAAAGAAAAACAACAAAAATTGATAGAACACCTAATGAAGAGAGAAAACATCTAAAAATTCCCCATTAGTTCATAAAAAATTTTCAAGAAAACCTCAATTAAATCAATTTTATTCAATTCAACTCCAGACTTTTTGCAAAGAATACGAATTGCTTCGACAGGTCCAATCCCCATAATTGTTGGATCACATCCAACACTTTGCCAACCCAAAATACGAACAAGTGGAGTTAAATGATGTTTCTCGACAGATTCTTCATCGGCCACAATAACAGCAGATGCACCATCACAAACACCCTTTTTTAATAAAATCGATTAAAAAATACAAAAATATAAACCGAAGCATTTCCTGCATTGACAAGTCCATTTTTCTAAAAAAAATTTTTAAGAGGTTTTTGTAATATTCAATTTTGCCCCCTCCCTTTTTTTCTTCAAAGTAGAGTTGCAAGAGATTTTTTTAGCTTCGGATGGCCAAGAAACAAGATTTCTTTTATTTCTTACGAAAAAGTCAATTCATAGGGGGTGTATATTTAGTCACGGTCCTCGGCGAGGTGTTTATGTTAGCGAGGACTGGGACCGGATCGAACCAAAATTTATAATGGAAAATGGGTGAGGATCTCGTCTCGTGCAATTATACCTAAAAAAGAATAATTGTCAGATAAACTCTTTTTATTGTCTGCTTGAATGCCATAAAGAAATAGAGTGAAGTTGAGGAAGGAAATCTGACCGTGTTTAGTAGTTAAAGCAAAAAAAGGGGGGTATTACTCAAGACTCTTGAGTAATATGTATGTATTACCGCTCTTTTTCTCTCTCTCTTGGGCCAAGAGTTCTAATTTTTGAATAAAAAATTGAAAAACATAAACCTTAAAAACAGGTGGCAACTTGGCAAGTTGTTCAGCAGAAACCTCCCGTGGATGTTCGTCAACTTCAAATAATGTCTCAGTTCCCTTTTTCCCTTTGATTTTAATTGGCTCAATTTCTGATTTGAAATAGCCTGCATTATTTGCTAAAAATTGAAAAACAAAATAATTATGAGTAAGTAAAGAAGTCAATTCCTGGCTTGAATTACTATAAAAAGTCGCCTCTAGAATCGAAAAAAAATAATTTCAGACATTTTCGATTTCTGAAATCGAAAGATGCCTTCTTGCAATCATTTGGTTATCGGATTCTGGGAAATCCCCGGACATTGAAAAGTTTCGGATTTCCAGACCTTTTGGATACGGATATTCTGATACGCCAACTCTAATCCTGATCTTTGATTAAGACCCTCCATTCCAGAAACAAAAACTCTCAAACCTAGTCGCCATCTCTGTTGTGACTTGGCAGCATATTCATCAGCCTCCTGACGTGTAATTTTATACTTTTCACCCAAATTTTCAGCAGTAATTCCCATTGGCATTTTTATTTGTTGATCAACCAATCCTTGCCAAAGAACGTCTTCAAACTAAAAAAAAAAGAATTTAGCATAAATTAGCAAAAAAAGATAACCTCATAATTAACTCCAAGTTGTGATCCAAATCTTATATTTCGAACAGCAAAAGGAGCTTGACTCATAGATTCTGTCCCGCCAGCTAAAACAACTTTAGAATCGCCAGAAATAATTTGCTAAAATTTAAAATAAATTTTTTTCAACTTACAATTTTTGAGTGACAAGATACAAGGTATTATATGATGGCCATCAGGGCCCCAATATACTATGGATATATTCAAACATAAAAACGAGGTCTATTAGCAAAGAATTAATCTTAAACATGTAGGACCAAAGTTATAGCCACAAAAGTTGTGGGCTAACCCTTCTCATTCATTTCCTTTTCTCCGTACAAAATTGTGCTAAAATCTGGCTAGTTCAACAAACCGGAAATAAACCTTTGCCCGCCCCAACAATTTAATTATTAATCAAAAAACCTGAGCGGCCTGCACAATCGCTTCAAATCCAGAACCGCAAAGTCGATTAACTGTCACGGCAGGAACATGAACTGGAATTTCCACACGAAGACCGACATGTCGAGCAAGATAAGCAGCATCTTTGGATGATTGTATAACATTACCTTTAAAAAAGAATAATTTAAAGACAAAATTTTTGACAAAAAAATAAACCAAAAATAACGTGGTCAATATTTTCTGGAGAAATTGAAGAAGCTTTCAATGCTGCTTTTGATACAATTTCTGCCAAGTCTGTCGCCGTATAATCTTTTAATGTTTTGCCAAAAGCGCCAAATGCACAACGCTTTGCACTGACAATAAAAATACCTGCAGATTTGTGTAAAATTGTCATTTTAACTCTAAAAAATCGGTACACCTCAATTGAGTCCGCACGATTGAGTCCCCACGATTGAGTCCGCACGATTGAGTCCCCACGATTGAGTCCCGGCACGATTGAGTCCCCACGATTGAGTCCGCACGATTGAGTCCCCGTTGTATATACCTCAATTGAGTCCCCGTGGATTTAACCTTAAAATTTCAAAAAAAATTCCAAATCCTGCATGCGTGATTATTTCAAAAATGTTGCGGGATGTTTTGTAAAATCCCACAATTAAAAATGTTATCAAGATTATCAAAAATCTTTATTCAATCTAATAAACACTAGTCACTAATTCTAAAACAAAATTTTCAAATAAATAAATATTCATGGATCCATATTATAGTTATGAGAAACACCTCTTAAAAAATCAATAATTGGGTGAATAGGATAAACAACTGGAAATTGATAATTGTGATCAAAATTTGGATTTGCGGCCTGATACGTTTGGACCAACGCATGAATTCTTCTATCGGCATCACGATACTTTCTTCGTTTAGGTGGAGGTTCCATTCCCTGTTGACACATGGCATAATCCGCTTTTTTTAAGATTCCTAACCAGGTGGAACAGACAACCAGCCAGATCTGAACGAGGAAAAACCTCCTGAATAGCTCCAATAATTGCTGCTTCGTAGTCTGTTGAGAAAACACGTGGGTTGAACTGCGGCCAAATTTCTTTGACGAGTCGAAAAAAGCGAGCATATGTCGATTTTGTTTTATTCGTCAGCAACCCATAGAGCACAGGGAACACCCACTTACGTTTTCTAAATTAAAAATATAAACTTCAACCAACCTAACTTCAACCAACCTTGCAAGCACACAAAAAATTTGATAAAATAAAGGAGGAGTAACGCTAAAGCTCCCATCAACAAAAACATGTTCCATTTGTTCTGACCACTCCCCAAATGACATACGACCAAATATGAGGATTCTAAAAAATAATCTATTAAAAAAATAAAAAAGACAATAAACCTATGTTGTCTTGGATCATTATTTTCAGTATAAACGCCAGAAGGGTACACCCCACGCCAGAATCAGCTAGAAGAAACTGGTCAGCTAGAAGAATCAGCTAGAAGAAACCTTCTTTTAATCCCTGTCACAACAACTTGCTTTTGAACATACAGCAGGGTTGACGCTGCAAACGTGATAATTTAATTCACGCAAAACAGAGTTGTTGAGGTCGCTATGTAGGCGAGCCTTACATCTGACATCTTTTTTGTTGAAGGCCTCACATCTCCAAAACTTGATGTCTTCGTCTTTGTTCATTTTATGAAAAACAAATAAATATCCATCATGAACAAGTTTAGGCTTTCTACGTTTAGTTAAAATATCCGCCATCCTGTTTGAAATAATAGATTATAATAATAGTACAATTTTGTTCTTTAATTACTATTTTTTTCTCAAATCAAATCCACGGGGACTCAATTGAGGTATATACAACGGGGACTCAATCGTGCGGACTCAATCGTGGGGACTCAATCGTGCCGGGACTCAATCGTGGGGACTCAATCGTGCGGACTCAATCGTGGGGACTCAATCGTGCGGACTCAATTGAACTGCTCCGCTAAAAAATTTAAAATTACAAAAAGTTAAAAATGATAAAAAAAGATGTCAGCTGAGGAAACAAAAAAAGTATTTAGGATGTAACTTTTGTAGAGTACAGCCCAACTAGGCGCGACCGACTAGGCACGAGGCCAACTAGGACCATTCTAATTGATTATTTATAATCAGAATATTTAATTAAAAAGGTTGGCGCCTAGTTGGAAGGCGCCTAGTCGGTCGCGCCTAGTTGGACGTGTCCCACTTTTGTAATATCAGCCCAATTATGAAAAAGATCACGCAGCCGAGGCGGCGATGAAACGAGAATTTTTTTTAAAACCGTAGAAATCGTCACGACTTATATCGGTCGCGCCGTTTCGGCCCTCGCCGTTTCGGGCGTGTCCCTTTTTAAGAACCTAACTTCGTTCATAACTTCAGAAACTTCGTTTTCCTTCCTCAAAAAGAAAATAAAATGCTTACGTCAGCACGCTTACATAAATTTGCTCTTAACAAACTTACTAATTCTGTTTCGTGGAATTTAAATTTCATTTCAATTCTTTATTTTCTTTTCAATTTTCTTTTCAAATTTTTAGAGTCTTTTTAAAAGTATGATACAATTATTTACAATATTCGGCAAAGGAGGTTTTGTTTTGTGGTGTTTTAATGAAGGACAGGAAGTATTAAATTCAACTGTAAACGAGTTTATACAAAATGTGGTTGTTCAACAGAGAATTGTTAATAATTATTCTCGTGGTGGTCAAACGATTAAATACAAAATGGATAATGAATTTGATTTGATACTTTTGGTAGGCTACATATTTTTATTTGTTTTTTAGAGGTTGTTTTAGTTGGAGGGAAGGAAATTGTGTAGAGTTTTTTAATTTTTTTTGTAAGATGTTTAGGGATGTAGATTTATTGTTAGAAATTAATAGATGGGCTTAATGGCCTTCATTAGTCGGTAGAGCACCTGTCTGAACAGACTGAGCTAATCTCTCTGGTAATAGTTAAGTAATTGTTACCCCTTTTTTCTTTCTTAATAATGTAAATAATAGTCAGACTTTCGTCCTTAACGTGTTTTTCTTCTCTTCTAAAATTCCACTCTGAAGCTTTTCCCCTTTCCTTTTTAAAAATTAAATTTTGTTTAGATTGTTTATCAAAGCGTCGTTCAATTAGCCTATGCAGACAAGTTGCTAACAGAAGTACATTTACGCTTTCGAGATTTGTATAAAAATGTGCTTTCTACTGCTAATATATATTTTGAAAAAGGGCCTAAACTTTTTGCTTCGTTTACGAATGAATATTTGAGGTTTTTCTATCAAATCTTTTTTATTTTGATTAATTAATTTTTTTAAGTATTTTAAATAATGTCAAGTCTTCTCAACTTCATGTTGAAGTTAAAAAGCCGAGAACTTTCCAGGTTATTTTTGTTTTCAAATTTGGGTATATTCAGAGTAATATTTCCTCTGTTTTCGTCTTTTATTATGTAATCTTGTTCAGATTTTCAAAACTGTGCCTTGATTAGGCTTGGCGTATCAGGATATCAAAAAAGTCCGGATATCCGAAACTTTCCTATTATTCGGATATCGGATTCGGAGATTTCTCAAGTTCCTTTAATGCTAAAATTTTTAATTGAGAACGGTCTCACAAGGTAAAATTCTTAAAATTTAGGAGCTTAAAAACTGAAGCAGCCAAAAATATGTAGGATTTATGGAAAAATGGAAAAATTTTTAAACCTGTTTTATAACAGATAGTAAAGACTGTAATCACTCGTAGCAGTCTTTACTATCTGTTATAAAACAGGTTTAAAAATTTTTCCATTTTTCCATAAATCCTACATATTTTTGGCTGCTTCAGTTTTTAAGCTCCTAAATTTTAAGAATTTTACCTTGTGAGACCGTTCTCAATTAAAAATTTTAATGACAATATTATTCTTTAACAAACTAATTTTTAGGAAACTGAAAAGTCAAAAAAGACAGTTGCTTCACTTATTGAAAATTCAAAAGATTCCAAACCACAAAAACGTGATAAAAAGTTTGGTGACCAACAAAAGAAGGATGGAAAAGATGAAGAAGAAGAAATAATGTATATAAAATTTAAATTTGTTTTTAGAATTTTTTCTTCTTCAGAGAACAATCACCTCCAGTTCAAAATGGTTTGTCTGTTGATTTAGGTTCAATTCAAAATAAGATCGATGAAGATGAAGAAATTTTGCGAAATAAAAATGCTTTTCTTCAAAAAATGAAGGGAAAAGGAGAGAAAAAGTATATTTTAATTTTTTTATTTAAAATTATTTTCCAGAGGGCTGAGCTTAGATTTTGTTATAATTCATTGGGGTAGGCTTATTGTTAATCTTTTGTCTAAAAGAAACTATTTTCCACTGATAAAATGAACAACAAAAGAAGGCTGGAAAAGATGAAGAAGAAATAATGTATATAAAAATTAAACACAAAAAGATGCTCATGTCTTGTAGTTAAAACTTGCGGATTTTTGTTGACTTAAAAGACAAGAACTTTAAAAATTCGAATTAAACTTCCAAAAACTAATTTTTTAGAGCCAATAAAGAAAATATTAACAACGATGCTGGAAAGAAAAAAGGTAAAAAAGAGCGTAAATGGGATTTGGCTGGAACACAAAAAGATGCTCAATTATTGGATTATAGTGCTGTTGAGGATGTAAAAAATGGCGGTGAAAATAACAACAATAATGTGGAAACGAGCAAAATTTATGATGAAAATGTAATTTTTTGGTTATTTTTATATTAAATATTTTTTCGGAATTTGTATTTTTTAATTATGCCGGCATTTATTCCAATCAGCTATTTGAAATAAAAAATCTTTAATAGAGAATCGAAAAAATCACTAAAAATAGAAACTCAAGAAAAAAAATTTTCGAAAACGGAATTTCAGAACAGATGGGGTTCATGAATTTATCCATCTCTAATTTTCTTTTATTTTTTCGACTTTTTGTAGGTCGGGGTGTATCAAATGAATCATTACCACCGTAAATGCTCCAATAATTGCCCCTCTCGAATAATTACCCCCTCCAGCGAAAGGTTGAAACAATAATTACCAATGGTAATTATTCTAGCTTTACGGTATATTTGTTTTTGTAAATTCATACCCAAATAGAAGAATTTTTAAACGTTTCTCTAATTTTATTTATAATTTTTATTTTTTAAGAAAAAATTTGTTGGAAAGTTACATGGTGATCTTCCAGGTTTAGATGAAGTTGTTGAATTTGAGAAAAATGCTGGTGCTGCTAAAAAGTTTCTTTAAAATTTTTTTAATTTTAATGTTTCTATTTTTTAATTTAGTACAAAAGTAGCATCAAATCAAGGATGGTTTTCTGCATTTAAATCTTTGGTGGGCAACAAACAACTTACTGCTGATGATATTAAACCGGCTTTGGAAAAGATGAATGAAATTCTTATTAGTTTGTTTTTATTTTTTAAATTTATTTTTTGGATGTTTTTATATCTGACATTTTGTTTATGACATTTTATCTGACATCTTGTTTTTTCTGACATCTTGTTTCATGAAAATTGTCTTTTGACAATTTGACCTATTTAACATTAGGTCTTTTTTTATTCAAATCAAAAATTTTTCAGCTAAAAATGTAGCTTCGGAACCTGCACAAAAAATTTGTGAATCTGTGGGCGCTAAATTAGAAGGAAAAGTTGTTGGGACATTTAATCGAGTTACTTCAATTGTTCAGGAAGCTGTTCGAGAAATTCTTGTTCAGGTTTAATTCGTGATATATACTCTCAGAATTAGATGCTCCTCGTGTCAATTTTTTGATACGTCTTTTATAGTAAAATTGGTTAGCTGCTGGGTTACTGCTTTACTCCTATTTAATATACATTCATTATAAATTACAATTTTTTAGACTCAAGGAGCGTATCTTATAATGTGGTCTAACTGAACTAATTGTAAGAGTGGGGGCACCCGAATCCTGTCATTTTTTGCAGTCTCATAACCATATTTTTAAACACGAGGACAATTCTCCGAAACATTCTATTATAGTTACTCACACCAAAACGTCGCGTCAACATTTTACGTGATATTGTGGATGCCAAAAATGAAAATCGTCCATATGTAATTGTCTTTTGTGGGGTAAATGGAGTTGGAAAATCAACAAATTTAGCAAAGGTTTTTTTGGGAAAAAAATATCTTTTACTTGAAAATTTTTAAATTTTGATAGATTACTTTTTGGTTAAATGAAAATGGACATCGTGTTTTAATCGCTGCTGGCGATACTTTTCGTGCTGGTGCTGTAGAACAGCTTCGTACACATGTACACCATCTTAATGCTTTACATCCTGATGTGAGAGATAAAAAGTTTTTTTGGAGAGCGCTGTAATACCAAACGACGAACTACCAAATCTCCAAAAGCTGCCAAAATACCAAAATGTGAAAAGTGTTTAATCCAAAATGAAGCTCTTTTTATTCTCTATTTGAACTGCCAAAGTCGAACATTAACCGATCTTGTTATAGCAATCTGATTTGTTATAACAATCCACATTTTGGTATTTCTTCATGTCTTTTACGGGTTTATTATTTCGGCGTTTGGTTTTACTGCAGCATACCAGTTTTTTCTTTAAAAAATTTTTTTAAAGTCTGTTACACTTTTTGAACAAGGCTATGGAAAAGATCCTGCGTCAATTGCACAGGCAGCTATACATTTGGCAACTGAACGTAATATTGAGGTTGTTTTGGTTGATACAGCAGGGCGTATGCAAGATAATGAACCTTTAATGCGTGCTCTTAGCAAGGTTAAAAAAAAGTTTTTTTCTCTAACAATTAACATAAAAATTTGAGTTAAACTTAACTCAACTTTTAGCTTTATAATTAACACAAGATTGAGTTTGTGTTTTAGTTCGCTCAAAAAATCCATTACAGGGATGTCAGGGTTGAAAAAAGTCGGAACGTGTTTTCAAACCCACAACCTTCCTGATCCCTAACTTGATAAAAAATTTTTAATTTCTTTTAGTTAATTAACGTTAATAATCCTGATTTGGTTCTTTTTGTTGGTGAAGCTTTAGTTGGTAATGAAGCAGTTGATCAACTTACAAAATTTAATCAAGCATTAGCTGACCATTCTTCTGTTGGTGATAAGGCACGTTTAATTGATGGAATTGTTTTGACAAAGTTTGATACGATTGATGATAAGGTTTTTTTATTTTTTGAATATTTCGGGCTCTATTTTAAAAAACTTTCTAATTTTTTAAATATTTTTTCCCGGGTTTGTTTTCCCTCTTGTTTTTGACACTCCATTTGTGACACTTTATTGTTCCTTTATTGAGGGAGTTCAACTATAGATGTTTCGAAATTTGGGATTTTCGTCATTTTTCTTTTGATTCCCAACATTCGAAAATTTTTTTGTTTCAAAAACAGCTCGGATGCTATTGACAGAATGAGAAAAATTCAGAAAAAAAGTCCGTAAAGTGTCTTCCATTTCCCTCCCATCCTTCTAGTGTAAATATATTTAGTTTTTCTTTTTAAAAGTTTTTTCCCAAAGGTTGGAGCAGCTGTTTCAATGACTTATATAACTGGACAGCCAATTGTTTTTGTTGGAACTGGGCAAACATACCATGACCTTCGTAATTTAAATGCAAATGCGGTTGTTAATAGTCTTTTAAAGTGATATTATTTTTTTAAAATTTTCCTATTCAACTTTTTTTCTTTCTTTTATTCTTTGTAAAACCCATGGGAAGTGTTTGGACTAAAAGCTAAATTTTAAAAAATTTAAAAAATCGATTCAAAGGGGGGGGGGAGGGGGGGTCTTTAGGTTTTAATTAGAGATCGGACCGAGACAAATCTACAACAATCTCCGTTAACTTTTATGTACTCGAATAATTAGACACTCTCTTAATAATTGTCCTCTCTCGATTATCTGTTTAACAGAGATAATATTTTGGATTCTCTGCTACTGATTTCGAGACGTACGGCTACTTGGTCTTGTCCAGTACTTTGTCCTATTGAAAGAGTTTTTATGTTTTAAACTAGCGTAGGCATGCAAGAGGTTTTTTTATACAGCAATCTTGATATGTCCGCACACTGATTGTTATACGACCCTCCCAGTCCGGTCTCTAATTTTTTAATGGTTGGATTTAAAGATTTAATTTTTAAAATATTTTTGGATTATTTTAACGATTCCTTTCTCCGTTACAAACTTTTCGCAAAACTTTATTATCCGCGAGCTTTATTTTCTAAAAAAAATCCATTTTTTATCTTTAAATCCAACTGTTATATGTCCATTTCTCTCTTTTTTTTTAAAGTAAATTTTGTAAAATTAAATAAAATCCGGTAGTGAATAAAAAATGAATGTTTTGTTTTTAAATAATTTTTTAAAAAGTTTTTAAGACACATTTCTTTCTTGACTGTTTCGATTTCCGATTTTCGGAAAAAAATTTTTTGTTTCGAGCAGCTTGGTGGGGAAGGAAATTTCAGAAAAAAGTTCCACATCCCAATAACTTTAGTAGATTATAAAACTAATCTCGAGTGTTACGACTAAGTTTGTAAGTTGCTAGGTTTGAAAAAAAACTATTCTTTATATTAATTAATTCTCAACTTTTTTTCTCTAGTAATTTGATTTATTTATTTTTCTTTGGTATATTTTTTGTCATTATAATTAAATTTGAAAAAATCAAGAGTTTGAAAAAAATGAGCAATATAAACTTTATAATTATTATGAATAATGCCAAGGCCGAGTAAAATATTGTTTTTTAGAAGTAAAATTTAAAAAAAGGTATGTGGGTGTCAGAATATATTTAGATTTTTTACTGGGTAATATTTGAGCTCAAGAGGTGGAAACAACTTTGAGGAAATAAAAATTGAGAATTTATTAGACTGGCATTTGATCGAAGATTAATTAATTGAGGGTTGGGTCGATAAAAAAGGTAGGCGCGAGAGCGCGAGACATTATGGCGTGAACTGTAAGACGAGACAATAAGGAAAGTAATCGAAAAATTGAAAAAATGTTAACTGATCAAATGCCTCTTCAATATTGGAAAGTCTAAATAAAGGACAAGAATATATATTCATCAGAATGAGGGAATTCTGAGTATCCTCCAACTTTCTGAGGGAGAGTATAAGAATATAATTTTTAAATAAAATGTTTTCTTCGTTTCTTTGGATAATCTTTGGAAGAAAGCTCGATAATAAAAAAAGGCAAAAAGAAGTTTTTTGACCAACAAAAAATCAAATAATCCCGTAGTTTTTAGTTTTTTGGCTATTTCCATTGGTTTGAGGATGAAGTCGACCAACACCACTACGATTTTGACTGGTTGAATGTTTTTGTCTGTTTTGTTGGTGGTGAGAGGATGAGGAAGAAGAATTGTGTTTTTGATGGTGAGGTGGTGGAGGTTGTTTTTGTTGTTTTGCGAGCCTTTGAAGGTCTTCTGCCAATTGTTCAACTTCTCTTGGGTCAACTCTGTGGCCGTGGTCGCTTCTGGTAACGCTTCGAACTGATCGACTTGATTTTGTCTTAAAAAATTGGGAAATTTTTAATTTAATTTGTACTAAATTCCGGATTTCTTTCCGGAAAGATTGTATTACCCTTTGCATAGCCCCTCCTCCTCCTCCTCCATTTTCATTAGTCTCGTAATCTGTAATGTCCCCTCCATCTAATATATCCCTTTCTTTTTCGTCTATCCAATCCTTTCGAATATCAATTTGGTTTATTTGTTTTCTTCCCAGTGATGTGTTGTTAATTGGAATTAATCTTTCCCCGGTAACCCAGTGATGATGTAAAGCTTCTTGTGCTGAAGGACGAAAATCTGGACTTGTTTCTGGAAATATTTACATAGAGTTATTCTGGATTTTTGTTTTCAGAAAGTGTAAATTAATTGTTTAATTTTAGGTTTTTAATTCTGTTTTATCCGTAAAGTTTGTAGCTGATTGTAACCTTACAATTGTAAACTCTTTCTCTTTCCGGAAAGTTAAAAATTCTGTTTTTTATTTCCGGAGTTTTCCTGGTTTTAAATTCTATTTGTTTATGAAAGGTCTGCAAATTCTGATTTCTTTTCGGAATATTTGTAAATTAATGTTAATTGTTATATTCTCTGTTTTCTGGTTTAACTTTGTTTGTAAATTCTTTTTCTTTTCGGATGTTTATAAAATGCGTAGCTTATTTTTTTCCTACCTAGTAAAGAATCAACAAAATGTTTTGCTTGTTCTGATCCACTCCAAAATTGAGGGTAATAAATATAATTGGCTGTTATCTATAACAAAAAACATTTTTAGTTGATAAATTTTAACATTTTTACAATGTGGGTATATAAACGGGAACGGCAGTCATCATCAAAGGGCATTATTCCACTCATTAAAATATATGCTAAAAATATTTTTTTTCCTAATTTTTTTTTCAAAAATTTACCGATAACCCCAACAGCCCAACAATCAACTTTATTCATGTACGGAATTCTTAATAAAATTTCTGGGGCAATATATTCTGGAGTACCACAAGTTTCTGTCATTCTTTCATCTTGACTTTTTGTTTGTTTCTTAACAGAAAAAATATTTTTTTAATTTAATTTTTCTACTCACAGCAAGTCCAAAATCAGTAATTAAAAGACGGGCATCTGGTCTAGTATCGCTAAAATAAATATTTAAAAAATCTTTTTCAAAATTCAAAACTTGCCTATAAAGCAAATTTTCAGGTTTTAAGTCTCTATGGGTAATTAAATTTCTGTGTAAATAATCTAGGCCAGTTAACAACATTTTAATTGCTAAACGGGCTTCACATTCCGTATAACGCCCTTTTGCCTTGGAAATTTTAAATAAAATAACCAAAAAATAATTTTATTTATTACCACAACTCGATCAAACATTTCCCCTCCGGAAGCCATTTCCATTACAATAAAAAGCTTTGTGGGACTTCGAAAAACTTCTTCCAATCGAATAACAAAGGGGTGTTTTACTCGACCTAATATAGTCAATTCGTTGTTTACAGCACCAAAGTCTTGATCCGTGTTTACAAGTTTGACGGCATAATAACGTTTAGTGACTGTAAAAAAAAGGGGGGAGGAGACTTAGTTAAATTTGTTTCTTCAGAATGATTTTCCGGAATTAACGAAAAAGTTTAATTTTTAAGTTTGTAAATTCTGGTTAGTATTTCCGAAAAATTTGTGAATTTCTTTTCTTTTTCCAAATTGTTGTAAACAAATCAGAATTTAACAATTAAACTCACTTCTATCCTGAACACGCAATACTTGAGAGAAAGATCCCTTTCCAACAACAGAAAGTACTTCATATTTACAAACTAAACGAGAATCTAAACGTATTGCTGGTCGATCAGGAAGTAATTGGAATTGTTCGAGATTTGAAGGTGGGGGCATAATTGGGGAGATTGGGGAGGAAGGAGTCCATTTTTTTGAAACGTTGTTCTTTTGTTGTGTTTTGGGTGAAAGAGGGGAATTGTTGTTGTTTGATGACTAAACAAAAAATTGTTTAAAAAAATATATGTATTTTCACACCTTTTTATCTGTTCTCCTCCCTAAAGTCCCTCCAGCTCCATGGAACAAATTTGCCAAAAATCCTCCCCCTCCCCCTCCTCCTTTTCTGGACACTTCCCCTCTAGGCGTGCAGGGAGCACTAGCATTCCCGTTGACCATTACACGTGTAAATCCATTACTACTAATATTATTGTTATTATTTGGACAGCCAGAGGATGATGTGGATGCTCCTGAGGAATGTGCTATTGTTGGTGAATGACTAAAAAATTTTTGAGTTTTTCGGAATTTTTAGTTTTAAATTTTAAGTTTGGAAATTCTTTATTTTTTGTTGGGTTTATAATTATTGTCTAACTTGAAGTTTGTAAATTCTGGTTTTTTTCCGGAAAGTTTGTAATATATTTTAGTTTTATTTTTTACTTAAGCATACTACCTAAAATTATTATTATTATTTCCGTTTAAATAATTAAATTCGTCATTATTTGTTGTTGTAATTTTCTTCTTTCTCCAGCCATTCTGTTGTTGTTGTTTTGGTGATAATCCATTTTGTTGTCCAATTTTTGTTGTAAAATTGGGAGAAGAATAATTTTGGGGACAATTTTCTGTTACTAACGAATTTTTATTCCCCATTGGAAATAAAAACTTTAAAAAATATTTTAAAAGAAGTAATTTTTATTGATAATTTTTAAAAAAAGAGTGAGGAAAATAACGGGGGAACGAGTTTAATTTTTTTTTATTTTTAGAAAATTTATGTAATTTTTTCCGTTCGTCATTTTTTGTAAAAAAAGTAATTTGAAGAAATTAAATATAACAAAATTAATTAAAAAGGGAGGAGGAATTGTAGTAAAATTATCAGAATTTTGTATATATTAATTAATTAAATTATTTTTAAATAAAAATTCCGGAAAGATGATAAGTACCCACAAATGATTTCCTTTCCGGAAAGTTTTCAAATATACAAACAAAAAATAAATATAAAATACCCAACAATTACCCAAAACAATTAAAAATATATTTAAAAATAAACTACAATTAACACTCATTTTTCCTAAAATAATCTCTCCTCCGTTATTCAAAAAATTAACGGTGAGAGTGAGGGGAGGGGGAGAGGGGGAGGGGGAGATAAATGGATTGAAAAGACTAAAATAATAAAAAAAAAGAATTTTTTCACAATTAACCAGTTTTTCTTTAAATTGATGAAGAGGTGGAACAATTTTAGTTTAGATGACTAAAAGTGGAAGAACGGAGGGGGAGAAGGGAGGGGGAGAAGGGAGACAGAGAAAATAAAGACAATAAAATAACGAAAAAGAATCCCTCCCTCCCCCCTTTTAAATTCTTTTAATTATAAACATTTAGGCGCAGAATTTCTTGGGGAGAAAGGCAAGGGTGATTTACTGGTTTAACCCTTCAAAACCCTTCACATTCTAAAATTTGACACATTTTTGGTATTAAATGTTATTTTTCAACAAAATACAGGCTATTTATGCCCTTTTAATGATTGCGCCGAAATGTCCAGATTTTCTCCAACCGATATATAAATTAAGTATATTTTTCGGCGATTTTTTCGCGCCTTCAAAAACTATTTAAAGGTGACAAATTAAAAGGAATGTTTGAGGGGAAGGGGTATAGAGGGGAAGGAGGGGTAGTTTACAGCTGTAATGCTACGGTTACATAAAAAACGCGCGCGTCTTGCGGCAGAAAAGATAATGGGAAATGAGGAGAGTAAAAGACGCCGGCGTCTTGCCGCTTTTTTTGAGTGGTTACATAAACTGCGTCTTCCGCCGGCGTCAAGACGCCGGCGTCTTGACGCTTTTTTGAGTGGTTACATAACTCGCGTCTACCGCCGGCGTCTTGACGCCGAGCGTCTTGCCGCTTTTTTGAGTGGTTACATAAAATGCGTCTTCCGCCGGCGTCTTGACGCCGGCGTCTCTTTTTTTAATTCAAACATGTTTGAATTTTTTGCGGCAACTTTTAGCGTCTTGATCATTTCTCGGCCAATTCTAATGCGATTTTTAAAATTTAAAAAGATTCTGAAAATTCAATTTATTCTCTATCGATCAATATAAATTTTATATTTTTAAAGTTAAATCTTATGGGTTAAAATTGATTTTGAAAAAGGTATACTTTTTGCAAAAGTTTCACTAGGTTTAAGAAAAATATAGATATCCATCTTAATCCTTACGCATCACCAATACACTCTTAATCATTAATCTGATACGGATAATATCAGGATAACCTGCATAATTGGATTTCGGTGTATATAGAGGGAGGCAAATTTGGAGGGATTAACAGAGATATTGTGGGATCTGGGTGTTTAAAAGGGATATTGGTGAATTTGGGAAATATCGAGGAATTTAGAGAATATAGAATGATCTCTTATGAACAATGGTTTTATCAGAGATTAAAAGGCCTTAAAAATACGACAAATTGCCTTAAAAATACGACAAAATTTGTCTAAAAATATCGAATATTTTTTCGTCATTTTTGTCTAAAAATTGAGTTTACGAAACGAAAACGAAACGAAAATATATTTTTAATGAAATACGAAACGAAAGAAACGAAAAAAATTATTTTTAAACGAAACGCGAAACAAAACGAAAATCATCAAAAATCCACGAAAATCTACGAAAACGAAACGAAACGAAAAATTTTCGTCCATCTCTGATCGGTACCATGGCAGAATAAAATGATTTGATTTTATAAATTTTATTTTAGTATGATAAATATTTAAAAAAATTTTTAATCGGATTTAGTGGTTACATAAAATCGCGCGCGTCTTGCGGAAGACGCTCGGCGTCAAGACGCCGGCGGAAGACGCTGTTTTGTGGTTACATAAAACTAGCGTTTTGACGCTTTGCGTCTTCCCGCTTAGCGGAAGACGCCGATTTTATGTAACCACGAAACAGCGTCTTCCGCCGGCGTCTTGACGCCGAGCGTCTTCCGCCGGCGTCTTGCGTTTTTTATGTAACCGTAGCATAAAAGGTGTAAAAGAAAATTAAAAGACAGAAATTAAAATTAATTTTTAATAAATGCCAATCTAAAAAAACTATTTCTAGCGTTTCTATTAATTATTTTCACAAAGAAAATAGTTTTTTAGCAGGTATATAGTATATTTTTATAGCCATTTCCCTCCATTTTCTCCCATTATTATTTTTTGCAAAAAATTTTTTTCTGCACACCCCCATTAAAAATTAATTTTCCAATCAAATGCCTTAATTTTATTATTTTAATGTTGCTTTTTAAGATATAAAATAAAAATAAGTTTGGCTCTCGTAAAAAAAATATTTTTTATCTTTATTCGAGAAGTGTTTCGTTTCGGCGCCGAATAGAAATTCTATAAATATTCTAGTATTTTTATATGCCCATTTTTTAAAATTTTATTGGTTATTTTTATTGAGAATTGAGAGAGAGAGAGTGTGTGCCAAGAATTCGATGGAAATTGAAATTTGGGAATTAATAATAAGTTAATAGAATTCATAGTAAAAATTTAAAATGTCGAAAAAGTAAATGGGGAAGGGGGGGGGGGTATGTAGGGTGGGGGGTACCCTTCACTCTACTCAAGTTTAGTGTTCGGAACTCCCACGGTACTCCCGAAAATACTGAATCCATATTTGTCAGTATGTCCGGTACCGAAAGAAATCCATTTATCGAACCCTACTCTAATTGTTCCCTTCACTCTACCCTTTAATTCGAAAAGAATTTAAGTATATAATTTTAAAAATGTTTTAAAATAAATAATTTTGGAAACAAAAATTGTTATAATAAAAGTAATAATATATCAGCTTTCTCGATCATTTTTACTCAAAACTTGTCAGTTTTGATGAGGGAGAGTAAAACAGCAGTTGGGATGAAGAAACAAATTTTGTTTTGTGTGGCTAAAAAATCATATGACTGACACTAAAAAAGAGCAGATTTTTGGAAAGGAAGGAGGAATTTAATATTTAAGTATATTTATAGACTTAAAACTTTAAAATGAAAGGACCGCTTAAATGAGAAGGGGGAGGGGGGGGGGAGAGAATTTGCCTTCAAGTCCAGACATTTCAATTTTGAAGACCTATATAGTCTGAACAATAACATTTTTACTGTTCAGCCGATTCAAAAAATTTTATATCAGTCGAAAGCTATAGCTATAGGGATTATTCTCGATCTGGATTGATCTGATTAGATAATCACAAAAAGTTACAACCGGATAATGATCGAAAATTACGATTACGCGCACTTATATGGATGTAACTTTTCTTGTAATGATCTGATCGGATTAGGTAAAATAATAACCCTTTAGGTAAAATAATCTACATATCCAGAGCTTCCAATCAATATATAGGGAAATTATTCAAATCGGCCAAAAATTTAAAAAAAGTTGTGTGGTTTGAAATCGGCCTAGGGATTGGAATGGCTGGACATAAAAATAAAGTTTATTTTAAAAAAGGAAGGGAAATTTGAGATTTAAAAAAAGTTTAAAAATTTTTGAAGGAAGAAAATGAGAAGGAAGAAAGATACATTCTAAAAATAGATACATTAATTCTCATTTTACTTATGTAGTAGCTTAAATACTTAAATAAATTGTGTGTGCTTAAATGAGCTTAAGCTTAAATATTGAAATTAATTTAAGCTTAAGCTTAAATCAAGTTTTAATATTCCAAGTTTATTCTCAAGTTGTAAAATTTAATATAAAATTTTCAAGCTTGGACTTGAGTTCAAGTTTCAATTTTACATATTAAAACTTATTTTAAGTTCAAACTTAAGTTTATAAAAGAATTCAAGTTTTAAGTTCAGGTCCCCTAAATTGCTTTACTATAAAAGCCTATCTTGAAAAAGAAAATTATTCTTTTTTAAGTTTATTTAGTTAAATAATTAATAAATAACAAAAAGAAAAGGCATATTAAATATTTTTCAGTTAACGTAAAAATAAAATTCTTAAATAAAAAATATATAAACGATCATATCCATCAATCAATCAGTCTAAAAAATGAGAAGGAAAAATTTTTTTCAAGTATTTGGCTAAACTTAGTCTAAATTTGGCGTCTAAATTATTGATAATTATTTGAAGTTTGTTTAATTTTTAAGGAGATTTTTTTAAGAGAGAAAATGTATAAAATAATCAAGTATAGGAACGATATAATTTTTGGTTAAAAATATTTGTGTGTGTGAAAAAAAGGGAAAAAAGAAGAAAAGAAAAAATGTTGTTTAAAAAATTTTTTTATATTTGAGAGAGACAATTGGTCATTCTTTAAGAAAATAATAGAGGAGAGATTAAAAAGTGATTAAAACAATGGAAGAAAAAAAGAGAGAAAGAAAAGATGAGAAAATTACTGGCAAATTAACGTTATAAACTAGTGGAGGGTTGGTTGTTCTCGACTGGTTTTGAAACCTAAATAGTTAACACTTATATTTTGAAACTTTCGTTATAAAATCGTCAGAGGTCTTCAAAAATTGCTAAAAAATTATTGAAAAAAATATTTGACAGAAAATATAAAAAATATTAAATGTTGGGATGCGTTTATAATTAATTAACTTGAAATGTTCGCAAATATGATCGAAAAAAATTTTTTCCTAGAATTTTTTAAAATTAAAAATAATTTTTGATAAAAAAAATAAAGCAGATTGTAAACAAAAAATATAGAAACAAGGAATGCGCAACACACTCATTATAGGGGCATTTTACTCCTTTTTTTACAAATTTGCTTCTTCAATTTTTTTTCATTTTCTAATGTTTATTTTATGTGGGTGGGTGGTTGTATTTTATAATGTTTTTATATTTTTGGTTTCAGTTGTAATATGCCCATTATATATATTTTTTACTATAATCCAAAAACAGGTCTAATAAACAAGCAAAATTTTTAAAGGTAGATAAAAATTTATACAAAAAAGACTGGTTAAAAGGAATGAAAAGAAATAACTCCAATAAGAGTATATTAGGATAAGGAATGGAACTCAACCGGAAGCTTCGCTGTTTTAAAAACTTTTGAAAAATTACAACTTAAACGAGGAGTGTATGCTGATGTGAGTAGGTAATCCTTTTTTGATATCATTTTGTCGCTTCACTAGGGTATGGACATTTTGTCGTTTTTACATTTTTTCCCTTGTCGTTTTGTCGCTCCACAGTGACTCTTTTGCATTGAAGCGTCCATTTTGTTTGATTTTTCTACTGTAATACGAGACGGTACACCTCAATTGAGTCCGCACGATTGAGTCCCCACGATTGAGTCCGCACGATTGAGTCCCCACGATTGAGTCCCGGCACAATTGAGTCCCCACGATTGAGTCCGCACGATTGAGTCCCCCTTGTATATACCTCAATTGAGTCCCCGTGGATTTAATTATATTAAAAAGGATTAAGAGGGATATCTGGGGATTTGGGGGGATTAAAGTGAACATCAGGGGACCTGTATGTGACATCGAGGGATCAAGTTGGATATCGGTGAATATTAAGAGATATAAGTAGATTTAAGCGATTAAGGGGGATATGGGTGGATATTGTGGATTTGGGGATTAGGAGGGATATCGAGAGATTTTTTGAATGACAGCTCATTCGAATGAGCTGAGTCGAATGACACAAAAATCAACATGGTTCTCGCCGAGATATGGGACTCGAAATGGTCAAATCCACGGGGGATTTTTGGGGACAAAAAATTCGAATATTAAATTATACCTCATTCGAAAGGGCTCGACGAGCTGAGTCGAATGACATCAAAATCAGCTTGATTCAATGATTCTGAACAAAGTTATGACCAACTGAAACTGCGCTGGAAAACTGTTTTGTGCTGCTACGGAGGGTATGTGGGGTGCAGCAGGGGTGCACAGGTGGTCTGTCCGGCATTTATACTTTAAAAAATAGAAATTTTGGAATAATCCCGCATGTCGGATATGGAAATTTTAAACTTATTAAATCCACGGGGACTCAATTGAGGTATATACAAGGGGGACTCAATCGTGCGGACTCAATCGTGGGGACTCAATTGTGCCGGGACTCAATCGTGGGGACTCAATCGTGCGGACTCAATCGTGGGGACTCAATCGTGCGGACTCAGTTGAACTGCTCCGATACGAGAGATGTGTTGTAATTAGTGACCGGGGCCGGACCGGATCCGGCCGGATTTTTCCGGAGTCCGGGTCCCAAATCCGGGTTTTTTTGAAATTTCCGGATTAAAACCGGACCGGATTAATCCGGAGAAATCCGGCCGGATCCGGTCCGGCTCTAGTTGCAAATCCGGAATCCGGATCCGGGTCCGGCAAATTTTGAGCACCGGATTTGGGATTTTATACGGTCTGAAATTTTCCCATTTTTTCTTGTATTTCTCTATAAAAAAGGTGGATTTTTGACCCCTAACTATACTAAATTTAAAAAATTTCGCCTGCGGCGCTGAAAAGGGATGCATTCTTCTTTATTGGCCTTCCAAAAATCGTACCCGGAAGGCAAGACTGAGTTCCCCTTTTATATACCTCATCTGAGTTTCAGTACTAGGCCGAAAATAGGGTTGGTATGGAGAGTCTAAGCTTCATGGCCATCTAAACTTCAAAAAATTTTGCCTGCGGCTCTAACAATAGAATTTTTTCTCCCGAGGCATTCTAAAATTCTCGAAATTTTCGCTTCCGGCGGTGAAAAATGGAAGAAATCTGGCTTTATAGCCTTCAAAAATTTTCAAAATTTTGGCCTGCGGCGCAAAAAAGGAAGAAATCTGACTTAAGGACCTTCAAAATTTCAAAAATCAACCATGAATTACTTTATTTTCCAAACTTTTAACCTCGAAAGATCCACAAAATATCCTTCATAGCTTCCAAAATCCTTAAATATCCCCCTAACAACATTTTAACACACAAACGACACACATCATACAAAATTTAGCGCTAAAAATGTCATAGAAAATTTTTTTTGAAAAATTCAAAAAATCCAAAATCCGGTCCGGAATCCGGATAATTTCTGCCGGACTCCGGAAATAATTTTTACCGGATTAAAACCGGACCGGATTTATCCGGAAAAATCCGGCCGGATCCGGTCCGGCTCAAGTTGCAAATCCGGAATCCGGATCCGGTTCCGGAAAAATCGATTTTACCGGTCACTAGTTGTAATTAAAAGGTTAGGAAATGAAAGGAATTTATTTTCTCATTTTTTCTCATAGACGCGGATTTTACTATCCGCGCCCGAATATGAAGTTAATATTCCCTATATATATTTTTTTAATTTTTAGTATTTGTTTAATTGTTATTATAAATTATGGCTGTTGTTTCACGTCTTTGGAAGTTTGGTAAAAACACTGGTTGTTATTTTGTTGGAGCTGGTAAGCTTGCTCTCAATCCGAGTACACCAATACCTAAAACTGATGTTCATCCAAGGTTTTCTTTTTTTATTTTTTTAAGAACTTTGATACGTGTCGGCTTTGTGTTTTCTGAAAATTATTCAAAAAACTTCTCAAGAGTCTCATTGAGGATCTATCCTCATAGTTTTTGTAAGAATCGATAAATCTAGCCGATCTTGGTCGACCAAGCTCGAAGAGCTTGGTCGAATGATTTATAATAAATTATATATCAAACAAAAAAAGGAAACGGGAAAAATGGCCATTTTCAGCGGACCCAAAGCCGACAAATTTCCAAAATTTAAATTTTATTAAACTTTTATAGAATGCCTGCTTTCCCAGATACTTTTCCTGAACTCATTCGGATGCTTCCATATCGACATTATTGGAAATTTATTCCTATATTTAGAGCTATTGTATTTGGTCATTGTCTCATCCTTCCAATATATTTGATGAGTTCATGTTTGTTTTAAATTTTTTTATAAATTTATTTTATACTTGAGGATCTCTCCCCTATAAAATTTTTCATGATTCTTAACTCTGGAATTGAGTTATTGACCTGGCCTGGAATATGAGAAAGTTTTTTTAAAGTCTAAAAATTTTTTATGATCCTGGACTCTGGGATTATGTTAATTATCAGAACTGGACATTGGGAAGGTCCCCAAGACGGAGAATGAGTACTGGGGAAGGTTCTCCAAACTTTACCAATCGGTGACATTCCAAATCGTCCTTTAATTAATTTTTTTAATTTTTCTTCTATTTTAGTGAATTCATCTAAAGTCCATGCACAGCGTGACCAACTTAATCACGCTATACACAGTGCTGAGGTTTTTTAAAATTTTACAATTAAAAAGAGTTTTTATTTAAAAGGGTGCACTTGCATATGGCCGTTTGCAGCGTAAGGAGGATGCCAAATACTTTAAAGAATACGATCCTAAAGCTCAATTTCGTCCAAAATGGTTCAAAGATGAAATTTCTTGGATGAAGCTCAAGTATTTTTTAAATAATTATTTTTTATTTTTTGGAACTACTGGGGCGAATGGAAGCACAAAATCGTCTCTAATTCACTCCCTTGAAATCTTCCTTTAATCATTTCTCGATCGTCTTCCCCAGACCGCTCTGGCGTTCCGAACGCAAATTTTTTGTACATAAATTTTCATCACTTCAGCGCCGTAGGCGAAAATTTTTTAAATTTCAGAGGCCGTAGGCCAAAAAAATTCACTTTTTTCCCCAGCCCTTCCCCAAATTTTTTCCTTTTCCCCATTTCGGGGGGGGGGGGGGGGAGGGGGCTCTAGCCCCCTCCCCCTGGATACGCCCTTGGTTGGGGGTCGGATGGAAATTTTTTTCTAGGAGAAGACCGGGTTTTCGGGTAACCTATCCCATTCCTTTTTATGTTAGCATACTTTGAGATATCTCGGCTAGCTAACTTATCTAGGATTCAATAGTTTTAATTCTAACAAAGAAAGTGGGTCTGTGTGTGAGATTGAGGTTTGGGGGTTTCGGGGAAGCCCTGAAATTATTCATAAAATATCCGCAAAAATTTTTTTGGGGAAATTTGTATGAATTTTTTTCTAATTAAAATTTTTTAAAGCTATTATCCACATGGTTATAGTGCTGACCATTAGACAAAATAACAACAAAGCAACATAAATTTAAAGAAAAGTTTATAAAATTTAGCAAGAAATTTTTCTTTAAAAAAATTATATTTAAATTGTTGTTGAATGTGCTTTGTTTTTTTTTGTGGTAGGCGACAAATTTTTTCAATAAATGTTTTATAGTTGACTGACAGAAAATTTTTTATTTTCTAAATCGGTTTATTTATCGTAAATGCATTGGGTGTGTTTCTTTTTAGTCCCGGGCTCTAAAGCAGTTTCTTTGAATCAGAACTGTGGCTTAACTCGTAAGGGCTTGAAAACTTATTTATCTCTAACCAGGGATTCGCGTTTTTTGAAATGTCTCCGGAAACGTGTTTGGGGAAACTTTTTGATGTTTTTGAAAGCTAAGAAATCGCAATTCTTTTATTTTTTCTTCAATAACATTACTTATATAATTTTAATATTCTCAATTTTTTCTGCCTGGTAGTACCAGCCTCAAACAACAAATTTTTTTTCATTTTATTTTTTCTTTTAATTTGCGCGAGTTTTGCTTTGTTCTCTCATTTTTTTTAAATTTAGAAAAAGGTGAAAATATTTTTTATGAGAAAGGAGATGGAAGAACGAATATTTTTTACATTATTGATGTAAAAAATATTCAGACATTATTAAAGAAGGAAAAGCTTTCTTTCACGCATCCGCAAAGAATCATGCAAAAAATTGCGTTAAAAATTTTTTTTCTTTTTATTCCTCTAATTTTTTTATCTCCAGACATTGTTTATTTATTTATTATTTTTAAGACATTAAAAATCATTTTTCTGGAATTTCCATCCTTTTATTTTTAAAACACAGTCGAATCTCATTTAAATGTGTTTCGGACCGATTTATCGAGACAACGAGAAAGACTTGCAAAATCTCAATGGATGTGAGGACATTTTTGTTAAAAAATTTTGTTTTGGGTATTTTGTACAAATTTTTATGCACATTCTTTTTCTGCTTTTAAAATGCGTCTCACTCGCTCATCTATTGCTTGCGCCTGTCAATAATTTATATATTTATTTACTACTTTTTCGTGTGTCACATACACACACATATTTCCTTCTCTAACAACATCCTCTCAAACATCCTTTAACACTTTTTATCCTTCACATCCACACACACATCCACTCTCTCCGCCCCAATCCCCAACTGTTGTAGACACAACAAAAAAATTTTTTGGCGAGCGTCTCTCATTGTGAAAAAAGAAGGGCTCAAAAGGGGTGAAAACATGTCATGTATATTATTTAAAAGCATGCGCTTAACGTAAGAATTTTAGTATATACTTATTTGGCAGTTTCTATGTAAAAGCATATGATGCTTACATAGCCATAACTATTCCCATAACTATTCCTATCTATACATTATGTAAATCTTTCCACATTTTTTTGAAGGAAAAAATTGTAAACAACTTCTTTTTTGGGATTTTTAGATTTTTTTATGAAATACTTGGATTTGTTTATATTTTTCCTATTCACAAAAAATGTTTTGGATCCAAAATGAAAATGGAACCCTTTTTATTTATTTACTCAAGCAGATTTAATTAGGGATTTAGGTATTCTAATAGATTCTAACCTGTCCTTCTATTAAACACGCTTACTACTTTCTGACACTCCAATATTCAAAGTAATCAAAACTAAGGATTTAAATAACCATCCATTCCCGGCTTTCTCTGGAGCAGCAAAAAACAATTTTTCTTAAGGTTCAATTGGTTCCAGAATCATGAATTAATCTTTTTTTTTTATTTATTTGACTCGGTTTTTTTCTACGGGGCTATCATTTGTGTGTATTATTTTTTAAATCTAAATTTTTTGATCATTTAATTTCTTAATTTTTCAAAAAATATTTTCTAGGGTTGTCAGTTCAAAATTGAAAAAAATTTTCTTTTTGGTTCTCCAGTTTCAATAGATTTTTTTCCGGATTTTTAGCATAATTTCAGTATCTAATTCTTATTTAGATCCTCGACAACTTTTTTTGCTTGCACTTTGGCCTTGTTGACTTTTTTTGTAAATATTTTTTCTTTCTATCCGTTTTTCCCGATCTATTTTCTAATCCATATCCTTTTTCACAATTATTTGTAAAGTAGGCAGTAATGTAGTAGTAGCCAGTCGATATTAGGATCGTTTGCCTGACTTTTTTTTATTGTAATCCTAAATAACAATAGATTAGTGAGAAGCTGTAAAATAGAGTACATAATATTTTTCTTCCCCTATCTATTTCATTCATAGGGGAGGAAGGGCGGCGATCGGTATACATATTTTTCTTCATTCGTCCGCTTAGATAAATAGAGATTCAACGAAAAAAAATTTTAAAGAAAGATTACTTAAATTGTGGAGAGATGGGAAGGTTGGGAGAGTAAATATGTTGAGAGGAAGGGGAAGGTGTTTGGTTGATGTGGTGGTGGTGTGGGGTTCGCTTAAAACGTCGGTCGTCCTTCATCCCTAAAAAGTGATTGAAAGGTTTGAAACAGACCTGGGCGAAACTCAAAATTTTTTTCTGACGAAACGAAACGAAACAAAATTTTTTAAAAATCGTTTCGTTAACGAAACGAAACGAAACAACCAAAATCTTACGAAACGAAACGAAACAAAACGAAACATTTTAATATTCAAAAAATTTTCAAAACTGCATTTATTTCGAAATTATTCGACCTCAAATACGTTATTAGTCGACTATGACTTATAAATGATTTAGTTATTGGTTTATTTACAACAATTGTGTCCCATAAGCCAGGCCCGTAGCAAGGAAAATTTTCGGGGAAGGGGGGGGGGGGTCAATCATTTTCGAAGCCAAATTTTTGGCGACGCTTTTTTTTAAATAAAATTGAATATTTTTCAAGTAAAATTTTATTTTAAGCGCCGCAGACGAAAAATTTTAAAATTTTGAAAGGCCGTAGGCCAAAAAATTCACCATCTTGCTCCATTGCCTACCCAAATTGTCTCCATATCTCCATTTCGAGAGGAAGGCGATATAAGCTAGTGCTTCGCCGGAAGTTCCGGTTCCAGTATTTCCGCAACTCGCAATCCGCAATTTTTAAATTATGATGCGAGTCCGGTAATAGAATTTGTCGTCGATTAAGTAATATGTATATGTGGATTAGGGAGTGGAGTATAAACGGATTTGTAGTATATAAGTAATTGCTATCTTCCTTTTTCAGCGCCGCAGGCGAAAATTTTGACAATTTGGGAAAGCCAAGAAGCCGAAATTCTTTTTTTTTCAGCGCCGCAGGCGAAAATTTTTTAAATTTTCAATAAAAGATGGTAAATTTTATAGATTTTGGCCTTAGTTTAGGCTTAAAAAATTGTTTCGTTTCGTTGAAAAATCACAGGTGTTTCGTAACGAAACGAAACGAAACAAATTTAAAAGTGTTTCGTAACGAAACGAGACGAAACAGTAAAAATCATACGAAACATACGAAACAACGAAACGAAACGAAACGTTTCGCCCACGTCTGGTTTGAAACTCTCTGCTACAAACACACACATTTCTTTTATTTGGAATTTTGCACACATTTGCACACCTTTTTTTAACTAAAATGTAGTAAAAATGTGTCCTTTCCTTATAACAATAAGTGAAAAAATTTTTTTTCAGTGAAATACTACAGTGCGGTGCATATGTTTACAAACACTAGAAAATTTTTTCTAAATTCTTAATTTTTTATTCAAAATATACGTTCAATATAGCATTCGAAAGCTCTATTCGTATCTCAGTTGACATGTTTCTGCATTTTTCATAAAAATGAAAATTGGCCGAGATAATCCGGATCTACCGGATATACCAAATCGCATAGCCTCGGAAAAAATTTTCGGAAAAAATTTAACAAACCCATTTGATAAAGCATATTTTTGTGAGTATTTACCACAAAGCCGCTTAAAAATATCTTTATCCGGTCCAGAGATATGATTTTTTAAAAATGGCATTTTTCCTTTAAAAAGTGAATTTTTTGCAAAAATAGGCGAAAAATGCCATTTTCAAAAAATCATATCTCTGGACCGGATAAAGATATTTTTAAGCGGCTTTGTGGTAAATACTCACAAAAATATGCTTTATCAAATGGGTTTGTTAAATTTTTTCCAAAAATTTTTTCCGAGGCTATGCGATTTGGTATATCCGGTAGATCCGGATTATCTCGGCCAATTTTCATTTTTATGAAAAATGCAGAAACATGTCAACTGAGATACGAATAGAGCTTTCGATTGCTATATTAAACGTATATTTTGAATAAAAAATTAAGAATTTACAAAAAATTTTCTAGTGTTTGTAAACATATGCACCGCACTGTATATACATATTTTTTACCACACTTTTTGTTTTATTATTTCTTTTTGATTTTTCTGTATTATAATGGTTAAATCAGTTATAAATTTCACAAATAGTCCTCAGTATTTATCTTGATGAAAAGAAATTTTTTTAAAGAAATGGCATTTGGCCTATTTTGTAGTTAATTTTATTTTATTTAGGTTAGGTTGGCTGAAATATTTTTTAAATCGAATAACCCCCATTTTTAGTTGATTGTTGATCTCTAGATCTCGATGATGGGGCTGAATTAAAAATCAGATCTTTTTCTGCCTCTTTCACCATATTGCTAGGGAAGAATTTTCAGATTTTTAGACTTGTGCTTCTTTCATTTTTTTTCCTCTAAAATATTCTTTACAACAAACATTCTTTTTGTTAGCCAACCCCCCAATTGCCACGCTTTTATTATAAAAATATTATTCTTCAACAATAATTTTATTTATTTATTTTTACTTTTCTTTTGTAGTTGATTTATTTCATTATTCATTGTTTATTTATAAATATTCAATTTCTTTTTTTTATCAAAAATCATTTTTCTATCTTTTTTTTTCTTTTTGCTAATCGTTCCATTCTTTTAATTAATTAATCGTTCGATATTAATTTTGTATTTTTTTACTTTTATTAATTAATTTAATTAATTCAAAATTCCTATAATTTTTCAAAAATTTTGTTTAAACTAAAATAATTTCTTCTTACCCTTTTATAGGCTTCCAATTCTTTTTTTTTACAAATTTGGAATAAAAATTTAGTTACTTGCAATTCTACTCTTTTTATGATTGATCTCTCTTAAATTTTTTGTTTCTAATATTAATTTATACAAAAAAGGTGTTGTGTAGGCTACGATTGAATGGCTTTTTTGGGGCAAACTTTGTTGACCTGGAAACTTGAATTTCAAATATTCTCTTAATTATTTAAAGATTTTACCCCATTTTTCCCTTTTTGGGGTTTTAAAACTTTTCGACGTTTATTTCAACGTGTTTGGCCGATCCATAATTTTTTTATTGAACTCTTTCTTCTCTTCTATTTTTTCTTCTTTCTCCCCTTTTTTTCTCTTATCAAAACAACAAAAACAGCTTTTTTCTTCAAATTGGCATGAATCATCATCCATCCAACAACACAAAAATAAAGATTTTTGTGTACACATTTTTATAAAATAAATAAATATATTTTTAAAATTATTTTTCCTAGAGACTTACAGAAATTATAAAAAATTATAAATTCTTCCTTTGTATGTTCTAAAAAATGGTTTCATCGTCTACTGCTTCAACACCCCATAAACGGCTAATTTCAAATATTTCTTCTTGGAAGGAATCACAAAAACAAGAACAAATGGGGGTTTTACAGACGCCAAATACAGAAAAGGTGAATAAATATATTGTGAATTCTTCTAAGATTTGCTTTGGAACTTTTTGATTTATTCCTGTTGGTAGAAATTGTCAGACAAAAAACCGAGGAGTTATCAGTTCTTAGGATCCGGGTATTCGAAAACTTGCAAGAACCAACAGTTCTAACCGCATATATTTGGTTTAAAGGTGTTTATGCCTTGCGAATAAATGGGGGATCTAAACAATTGAGTTTTCACTAAAGAAGATTTCGTCATGGTAATTAAGTGGATCTTCTAGAAAGAACTAAGCAAAACCCCTAGCAAATCTTCCTTTACTTTCTACTTGCCAAAAAATATTTAAAATTTGCAGGTTGTAGCAGAATTGTTGGCTCGAGCAGCAGAAACTCAATTTCAAGCTGCTGGAGTTCAACCTGTCGATTTGGATCGTTATAAAGAACAACAAGAAGAACAAAGACAAAAACGGCATTTTCTTTTGTGGTTAAATCAAAATGGAAATTTGTATCCAAGTAGGGAACAGAAGGAACGTTTAGCAGAAGAAATGGGAACAAATTATGGAAAGGTGCGGGGGGTTTTAAAAGAAATTTGAAGGGATTTAATTGAATATGTACACATGTCTGACTTAATTTAAAGATTGTTGAAGTCTGATTTAGTTAAAAAAATTTTTTGGTTGGGTGAACCTTTATTTAATATAAATGGATAGGGAGATATGTAGGTGGGTGGGTTTTAAGACACCTTATAAGGTACAATTTCAATATCGGACAGGCTTGATAGTAAATGGTAATTGTTTCGGATAAGTGGGGTGTGTGGTTTCACTTGTTTAAAACATTAAAGTCTAATAAATCAAAAAACCATTTTATTACCATTTTGACGATAAATTAAATGATTAAAAAATATAATAAATTTCATAATATTCCCCCCATTAAAAAAGGTGAACAAACTATTCGCCAATCAACGACGTCGTCAACATAAACAAAAATCTATTGCTAAAAAAGAGGAAAAAAATAATCATCGACTGATTTTTGACAAAAAAGAGGAGAAAGAAGGAGAAGAAGAAGGACAACACATTGATCAAACTATTGAAAGTGTTTGGAATAAAGTAATGGAAGAAGGGAGGAGGAGGGGGAATAGCAGTAGCACTAACAGTAACGACGAGGGATATAATAATGATGAACAAAAAATTGTTGTTGACAATGATGACGTTAATAGAGGTGGGGGAAATTAAATTATTTTTAAAAAGGGTTGCGTATATATGGGGCGCTATACAAAGGACAAATTACTTGTTAACTTTCAGAATTTTAATTAAACTTGTGTTTTTAAATTTAAAAAAATTCTGGTTTTATAAAAAATATACAAATTTCGTAAATTCTGATTTCTTTCTCTTATTTTTCTGAAATGTATTTTAAGGAAAAAGTTATACAAAAGAAAATTCTGATTTTATTAAATTCTGTTTTTTGTTTTAATTCTGATTTCTTTTTAGTAGTTTAATTTTCAGAATTTAATCTAAACATTTTCATTAAATAAAATACAAAAATTCTTCTGATTTCTTCTTCTCTTTCTTATCTCTAAAAAGATCTACTTCATTAATATTACTGAAAATAGAACATTCTGATTTCTTTCTCTATAGTTTTGTAGTATAGTTATTTTGTAATTATTTTGGACCAACGATCAAAATACTTTGGGGTTTTTAATGTATTTTAATAACCCTTTTTTTAAACTAAAATATACATACTTTATCTAATTTTTTCTTCATTAATTTCAAGTGGGGTTTAAAATATTGTTGGTACTCTTCACTTATAGCGGGTTTTTAATGCGTGGATGGAGTACATCCTAAACAGGTCTTTTGGGTAATCTTCAGCTTTACTGGTCCCTAGAAAAAAATGAGGAAAAAGTGCTAGTTTGACATTTTTGAGCATTCCAGTAGGTAATCGAGCTTGCTGAGTTCGAATATGGGCTTAGAATTTGTTTATTTCGAACCCCGGACCCGAATTCGACCATGTCAAACATGGGTAAAAATTCGAAATTTCAAATTTTATGCCTAATCGGACTAGTCTCTTCAAGCTGAGTCGTTTGGTATCAAAATTATTACGTTTCGACATCTTTAGACTAAGTTATGGTGTTTGATTTATATACGGAAGTCTAACCAAGCGTGTATTTAATTAATCATAACTTAGTCTAAAGATGTCGAAACACAATAATTTTGATATCATTCGACTCAGCTTGAAGAGATGCGTCAGAATAGCGTTAGCCTAATAGTTTCGAATTCTTACCCCGAATTCGACTAGTCGAATTCGGGTCCGGGGTCCGAAATAAACAAATTCTAAGCCCATATTCGGACTCAGCACACTCGATTACCTCTGGCAGACCCCAAAAATATCGAAAAAGTACTTTACCACATTTTTTTCTAGGGACCAGTAAAGCTGAAGATTACCGGTCTTTTGAGATCTTTAGAGCTTAGGTCTTCTGGGTGTCTTTACGGTTGAACCCGCCTGCTTAATATACTAAAATTGATTTTTCTTTTTTTATAAAAATATTTTTTACACCTTTTTACTAATTATGTATTTAAAAAATATATTTTTTAAATTCTTGTTTCTAGGGTAACCACCACAATCTTTCCCTTTCCTCCTCTCCTTTCTTTCTGCACATTTTATTATTTAAAAACGGATATACTTTAGTCTACCGGACGCGGAAAAAATACATGAAACCGGTACCATTCGATTCGTCTCACCAAGCTGAGTCGAATGGTACACTCTCCATCTGCGGAAATGCCTACGAGCCGAGATATAGGTCCCCGAAAATCGAAAAACCATAGGGGGGAGTAAGGTCAATTTTGGGGTAAAAAAATCGATTTTTTGAATGATAGCTCATTCGAAAGAGCTCCTCGAGCTGAGACGAATGACACCAAATCAGCTCGAGATCTTAATTCTGAGCCAAAATAAACAGGCTCAAAATGGTCAACTAAACCTATGGAGCGTCGGCGAGGCGCTTGTGCAAAACTCCGCGCTTCGCGCGGAGTTTTGCGGCACGCGCCTCGCGGGGAGTCTACGGGCGCTGGGTCTGGGCTCGTAACATAAACCTATTCCTATCTCCCTTGCTCTGGACGTATTTGGGGCCTCCGTAGCAGCAAAAATCTCCATAGATGCCATAGGTAAGGAGCTAAAATAAAAGATCATAACTTTGTCCAATCAAGTCGGATTTCGTTGATTTTGGTGTCATTCGACTCAGCTCGAGGAGCTCTTTCGAATGAGCTATCATTCAAAAAATCGATTTTTTTACCCCAAAATTGACCTTACTCCCCCCTATGGTTTTTCGATTTTCGGGGACCTATATCTCGGCTCGTAGGCATTTCCGCAGATGGAGAGTGGTACCATTCGACTCAGCTCGGTGAGACGAATCGAATGGTACCGGTTTCATGTATTTTTTCCGCGTCCGGTAGACTAAAGTACAGCCTTAAAAACCTCAAAAAAAGCATGTGATTTTCTAGACTATTATTTTATATTTTTTTGTAAATATTTTTAGAAACACTACATAAATATTTATCTTTTTTTGTTTACATTTTCACTTTTATTTTTTTTTTAATTTTAGGCCTTTTATGCACTATAACATTTTAATACCTAATTCATCAAACTTCAAACATTTCTAATTTTTGATGATTTCCAACATGTTTTCCCAACAAGTTTGTTGTCGAGAAAGATTAACAACATTTATTTTCCGAACATTCCCAAACATTTCCAACTTGTTTTCCAGCACTTAAACACTAATTATTTGTGTTTCTTTTTAATTTTATTTCCTAATTGTCGTCATCATTTCTAAATATTTCTTTTTTTTTAAACAAAAATCAAAACTTGTCAACAACAAATAACTCCTGTTAATTATTTTAATCATTTTTCTTCTTTTTTCCCCAACAAACATTTAAATAAAAAATTTAAACATTTTTCAAAAATAATTTGGGGTCAATTGATTTTTATATTTTTATAATTAATCACGACAATTTTTAAATACTTATTGGTCAGAAACAAATTTTTTCTTTCTCTTATTTTTCAGAATTTTTACTAAAAACATATGACTCTCGTCATTTTATTTTTTTTCTAAAATAATGAAAGAGAAATAATTTTTTAGTAATATAAACTGATCATTGGTTAGGGGTTTTATCTTAAAAATGAAGAAGAAAAAAATTTGGCAAGAAAACATAAAAGTGTATTAGACAGCCCTGTGGCCATCACAAAAGTGCAATAAAGTTATTTTTAAGTTTATTTTGAAATTTTTGTTTTTTTCATTTTAAACTATAGAAAATATTTCCCTTTCTGAATTTATTTTAAAACTTGTTTTTCTCAACTTTTTTCATTTCAAAACATTTATCTAATCTTCATCTTATGTGATACTTGGATGCATCGAAAGATTAACGGCCTATATCTCACTATGGAATTTTTTTCTGTAGAATAATTTTTTTCTGTAGAATTTTTCTGTAGAATACTGCTATCTTGTAGTAAATTTCCAGGGCTTCCGAATGAGCCCAAAATCAAAATTCTAAACAACCCATAAGGGGGCAAAAATATTTTCCCTATTCTACGTTGATTTTCGAGGTCGTTACTTCATTCGCAGACCTTTGCTTTGGCATTCCCGTGCCCTCTAAATTAAAATCAATAGTTTCTGCCTTTAAGAGAAAGCCTAACATCCATTTTAGCTACATAGTAAATGTTGGGGGGAAAATGGCCTTCACATAGAAAAATTACATTTTTCTTATTTTTTTGTTTCCCTATCGACATTTTTGCCCTTCAACCTTGCTTATTTTTAAGTTAAAAAGGTTATTTTTGCTGTTTTTGTTCTTATAAAACCCTAAACTTATCTACTATTTCCTCCATTTTTCCCTTTTATACAACTTTCTTTTACTTTATTTTCCAACTTGTTTCCAAACATTTTTCTGATTTTATCTACCTACACATTTTCCAACTTTAAGTTTCTCCAACTTTTTTTCTCTTTTCTTTAAAACGTGTTTTGTGGAAAAACTTGAATTTATTTTTAAAATTTAAGTATTTTCCACATGTTTAGCAAAAAATAAAAAGGTTTGTGTTTCGAAGGTTTAAAAGGTGGATTTTGATGTTTCTGTTTGTTGTTTTTAATTAATTTTATATTTTAATTAAAGTACGGATTTATAGGCAAGAAAAAACTGTGAAATAGGCGCCTAAAATAGGCACAAAAAATTCAAAAAAAGCACAAAAATAGGCAGTCTTTGGACAAAGCTAAAAACACGTTTAAATAACTTTGTACATTATGCAAAGCTTGCAGAAAAAACAGGCATTTGCCGCCTATAAATCCGCACTTTAATTTTAACCCCCAACCTTTCCTCTCCAATTTTTTCCCTTTTTACTTTTAAATTTAAATGTTAACTAATTTCCTGCACATTTTTTTCTTTTCACATATTTTATAAAAATTCTTCGACCCTTCTTTACATTTATTTTCTAATCTTTGTTCATTTTCTGTGCATTTTCTTATATTTTGTGTAATCTAAAAAAGTAAAGATCAATTTTTCTCATTTTTTTAATCCCTTCCCCTTTTTTAGATTTTGTTTTAAAATTTATTTTTTAATTGAAAAATTAAAAAAATGGTTATTCATCCATACTTTAAATCTCCAAATAATAAACTTCCTTTTGGACAAGTCTCTTTATTTAATGGATTTTTAAATGATTTAAATACATTAAATACTTTACAGCAACAACAATGTTTGTTTTTAATGTTTTGTAAAAACCAGAATTTTTATTTAAATTTAAAAATTCTAATAAAATTTGGAGTAAATTGGGGATATTTTGAGCCTAACAGACTCCTTTCCTTGACACTCTAGAAATCCGGCTTTATGAGAAACCAAATTTTTACTATTATTTAAGTTTATAGTTTATTAAAATTTTTGTTTTTCCAGTTCCAAACATTCCTCATTTCCAACAACAATTACCACAAACATCATCAACAACAACACATTCACCACAACCAATTGTTGTTTCTTTATCATCTTTGCATCACTTTCCTTCTTCATCCCCCTCATCTTCCTCTTCAATTTCGTCTCCCCAAAATGTTATTCTTCCCCCTCAGACATTTGATTGGCTTCAATTATTGGAAACAGCAAAGAGGTCCTCAACACCCTCAACACAACAACACCTCCAACAACAACAACAAAATGAACACCAATTACAATATTTTCAGAACAATCCTCTTTTGCTTGCAGCTTTAGCACAAGCTCAGCAGCAGCAACAACAACAAATGGCCGTCCAACAATTGGCTATTATGGAAACTGCGATAAAAAAAGAAATTTTTGAGGTAATAGAGAAAAGAATATTTTTAAATTTAAATTTAATTTTTTAGCTTCTCAGTGCTTCCCAAAGTCAACAGAATTTGGCACTTTTGGCCCAACGTAGTCAATTATTGACACATTTGGGTAGAATTTTATTTTTTTAATTTTTCAAATATTTTTGTTTTTAGGTAATTTACAACGTGAACAACAACATCAAAACAATCATTATATTCAGGGAACTACAAACAATTTATTGCATCAACACACAGTTAACAACAATCTTTATTGCCCTCCTCCCCCTACTCCTTCTGTCAATTCTGTTTGTTTTCCTCTATCAATTTTGTTTTCTAAATTTAAATATTTTAAAGGTAACAGGCTCTATTAACGGGTGTTCTTCCTCTTCCTCGTGTAATTCCCCGTCTTCCAATGCTTGTTTCTCTTCAATTTCTTCAGACCACCCTCTTCCCCCACCTCCCCCTCCTTTCAACTACCAAATATCTTCATCACAAATTGAAGGAGAGGAGGAGGGAATTAATTTTGTGGATTTTGAGTTTATTGAAAAACAAATTGCTGCACAAAACAATCGACTTAGCGCTGCTGAGGCAGAAGCTGTTGCTGTACTGGCTGGATTAGCTAGTTTTGGAAATTATCAAAATAAATAATTTTTTTTGAAAGACTTAAAATTTTTGTTGTTTGTTCTTACAATTTCTACACACAATTTGACTTTATTATAAGATAACCCTCAATATATAAAATACCCTCCCCCCTTTATTTAAGGTAGTAGATCCTTGTAATTTTAAAATTTGGTTGACCTATTGGGGGAGAGGGCTTCTAAAGTTTGATAACTCTATCTATACTACCCATCATTTTAAGATTCCCTCAATATAACTTTAATATTAACTTAACTTTAATTTGTCTTTATTGGTTGAGGAATGGGCGGGGGATACCCTTTATTTAATAGACCCTTCACTATAATATACAATTTTTCGCCCTTAAAGGTGTATCTTATAATAAGGTTTTACTTTTTATACTTTTGACTTAAATTTTAATTTTTTGTCAAATTAATGTTACTCCCTTTGATTTAATTGCCCTTTTATGGGATAAAGTTTTTTAAATTTAAATTAAGATGTTTTAAAAAATAATTTTATATTTTTGGGGATAAAGAAAAAAAAATCTTTTTAAAATTTAGTAAATATCCTTCAAATAAAATTGATTCTAGTAGATAAATAGAAAGAAAAATGAAAGAAGACAGGCGCGTAGTTGGACCTGTTTACTCTTTATTTGCGTCATCCTCTTCTCTACACGATATGTAAAGGATATTTTTGGTTGAGTAATGCAAAGTTTAGCATAGGGAAAATTATTTTTAGGTTATTTTAGTCTTCAACATGTATTCTAGTTAAATTTTAATAGGGAACTAGGGTGGGTGTTGTCATTTCAATTGTTGATCTACTGGATTGATAAATAAACTTTCAAGTTTATTTTAAAGTTTAATAAATAATATTCAACTTTAATTTTGTGTTTTTAGACAAACAAAGTTTTAATAATTAAAAGATGTTTGTGTTTTATTAATTGTTTTTGTGTTTTTCATAAAACAAAGTTTATTTTTCGTTAAGTTTGTGTTTTTAAGATGAAATTATTTTTGTATTTCTTTTGTATTTTTCCTGTATTTTACGAGGCAAAAATACATAATAATTTTATTTAAAAAATAGCTGCGTCCTTTGTATTTCTTTCTATTTTCTCTTCACACAATAAAATATTTTTACTGACGGGAACCCAACCAAAATTTTCTTTTCTTTATTTTTAGTCGTTTATTTTTGTCACCGCTAAATTTTTATATATTTTTTACTTTTTGTTTTACAAATTTAAAAAACGCCTCAATGCACATTTTTGCGCTATAAATTTATTTTCATTTTATTTATATATTAATTCTACAAATGTACACATACATACTTCTCTCTCTCTCTCTTCTCTTCTACTTATTTTTTAAATATTTTTTAAAAATACTACAGTTAAATTACACTTTATTTGACTAATGATTTGAGGTTATGTCTGAGGCTATTTTTTTATAAATTCGATCCATTTGAAATTGAAACAAACTGCCAACATCATGTCGCGTACATTTTTCTAGGCATTTTCTAGGCCCAGTTTCGATATAAGGGGGCAGTTCGAAAAATTTACAAAAATTCTTGTAAATTGATATCAAGTGAGAATGCAAAAGTTCAAGTTCTACATTATATACTCCCCCCCCCCCATCATCGAGATATGAAAACCCGATAAATCAAAGGAAAATCTGTGGATAAGCTTCTTTAAAAATATTTTCGACCTCTTACATGCTGATCTAAATTTTTATTTTTCTGAAAACTCTTTAAATTTTCTATTTGAAACCTATAACAGGATTAGGTACATAATAGTTTGTTTCGTCCTCCCCACTTTTTACAAGAATTTTTGTAAATTTTTCGAACCTCCCCTTATTTCGAAATTGGGAGTGATGGTCTTATACTTTCTTGACACACTACATATATGAGGAATTGTCGCTTTCAAATCGTTTTAATTAAATGCCAATTGTCGCGGCTTCAAATTTTGTTTGTTTTTGTCTCTGCACAAATTGTGAACACCTCAATAGGGATGTTCACAATTGTCACGTCTTTTTATTTTAATTATTTTTTTATTTATCTTTTTATTTTAAAAATTATCAAATTAATTTCTTTGTTAATTTTCCTTTTAAAAAATTTATTCAAAATAAATTATTTCTTCTTTTTTTATTTAATTAACAAATAAACGTTCATTTTTCCATTTGTTAAAATAAATATTTTTTTGGAGGGAGGGAGGGACGCTTCTGGTTTTGACTAAAAAAATAAAAACTTAATTTTCTGCCCTTTATCTAGAATTATATGTATTTTCCCCTTATTCCTCCTTCTTTTTATCCCTAAATTCTTCTTTTGGGAGGGTAATTACGGCGCGGACATTTTGGCGTTTTTTGAATATTATTTTAATCAATTTCCCTATCCGGCCCTTATTTTATTTGTTCTCCTTTCTTCCTTTATTTATTTAAAAGTCTATATGTCGAGAGTCAACGTTTTCAGTAATTAAGTACCAATGCCAATTCTGGGTGTTTGTACTCTAGATACTACATACTATTTCCAAATGATTCCCAAAAAAACTTTATGGGAATAGAGAGCCATATTCACCCAAAGGTAAAATACCTAACTATAGTAGGTGCTTAAAGCAAATTTGGCCTGATAGATTCTGGTGGTACCTATCGCCATTTAATCTAATTGGCGTTCTTTGACCCAATGTTTACTTTATCGGAGAAAGAAAAAAGAAAACATAAAAATGAGGGCCGGTAACAAGATAGTACCAACAATTCTTTAATCACCTCCCTCCACTTATTTCTTCCCCAGGTCTCTTATATAGAGAGTTCATTATATAGAGTTGTTAATTTCCAAGCTTTTTTAGTCCAAACATTTATTCTTTCATAAATCCACCAGACGTGCCCTTCAAATAAATAAATAAAAATTCAAGTCAGTCAGGCGCGTCCCCGAGGAATTTATTTAAACTAGGACAATTGAAAGAGAAGAAAAAGGAATTTCCTTTTAAAGGACATTGCCCTTTCCTTTATTTTTTAAGCCGTTTTTTTCTTCATTTCTCTTCATTATTTTTCTAAAATGAAGTCTGAATTCTTCAAAAAAAATATTTTTTGTTTATTTTTTAATTAAAAATATTTTAAAAATATTTTTCTAAGTTTACTTAAAATAACTGCACAAATGTCGTTTCGCAAATGTTACTCGCATAAAATAAACTTGATTAATAAAAACACAGACTTCTGGAAAATAAACTTGTTTTATGAAGAAATACAAAAATAATAAAATAAAACACAAACAAGTTTAAACTTTATTTTTAAAACTTTCTTTGAACAAAACTTTGTTTGTAAAACTTGTTTAAAAACTTTAACTATAAATACACAAACAAATGAACTTATCTAAGTTTATTTATTTGTGCTTTTAATCGAACAAAATTTTAATAATAAAGTTTAAACTTGTTTGTGTTTTATTTTATTATTTTTGTATTTTTCCAATGCTTAAATAAACTTGGCTAAGTTTATTTGTGTTTTCTTTTATTTAATTATTTTACCAATAAAACATTTAAATGATATCCAATATAATATAAATTATTTCCTTCCAACTTTATTGGTAAAAAAAGTTTTATATTTTCTTCTTCCAAAATCTTCTCTCGTTAAAACTTTTTTCTTTTAAAGTTTATTTTCTCTTCATTTTTCCCTTCTTTTTGTCAAAACTTTTCTTCCCCCCATTTTCTCCATAGGCTATTTTTTACGTCATATGGTTTTGAAGGAAGAGGGGATAAATGGGAGAAGCATTTTTGTTTGGTAAAGATTAGTTAGCTTTTCATTTTTATATTTTTTTCTTTTTTTTCCTTTTATCTGTCCAAAACTTAAGAAATTCCTTTGAGAATTTTGGCCCAATTTAAACGCCAAATTTTTTTTTGAATTTTTTTTGTTGTTGAACGCTTTTAAGCCAATTTTTAAAGAACTTTTCTCTTTAAAATTTTTTTTATTTTAAAATAACATTAATATTTTTATCCCCATATTTTGATTGTTCATATACACATGTCCTCTGGCCAAATGTCGGGACTTTATAAATTTTAATTTTTTCTTATAAATTTTTTAGTTTATTCTTAAACGGGTTTAAAATTAAAAATTAATTTTCTCCTTCCTTCCTTTCATCTTTTAAATGTCCTCTACCACCATCCCTCCTCCCCCTCCAATAGAACAAATAAATCCATTTAATAATTCACAACAACAAGACCCCCACCCCCACCACCAACAACTTTCCCCCTTACTTTCTTCTTCCTCATTTTCCTCTTCATCTTCCCCAAATTCTTCAACAGAACAGCAACAAACAGAGGATCCAATAATGACTAATTCAACTATATCTTCTGTTATTTCCCCCTCTTCTACCACTTCTGCCTCGGCTTCTTCCTCTGCTGGAGGGTCTAAATGTTCAGTAACCACAAATCCTGCTAGGAGAGCACCGGATATGCAAATGGGAAGTTAGTAGTTGTTGTGTTTTTGAGATTTTTTTAGTCAGGTGTCCCATTTATTCGCAAGGCAATATTACAGTATACAAGGACATAATAGGGTTATTGACTTGAATACATTATCATGTCTTGCGAATAAACGGGATACCAAGCTTAAAAAGTTTAAAATTAAAATTTTCTTGTTTGTAGAATGTCCATGGGTGCGTGTTTATGACAATGTAAAATATACATATTTGCTCTTTTTTTTTAATTTAAATATAAATCTAGGTAACATACATTGTCGCGGCGATAGCTCTTCGTGAAGGCAAAGAAGGCAGAGAAGTTTTACTTATGCGCGAAGCAAAAGAAAAATGCCGTGGAAAGTGGTATATACCTGCTGGACATGTTGAACCTGGGGAGACTATTGAAGTGATTTTAAATTTAGATGGCCCTGTTATATTTTGCTAATAAAGCTAAAATCCACGTTTTCCAAAAAGTTTATTGGCAAAATGTGGGGTTAGCCCTCAAAATGTGTGGACGGGCTCAAAATGAGTTTTATGCTCCCCATTTATTCGCATTTAGTAGTAATAATTTTTTTCGAATAAATGGGGGCGCGGACTTGAAAACTTAAAAGTTAATAAACTTAAAGGATGCAGTAAAGAGAGAATTGCGTGAAGAGACGGGCTTAGAATGTGAAGTACAAAGCTTGCTGTGTTGTGAAGTTAGAGGATCGGGGTGGTATAGACTTGCATTTGCTGTTAACCCGACAACTGATAATTTAAAGAAGGAACCGGATCAGGAGTGAGTTTACTTTGAAAAATAAGAACACAAAACTTATAGTTAAGTCAGATTTACTAATTTAAGCTTAAACTCTTGCAAATAAATGGGGCAAGTTGTTAGGTTAAGTTTAAGCTTGAAGTTAAGTTCAAACTTAAGTTTAAGAATATAAGTTTAAGTTCAAACTTTAATTTATGTTTGTATTTGCTCAAGTTTTATTAATTAAATAAATTTAAGCTTAAACGCGTACTTCTATTAGCAAGTGTCTAAACAAAACAATGATTTTTTCCCTTAAAAATAAAATTTCTTTTTAAAGATCGTTGGGTGCAGGTTGGCATCCACTTGCTCTAATTAGACGAAAGCCCTGTCCTCTACAATTACGTTGTCGGGATTTTTTTGAAATACTTCACCAGGCCGAGCGTTTTTACAATTGGAGAGTGTCCTCCCTTCCAAAAACAATTTCTTCTTGGTCCCCAATTTTGTGTAAAGACGAGGCGCAACCTGGGCTTTTTGCTGAATTTGTTATTGTGAGGGATGTTAGACAACCAAAGGAAATGGCTGCCAACTGTCCACAATTGACTAAACTTCCTCAACATTCTCCTCGTTCCCTTGAGTGTTTAGTTCACAAATGCATTAAGGACCAACGACAATTACTGGATGAATTGAGTTTGCCGGATGCTTTTCCTGCGGGTTTTGAAAACTTTCGAACTTTTAAGAACCCCATATTTTGCCAATAAAGCTAAAAACTCCTCACGTTTACAATGATTTTTTTGGCAAAACTTGAGTTTTTAGACTTATTGGCAAAAGATGGAATTTGCAAACGAAATTTTAAATTAAAAAAATTTCAGTTGAATTTGGCTTTGAATTCTTCCTACCCTCAGTACTCTCCAAAGTCTATCGACACGTTTTGACCGATGGACATTCTGTTTTAGAATTGCCTGAGGCGGTAACGGCCATTTGGTGTTTACCCTCTCCACAGTCTTCCGTCCGGCATGGAATTCGTCTTCGTTTAATTTGTAGGCACAGAAAGTCTGCAATGAGGGCACAAATAAATGCTCCCCAACGTTATCATTGGCTGGAGGTTGGAAAGGAATTTAATTAAATTTTTAAAAAAATTTTACAGTTGAATAGTGTTGATGTGCTAGCCTCTTTGTATTTACTGGATGACCAGTTTAGACCGAGACTTTTCCTACTTTAACTTGAAAAAAATACAAACTTATTAATAATAAAAACACAAAACTTTAAGAACAGACTTAAACTTGAACACTTGAATAAACTTGGGTAATAGTTTGGAATTCGCCCCTTTTTTCAACGTTTCCCTGACCAATTTGAGCTTTTTTGTTTGATACATAATTTATCATATATCATTCGAAAGAGGTCTTCGAGCTTGATCGAATGATACCAAGATTGACTAGATCTGATCATTCTTACCAAAATTATGAAGCTAAATCTTAGTTGCGTAAACTTTTTGTGCCAATGCAAGTGGATAAATAAACGGTCACAACTTTGTTCACTTAAGTCAGATTTCGTTGATTTTAATGTCATTCGACTCAGCTCGAAGAGCCATAAAATGAGAAAAAACTAGGGAAAAGTAGAAAGGAAAAAAGGGGGCGAATTCCAAACTATTACCTAAACTTGAAAGCATAAACTTGAAAAACACCAAACTTTATTGACCAACTTAATTAAACTTGAAAATACAAATTAAAGTTTTGTTCAAGTTTATTTTAGTTATGTTTCCTCATAAATAAACTTAAAAATTCAAACAAACTTTTAAGAAAATACAAACTAAAAATAAACTTGAAAACACAAACATTAAAGTTTACCACTTAACTTTAATAAAATAAATTTTGCCTATATAAAAAATACAATTAAACTTGTACAAAACACAAAACTTTATTCTCCATCCGTCCTCGTATTTTTTATCCAAAACAAGTTTTATATTTTTGTATTTTCGTTGTATTTTTTCATTTATTTTGTCAAATAATGTATTTCTGTGTATTTTCGAATTTAAAATTAAAAAGTTTTAATTTTGTTCTTTACAAACTTTTTCTTTTAATTTGTGTAGCGACTAACAAAAACTGATGAACGTTTAGGGCAAGGACAATAAGCTGGAAAAATTTATTTTTAAAATTAATTTTGTAATTTTTACCAGCATCTGAGCCCGGAATTCCTGGGGAGCCTTTAACTCCTCCCTTGCCAGGTGTTCCATTCGAGCCTGGCTTGCCTGCTTTTCCTGGTGGGCCTTGAGGGCCAGGCTGTTTTTTAACAAGAAAAATTTTTGAGTAATGAATCTTTGACTCACCGTTCCCGGTGTTCCATTAGCTCCTTTATTGCCAGCCTGTCCTTTTGATCCAGCTGGGCCTTTAGGCCCTTTCGGTCCAGGAGCGCCTGGGATGCCTTTAGTACCCTTTAAAATAAATAAATTTTGTTATTTAATAATTGTTTAAACTTCTTTTCCTGGCTGTCCAGGTTTTCCTGGGGTTCCAGGCTTTCCAGCTTGACCAGCATCACCAGGTGGTCCTGACATTGAAAAAAAATAAGTTTTGGATATAGTGAAGCAGCTGGGCTTTATCTATATTTCTCTCCTTTAGCTAGTGCAAAAGATTATTCGGCGGCTGGAAGCGAACCAGTTACTTCAGTATACCGGACTGATGTGTTATCAATTATATATGCTTTAGAATATTAACTATTCCTTTCTGCTACCGAAAGTCCGCAATTTCTATCCACAAAAATCTCGCGGAATTTTTTAAGACTAAAAGAAAAGAATCTTAACACAAACCTCTAGGACCAGCCTTTCCATTTTGAGCCTTGCTTCCGGGAGTTCCTGGCTTTCCAGCTTGGCCAGGTTTACCTTCCGGCCCAACAGGTCCCTGAGGTCCTTGAGGGCCTGCAGGGCATTTAATGCAAGCTGTGCTGGGTTTGGGGCATGAAACTTGAGAATAAGCCTTTGTATTGTCCTTTCCTGCAGGGCCAGGTTGTCCTGGTTCTCCGTTCTGTCCTGGTTCGCCTGGAGGGCCTGGAGGTCCAGGAGGGCATTTTGGTTTGGTTGGTTCACATTGACACCTTTTAAGTTGAATTAAATGAAATTAAAAGGTTAATTGTTTTATAGAGAACAAAATTTTAAGGAACAAATAGTTGGTTTTTAAAGGACAATTAATTGGCCTTAAGAAGTTCCCTTACATTACTAAGTCAAAGTGTTCCCTTTACGGAGGATATGATCCGCGGATATCCATCTCTAATTTCTGTGAGTAAACATCAATAATCGAATCTCAAAAATATTAATTAATTGAGATTAATCGAGATGTTCCTTTATGCTCCATTCACACTACAGAATGTTCCTTTCGCACTACAAAATGTTCCCTTCATACTACAGGGTGTTCCCTTCACATTACCAAGCAGGCAATTTTCCATAATTTTGTCGTTTTGCCCTTTGAAAAATACTTTCAAAAGGATTTTCTTCTCTAACATTAACAGATTGAGGTTTATGACGTATTTGTATATCAATTAATAAATTCCAAGCAGAATCAGTTTCAACTTTAAATATTTCAACTCCCCCTTTTACTTCATTCAATAAATTTGTTGTTTCAAAATAAATTTGTGGAAAAATAAAAATACAAGCCAAAATTGACAAAATACTTGCAAAGGTTGAACAATAAACTAGCAATTGGATATTCTTTAGTTTATCGTTATTTTTTGTGTTGTTATTAGACATCTATGTAGAAAAGGGGGAAATTAAAAGTTACCTTTTAAAAACACATATATGTAGATACACCCCCTTAAGTATCTTATACTGAATGTAACCACATTATTATAGAGAGGTTCATCCTTAACATTTTCTGGGATGTCCACTAATGTTAGTGGATGTAATTTTACATTTGCGGATATAAACTAAGGGACAACATTTGCGATCGCAACCTGAGATACGACATTTGCGGACAGAATTTTTTTCGGATTTGGTTTTCTACAAAATTAAAAATCCTTTTAAAAATAAAAATGTTTAATAAACAAGCTTATTATTTAACCATTTATATATTTTTATTTTCATTCCGCTCTATTGCATACAATTACAGGCAATATAAGAACGCCTCCTTGTATTAAAAAATGATTGAATGACACAAAAAAATAAATTCCATTTGTTTGTTGCGCGAAATTGTCAAAAAAACATTAAAAAGCTTTTCAATCCATTAAAAGAAAAAAGGAAAATAATGAGGATAAAATACTTGAAAATATTTTTAAAAAATTTAAAAGATGTTAAAATGAATTTAAAAGGTTCAAAAGGTTTTGCAACTCTTGCAACTCTTTATTTGACTTTTGCGGACATCAGGCAAAGGACGACATTTGCGAACAAACAAGGACAACATTTGCGAACAACAATAAGAGACGACATTTGCGGACGATCAGTTGTGTTCACTAAATCTAGTATGTAGTATCTATAAAAAATTACATAAATATTAAAAAAATTTTTTAGAAAAACTTTTTCTGGTTTCAGTTAACAAAACAAATTATTTTCTATATTTATTACATTTTTAACAATAAATACCTATGTAATTTGTTTTTTACTCAAATTAATTTTTATTATTTTTTTATTATTAAATTATTTATTTCCCTCGCTTTTTACAAAACAGAGATTTTATCTTATTAAAAATAAATAACAAGTTTTTATTTATTTATTTACTTAATGAAAAAGAAAATAAATAGAATAATAATATTTAAATCCCAATCCTCAAACGACATAGCAAAAAAGGGTAGGGAAACATTGTCTCAGGTACACATTTTAGGTCATAACTATTTTTAAATCTTAACCGATTTAAATAATTATTATTTTATTCGAAGGCTCTGGATATGAGGATTATTTTAGCTAAATGGATTGTTCTGACCAGATATTCTGCATAAAGTTGTAACCGTAAAGGCGCCGCAACCGTGATTTTTTATCTTTATTCGGCGGTAACTTTTATAGAATGGTCTGATCAAATCAATTTTGTTAGCTAAAATAATCCTACATACAGAGCTTTCGATTGGTATATGAATTATTTAAATCGGTTAAGAATCAAAAAAGTTAAGCCCAAATTGAAATGGCTATACTAAGACAGAAATGGCTATGACAGCCTTCACAATAAGGAAATACCAAGAGACGACATTTGAGAACATTATCAGAGGGACGACATTTGAGAACAACTAGCAATGAAAAATACTCAGAGTACACACGAAAGCTCAATTCCCGCCTTAAAGTCTTCAAATAACTTTCAATTATCTCAAAAACAGATCATTCCGTAAAAAACTGGAAAAACTAAAAGAAAAAGGGAAGCCGAGAAAAGAAAAAAATTTGAATATAAATTAGCAGATATTAAGTAGCTACTATTTCATTTTTATTTGTTTGAAGAAATTCTCTTATTTTGAAAGATGTCCACAAATATAAAGAATATCCAATTGCTAGTTTATTGTTCAACCTTTGCAAGTATTTTGTCAATTTTGGCTTGTATTTTTATTTTTCCACAAATTTATTTTGAAACAACAAATTTATTGAATGAAGTAAAAGGGGGAGTTGAAATATTTAAAGTTGAAACTGATTCTGCTTGGAATTTATTAATTGATATACAAATACGTCATAAACCTCAATCTGTTAATGTTAGAGAAGAAAATCCTTTTGAAAGTATTTTTCAAAGGGCAAAACGACAAAATTATGGAAAATTGCCTGCTTGGTAATGTGAAGGTTTTTAGAGTGAAGGGACATTTGTAGTGTGAAGGGAATGTCATATATGTAGTAGTAGGAAGGGAACATTCTGTAGTGCGAAGGGAACTACAGAATGTAACTTTTTTGTAGTGTAAAGGAACATCTCAATTGATATTTGTTCGCTAAAAAATAATTTTAATATTAACCAGGTGCCAATGTGAACCCACCAAACCCGAATGCCCTCCAGGACCAGAAGGTCCTCCCGGCGAACCAGGCACAGACGGACCACCTGGAGAGCCTGGACCTAATGGAGAAGATAATACACAGGTTTACCCACAAGTAAAATGCGAGGCGCCTGATGTGTCAAAATGTATTGAATGCCCAGCTGGGCCACCTGGCGAACAGGGTTGCCAATAAAATGAAAAAAATCTAAAAAAATACTTTTAAAGGTCCAATCGGACCGTTAGGCTCGTCAGGTCAAACAGGAGAAGCTGGAGCAGCAGGCCCACCTGCACCTCAAGGAAAGCCTGGAGAACAAGGCCCGCCAGGAGATCAAGGCCCTCCTGGCGAAAAAGGAAATCCGGGAACGCCGGGAACGCCTGGAAGTGATGCAGAACACAGTCCGGCATTGGTAAAAGAAATTATTTTTAAGTTACAATCTTCAAAAAAATCTTTTCAGCCCGGTCCAAAGGGTCTTCCAGGAGGCCCAGGCCAGCCAGGCAAAGATGGAGCACCCGGAGAAAATGGTACAATTAATTTGTAAACGAAACTTTTATTAAATTTGTCAGGTAAAAATGGAGAGACAGGCCCTGCAGGCCCGCCGGGTCAGCTTGGAGCTCCAGGATTACCCGGAATACCAGGAAAGGTTGGCGCGCCTGGGTCAGATGGATTGCCTGGAAGTGATGCTGGTATAAAATAATTAAAAATTTGAAAAAAAAATTTTAAAACTAAAAAATATTTTTCAGCCTATTGTCCATGTCCTACACGTTCAGCAGTTTTTAGACGTCAATAATAAAAAAAAATAAATTTATTCTAATAAATAATTTATTTTTTGTTAATAAATTAATTTTCATTTTGATTATACATAAAAATAGGATAATCTAAAAATCGAGTTTTTTTTAAAAATTCTGAGCCTAGATTCGGTTTTATTGAGATAGGCTGAATCTTGGAATCTATTACACAAAGCCCAGAAAAAATAGGCACAATGATGTTTCGAAACAAGAGATCTTCGAAAAGAAGGGTTAATCTCTAGGTCCATATAACACATGTCCAGTCACTACAAAGAGACTAATCTTGGTCCCCGCCAAATTTCCCGACTTTCAGGGACGGAGCCAACCCTTGCTTGATATAACAAAGTTTTAAAAAAATTAAAAAAAAACCTTTGATAAAAACGACAAACAAACAATTTTTAATTTAAAATCTTTTAATCTCAGCCAAAACAGAAATTGGTTTTTGTTCTCTTTCAATTTCCCAATTATTTTCATCATTTTCACCAATTAATTCCAAAATTGGATATAAATATTCTCCCAATAAAGAAATATTTCTTTGAATAACCAAAACCATTGATGAAATTAATTGTTTCCCTTCTTTCTAAAATTTTAAAAATAATAGAAAGAAGGAGAGATTTTCGATCCCATAACAAATAGCAGTAAACTAAAGCTCCAAATATGCAAATTATTTGGTACTTATGTAAGTACCGATTATTTTTCAAAAAGAACTGATTTTATTAGATATGTACCGCAAAAAAGTTCAAGGCGGAAATGTGCGCGCAGTCGTGATTTTCTGTAATTTATCGGCCTGTAACTTTTCCTAAATTGATCAATCCTTTTAGTAAATTCAGAGCTTTCAATCGGCTTAAAAATTATTTGAATCGGTCGAAAATTTAAAAAATTATGGCTAAATAATAGGACTTTTGCAGACAGAAGGTAAAGTCTGGTTCAGCGGGTAAATTCTCATTTAGATTTACACGTTGTGGGGGATATTATTTTTTTAAACAAAAACCTTCTCCAAAACAGCCCTATTTTCAACACTAATCATTTTTCCTTTAGTAATTTCTTCACACGTTGGAATTAACAACTTAAATAAAAAATTTTTTTTAATATTTAAAATAAAAAAAACCTTTAAAAAATCCCATAAATCCCTCATTAAAACAAAAGCTTCAAAATTGGTTGAATTAGATAAGATTTTTTGAAAATTTGACAAAATTTGAGGGAAAATGTCAGCCTTTATAAAAGTAAAATTAATTTGATTATTTAATTTTTTGCATTTGTAAAGTTGTAATGTGCTTGCGGAATATTTTTGCGGAAATGGAAAATAAATAAAACCTTCCCATTGCTCGAATTGAAAAGGCAAAACTTAAAAGAAATTGTGGAAAAGTCAGCAAAAAACAACAAAAACGTCCACAAAAATAATCCGCACCTCACAATCTTCACAAACACTAAAAACTTTAAAAACTAAAAATTTACACAAATAAAAAGTCCAATTAATTGAGTCGACCTTTGTAAAAAAGCAAAAGAAATTTTTTCTGTTTTTAATGGAGTATTTTCTAATTGACTCAAAACTGTAACAAATAAAGCTTTAAATAATGGAAGAACAGAACATAATCCAGTAAATCCAAGTTCTGATAATAAAAGTAGGAAATCGACAATAATTGGGTGTTGGTCGATAATTTTTGTTATTTTTGTATATCTTTAAAAATTAGAAAAAATTGAGTGGTGGCAAAACACACGTTTTGCCTACAAATTTATTGGGAGCAATATGGAGGTGTCCAGAGACCTAAGAGGAAAAGGCTTCAAAACATGGGGAAAAAGCTGATATGAACCATTTGAAAAAATAAAAGGTGGATAAAGGGAGTATTTTTCTAACTGATTTTTCTTTATAGTCCCCTTTTTATACAAACAGGAAATAAACTAACTGTGAAACCAATTCTCTTTCTTGCTCCCAACTATGCCAACAAAAATGTGAGGTAAGTCCATCACCTGCAAATCTATCCACAAGTAATTGACCCTAAAAATGTTCGTAAAAAACTCTAAAAAATAAAAAACCAACCAAAAATCTGCACATTCCCAAATCATAAAATTGTTGCATTTGTTGTTCTGTTGTTGAAGGAGGAGAAGGTTTTGTCGTTGAAGGCCTTGCAGAAAGACATAAACATTCAATAAAATCCAAAAATAAAAGTCTTCTAATTTGATTAATTTTAATTTCAGCATTTTCTTCTTCTTTTCCTTCCTTATTCTCTACAAATTTTTCTAAAAATCTTTTACGATTTAAAGTGCCAGAATGGGCTACAGCTGCTGCTGTTCTGTCTGTTAAAGAAGCCTGTCGAAGTTCTTGAAATATTGAATGCTAATAAAAAAAAGTTTTTAAATTAAGGTTCTCTTTTCCTTCTGCTCCCAAAACCCCGTAAATATATTCAGAAGCCCGCAAAAAATTTTCGGACATTTGAAAAAGAACTCATAAAAAAGTTAAAAAAAAACCTCGTAATTTTTATTTAAAAAATTAATCGTTTTAAATTTCGAATAATCCAAAAATGCGCCAATATGTCGACTTGATTCGTTACTTCCACAGCAATCAGAATCAAACAATTCTTGATAACTCTAAATAAAAAAATTTATAATTTAGGAACGAAATAATCGTACATATTTAATTTTGATTTAAGACTCTAAGCCAAAAGTTTGAAAATTTCTAAGGGTTAAGCCGTTAGAAATTAAATTAAACCCAGTTAATTAAGTTAAAAAGCCAGCGCGAAGTGCTGGCTTTTGCAAAACGTTCCGCCGACGCCTATAATTACGTTGTTTGTTTTTTGTATCGTAACTGTCGAAACTTGTTCGAGATTTTGGTACCATTCGACTCGACCTGATGAGCCGAGTCGAAAAACCAAAAAGCTTGCTTTGTCCGCCTATAGTTTTTCAATATTCAAGCTCTGTATCTCGGCCCATAGTCGCATAAAAATTTTCAGTCCTCCATAGAGAAAGGACGAGATACAGAGCACGATCACTGTGTCATCGAACAACCCAAAGACAATATACTTTTTTAATCCATATCTTTTGAAATAAAAGGACAGGACGAGGGATCAAAAAATTTTCAAAACAAAAAAACCTCAAAAATTTCATCCATTAAAGAACGCATCAATTGTGTTGGATCAGCACCCGTTTGTTTAATAAAAATACGTCCAGCAATAGTACAGCAACGTGCAAAGTAATCAACACCATCCAAAGACGTCCCCAATTTTTCTTTTTTTTTAATTAGGAAAAAAAAAATAATTTTTTTAAATTAAAAAAACCTTTTTTAATAAATTTTAACATTGAAACAATTAAAGCACTCAATTTAGTCAACAAATTATTTTGAAAATTTAAAGGAAGTTGGACTTGAGGAACTACAGAAAGCATTAAAGTAAAGAATGTGTTTAATACTTGAGCTGCTTCCTTTAAAAATTAATTTGATTAAAAAATTTTTTTAGAATGCTTAAATATTGGGTATTCAATGTATATTTATATTTAAAGTAACCAAAAAATTTAAAAATTAAAATAAAAAAAGGCTAAAATTTTGAAATTAGAGAGTTGATTGTAAGACGATTAAAATAAAATAATTACAGATAAAATTTTGGTATTTCTAGAAATATAAAGGAAACACCCTCCCCTCTAAAAATAAAGTAAAAATTTGCAAACCTCATTCAAAGTCCCCCCAGTAATTTTTCTTACAAGATCGGTATAATCTAACATCCAATTAAGAAGGCCTTCTTGAAGATAGCCACGAATGTCAGCAAGATTTAAACTAAAAAATTAAATAAAAAGAATTTTTTGGCATTTCTTGTATTTTCTGTTAAAAATTTAAAAAGATTTTTATGTATATTTATTCGAAAAAATAAAAACTCCCAAAAAATATCACAATTTCCCCCAAATTTTAATTAAAAATTAATTCCAAACCCAATATTTCTCAAAATCATTCCTTGTTCACTCTGTTCATTCCATTTAACAATCATTAATAAATTATTTAACAAATTTCTTTCCAAACTTATTTTATTTTCATTTTCCACTACAATTTCTTTTTTTTCTTCCAAAAATTCAGTCAATTCATTTTCTATTTTCTTTGAATCCAAAACAGCAAAACGAACAGCTAAAGTCATTACACTAAGTGAATTTACACGTTGATTTTGATTTAAATGAGGAATAACAGTTAAAGCAAATGAAAGAAAATTGGTCAACTTTTGGGAAAAAAAATTTTTTTAATTAAATAAAAGGGTGACTAGTGAAGAATGTTACTCTGATTCTACAGATTAATTAAATTGCACAAAGCAATATTTGAAGAAATAACCAAGATCAGGATTTTACCTTTTATTGACTAACTCGGGATGTATACAGGGGCCGGGTTTCAGGAGACTATAATGGGAAGGGGGAGGGGGGAGGGTGTCAGAAATGGACAGACAGGTTACCAGACACCCTCTTTTTTAATCCCGAACTAGATTCGAAGAAAATTGTGAAAATATGATTTCTACAAACACACAAAGAAATGTTAATAAAAAAAACCTCTTTTTCGTCTTTGGCAGCATGAATAAATTGAGCAAAAAGTTGTGAAGTTTGTTCATTTCCTAATAGAATACAAGCACAATGAAGTATTTTCATGTTCAATTTTCCTCTTCAAAAAATAGTATCTTATTTTAATAATCGGCAAAGTTTAAAAATTTATTTTCAAAAATATCCAAAAAAAATACCTTCTTGAAGAAATATTAAAAAAATATAATTTGCGGACAAAACTTGCGGACATTTTAAACATACCCAAAACTTTTTAAATTTTAATCCAAATCATAGACGAAATTTATTTCGTTTCTTTATTTTGTATACTTTTACTATTTTATTCGAACGAAAAATTTTATTTTTCGCCGTACTTAAGCCAAAAATTTGCAAAATTAAAAAAAACCAAAATTTACAATTGTTTTCCCTCCAAAACAGAAAATACCAATTTCCATCTAAAAAACTTGTCTTCTTTAAATTTCTGGATTGTTTCAATAGCCATAGAATCCTTTTCACATTTTGAAGTTCTGTCAGAATAAATGTGCTTTAATAATTGTGTTATTGCCTGGTCCTTTGAAAAAGATTTTTTGAATTTTTAAAAGAAAAACAACCTCAAAAGCAGAAAGTTTCTGACTCCATTCCATTGAAAAAATTTTTTAAATGGGAAAATTTTTGAAAATTTAAAATTAAAAAATTTTTAAGTGACAAAAAAAAGTAAAAAAATTTTCAAAATTAATAAATTAAAAAAAGAACAAAAAAACACAAAAACACAATTTTTATCTAATTAATTTAGTAAGCAAAATTTTTAAAATAAATAATTTTCTTACTAACTTTAATTTCTTCAAAATATATAAAAATTACAATTTAGATTTTCGTTTAAAATTTTTATTTAAAAAATCATCTTCTTCATTGGTACTACACTGGAATTTTACTAAAAGTTTTGAATTAAATAAAAAAAATTTTTTGTGATAATAATCCCTATGGATATAAGAGAGGATATAGACTAATTTTGTTTAAAAAATATGGAAATTTAAAGGGAACCAAAGGAAACTAGATTTTGAAGGCAATTGGATTTTAATTGAAAAAAATTAAAATTTGTATAGGAAGGAACCACCTCTGTGGTTCCAAAGTAACTACCAGGGAGGGTCGGGTTGAGAAAAAAGTCCGGATTTCAGATAACCCACCCTGGTTCCTAAATCACACGAAGCAACTTGTATTTCTCAAATAAATATGGAGGAAATTTAAAAGGGAAACTAGAAGAAGGAATTTTAAAGAAAATTTCCAAGTTTCTCTCCTCTCAAAAATATATTTTTTTCAACAAATTTATTTAAAAAATCGAAAAATAACCTTTTCCTTATTTTCACAACTTTTCTCCTCTGCTGGAATGCTTGTTTTAATAAAAGTAAGAGTATCAGCAAGCTCTTGTGGAGTTGTCCCGTGTTGACATTGATAAGGAATTAAAGTTACTTTGAAATTAAAAAATTTTAAAAATTAAAAAAAAAATAAAAAAAAACCGTTTGGATTAAATTTATGTATTTCCTGATAAGTCAGTTGACCTAAAAAAAAATTTAATTTATTTTCTTATGCTCCTAAAAATCCGCAAGTTTTGTCCGCAAGTTAAATTTTGTCTACAAGCAAATTGTACTCACAAATTTTATAAAAAGGAAGACTTTAATAGAGAGTATTTAGTAGAGATCGGACTGGAACTGTTGCGCAAAAACAGAGATTCTCAAAAAAAAATGAAAATTTTTGATCGAAATCTCTTCTCTATCCGATCTCTAATATTTGCACTAGGAACAACAACTGGTCGTTCATTGCAGAGGATATTCTTAATAATCTTAATAAATGACTTGCGGATTAAACTTGCGGATAATGGAAAAGATAGCGGGTGGCAAATAAAACCTCAAAAAAAACTAAAAAAAATACCAAAGCTATAAGGAACAAGAAAATCGTCTTGCCCATGTCCTAGGAAAACAGGCGTTTTCAAATTTGCTTTGTGATCCTAAAATATAAAAGAAAAATATTTGAAAATATTTAAAAAGAATCCTTACCCCTGGTAATTTACTTCTCTGGATTAAATACCCACTCAACGAGATAATACATCCAAGAGGTTTGTCGAAAGTCAATCCCGCCTAAAAAATTAACATGAAAATAATTTAGAATTACAGTTGGAGGAATTGGTGAACGAAAAGTGGAGGAACTCAAGCGATCTCTGTTTTCAAAGCAATACCAGGAGTAATAGGTAACCCAATTTTGGTAAAAAAATTCCGTACCAATGGATATAAAATTGAGGTCAGACTCAGGCCCGTAACCAGAGGGGTGGGGCGGTTGGGTAATGCCCCCGGCCCCCGAAATGGGGAAAATTTTCAGGAGGGAATTGGGCAAAAAATTAAATTTTAAGCCTAAAGTCTTCCAAGATTCCCAAAAATTTTAAATTTTTGGCGCCGAGATCGATCCCTCTGGCCCCCGAAAAGAAATCCTAGTTACGGGTCTGGTCTATTGTATACTAGATCAATAATTCAAGTATGACTCATTTTCAAAATAAACTTGCATATAAAGCCAAAGCTGCGCCCATTGAAAATCCTCCAATAGAAATACGTTTAGGAGAAATTCCGTCTTCAATTTCTTTATTAATCAGTCCATGAACATAATCCTTTGCAAGTTCAATGCCTTGCTCGTCCTTAAAAATATTTTTATAATCACATTTTCCTGACCATTTTGAGATTTTTTTTATTTTGACTCTTTTATAAAGATTTCGTTTCTTTTTTATTTTTATGAAAAAATTTAAATAAAAAGCTTAAATGGTCAGAAAAGAGAGGTATGGACCAAGAATGTTAATAAGGAAAGGTTGTGAAGTGACCGACCTAAAAACGTTCGAACCGGGTTCATTCGATAGAGAATGAGCCCGTGACATCCCTGGTATTAACCAAATTATTATCAAAAAAACTTAAAAAACCTCTGCAGAGTTAGCAGTCAATCCAAGGATATCATACCATGCAGGCATCCGCATACCAAAATTTAGAGTTACTGGCCGACTTTGGGCATTTGGGAAAATATATCTTAAAAGGTTTTATTCTAAATAAAAATATTAAAAAACTAAACTTTATATACGGCACTCGCATTTCTTCTTTAAAAACACTTGCCCAGCCATCTCCTTGATCTCCCAATCCGTGAAAGAAAATAAGCTTAAAAATAAAGATAAATTAAAAATAAAAAGATAATTTTAAACCGTTGAAGTGTGCTTCTCAACTGAACGAAGAATTATTGGTGGAGCAACTGTTGAGGCTGCCATTTAAGTTTTTTGAGCCTAAAATATTTTTGTTTACAGTAAATTACTAAAAATTTAAAATTGAACAAGAAATGTAAAAAAATGATGACTTTTTTTTTAAAATCATCATTTGAAAAAAAAAGATAACATCGTGTTAACATATTTTGTCAATAAGGCGAAAAACCATACGAGGGCCCTAACTCACGCCCTAACGGCCGCATCCTTATGGTCACGTCCTTATGACAACACAAAAAAGTCGAAGACTCCCTCACAACTCCTCCGATATCCCTCCAAATTACCCACTATATCCCATAATCCTCCGATATACGTCACTTACAGATTCCCCACTAACGTTTTGTCCACTGACCGATAGTCCACTGACGCATTGTCCGGGAGACCACTGTCGACGTTTAAAAGAATATTTTTAGGAAATATATAAAATGGTCAGTAACTATGAATATCATAAAAGGTCCAAATAAAGGGAAATTTCTAGCTCGTAATGGAGAAATATTAAATTTTACAATTCTTAAATTTAGTTTAAAAAATGTTGTCAAATTTTAATTCAAAATCAGTTTTACATTTTCCAAAAATATTTACTTCTCTCAGATTTTCAACTGCTGATAATACACAAAATAAAAGTTTAATTAAAAAAGAATCAAAATTTGCTGAAAGGCCATCATCAGGCCCGTAACTAGGATTTTTTTTCGAGGGGGGGAAATTTGCTTGCGCCAAATTTTTGGCGCCGAAGGCGCCAAAAATTTTTATTTTCAGCGCCGCAGGCGAAAATTTTTTTAATTTTAGAAGGCCGTAGGCCAAAAAAATTCACTTTTTCGGCGCCGCAGGCGCCAAAAATTTGATTTTCAGCGCCGCAGGCGAAAATTTTTTGAATTTTGGACCTCAAGAAGCCAGATTTCGTCCTTTTTTAGCGCCGCAGGCGAAAATTTTGAAAATTTCGAAGGCCGTAGGCCAAAAAAATTCACTTTTTTGCCCCAGCCCTTCCCCAAATTTTTTCCTTTTTCCCATTTCGGGGGGGGGGGGGAATTCCCCCCCCTCACCCCCCCCCTGGTTACGGGCCTGGCCATCATCATTTACTATTAATTCAGAAGACAAACAAATTCAACAATTTGTTAGAAAGGATTATAAAATTAATAATAGAGAACAGGTTGGCTTTTTAATTTTAATAAATGGCTACATTCCTGGCAATAAAGAACGAGAGTTTGGGAGGGGGGGGGCTTTGCTTTGGGCTCGGTTTAACTGGAACTGATCCTGAGCCTCTAATCCGGAAAAATTTAGGAAGCAGAAAAACAGCTCTTAGTGGTTTTATAAGTCCAATCAAAATTTCTAGCGGGCCCTCAGCTAAACTAAATCCAAACTCTTTATACTTTTTCTGCATAAATTTCTAAAATAATCCTTTTCTTCCTTTCAAGTTTGGCTCTCTCAGTAAAAATATTCGAATGCCACAAACAGAAAAAGTCAAAACAGGATTTCAATCAAATATTTGGGACAAAGGAATTGAAGTTATTCGGTTTGTCAAAGAACGTGAAAAAACTTTTCGCGAAAAATTGGAAGACGATTTTTGTGAAGGAAGGGCTGTACAAGTAGAGGAACCTTTATATGTTACTTTTAAACATGCACTTAAAAAGGATTTGAAATTGAAAAGGATGAGGGCTGAAAGGAAGAAGGATGCAAAAGAACAACAGGTTTATTATTTTGAGGGTTTATTTTTAAGTTTATTTTCGAGCGGAGGGGGGAGGGCCTCGGGAAAGTTTTTTAAAAAGTTCACGCCCACACGCGGGAAGTCCGCAAAATTTTTGCGGACTGGAAAAAGTCCAAATAGAAAAGTCCGTATCTTTTTTTGGAGAAACCCATCACCAAATCAATCTTCGAAAATACTTTTATGAAAAATCCTCACAAGGAACCATATCGAACTGTCAGGAAAAATTTTCAAATAAAAATTATACCATCGTGTAGAGCATGGAAAAAAACCTCATACGTATTTTTTCTTTTTTGGCCCTAACCCCCATTTCGAAAAGTTATAGGGCTTCAAAGTTTTCGAATTTTGGAGCGGTTGAGTCGCCCTAACTTTTCTTATTATTTGCTTTCCAAGGAGAAAAATGAGACTCCTTTTCTCCATTTTTCCTTTCCTTTTCTTTTCACATGTTTGTTAAAGAAAGAGAAAAGGAGGAGAGAGAAAAGAAAAGGAAAAGGCTACTCTGCCTTTCTTCCATTGCGGATTAAAAACGAAAGAGGAGACGGCAGAGTAGCTTTTCCTTTTCTTTTCTCTCTCCTCCTTTTCTCTTTCTTTAACAAACATGGGAAAAGAAAAGGAAAGGAGAAAAGGAAGATGGGAGTCTTATTTTTTTCCTTAATAAAAAAAAACTTTCTCTTTATGGGGGCGACTCAACCGCTCCAAAATTCGAAAACTTTGAAGCCCTATAACTTTTCGAAATGGGGGTTAGGGCCAAAAAAGAAAAAATACGTATGAGGTTTTTTTACATGCTCTACACGATGGTATAATTTTTATTTGAAAATTTTTCCTGACAGTTCGATATGGTTCCTTGTCAGCACCCCCCCCCCCTCTCTTAATAAAAAAAATAGGTTATGAAGATGGAGGTGCCCTTTCTGCGGACTTTTTTTTGCGGACTTTTCTTCCTATTTTCAGGCCTCCAGTCAATGATCACCACAACCAGTTCAAAAGCACAATTAAACACAAAATTATAAAATACAGGGTGCGGCAACTTTCCCGCCCCTTTTGTTTTTGCCATAACTTTCTTTAAAATTGATGAAAATTGATAATTCTTTTTTTATTCTATTACCAACACTCTAGGAAAATTTTTGATGCTAAAATTTGTTTTAAATTTTAAGGTTTAGCCTGCTTAATTTTCCTTCAAAGTTTGAGTAAAATTTTTTTCATAAAAGTTGGCCTGTGCTCAATATTAAGATTTCTATATTTGAAAACTTTATGTCATTCGAATAAGCTCTTCAAACTGATTCGAATAATGGTTAAACAAAACTCTTATCTAGTCCATGAGCTGAGATATGAATTTTTAAAGATAAATTAGAATATAAGTGTTAAATTTCAATTTTTTAGTCGAAATTTTCAAAAATGTTTTTCTGGGATATTTCGATGCTCCTCAATGAGATAAGTCGATTGGTACCAAAATTAGTAAGATTGGACGACTTTGAGCAAAGTTATGACTGTGTAAACTTTGTCATAAAAAATGTTTTTTACGCATTTAAATGTTCGGACGGGTATATCCTTACTAAAACTTAACTAAATTTCAATTGGTTGGTACCAAAAATTTTCCTAGAGTGTTGGGAATAAAATAAAAAAAGAATTATCCATTTTGGTTGACTTTGAAAAAAGTTATGGCAAAAACAAAAGGGGCGGCCAATTTGCCGCACCCTGTACATATAATTATTTAAAGTATTTATTTTTAAACATTTAAATTTTTATTTAAAATTGAGGTAAATTTCCCCATTAAAAAAGACAAAATTAAAAAGAAAAACAGAAAAATTAAAACAATACATTAAAGAATTTTTTTGGGATTTTATATTTAAAAATTTTATGTTGCCACACAAATTTTGTTCTGTTAAAGTCCCGCTTCGTATTCTAAACCAAAATTTTCCAATAGGCTGGTATCTACTTTGAAATGACCTGAAAAATTTTTTGTGAAAATCTTTTTGAAAAAGTCCGCAAGCTTTATCTGCAAGTCATCTATTCTTTAGGGTTTGACATTTTCAAATTGCCAGGTCCGGTAACCGGGGTTTTTCAAACTGACCCGAGGCGGGGTCAGTTTGAACCCGACCTGAAAACCCTTGACCCGGTCAGTATTCCAAACAGTGTCGAACTCTATTTTTTGATACATAGATTTGCGGATAAAACTTGCGGACTTTTTGTAGTATACAGGGAAAATTTTGGCTGTATCGGAAAATAATGCCGGCATCCAATTTTTCCTTTCCTCCTCGAACGGGGGAGAAAAAGTTAACTTTTCAGCTGTAGTTTAGTAAACCGGTGGTAAGGTAACTTAGTCCAAACTTATTCAATCACGGTGATTTTGGTGTCTTTTAACTCTGTGGACCTTGATATAGGCCCCCGAAAATTGAAGAACTACAGGGGCGAATTTTGGATAAAAAAATTCGAATATACAAATGTTAGTTCATTCGAAAGAGCTAGTCGAACTGAGTCGAATGACACCAAAATCAACGCGATTTAACAAGTTTATACAAAGTTACATTACCACCGGTTTACTATACTACAGCTGAAAAGTTAACTTTTTCTCCCCCATTCGAGGAGGAAAGGAAAAATTGGATGCCGGCATTATTTTCCGATACAGCCAAAATTTTTGATTGATTTTAAAAAGAATTCAAAAAAAAATTCCCCTTACCATTTTCACCCCATTGCTCTCCAAAGCTATTTGCAGCTATCCAATAAAGTCTATCTTCTTCATCATGCCCCCAACCTATTAATCGAACAACATGCCAATATATTATTCGATTTTCAAAATCTTTTTCTGGATATGGGTGGAAAATACCTAAAAAAGAAATAAAATTCAAAAAATATTAATTGTCCAAAAAATTCTTACTAAACAATTCTAAACGTGAATTTTTTTTAGATACATTTTAAATTATTCTAGTATGGTTTATGCTGGCCTGAAACCTCGCATCCTATCAGTTAATATTTCTAGTTGAGAAATTTTTTGTCCGCAAAATTATTTTGTATTTTGCGGACACATTTTCACACTTGTTTGTGGACATATTTACCTACATTTTCGGACAAACCATTTTTCATTAAGAAATAAAATTATTCACAAACCTGAGTCATAATGAAGGAATTCTTCGGTAAGTGGAAGTGCTAAAGTTGTCGGTCCAACAGTAATAAGTTCTTTTCGAATAATATTTCTAATCTTAAAAAAAATTTTTTATTAAAATAAATTCAAAAACCTTGTCTCTGTCCAAATTTCCTTTTAAAGTTTTATTGAAATGACCAATTACGGAAGGTAGCATTACTCGTTTATTACCTGCTTGGTCAATACTCATTTTTCGTGGGAAGAGTGTATAAGCTATTGAACCTAAAAAAGATGGAAAATTTTTTGCGGCAAAACTTGCGGACAAAACTTTGATCCCCTATTTATAAATTGGAATAAACTATCAAAGGATGTCATGACTCAAGCATACCAAGTCTGTACCACGATTTTTCCAAATTTTTATGTGGGTAGAAGCAAGGGCGTAGCCCGGGTGTCGATTTTAGGGGAGCTAAAATGTGGTGTGCGCAAAAATTTTGGCAGTTTGAACGCTGGCAGTTTGAACGCAAATTTTATTGTACACATATTTTTATTTTTTCAGCGCCGCAGGCGAAAATTTGGAGAATTTTGAAGGTCGTAAGCGAACCAATTTAAATTTTCCCATCATCTTTCTCCCAATATCTTTCCCTTTTCCCCATTTCAGGAGTGGGGGCTATAGCCCCAGAAGCACCCCTGGCTACGCCTTTGGGTAGAGGTCAAAAGTGGGTCGAGATCGCATACAGGATTTTCTGGAATCCTGCCCCATTTCCTATTTTATTTGCATTTTTCAATTTTTATTCATGCTGAACTCCGCCACGTTCGAAACTTTTTTTATCTAAACTTGTAACCCTAAAACTGTAGTTTTACCGACCATTAGTGAAGAAAATTTTTCGCGGACAAAATTTGCTATAAACTATATCCAGTATCAACTCAAGCACCTTATTAGGGAGGGATTAAATTTATATATTATACAATGACTAACCTTTTTGTTTGTCCTCCTCATAATTTATATTTCGATAATAACCAGGCTGGCATTTATCTCTTCGGCAAAAACGTTTTTGTTGTTCAATTCCATATACTTGAGGACTGCATGGAGTGCCACATTCAGCGTTGACTGTGTATGGATGACAGCCATCTGGACCTCCAGTCACAACACCTTCTAAAGCCCAATAGACCATTGCTTTTAAAGGATCTCCTCCAAAACAATTTCCACAAACAGAACAACATTCAATTACATCAAGTGCTGATAATTGTGATTTTTTCGTTCCGTTGCTGAGAATGCATGTTCTGTCAGCAGCTACAGTCATTGCAGCAACAGCCTTGAAAAATAATTAAAAATTAATTTTCAGACAAAATTTGCGGACAAAAATAAAAAGATATCCTTACATAACAAGAGCCACAACCACCTTGATTTGGAATTTGGTGAATACTTGGACATAATGACCATTTTTCCCGAGCATCAAAATGTCGAGGAAGCTTTGAATCAGGAAAATCTTCCAATTCTCTGTTGAAGATTAAATTTGTTAGGATATTACAGAAAAACAAAAAATTTTACAGAATTAATTTTTGCGGATAATATTTGCGGACAAAACAATTTTACGGACTTTTTCTGTTAAAAAAGCATCAAGTCCACAAAAAGCATCGCCCTTGCCCATTTGCAAAATTTTCTGTCCGAAAAATCATTTGCGGACAATAGGTAATTGCTGACAAAATTGTAAAGGATTTTTGCGGACTTTTTCTAATTTTTCTAGTAAAGACAGAATGAAAGAAATGAGGAATTTTTTTCGGAACTTTTTTCAAATAAAACCCTTTAAAAATAAAATCCCCTTACTTTAAATGTTCCTTCATTCTTGGAGAATCAAAAAACCTTTCCAAATGTGCAACATATTCTTTTATTGCCGTCAAATTTTTTAAACTTTTGTGGCTAAAATCCTGAACACGAATGCCAAACGGGTTAAAACGAGCTTTCCATCTAACATCTGATGAATTGTTAATTGTATCTACTAATCCTTTTAAATATTGCGTTTCTTCTGTTTTTGCTCTTCTTTTTGCCTCACTCATCAAAATCATAAAGAGAATGAAACTACCAACGATTACAGCTAAAATTTAAAAAAGGTTAGCAGCCTACATTTTTTGGTTAAGAGCATTTTAATCGACACATTGGGGACAAGTCCTACAAAAAATCAGTCCGCAAAAAATTGCGAACAAAGTTTTTTGTCTGCAAAAAAGATTGTCGACAAATTTTTGTCCGCAAACAAAAATTTGTAAATAGGGTTTGTAAATAGGGAATAAATAGGGTCAAAGTCTTTTAACTACTAAAATAACAAAAAAACAAACCAGTAGCCATCAGTAAAGCAGAAAGAACCCCAAAAATACAGCGCCAGCGACGTTTTATAAAAAACCCAACATTACTAGAAGAATTATCTTCTCGACGTCGCTCTGATGGAGAAATGAAATGAACACCGGCAGCAGTTGGGGAGCTTACATCTTGACCGGAAGGAGAAGACTTCATTGTTTTAACATTATTTTTAAAACAGTTGGAGGAAATAAAACTGTTTTTGTTGTTGTCGGATGAAGAAGAAAAATGAGGAGGGCGATCTGAAATAATAAATAATTTTTATTGTGTATTTTTTTAAAAGCGAGAACCAAAAATAATATTTCTAAAGGATAAAAATAGCTTTAAAATAGAGATATAATAAAGGAAATGTTAATTGATAAAAAAAATGTGGAAAGCATTTGCGGACAATTTTTCCAAAACAAAATTTGCAGACAAAAAAATTAGCGGATAACCTTCGCAGATAATGTTTGCGGACAACTTTTGGATAATATGTACAAGGGCAACATTTGCGGCTAACACAAATTGTCCGCAAAAATGTGATTTTCTCTAAAATTTCTAAAAATTTTACCCGATGATTTTCGGTTATTTTAAATGACCAGAAATAAAATTTAGTTTAACAATAAACACATTATTTATATTAAAAAGAAGAAAAGGACCCCAAAACCATCTGGACATAAAATAATAAATTTATGGGTACCTCCAAAAAGTGTTTATTTATTGTTAAATGTGTTAGAGACAAAAACAAAACACACATTGAAAAAAATAATAAAAATATATTAGCTAAAGAGAGAAAAGAAGTGTGCCTATTTTCCTTCCAAACTAGGCAAGTGTGACAATTTCATCACGAGATGCGTTCCAAGAAATTTACTTATTTTTATTGAATAGCTTTTTTATCTGTGTGGGAATATTTTAAATTAATGAGAATATAGACAAATAAAAATATTTTGGAAAATTTTTGTGAGAAAAATTTTTAGGGTAAAGGGCAGAGATGTCAAGCAATCGAAAAAATTTTAGACAAAAATTTCAATTCGCAAATGCAAGCAAAATTTTGGAAAAGTTAGCAAAAATTCTCAATAAATTTGCTGAAAGCCCCAGTCTGCAAAAAAGCTGCGGACAAACCTAGTCCGCAGAAAAAGATTTGCGGACAGCACAATTACCTAAAAAAATATTAATTTCAATAAAACGACCATCCCTCACCCACCAACAGGCTTTGTAAATGTTTTAAAATATAGGTATATTCTTCGTTGTTGTACAACAAATAGGAAATAGATAAATTGTGTATTCTAATACCTTCACAAAATTTTTGGACTAAAAGAATGGACAACAAAAAGATGTTTCTTCTCCCTCTCTGTTAGCGCCGCGCGAATTGTTTTGTTGTTTTTTGTTGTAAAAAACAACAAAAGAGGAGAGAAATGTGGACAATAAAAACAGAGGAAACTAGTAGATAATTTTTGGGAGGATAAACGAGTTAGTACATATATTTTAGTTAAACAAAAAAAAATTTCTGGAGGTCGTTGAATAGATAATTAGAGTAGACACAAATTAAAGGAAATATAAAAAAAAGTTTTATCCCTATCCCCTTCAAATCGCTCAGTAATGACACGAAACCCGGACAATTAAAAAAACCAAACCTTCAAGCTGGTCATGTTCCCTTTCTCCACAATTAAGTCTATTCCTCATCCCAAGCACTTTTTTCAAAAAAAATTTAATAAAAATTTAATCAACCATTTTGGAATTCTCCTAAAATCATTTTCTTAAAAAAATAAAATTTAAATATGATTAAATATCAAAAAATTAATTTAAATATACTAAATTTGAATTTATTAAAATTTCTTTTAAATAGTAAGTAATTAATCAAAAAAGCATTTTATATCTATTGTTCGATAGTTGGACCTCACTTGTGGACTTCACCCGAAACCCTTTTCGAAGAAAATTTTGAAAACCCGATTCGAAACTCGACTCGATTTTTTCTCAACCCAGCGCCACCTCTGCTTACAAGAGAGGCCATAACCTTAAAGTGAAGGGCGTACTTACAAGTGAGGGTTTTCTATTTTTAAATAAAATCAACAAACTTAGATAAACATTCAATATTTAATTAACATCCTTTTTAATATTTGTATTTGATCATCCCAGGATGCACAAATTTCCTCCATCAAGCATTCATTTCTTCTTGCAATAAGGGCATTTTCAAGTTTCCTCAAAATCGATACAATTAATTTTATTTCTGGACTAGTTAAAATTCCTTCTTCATCATATTCATTTTCTTCATCAGAAAAAAGATATTGACTCCAATTTGATCTGAAAATAATTTTTTCTGATTAAAATATCCTTCCAAAAATCCGCAAATTTTGTCCGCAACTTTTATTTTTATGACAATGAAAGTTTCAGTCCTCCGAATTTTGGATATAGATGTGCCTATTCGAACGAGTATTAAAAATTTACCCAAAACTGTGTTGCGGAAAACAGTTTTGGGTAAATTGTACCCAAAACTGTGTTGCGGAAAACAGTTTTGGGTAAATTGTACCCAAAAATGTGTGACGATGTGGAAAGCAGTGTTTTTCAAAAAGTTCTAATACCGAAAATAAAGGTATTTTTTAATAAGTGTTTTTTAGTAATCAGAAAGGTTTTACAAAAAAGAGAAGAAAGAAGAGAATGTTTTGAAGGATTTTGAAGGGAATCAACAATATTTGTAGTAAATTTCAAAAAACTAAAAAGACGCATTGAAATTTTTTACTTGTGGAAAAACTTGCGGACTTTTCTTGTGAGAAGAAAAGAACCAAACAAACAATTTTGATTTTTTCATCAATAAAATAGAAGAATTTTTACGAAGTGCAAAACTCGGAATTTCATCAGTTGCATAAATTGTACTTAAAAATTTATCAGAATTAAGTTAAATAAAAATTAAAAATTTTACCAAGGTAGACGAGCCTTTTTAAGAATTTCTCTTCTTGCTGATTCAACTTTTTGTCCACAACGTTCAGCTAAAACAACGAACAAATCTAAATTAGAAAGAGTAAAAAGTTGAAGTTTCCAATTCTTTCAATTATTTAAATGACATTTTGTAAGAAAAGAAAGATGGTTCTTGGAAACGGAACGTTTGGAACCGCTGTTTTAGATGTCTCAAAATTACCTCGTTTTATCCGCAAACAAAAATCTCTAAAATTGAATTTGTCGGACTGCGATTTGTCACGAAAAAATTTATAACCAAAAAACAAACAAACCTATTGAAATATTCACACGATTAAAAGGATTCTCCAAAAGTCTAAAACCATATTCTATCCAAAGTTGGTCATTATTATGAGCACCATAACAGAAAAATCTATTAATAAAAATATAAAAACTTGAAAAAATTTCTAAAAAACAATTGTTGTCCAGCCACAATAGAATGGTGCTCTGCGATAACTTTGAAGAAGCCCATCTTTTTGTCGAAAAATGGGACACACTAAAAAATGATAATAACAGAAGTCTGCGGACAAAGCTTGTAGACTTTTTGGGAGCCTGGAAATCTTGCTAACTTCGGTAATATTTTTTAGTATGCCCGTAATACCAAACCAACGACAAGCGATGATATTCCAATAAAAGGGGAAGCTTGGGGGAATGTTTTAAGCAATTTGGTATTTATTTGGTATTACGACGTAATTTCCTCTTAACTATATTTCGGCAGCATTTATAAGTTTATAAGTCACAATATTTTGCTATTACGGCCAAAAATCTGCAAACCCTAATCATCAATAAATTGAAAATAAACCGAAGCATCAGGACTGTGGTTCAACATATCAACCAAAGGTACTAATGCAAGTGAGCCTCCAAAATTTTCTTCATCTATTTTCTTTTTTGAGCAATTCTTCTGATTTTTATCATAACTTTTTTGTTTATCAACCGAGTGTAAAGACAAATTTTCGGTAAAAATGCTTCTAAAAATTAATTAAAAATTTAAGAAATTTAAATAAAACCTTGTATTAACTATATGCCATGCCCAACAACAAATTTCTCTCCAAAAAATTATCGAGTCTTGAGAAAGTTCTTTAGCAATTTGAGAAGCATCCTCCTCGGATGAATTAAGAAGCAATTTAAAAAACTGAAAAAATGTCAGAAATTGCTTGAAGAATTTAAATGTTTGTGAACATTTCCCTCGCCACCCGTTTAACAGGGAAAGTACACAAAAATATTGCAGCCAACATTCACTTGACTTCAGTTGCCAATCGCTTCCGGAATGTCAAGCGATTGACAGTTGTGACATTCGTCAAAATGTCGCTAAATGGAATAAAACAAAGATATCGAATCATAGTCCCCGGACAGAAATTAAAATTTAATTAGAAACCTTTTCTTCAAAAACAATTAATTCATCCAATTGTCCTAACAATTTTTCTTTTGTTTCAATAGGCAATTGACAGGCAATTTCTTTTATTTTAGCCTGTCCATTTTCTTTTAAATAATAAATAAATAACGGAGTTGAAAAGTTTCTTGGAAGAATGCCTATATACGACTTCCACCTAATAAAAATTCTTTAAAAATGGCCCAAAAATTTGCAGACGAAAAATTTATCCGCAAAAATTATTGCGGACAAAAAATTTTTTTGAAATTTTTCTGAATAAGTTTAAAAACCAAACCAAAAATCGCTTTCATTTCGTTTTTCATTCATCAACTTTTTCCTACAATCCAAAAACTGTTCAAATCCATTGGGCATTTCCAATGTCCACTGCACAAAATAAGCAGTCCCATCGTTTAAAGACCCAAATTGTTTGCAAAAATAATCAAGATATACCCGTTCAAAAGCAAAGAAAAGAGCTAACAGTTCGGAAAAATCAAAAACAAATCTTTAAAAATTGAATAAAATTATTTGCAGATGAGGAAAATATCCGCAAATTCAACAGAAAGACCGGTGCTTGAAAATTTTCGATACTTGCTGGGATTTATTAGACAAATATAGGTGAACAAAGAAGCTTGAGTAAGAGAGAGGTAAAAAGTTTAGCCCCTGGCAGACGCGATTTACTGGTAGGCAAAGAGGAGCTTTCGTTCACCCCTCCACACTTACAATTATGTTTTTACAAATGCAAGCTACCGAGGAGTTATTTCACCTTCTTTTTTTAATAAATCTCCGTTCCTGTTTCCTTAAAAAACTAACAAAAATTAAAAAAAGAATTGCTTTTAAAGAAAAAAATTCTTTCGGACAAATTTTACGGACAGAACCCAAATAACTGAAAAAATAAAACAGTCAAATAAAAACCTGTTTAATATATCTGAATATTCTTTAATATTGGACACAAAATCTGCAGTAATAATATATTTTTCTGGAATCTGAAAAAGTAAAACTTTAGAAGAACTTATAAAAGAGTGGATTGTTCTTCAGATTTCTTTTGCAGATTTTTCCACTATATGTCTCTGTTTCCCTTTAGTATTCGATTATTTAGAGAGGATTATAGGACCGAGATTATTTAAAGGATTAAATGGAAATGTTGCGAAATACATACAATTATTTGAAAAAAAAACTTTAATAGGAAAAAAAATCGAAAATAGGTGAAAAGTCTGCAAAAATATTTGCAAGACTCCATATTTTAAAAAAGCGAAATACGAAAGGGAACAAAACGAAATTAGATCTAAAAATCAAAACACGAAAGTCGAAGCTCCAAAAAAAGACGAAAATCGGTAAAAGGCGAAACACGAAACTGCCACACACCCATGCTCCCCAAATCCCAAAACTTTAAAAAAACATACCTTAATCAAAACTTCATTTAATCTAACATTCTCTTTTGCAAATAACCCATAACCAACAGATTTGTCAATCAAACAAATATCCACATTTGAAAATAAAATATTTCCATCACTTTCCAACCATTTAATAAAATCATTCATAACTTTAAAATTAAAAACATTTTTTGACCCTATCTGAATAAGAGGGCGCTTTGATTTTTTCATTATTTTTTCCTACCTTAATATATAAATAATGGTCAGTCTTTTCTTTCGCGTTCAATTCCACTCTTTTTACCTGTGGCATATTCAAATGAGAGGACAGACAAAACATGGACGGATTCAAAGAGGAAGAAAAGACTGACCACGGACGGACTCGGACAGACAAAACACGGACGAACACAGTAAACAAAACACGGACTAACACAGACAGATAAAAGACGGATGAACACGATGGCACAAAACACAGACGGACACCGACAGACAAAACACGGGCGGACTCGGACAGAAAACGCCCGTTTATTGTCTGTCCGGGTGTTTGTGCTTTGTCTGTCCTCTCATTTGAATATGCCACAGGTAAAACGAGTGGAATCGGACTAGGAAGAAAAGACTAACCATTATTTATATATTAAGGTAGGAAAAAAATGATAAAAAAATCAAAGCGCCCTCTTATTCAGATAGGGCCCATTTTTTTCTCTCCCTAAAAAATAAATAAAATGACGAATTAAAAATATTTATATTTTAGATCTTTGATGTAAATTTAACCAGAAAAATCTCTAGAGTTATACGACCCTTTATATTACGGACCACCATGGACCAAAATGTCAATCAAACAAATATCGCTTACGTCATATTGTCTTGCGCCAAAACGCCCGTTAGACTAACCCATAAGATCACCACACTCTTCTAGTGGTGATTTTATGGGTCTATAGTAAGTTTCACCCTTTAGATCACCACTAAAACACAGCGTTGATCTACAGGGTCGGACTTGAGATTTTATAATGCCAGCTTTTTTGTCTTGTTTTTTATTCTATTTTAGGATTTAATAAATCACATATATTTTATATTTACTATAACTTTTTTTTATCCCATAAATATCTTCATTAATCCAATATAAAATCGATTCTCTTTTTCCCTTTTCTTTCCCGAATGCGTCGACGTGATTTTCCCTTTTTTTAATTTTTCTATTTTAATGATTGCAAGCGAGAAAAGGGGGGTTATAATATTAAAATAGCGTTGTTGGCAAAAAGCCTTTGAAACGTTCTCATTCACACATTTTTGATTTTATTTGTTGGAAAGTTTTTTTGCTTTAAAAACGATTTTCTATTTGATTTAATAATTTTTACCGTTTCGAGCCACAAAATCTTTTAAATTTCTTTTGGTAAAATCCAATTTCGTATCCCACCCCCCTCCTCTTCCTTTCCTTTCGCATTAGAAAATGGTTAGATCTGCTACCTTCCTAGTAACTCTACGCCTTAAATGTCCCGATCTGGTTTTTAGAACCTTGCCAAAGCTAAGTGCATGTACCCTACACTGCCTACATTATTCCCAAAAAGCTTTTAAATGTGTAACAGTTCTATTAATCCAAAATTATGATAAACAAACAGAATACCGGACAATAGGTTCTATAAAGCAGAACGGGTACTTAATCGAATAGAGTAAGTCTGACCATTTTGGTACTTTGAGGAAGGAAAAGATGGAGGGGGTACGGAGTTGTTTTTTTTTGTTTTCAATTAGAAATGTTTTAACAATTTCCTTAAATATTTACATACATTAATTTTATTTTAAAAAACGCTATCTATAAAAAAATGTCTGAAGGTTTAGTTCAAAGAAGGCGAAAAATTGTGGAAGATGTTGAACAGGTTTTTTGTTGGTATTTTTTAGTTTTTAAAAATTTTGAAGGCAAACGAAATTGAGCAGAACGACAACCAGCCAAATGAAGAGGATGATACAGAAAATAATGATAAAATTCAGCGATTAACTTTAATGGAAGAAATTTTGTTGTTGGGACTGAAGGACAGAGAGGTTTTTATTTCGATTACTTGGGCATTTTTAAATGAGGAATAGGCCGGGTTTAGAGTGATTGTGTTTTTTAAAACTTCGGATTTGTTTCAGGTCGAAAAAAGTTTGGGCAAGTGCGTAGTCAGGGGGTCGACTTCGGGGGAGGGCTAAAATTGAATGTGCGGCAAAATCTTGGCGTTCACTTTAGCGTTCCGAACGCAAATTTTTGTACCTCAATTTTTACTTTTTCAGCGCCGCAGGCGAAAACTTTGACTGGCTACGCCCTTGATATCGGGTAATTCGGCCTTTCTCTGCTTTTAATCCTGATAAGAGCTTTCTTGGAACTGGGTCGAAAAGAAACTTGTTCTTATTTTTGGTCTTAAAGCCGCCTCAAATTTTATTTTTTAGCATATTACTTGGAAAAAAATATTTTTAAAAATAGAAAAATATTTCATATGTAGGTTGTAAGTTGTCCCTTCCAATCTAGGTCACCCTTGGCGTTAATATTTAAAATATTTAATAGGGCTACACTTCTTTCTGGAATGATTGTATAAGCAGTGGGTTGCGTGGCTGTATTTTAATTGAACTTGCCTTGAGGAATCGAATTGAACTTGAAAAGGCTGGCGTTCGCAAAAGGGGTTTTTCTTCTCGTAAAGTAAATAATTTTTGTACTTGTGGGTTATCCTGAACCAGTTTTTTGCGGGCATTTATTCGTGGTCAGAAACTATAGGTTACAAAGGCTCAAAATGTTTAATCTTACAATTAGATAAAAATTCGATTTTACGAATGATAGCCCATTCGAAAGTGATACATAGCTCATCTCCGCAAAAATTATTTTGGATGACGCACAAGTACCATAATTTTCTATTTCTATAATATTTTCTTTTGAATTTAGGTGCTCTTAAAAAGCGATAAACCAACGGGTGATGTTATTTTGGATGAAGCAATTAAACACATTAAGGAAACGAATCAAAACGAGTCAGTTGTCTGTTGGGTAGAATATTTGAGGTTTTTTTAAATTTAATTATCTTACCATATGTAATATCCCTCATTTAATACCTCCCTCACTCTTTTTTCCCAAAGTACTAAAAATGGTCAGACTTCCTTTCTCGACTTCACTCTTCTTTATTTTCTACTTGTAATCGGTTCATTCTAGCCCAAAAAAGTCTTGACTTTTTACACACACAATACCGGACCACAGTTTCTTAAAAGCAAAGCTGGGTATGGTACTTATCCCTTATACCACACCCCCTCAAAGTAGTGTCCAAAATGTCATATATGGGGTAATAAAGGGTGCTGATCACGATTATGGTGTTTATTTCTCAATATAAGAACCCCCTCACCCATAAATTGTCATGGTTCATAATGGTCAAACTTCAAGTTTGGACGCATTTGACTACCACAATGGCAGAAACGTTCAGTATGAAGCAAACCGCAATTTTGAAAAAATTTTGCAGCGTTTGATTCATCAGGACATCCCCCCATTAGTGTGTCGTAATTATAGGGCATTTTTTATTTATTTTTATTATTATGGGTTCAAATGAATGAAATCGTTTATATACTCATTAAACGTCCAATAATCACACAGAAAATAAATATTAAATATTAGTGCATTAATAAATATAAGTGCAAAATAAATATTAGTGCATTAATATTGCTCATACCTATATATGTATTTATTTAAATAAAAACTTGAAGTTTGACCATTATGAACCATGACAATTTATGGGTGAGGGGGTTCTTATATTGAGAAATAAACACCATAATCGTGATCAGCACCCTTTATTACCCCATATATGACATTTTGGACACTACTTTGAGGGGGTGTGGTATAAGGGATAAGTAGTATATTTATTGTCATAGAACAAGGTTTGTAATACATAGAGATCGGTATTTTCAAAAAGTCTGGATCTGGATTTAGGTTAGCAACCTTGACAGGATTCTTGATCTGGATCCAGGAAAAATCCTGGATTTTTTTGTTCTGGATTTAACCTTGATTTCTGGATTATTTTTTAAAAATAAATAAAGGTGATAATGAAGGTTTAAGATGCTTTGTACCCGAAACCCGATTTTTTTCTCACCCCGTTACGTCCCTAGTACGAAATTGAATATTACCAATTTTAATTTTTAAGTGGAGAAACATGGAATCCTCTCAAATTGCGTTATCAAATTAGGAATATGCGTGAAAGGTTTTTTTGATGGAATAAAAATTTATTTTTTTTAAATTTAGATTAGCCAAGAATTTAGTCGAAAAGGGAGTTTTGACAACAGAAAAACAAAACTTTTTGCTCTTTGATATGACTACACATCCGCTCAATGATTCAGGAATTAAAGCGAAATTGATTAAAGTTTCTTTTAATACTTTGTTTTTCATCTACCAATTTTTATTGAAAATCAGATTCTGGTGGTTTTTGAATTTTTTGGGTTAGGCTATCGGTTTCAACCAGAACAAAAATCTAAGGATTTATGAGTCTTTATTACAGTTCATGAATTATGTCTTGGTCTGAAACATCCAAAATTTTCCAAAAACCCGAAAGTTTGACTTCCCATAACTCGGTCCAAAGTCATTTTGCTAGAAAAAGAAAGTCATTTCTTAATGGGGAGAGGGAGTCAAAGTAGGTAATGTTCCCATTTTAGATTTTAACGTCTATCCATAATTGATTAAAAAAGGATTGAAACCAGGTAGCCATTACCCCCAAACTACTACGAAACTGTAAAAATAGATATAATGATAGTTTATCATTATATTTGAATTTTTATTAACTCGAAAAAATCACTGGAATCAAGAAAAGAGGGAGGAGATATACCAAAATATAACAACCAATCTAATTTTAGAAAGTACAAGAATCAGTTTTAACAAGATGGACGAATGATGTTCAACGGATGGATAAAAAAATGCTTTCATTAATAATTTTGGCTCATGCTAGCGATGTTTTGGAAAATGCTTTTTCTCCGTTAAATGACCAAGGTTTTTTGTTTTGGAATCAAGACCAAGAGTCTTGGACAGCTTGACTAATTAGAATATCGAATTTTTTAACAGATTATGAATTGGCAATGAAACGTGTTAGGACATTATTAGAGACCGATTATGAAGCTGAAAGTGCCAAAAAGATGGGCACACCTAGTGCTAATGCTACAGATGTGATATATGCTGTATTTGAAGCTTTTTCTAAATGATGAGGGATTAAAATTAAAAAAGAATATTTAAGAGGTTCACTTTTTTTCTAATTATATTCTATATATAAAACTTGCTTTTCCCCTTTCTCCTTTTCCTGTTTCTGTAGCAAAATTTTTAAATATACATGACTTTTTTTTATTAGGGTTGGAACGGAGGGCGGTTAATAAACAAGTGTTTCTGTTGGCTATTCACCTTTTACAGCAAATTTAGCCCCCGAAAAAACCCGAAATTCGAAATCCGGACTTTTTTTGTGACTCGAAACCGGATCCGAAGAAAATTTAGAAACCTAACTCGAGAGCTGTCCCAACTTTTTTCCTCAACCCGTGATATTTCTGACAATGAGTCACCAAATTTTAAAACCACCCATCAACGGCAACCCTAATAAAAAAATATTCCATTGACACTTAAATAAAAATTTTTTCTCCTTTTTATAATCATGAAAAAAAAAGAAAACAAAAAACGTGTGCGCGTGTATGTTTATTTTCTAAAAATGCTAACAAATAAAAATTTATTTTTATAATTTTATTTTTTAAATTAATTAATAATATTTCTTATTTAAAATATTTATAATGATTTTTTAGATAAATTTTTTATATAAAACTAAAATTTTTTAAGAAGAGCTATTCAGATTTTTTCAATTTATGTGACCATTTTGGCATTTTGATTTTAAACTTGGCAATTTTATTTTAGGTTTGTTCGATGTTTTTTGCATAATTTTTGGGGTAGGACTTGTTTTGGGGGCCTAAATTCTCATTTGGGTCAGTGCTTAAAATGTCCTGATTTTGACATTTGACTTTGGTTCTTTTTCCTATTTTTGTTGATTTTTTGATTAACTAAAAAATATTTTTTATTTTGCCAAAGAAAAAGGCGTTTGAAAAAGAATAATTTCCTTTTCAAAGTGCCCTTAAAAGCACCCCACTTTAAATGTTTTTTTGAAGGTGCTGGGTTGCCAATCTATCTTCAGTTTGTTTTTTTCCAATTGGCCCAAGTAAAGGGGGAGAATTTCTTTTAACTACATATAATTTCTCAATATTATATAGCCAATATTTTTCATTCTTTATATTCTGCTGTTTTAAAAGAAAAATGGGGTGGGACAAAGGGATAACCCATGAGATCAACAAACTTTTTATCTTGATGGTTATTTGAGTCTGGGGATTTTGAGGCTCTTTGGAGATTATGGGGGTTATTTTGGGAGGCAGTTGCCAATTTCGTCCTTCGCTGAGTCTTTCACTGTCTTTCACTGAACGGCGAGAGAGCTGAGCGACACAAGAGTCAAATTGGCTTAAATTGCAAATGTTGATATTTTGGGTGTAATATTAGAGCCCTTGTCACATTTTAGTCGTCATTCTATCACAGCTACTGCTTCTATTTTTATTTTTTTTGCTTTTAAATTCCTCTAACCAACCAATTTTTCTTCAATAACTTCCCCCCAAACTCTCCCCTCACCTCTATTCCTTTCTCCCTTATTTTTTCTTTTTGAACCGTTCTATAAGCATATTGATAAAAAAATAATATGTACACATACTCATTGGCCACTTTTGTCATTTTATTTTTTCCTTTTCTTTTTTGGGCTCAAAAATGGCTTAAAATGGGATAAAAATTGGGAAAATTTTATTTAATTTTGTTAATTTAAATACTTAAAAAGATTTTTAATTTTTTCCAACAAATAAATGAGAAGGGGGGGGGGGGGGGGGTTTGGGGTTTTAAATTTTTAGGTGAATGTTGCTTCTAAATGTAGTTTACTTTTATTTAAATTTTTTTTAATTTTTCAGTTAAAAAAGATTAGAAATGTCCTTCTCTGCAATTAAAAAGACTATAAATAAAGCAAATCAATATATTAGTGAATCTGTTGGAGCAGCAGAAGCAACTAAACTTGATGATGAATTTAATGAAATGGAAAGGGTATGAACTTTTTGTTAGTATTTTTTGGGATTACTGAAAAGTCCGGTACTTTATGGATATGTCACCCCCCTCCTATTTTGAGTCTCATGGTTTTCCTTAAACGTAGAAAATGGTCAGTGATTATTTTCTTCTCAATGTCAATCATTTTTTTTCTTCTTCAAGCATTTTGCTTCTTTACTTTGCCTTTTCGCATATTTTGTACTTACATTTCACTCATTTCGGTTCTACATCTACTATATTTCACTTATTTTGCTTGAAGAAAGAAAAATGATTGGCATGGAGAAGAAAATAATCTCTGACCATTTTCTACGTTTAAGGAAAACTCTGAGACTCAAAATAGGAGGGGGGGTGACATATCCATAAAGTACCAAAAGTCCTAGGTTGCTTCAGAAAGCATGGGAAGGGTTAATCTTCGGAAGCTTTGGAGGATTAATCTCGGTACAGACAAGGTACCAGTCCTAATCAATAATTCTTGATATGAACCTTCTGTGCCTTTGCGAATTTTCAAATCCAACAAATTATAAGTTTTCGGAGCAAAATCCGGTGCTATACCCAACTAAAGGGTTTCTTTTCTTTGAACAACTTTTAGGTGAAAAAGATTAAATTTTTTTTTTATTTCTAGAAGGTCGACTTAACCAATGAATTGATTACTCAATTGGTTACTGGAACAAACGAATATTTACAACCTAATCCAGGTTTTTTGTTACTCAATTTCTTTTATTATTCTTTTCAATTATCAAGCAATAAGAGCAAGAATAGCTACTCTCGGAGCAGTTTCAAAACTTAGAGGGTCAGCAAAAAGTCAGGCTTATCCACAAACTGAGGGAATGCTAGCTGATACAATGACTAAATATGGAAGAGGTTTAGGCTCCCAATCTGATTTTGGAAAGGTTATTATACAAAAATTTTCTGATTTTGTTTGGTAATATTGAACTTTACAGACCCGATTTTCCGGTTCAATATTACCATTGAGCCTTTTTGATTATTTGTAGGCAAAAAATAGAAAGGCAATTGGAATCAGAGGTGGGTCGGAATTCCGATTTCCGGCGTTTTTTCCTTTCGATTTCCGGTTCTTCCGATTTCCGACACCTCTGACTGTTCCGACCCACCTCTGACTGGGATGGAAGAAAGGAAAAAGGTCGTATCCAGTTAGTAGTGTTTGAATTTGGCCGACCTCTGAAGAAATCCAATTTTTTTATTAGAAAAATTTTTAAAGGCACTTTGTGATGCTGCTGATGCTTTTCGTCAAATGGCAGATATAAAATATCAACTTGAAGATACTGTTAAACACAATTTTCTTGATCCTATTACTGACTTTCAAAATAATGAACTTAAAGATTTTAATGTAAAAAGAATTTTTTTAATTTTCGAAAAAAAATTTTTTTAAGGGTCACAGGAATAAATTAAAAGGACGACGTTTAGATTATGATGCTAAAAAAAGGAAACAAACAAAGGAAGATGACTTAATTCAAGCTGAAGAAAAATTGGAAGAGTCTAAACGTTTAACTGAGAAGGCAATGTTCAACATTTTGAATAATGATGTTTGTTTTTGAAGCTTAAATCCGCATTTTTTGTCCGCAAAATTTTGCGGACAGTACTTGCGCACAATTTGTATTATGTAAAATTCTTTATTTTTAGGTTGAACAGATTAGTCAATTGACTGCACTGATAGATGCACAACTCAATTTTCATCAACAAACTGCAAATATTTTGGAAAATCTCAAATTACAACTTAATTCAAGGTTATATTTTTTAAATCAAATAAAAAAAATTAAATTTAGAATAAATGAAACAAATGATCGACAACCTAGAGAACATGTTCCTAGACCTGTACTTGATAGAAATAAAGGCTCGAGGACGGATCTTAATTCGTTAGTTTTTTTGATATCTTGAAAATAGAATGGGGAGGAACTTTGTAATGTCGTACCGTTCCAAGACACCTCATATTGGTTCTTTTTGACGTCGTACCCTCCAAGGGCTTATCTAGGGGTGCAAAGTTTTAAAAATCACATGTTTTCTTAATTCTCTTTTCTATATCAAATAGGCATCTTGGTGAACGAAGCAGTTTAGCAAGCCTCTCAATTTCAAGTCCAATGCCTATGATGAATAATTCTTCACCGATAGAAAATGTGCAGTCAAATAATGGTGTCTCAAAAGGAGGGAAATGTAAAGCATTGTACGACTTTCAAGCATTAAATCCGGGAGAGCTTGATTTTAAAGGTTTTTTTTTTGATTCTGAAAATAAAATGGGAGAAAATTTTGGGAAATCTTCTGTGGAATGTGAATATAGTGTAATATGAAAAAGAAAGCGGACTTCGCAATAGGACTCTATAGAATGGCAACAAAAAATATATCGATTCGGACTGACAGAAAACAATGTTCCCTTGTCAGCTTGACCAGAGTAATCGAATGATATGTGGATCCAAAGTCGTTAAAAACGGTCACCAACTAAAGTCTTAATGATCTCTCTATGGATGGACCTAACTCCCTTTTGTATTAAAAATGTTGAAATTTTTTTAGAAATTTTTTCAGAAAAGTTAATTTTATTTATAGAAGGACAAATAATACAACTTGATAGTCAAATTGATGAGCATTGGTTTGAAGGTACATTAGATGGAAGGAGTGGATTTTTTCCAATCACTTATGTCGAGGTTTGTTTGTTTTATTTTGACACGCATTTCTTGGGAGGATTTTTTGCTTGTCCAGATTACTCATCCTATCAGCCTTCCAATAAAGTTTAAGCGTCAATGACTGGTTCATGCGTCTAAACAAATTTTTATGAGTCCAATCACGTTTTCATGCAAGCAATCTACGCGATAAGTACTCGGTTTTGTTTGTTAGAAACTATGGCCCGATATCGTGCGTAATTCAGTGTAAGTAGAGCTTTTTATTCGCCTGGATTTTATGATACTAAAGTGAAGAACCGGGTACTTCACTTTAGTCCCTTGTCAGCTTGACCAGAGTATCTTTTCCTATTTTTTAGGTTATTGTGCCGATTCCTGAATATCGACATTGATTGGACGCATAAAAATTTGTTTTTTACGGATTTTTTAATGTTTAGAATCTTAGTAAGGTTTTCGGGAAGGCTGGGTCTTTCAGTCTTTAAAAATTAGGAAAGACAAGCTGATCTACCACGAGTCCGGTTTCTATCGCAAAGACGTAAAACTTAGATTTTAATAGGTAGAGTTAGTGGTTTTAATTATAAAAGCTGGGGACTCGTGATATAGGCTCGTTTTGGTATGATATTTTGGTTTTGGTATGATAGATTTTGTAATATTTATGAGAAGGGGAAGAAAAGGAAAATGATGACAGATAAACACATAGACAGTACAAACATATTTTTTCCTATTTTTTAGGTTATTGTGCCGATTCCTGAATCTTCAACTTCTAAATAAAAATAGAATATTTACTTTAATTGAGGACAGTAAAAAATTTTTTCTTTTAAATTTATAAAAAGTGATTTAAAAAAACTTTTTTCCCAAAGATAATAAAAAAGCAAATAAAATATAATTGTCATTTTTTAAATAAATTTACTTTCCAAAATATTTTTTCTGGAAAATAATATTTTTTGCCATCTTGTAGCGAATTTTAAGGGCTTTCGAATGAGGGTAAAACGAAAATTTTAAACAAACCCTAAGGGGTTGAAAATATTTTTAGAAAGTGAAAAATCCTGTTTTACGTTGATTTTCATGGTATCGAGATCTCGACTTTGAAATGTGATATATGTACTATGTAGGCCTAATTCTTTTATTTTTTATAAATAATATCGATAGACATACATATTTACTGTATTTTTTGTAGAATTCTACAATAAGTCCAAACTAAATTTTTACTGGGGTGTTTATACTTTCTTAACACCTTAACTTCGAGAAAATTCAATTTTAGAATTTTAAACATAGATACAAAAATTCGTGGGTCTTTCTTAACGGAGTGTATTAAGTACGAAGTATGAGGCCAAAAATATGCAAGTACAAAGTCAAAATATGGGGTAGTACGAAGTACGAGTAAATTTATAAATTCCCCTCAATTGCATTTCCCCCAATTTCCCTTCAGTTGCCTAAAGTAAGTTTAAGAATTCTTTTTTGAAAAAATTTATCAACTGACGCCGGATCGTACCGCGCCGAACCGTGAAAGCGCCGAACTGTGGTTTTTCGATCAATTTATTTTTTAAAGTTGGGGTTGACAGAGAGAAGGCAATCGAGGGTAATAGTTCGGTTCGTACCCCCCCCCCCCCTTCCGGCTCCCGGACAATCCGTCAGTGGACAATCCGGCAGAGGAAAATCCGTCAGTGGACAATCCGTCAGAGGTCGGACAATCCGTCAGTGGACAATCCGTCAGTGAACAAAACCGTAATTCTTACCTCTACCCGACCTCCCGCGTTGGATTTTTTGATGGATTTAGAAGGATTCGGGGATTTGGATGGATTAGATTACATAATTAACGTGTAGGATTATATTGGATTTGGATGAATATCGTGGGATTATGGGAAGTCCTCAATACGAGAGGTTGTTTTTAGATGGATATCATGGAACAACCTCAAAATATTCTTAATCCGACTATATCCCTTGATATCCCACTTAATCCACAAAATCCCCCTTAATCCCCAAATTCCTCGATAACCACCATGATACTCTAAATCTGTTGTATTTCCATTGGTTCCACGATATCCTTTGAAATCCCCGATATCTCCCAAATCCACTGATCTTTTAATTCAGCCAAATTAGACGATTTCCTAATTAAACTCCAAATTTTCGATATCTCGGGGTCACTTTAGTACGTGGGTCCCGGAGTTAATATACAAATGTTATACCATTCGAAGGAGCTAGTCGAGCTGAGTCGAATGCCACCAGTTTTAGCCCGAGGAAAAATTTTTGGACCGAGATATAGGTCCCTGAAATTTGAAAAAGCATAGGGGGGACCAAGCACTTTTTTGGGGTGAAAAATTCGAAAATGCAAATGATACCTCATTCGAAAGAGCTCGTCGAGCTCTTTCGAATGAGGTATTATTTCTATAAAAAATTTTTTATTCCAAAAATCGACCCTTTGGATCTTCGGTATTTAGGGACCTATATCTCGGTCCAATCAAGTCGGATTTCGTTGATTTTGGTGTCATTCGACTCAGCTCGACGAGCTCTTTCGAATGAGGTATCATTTGCATTTTCGAATTTTTCACCCCAAAAAAGTGCTTGGTCCCCCCTATGCTTTTTCAAATTTCAGGGACCTATATCTCGGTCCAAAAATTTTTCCTCGGGCTAAAACTGGTAGCATTCGACTCAGCTCGACTAGCTCTTTCGAATGGTATAACATTTGTATATTAACTCCGGGACCCACGTACTAAAGTACAGCCGATATCTCTTATAATCTCCACACGAAAAAATGAAAATTTTTGGCCGCGGTAGGTCGGGTAGAGGTAAGAATTACGGTTTTGTTCACTGACGGATTGTCCACCGACGGATTGTCCGACAACTGACGGATTGTCCACTGACGGATTTTCCACTGCCGGATTGTCCACTGACGGATTGTCCCGTCACGCCCTTCCCTTTTCCTTCCTAAAAGTATTAAAAAATGGTCAGTCAGTCTTAGCTTACAGAACTCGTCAATCTGTATCGAAAGACACCAAAATCAAACCCAGATCTTAACTTTGGGCCGAGGTACAGACAAAAACCCTTCGCAAAGGGAAAGTTTTTGTAAAAGTGTCTCACAACTACAATAGGAATACTTTATGTCATAGTTTTATCAAATTTTGTTCAATCATGTTGATTTTGATGTCATTCGAATCAGCTTGGCAATCTCTTTCGGATAAGCTATTATTTGGTTAATCGAATTTTTAGCTTAAAAAATGAGCTTGATACACCCATTTATTTTTCAATTTTCGGAGGTCTGTATCTCGGCCCAAAGATAAGACCTGTGAATGATTTTGGTGTCATTCGACACAGCTCGATGAGTTCTATAACCTAAGTCTGACTGATCATTTTTAATACTTTTAGGAAGGAAAAAAAGGGGGGGGGGGGGTACGAACCGAACTATTACGAGTGCCGAGACAACTTTATGTCTATCATTTTTAAAAAATTTAAAAAATAGAAAATTTGCATACGCATTCAGTTGGCACAGATATTCAGTTCAACTGTTACCTATTTGGTATTAAAACGTTTGAGACTCTGACTGCTCTTGGACTAAAACATTGAGACTCAATTGTCGAATTCTGTAAAATTTTCAAAGAAAATCTTGTACTTCTTTCATTTTTCTTTTATTTTTTGTGTTAATTTGTTAATAATAAAATTTTTAGATTTTATTTAAATACAATTAAATTTCTCGGAAATTCATTGCTACAATCTATATTGGTTAAAGATTGGCATTTTAAAAAAGAGACAGTGAATTTAATAAAATATGGCAACAGAGACTGAACCAAACAATGCTGTGGCACAAAATGGGTATTTCTTTTAAATTATAGTTTTGGGTACATCTCTGTTTAATTTGCCATCTTATTTTTTCGGATCCGCGTAACGGTCAGGTTTACTTATTTTCATGTTATTCCCCCTCGTCTTTCAGTCAATCAATAAACGAATAGTAAATGGAAGCTCGTAATATTGAACCGGACAGACCCCCTTTTTCCCTCCCCAATTTTTCCCTATATTTTTGCAAAATGGTCAGACTTTTCCCTTGCTTCCATCCGGATTGCCTTTCTAATTTTTGTCTGCAGTGACCATTTTGCAAAAATATTTGCGAAAAATTGGGGAGGAAAAAAGGGTGACACGACTCGGGCACAGTGATCCATTTGCACAGTAAGACTTTTGCACAGAGGGCATTTGCACAGTGGACAATTGCACAGTAATTTGTGGTTAAGTGGATTCGTGTTAGGTTTTACTTATTGTTATAAGGGAATAAATGTTACCAATTATTAATACCTTTACTAAAAAATCTTAAATTGTACATATTAAAATTCATAATTCTTTTTCTAACCTAAGTATTTCTTAATTATTTTTTACATATTTTAAATTTTCGTTCGCTTATCAAGTGGACAAATTCTAGCAGATCTTTATTAAAGTATGCAAGTATTTGTTGTAAAAATGAATTTTTACTAATTTTTAATGATGCAGCGCTGAAAAAGGACTATGATATACAGAAGATTTAGATGGATTAAAGTGAATTTTGAGTGATATCGTGTGATTTAGGTAATATCCAGGAATTTCGAATGATGTATAATTTGCATATTCGAATTTTTTACACAAAAATTGGGCTTACTCCCCTCTATGGTTTTTCGATTTTCGGGAATCTATATCTCGGCCCATAACTGAGTCCCCAAGCTAATTTTGGTGCCGTTCGACTCAACTCGGCGAGATCTTTCGAATGACATATCATTTGTCCGAATCGGTTTCCGGGTGATATGAAGGAATTTTTCCTTAGTAACATTTATTCCCTTAGGCAATTCCGGAGAATTGGGGTCCCTGCGGAAAAAAATCTTAAAAATAAGAAAAAGGATTTTTCTAGGGTAAAAAAATATGCTGATTACGAATCCGAGCTCAGATTTTGAAAAAGTCGAATCCCGAACCCGAATTCGGACTTTTGCCCCCGAACAGGACTTATGACCCCGAACATTATCAGACATTGTACAAAATGGTCAGTCTTTTAATAGAATCAATTCTCCGGGATTGCCCAATTCTCCGGGATTGCCTTCCCTTATAACAATAAGTAAAACCTAACACAACTCCACTTAACCACAAATTACTGTGCAATTGTCCACTGTGCAGATGTCCTCTGTGCAAAAGTCTTACTGTGCAAATGGATCACTGTGCCCGAGTCGGAGCGCCGGAAAAAAGGAGTCTGTCCGGTTCAATATTATATGGAAGCTACTTTGACCATTCTTTACATAATATTAGGATGGCGACGAAGCACCTAATTTGATTATAATGTGGCATTTATCTAGTTTCTATCTAAAGGATTGAGACTTTGGGTTTCGACGGTATCATTCTATCTTGTGCCCACCCACCAAAATATCAATTTAAATTTTTTGAGTTATTGGAGGTCACCGGGATAAGTCTGACCATTTTTATAATTTGAGGAAGGAAAAAAAGAGGTACAGAATTGAATAATACCGGCTATCTTTCTTTAAGTTAAATAGGCCGTCTGTTTAGGTATCAAACTTTTCTTGATTTTCTTAAATTCCTTTTCACAAATTCCTGAGAATCAGGCACATAAAAATTATGTGCCTGATTCGGTGTACGGAATTTTGGTCACCGGAATTTTGGTCACCAAGGATTTTCGGAACTCTGGTCACCAACTTTTTTGGAATTTTGGTCACCAGCGGAATTTTGGTCACCAAGTCAAAAAACGGAATATTGGACACTGAAATTTTGGTCACCAATAGGAATTTTGGTCACCAAACGGGAAAAAATAATCTTATCTAAAATGATATCAAAGTGATAAAAAATGATTTTTCAACCCCCAGTTGATCAATTTCAATGTTGATCACTCTCATGGCTGATCACTCCCTCAGTTGATCACTCTCGATCACTCTTCCGGATGATTGATTAACTGTGAGAGTGATCAACATTGAAATTGATCAACTGGGAGTTGAAAAACAATTTTTTATCACTTTGATATCAGTTCTAGATAAGATTTGTTTTTCCCGTTTGGTGACCAAAATTCCTCTTGGTGTCCAAAATTTCAGTGTCCAATATTCCGTTTTTTGACTTGGTGACCAAAATTCCGCTGGTGTCCAAAATTCCAAAAAAGTTGGTGACCAGAGTTCCGAAAATCCTTGGTGACCAAAATTCCGGCACCCCCTGATTCACCGTCTTTCCTACATTTTCTAAATTTCTCGTAAATTAGTGTCTTAATTTTAACAGGAAAGAAACTGCAGTGAATTCCGAGTACCAACAAGAATTGTCAAATTCTCTTCCTGTTGAAAATGGGGTTGGTGAAACTAATGGAGATGAACTAAAAAATGACTCTTCTGTCAAAAATGAAGATTTGGATGATATTCCATGGTCTCAACGAATTCGGGAAAAACAACAAAATTCTTCTACTTCTAAATCTGTTAAAAGACCTGTGACACCTGTAGAAAGTGGTGGAGAAGAAGCTCAACCTATTGTAAAAAAATCTGCCGATAAAAAGCGGAAGACGAGACAAGCATCGTCTGAAAGTGAAGAAGAATATACTCCAAAGGTTTTTTTTTAATTTTTGTTTTTTTTGAGTCATTTTAATTTTAGAAGAAATCAAAATCTTCCAAATCCAAACCTGAAAAACCAACGCCAAAGTCATCTGCTAAAAAAGAGACGAAAACTGAAGAAGATTCGGATTACGATGATGACAAACCTGCAAAAAAGAAAAAGAAATCAACTGAAAATAATCTTGTTAAACAAGAGGTTGTTTAATTTGACTCCACCTCTCACACCTTTAAATATCGACGCCCTAAATTTTGGGTCAACGATATTTAGGTTGTCGATATTGGGGGTTGTCGGTTTCACCCATTTCTCTTGTCAACCGAAAACCCCAACCAAAATTTTCTCTCAACCAATCCGAAATTTTTGTGTTTTCGGTCGATTTTGACCCGATAACTAGAGGTTTTTCGTACTTGTATGGCATTTCTATATGTTAACCTACACTATTTTTCTTTCAGTCATCTTCATCTGCAAGCCCTACAAAAAAGAAAAAGAAGGCTGAAGAAGAGGAGGAAGTTTGGAAGTGGTGGGAAGAACAATCACCTGAACAATCAGATGGAACAATTAAATGGAGAACTTTAGAGCATAAAGGGCCAATGTTTGCACCAGAATATGTTCCTTTACCTAAAAACATTAAATTCAAATATAATGGAAAGGTTAGAATTTTTTAATTGTGGTTGGATTTCAACTTTTCGTGGTTGAAAAGATTGTGGTCGGAATTTGTCGTTATTGATAATGTTGGGTTAGGGTTCGATAAAAGTGGCCTGAGTCGGGTTTATCAAAAAAGGGTCTGGGCTAGATGGGGTTGGAACTGTTATATCCGACGGGTGTTCGTTGACTACTTGACCATCAATTTATCCAAGGAGAGAATAAAATTTAGGTGATGGATTGGGCTGGGACAGATATCAGGGACTGACCGGGGAAGTTTAATCCAACTGAACGGATGCTGAATTGGCTAGAAGGCGTCGGAGTTTAAGCCACTTTAAACTTTTTTTTTACTATACACTTTTCCATTTGTAGCCAATGGATCTATCCGCGTATGCTGAAGAAGTTGCCACTTTTTATGCTAAGATGCTTGATCATGACTATACTTCAAAGCCTATTTTTAATCAAAACTTTTTTAAGGATTGGAGAAAGGTTTTTTCATTTAAAAAATTTTCTAAAAATTGATTTAGACAATGACCGCTGCAGAACGTTCAACAATAACTGATTTAAAAAAATGTGATTTTCGGTATAAAATATTTATTAATATATATAAGGAAAAAGTGAGGAGTGATCCTGCTGTCTAGCATAGGAAGAGTTTTGGATCTATTAAAAAAAAGGGTGGTTAGTTGGGAGAGCAACTGTACGTGTTGAGCAAGAAGGGCTAACAATAAATGCCATGAGGTTCGATACCTGCTCTGGGCTAAACTTAACACTTTCTAAATTTTGCTTCTTTACAATGTTATTAAAAAATAACTATTTAAAGTGATATAAATGCCTATTTTCTTTCTGAAACTGAAAAAAGAAAAGCTCGAAGTAAAGAAGAGAAAAAAGCAGAAAAAGAAATTAAAGATAAAGAAGCGGCTGAATATGGTTTTGCGATGCTGGATGGTTATAAACAAAAAATTGGAAATTTTCGAATTGAACCACCGGGACTTTTTAGAGGACGAGGTTTTTTGTTTAAATTATTTACCTTCGTGTTAGGAATCTCACGGCAAGGGCGTATCCAGGGGGGGGGGGCTCTAGCCCCCCCCCCCTGAAATGGGGGAAAGAGGGAAAATTAGGAGAAGGACGGTCGAAAAATGAAATTTTTTCACCTACAACCCTCAAATTTAAAAAAATTTCGCTTGCGGCGCTAAAAATGGAAGAAATTTGGCTTCTTGGGCTCCAAATTCCGAAAAATTTTCGCGTGCGTCGCAGAAAATGGAAGAAATTTGGCCTCTTGACCTCCAATTTTCAAAAAATTTTCGCCTGCGGCGCTGAAAAGATAAAAATTTACGTACAAAAAATTTGCGGAAGGAAAGCCAAAGTGAACGCCAAAATTTGGCGCACACCCAATGTTAGCCCCCCCCCCCCCCGAAACTGACCCCCTGGATACGCCCTTGTCTCACGGTTTGAACCCCTTACGGGGGGGGGGGTGGACGGTGGGTAGGCTATGGCCTCCCAGCCCCCTTGTTAACCACCTTATGTCAGAACGGTAAATAGGATAAAAGGCTAGCATCCATGTCTTCTTTTACAACTCACAATTTTCTAATTAATTTTTTTTATAGGAGAACACCCAAAAATGGGTTGTTTAAAGCTACGAGTTCAACCAGAAGATGTTATAATAAATTGCTCTAAAGGTGTTACAATTCCTCCTCCTAAAGGTCATAAATGGAAAGAAGTTCGACATGACAATATGGTTTTTTTATTTTTTAACTTACGTCGTATCTCCAACAACAATATGTCATTCGAAGGCTTGGTTTCCAAATCAAAATTAAACTTGGGTCTCTGTGTCGAGCTACATTCCCTTTAAAACCAAAAAACCATAGGGGGGGGGGGTCAAGCGATTTTTGGGTGAAGATTTGATTATATAAATGACGACTCTCACAGGCTTTTTCGAATTTCATTGTTTATCTAAATCGGTTCATTTTTTTATCAGTGATTTAACTAATTTTACCAATATTATTTTTTAAATTCATTTTAAGGTCACTTGGCTTTGTTCTTGGAATGAAAATGTTTTGTTCAGTAACAAATATATAATGTTAAACCCTTCTTCAAAGCTTAAAGGCCAAAAAGATTGGGAAAAGTTCGAAAAAGCGCGAAAGGTTTTTTGATTTTTAAAAATTAAAAAAATTCTTTTTATTAAAGCTTAAAGGCTGTGTTGGGCCAATTCGAGATCAGTATTTATTAGACTTTAAAAGCAAAGAGATGCGAATACGACAACGTGCAGTTGCTCTTTATTTTATTGATAAATTTGCGCTTAGAGCTGGAAATGAAAAGGATACTGATGAAGCTGCAGGTTTTTTAATTTAAAAAATTTTTTGAAGATTTTTTAATTTTCAAAATTGAAAATTTTTTAATTAAATTTTTAATACAGGCCCCTGAAAATATTTTATTTTTTTTTCGGGTAAAAGTAGTAAAAGCAATAACGCCTCCCTCCCTCCGAAAAAAATCCTGGTTACATGCCCTTGATTCCGGCCCATTTTTTTAGAAAAAAATTCAAAAATTTATTAAAGATACTGTTGGTTGTTGCTCTCTTCGTTGTGAACATATTAAATTACACGAAGAATTGGATAACCAGAAATATGTTGTAGAATTTGATTTTCTTGGAAAAGATTCAATTCGTTATTACAATCGTGTACCTGTTGAAAAGGCTGTTTTTAAAAATTTGAAAATTTTTATGGAAGGAAAGGAACCTGGCGATGATCTCTTTGATAGACTTGATGTTTGTTTTTTACTTTTGAGTTAATTTGATGGCAAATTTGGATGATTTACCTACTGATTCCGGAATTTTTCCCGAAAAACTCCCGCAAAGTTTTGCCTCTCCCAAGGTCCCCTGGTGACATCACCGCAGAATATGTATCCTCCGGAGTCCTTCCCACAGAGGCTCACCTGAAATTCTTCCAACCGCCTCTTCCCAAAATCCTTCTCACCTCCTCTTCCAAGATCCCTTCCACCGTCTCCGAAAGAGGAGTAACAAAAAAATCGAGTAAAAATTTAAAAAAATTTTTTTTGCTTTAACGCTTTAAATTAAAAAAAACTTTTTTTAAAGACAAGTTCTCTAAATGCTTATTTGAAAGAATTAATGGATGGATTAACTGCCAAAGTATTTCGTACATATAATGCTTCAATTACTTTACAAGACCAATTGGATAAATTAACAAATCGTTATTTTTTTTAATTTTTGATTAAATTATTTTTTAATATTTTAAGCTGATGATACAATCCATGCAAAGCTGCTTTCATATAATCGTAAATTTTTTTAACTTTGAAAAAACAACTTAAAAAATTTTTTTGTAAAGGTGCAAATCGACAAGTTGCAATTCTTTGTAATCACCAACGTGCAGTCCCTAAAACTCATGATAAGGCTATGGAAACACTACAAAATAAGGTTAAAATAAAAATGAATGGTTTCCTAGTATTTTCTAGAGTTTAAGGATTCCACTCAAAGAAATTTAGGCTAGGGAGTTTTCGAGCTCGGCAATTTCGTCGGTTTTTAGGTTATAACCTTTTTTGGGAAATAGTTATGAGGAATTGAGCTCAAATCCATTGTTTTTTTGAAAATCTTTAGTTTACGCGGAATTTTTCTTTTTTTAAAGATTAATGAAAAGAAGAAAGAATATAAAGAAATTAAAGCTGAACTTAAGAAAAATAAAAATGATGAGAAATTGCAGAAAAAATATACTCGAGTGAAAGAACAACTTGTAAAATTAAAAACACAGCATACCGACAAGGTTTCTTTTTTTTTAATTTAATAAATTAATTTTAAATTAAAAAAAATTTTTTAAGGATGAAAATAAACAAATTGCATTGGGCACATCCAAACTTAATTATTTGGATCCAAGGTTTTTTTTAAATACGGACTGATAATGAGTCATCCATCTCGATTATTGTGTCCTTTTGGATTCGTGTCTTTTTGGATATTCTTCCCAACTTCTAACATGAAAAAACCTTTTCATGCCCATCAGGCCCGTAACCAAGCCAAGGGGAAAAATGGGTAAAGGTCCAATTTTCTCCCTAATTGTCTGCAAAAGAGTCGTGATATAACGATGTGGACGATAAACGTCTTAAAAAATATTTTCACCGAACTTTCAAATTAATTTCTTCCCCGGCCACTGTCCCCAAAATAGGCTAGTCTCAGATTTCCAAATACATTTTCAATTTTTTTATAGAATATCAGTTGCTTGGTGCAAAAAGTATGACATCCCTATAGAAAAGATTTACTCGAAAACTCAACGTGACAAATTTCGATGGGCTATAGATATGACAAAAGAGGATTTTATTTTTTGACAAAGAACAAAGGATTGTGTTTTTTTTATCAAAAAAAGGTTTTTTTCAATATTTTGACTTACAAACGAGAAATCCTCCAAAAAATTATTAATATGTTATAATTGATTTTTTTTCGATTTTTTAAAATTATTTTGTGTGTTTTTATATTTTGTAGTAATTTTGCAGCTCTATTTTATATACACAATTATTTAAAAATGGAAAAAAATACTAACTAGTTCATGAAAAAATACTATTAAAAAATAAGGTGTCGTGTTTGTTGTTCTTTCTCTCTATTCATTCTCTACTATTTCTCATAACTAAATCTAAAAAATTTCAGAAAATTTTTTCTTGAAAAAATTGTGTTTATCGTAATATTAAGCATTTTTTATTGTATAAGTTTACGGATAAATTTGTAATGGATGGTAAATATTATAATTTGTATTACTTGTTTTTAATTATTAAAAGGAGTAATTTTGTAGGTAGGATGTGCTTTAGCCTGCAGGTTTCACTTTCTTTTAGACGAAAACTCATAATTTGCCCTAGTTGACATTTTAAAGTTTTTTTACTTTTTAGTTTAAAATTTTCTAAATTTTATTTTTTGTAAGTCTCGCGTGTCAAAAAGTGAATTTCTGTCGTATTTGGCATTTTTAAATATGACATTTTAAGAAATATATGTTCTAAATTTTTACAGTTTTTTACTTTTTTGTCTAACCTTTATACTCTAAATTTTATTTTTTTCTTTGTCTTGCGTATTTTGGCTACCCTACAACTCATCGAATCCTTAACTCATCGAATCCTCAACTCATCGAATCGGCCAAAAACACTCAACTCATCGAATCCTTAACTCATCGAATCCTCAACTCATAGAATCGGCCAAAAACGATCAACTCATCGAATTTTTCCAAAAGGGGACGTTTGAGTCCCCGTGTTTATTTTTTAGATTTTTTATTGTTTTGTTTATTTTTTTTTGTTTTCTTCTGGGGTTTCAACTAATTTTGTTAATTAGTTGATCGGGCACTCATCCAAGTTTATCCGGCCAGTGAAAACATTATCAGAACATTATCTCATTCCTGAAAACATTATCTCATTCCTAATAAATTATGCTGGAGATTTTACCGGGTAAAACCGGACCAAATTAGTCCAGTAGACCCCGATTATGCCCAAAAGCCCTTTTTCCTAGCCTCCATAGCAGCAAAAAATTTTTTCAACAAAGATTCAGTTAGCCCTTTCGGGAGAAAAATAAAAACAGGGGACTCAAACGTCCCCTTTTGGAAAAATTCGATGAGTTGATCGTTTTTGGCCGATTCGATGAGTTGAGGATTCGATGAGTTAAGGATTCGATGAGTTGAGTGTTTTTGGCCGATTCGATGAGTTAAGGAATTTTAGCCGATTCGATGAGTTGAGCGTTTTTGGTCGATTCGATGAGTTAAGGATTCGATGAGTTGAGCGGGCACGCGTATTTTTAATTTAATAAATAACAATATGCCAGAACTCAATTTAAGCTCAACTTTAAAACTCTTAATTTTGCACTTATGTTTAACGTGTTCGAACAGTTTTTTGGATTTTAAACAATAAATCAACGTTTTGTTAAATACAATGAACAATTCTGATGTCGTTCCAGCCCGTATAGTAGTTGTTGGAACGAGTAAATTAAGACTTTCTGAAAGGTTTTCTCTTATAATTTTTGAGAATCTAAATGTTTTTTTGCAGGTTTAATCGAATTCAAGCAGAAAAAGTTGAACAACCACCACCACCACCACCACATAGACATGTAGTAAAACAAAGACAATCTTCTTTAGAACCTCAGAATTTGCGGCATCGAGCGGAAAGTGTTCTTTCTGTTAATGGAGGTCCTATAATTGAGCGGCCTCGTGTTTTTCAACGTCCAACAAGTGGAAGCATTAGCAGCAACAAATCTTTTTTACACGACAATTATATGGTATTTATTTTTATTTTATACAAACTAATCGTCATGTCAGCAACTCCTACCAAGACTGCAGGACCTTTGGTAACTTGGGCTGTGTTTTTGGCTTTGAATTTGAATTAGTCTGATTATCTTGATTGAGTATCCTCAACTTTTTTAATCTATTTTTTCTTTTTATTACAAACTTGCCAAAGGCTTGGTGTGTTGTTTTAGTATGAGTTACTGAATTTATTGGAAGGCATCACTTTAAATATTGAGGTTTTCGGCTACCTAGCTAACAATAAGACTGCTTTTATTCTTTAAGTTTTTCTAATTCTCTTTCTTAAACTTTTTTTGATTAAATAAATTTTATTTTTTAACAAGAAATCAATATTATTTTATAGGACAATGAATTATATGGCGAATTCTCAGAACATGATCAATATCGTCCACCACCTTCCCAATATCATCATTCTGGTGGTGGTCGCTTCCGTACTTGTAGTAGTGAACCTTTTGAAAGTTTATCTGAATTAAACAATTTAAATCCTGTTAATCTCACACTTGATGATTACAACGTTTATCAGAAGATGCGTATTCGTCGGCCATTTTATTCTTCTTCTCGAGTACACAATTATGATTTGGATGATATTGATGAAGAATATGATTTTCCAAATGATTATGCACCTCGACCAAGATCCAATGTATTTTTCTTTTAAATTTATTTTTAAGTGAGGCTATTTTTTGTTGGGAAATTTTTTGTGATCGAAATGTTTGTGTTAACATTTGAAGACTTTATTAAATAGGTTTTTAAATTGGGGTTCCATCTCGAGCTCCCGCCCATGATTTATACTGCTCTAAACCCTGCCTCCCCAAGGAAATTTATTGTGTTTATATCGGCCTCACAACCATAACTCAAACTTACCCCACACCCTTCATACCATACTTTAACATTTAATCTTTTAGCTCTATAATGATTCACCACGAAGACCCATTCAACAACGACTCAGTTTTCGTCCTCGGTTTTTTCAATCTTTTAAAATCAATTTTTAAATATTTCCAATTTTAGAATGACGTCCGAATTTGCACTTCGCCGCCCAATTCGAAACAATTTTGCTTTTAAGCGATCATTTCGTGGAAGGTTTGTTGGAGGTTGGAGGGCTTGGTATGGAGGCGGTGGGGGAGGAAATTGGATTTCTGGTCAGGGTGGAGGTTTCCGAAGAAATCGACGAAATGACAGACGTCTCAAAAAAACTGTCGCAGAAATGGATAGAGAACTTGATGTAAGAAAATAATTTTTTAAATTTATTTTTTAAAGTTGTTTACTTTTCTCACCCCCTTACAAACAAATTTTTGAATAATGCCAATTATTTATCGGATTTGAGTTTTTAGCTGATGAATCGAATAGATCGAAAATGGGATTACCGCTTTGGTACCCTCCTTTAATATTTCACTAGACTGAACGGGGATTATAAATTGAATGCCAGCCGGTATTGGTATCAGGGATGGGACGGGTTAAAGAAATTTCTCAAAACTAACTAGAATCCCGACCCGACTTTTCAATCCGTCACCAAGAAGTACAAGGGTGAGGGGATGATAATTTCCGAACATGTCATTTTAAATTTATTTTTTAATTCCCTTCTTTTTTTTCTCAGGAATATATGAAATCAAACAAACATCCTCGAGTTCATCCCAAAATTTGATTGTTGATGGAAAAACTGAAGAAGAAGAAAAAAAGGAGAAAATTACCTGATTTTTTGTCTTTTATTAATTTGATTTGTTTTTCCAGTATTTTTTCCCTTCCTTTATTATTATTTAAAAATTGTATAATTTTGTTTGTTTTGGTAATTTAAAAGTTATTGATTTGGTTCTATAATTCGATTTTTTCGCTAAGGAAGAGGGAGGGTCTAAGACGGGAATAGGCTCTCTCGGATTTTAAAAAGCGGAAATGGAACGCGAAGTTGTAAAAAATCTGAGGACGGCACAGTCCTTTGTTTGGGTTAGTTGAGCGCGGCCGTTTAGCACTGGCCGACTTTGTTCGGCTATAGCTTTTTTTGTGCTTGATCAAATTTAAATGAAAATATACCATTCGAAAGCCCTCAAAAGATTTTCCCCAAATAGATTCCCAACAAAACCGGATTTTAACTTGGCTATTAGAATTTTTAGATTGAATTTTTCTTAAAAATTTTTAAATTTCAGTTTGTTTATTTTATTATCCATGAGCAGTAAAAATTCTCAATCATCTTCATCTCGAAGACGTGAACGTGACAGGCGATCAGATCGAAGTAAAAGCCCTAGAAGGTCAAAAAAGGATGGGCGGCATAAACACGATGATTCCAGGTTTGTTTAAAACAGGGGTGACATTTGTACTTATTTCCGGAGTGACCTTCAAACCTACGTAATTGAAAATGTACTTATTTGTAAGTATATACCTACAAACGGACTTTTTAGTTGAAAATGTTCGGCTCGGCTCGTCGAGCTTTTTCGATTCACATAAATTGTCCAAATCTAAAATCCCCCGTAAAGTACACTTATTGTTAGGCCAAATTTTCAGTTCAAAGAATGAGATACAGAAAGGAATTGAGAAAGCCAAGAATCGCTTAAAGTCATCTCTAAACGAAGCAATAGATAGCGGAAGAAGTTCAGAGTATTCTCAGGCCATACGACTTCGACAGGAAAAACAAGGTTTTTGTTTCAACTATTTCTCTAACCTTTTTGTCTTCAGATGCTTCAGAAATATTAGACTCCGTTTCCCGCCATGCTGCCATTGAACGGATTGAAGAGCCTGGTTTTAATCCTTGTTCGTTCAAATCAGATGCGGATTCGGCTAGAATGGTTAGTTTTTTTTTAAAATGTTCGGTGCTTATTGTTATCCCCCTTTTTCTTTCGAATGACGCCATATACGAAATGTTTTGACCACGGAGAAAAAAGTGCATATATTAAGTGAAGATTGCCCGAATTGTTTGTTTTTGTGATTTGTTGATTACGTTTGTGGATTTTAAAATTAAAATCCTGGATGTGGAATTTTTTAAATTGCGTCCAGCCCGGACGGGGAGTTGAAATTATTTCTCTTTTTATATACATTTTCATTTTTTTATTTTTCAAGTCTTCCACTACAACCAAAAGTTCTGAGAACACCACAAATTTGTTTACATCTTCTTCTACAACCCATCACGATCGTGCAATGTTTGGACCTCTATGGGCGAGTAAACAAATTGCAGAAAAGTCTAAAAATAAAAAGGAGGTTGGCAAAAAACGAGATAAGGATGAAAATAAGGAGGAGAATAAGAAGGAAGAAACAACAACTGTCCCCCCGGCAAGCAGATTTCCTTTGGCACATGAAAAAGTATAAAAATTTGAATAATTTAGAAAATTAAAATTTTTTTAAAGCTTTCTGAAGACCCTGAAGTTAGAAATAAACGTTGGTTAGAATTATTTAGAGAAAGGAGAAGGATGACAATTGAGGGGATTTTGTAATGTTTTAATGATTTTATTGAGGTGCTTTTAGTTCCTTTTTTTGTATTTTATATAAATTTTTTTGTTTTATAAAAATTGTGTTTATTTTATAGTTGGTTTTGCCCACAAAGTATTTTTTAATTAAATTTTATTTTTCTCCAATTTTAGCTACAGCAGATGTTCTATTTCCGCAATTGTAGCGAAACTTTAATGATTTACCGACGTTTATTTTCTTTTTTAATTCAAAATGTTCGTCATTATTCTCTTGAATCGTCGAATAATTATGACAATGTTCGCGTTCGTTTTGCTCCGTCACCAACAGGACAATTGCATTTAGGTTTTTTAAAAAATAGACCTTCCGATAATTTTCCTGGCTACTTGCCTGACCCTTGGCGATTCATTTATTTGGGAAAAAATCCTTAAACTCGAATAACTAAGCCAATTTGGGGACAGAATGGGCCAACCATCAAAAAATTTTTTTATTTTTAAAGGTTCATTAAGAACAGCACTTTTTAATTATTTATTTGCCAAGAAATATGGAGGATCATTTTTATTAAGAATTGAAGATACTGACCGGGACAGATTGGTAGAGGGTACACAAAATGAGGTTTTTTTTAATTTTCTTTAAAAAATTTCTTTTTAGTTTGAAAATGTTTTGTCATATTTTGGCTTAAATTTGGATGAAGGCCCTTCTATTGATGGAAATTTTGGTCCTTATGTACAATCTGAGAGATGTGAAATTTATAAAAATGAAGTTGAGAGGCTAATAGAAGAGAATAAAGCTTACAAATGTTTTTGTTCTGTTGAGGTTTTTTTGACTTTTTTTGGGAAAAATTTGTGCGGGTTTTTTGGTTGTCTTCTGCTTTCCTGTTTCCCTAGGAAAAATGATCAAGAAGGCGCTTTCGATATTGTTGATGGTTGGCAGTAGGTAATTGAGTGTGCCGGGTCCGAATATAAGTTCTACTTCTATTTATTTCAAATCCCGGATCCTAATTCGAAATGGTCGAATTTGGGATCGGGATTCGAGATAGACAATTTCCAAGCTAATATTTCGACTCAATACACTCGATTACTCACTGGCAAACCTCCAAACTATCGAAAAATACTTGCTGTTCATTTTTTCTAGGGAACATTTTAGTACCGGTTTTGGCAAATTTTATCTTCTTTTAGTTTTTAGAGACTTGATATTCTTCGACGCAAAGCTTTAAATGAAAAGAAAATTCCTCGTTATGACCGCCATTGTCGAAATCTGTCAAAAGAAGAAATTGCTGCTCGTGAAAAAAATGGTGAAATACCTGTTGTTAGATTTAAATATGATGCTGGTGAAATGTCTTTTAAGGTTTTATTTCTAATTTTTTGAGGGAGGGCTTATATCAGTTAGAAAAAAAGTTGATCATGGTTTTTAAAATGTTCATTGGATCGGGGTTTTTTAGATCGGAAAAAAAAGTTTTTTAAGGTTCGGGTAACCGGGCCCATCCCTGTTCGATACACACAATTTTGTCCGCAAATATCCTAAATTTCCATGCAAATGGGACATAAAACATTCGGAATTTTTTGACCTTTTCAAAATGTGGAAATTGGGAATATCTGTACTTTTTAGGATACAGTTTTTGGTGTTTATTCTACAAGTTGGGACGAGGTTGATTTTATTATTTTAAAACGTGATGGCTTTCCAACTTATCACTTTGCTAATGTTGTAGATGACCATTATATGGAAATTAGTGGTATTTTTTGACTAACGTAATTAGAAACTAGTAAATCTATATTTGGGCACCCCAATAAAATGTGCGGATACACAAAAATTTGTATGCAATCATTACTTAACCTCAAATGTCACCTATCCACGAATGTTCGCAAATGTCGCTAGGACACTAATTTCCTTCGAAGTGGTGATTTAAAAAATTTTTTATACATAGATGTAATTCGCGGATCAGAATGGCTTTTATCTACACCAAAACATTTAAAACTTTATGAGTATGTTTTTTGTTTTTTAATTTAATTTTTTTTAATTTTTAGAGCTTTTAATTGGAAGGAACCGCGATTTACACATTTACCTTTAATTACTGAGGATGGAAAAAATAAATTGTCAAAAAGAAAATCGCATGCATTTGTGGTATATTTTCTATACAAGAATTTTTTAATTAAAATTTATTAAATTTAATATGGGTTGTTTTGGGACTTTAATTATAATTTCGGGAAAAATTTATTAAAATAATAACAGAAGTTTGATTTCATTTCTATAGTATGCAATAGATAGGTTCTAAACTACGAGTACATATACGGGTCCGAGGACAAATTCAATTTGGCCGGTCAAATTGAATTTGTCCAAAAATGTAATTTGGCCGCCGACATAATATATAAAAATATGAGTCAATAAATACATATGTCTCAGGTTCGAGTCCTGTGAGAGGACTGTTAATTGTACACAAAATTAAGTTCCGCAAATTTATTAAAAAAATTTTTTCTTCTCAAAATATTTTTTTATATATTTTTAAAGAGTTATTATACAAATTTTGGCTATCTCCCTTTAGCTGTTTTAAATTTTTTATTACGAAATGGAAGTGGAATTAAAGAATATAATTTACACAAACTTTATACAATTGATGAAATGATTACAAATTTTGATCAAAATTTAATTGGTAGAAGTACTTTTATGTTAGATTTGAAAGAATTAGATCGTTATGGAAGAATGGCTTTTCAAGCTAGTGATTTTGAAAAAGATTTGCTTCCTTGTATTAAAAAACAATTTTCTCTTCTTCCAGAGGTTTTTTCTAAAATATTTTTTTAATTCGGGGTTTTTTGAGGGATCTAGCTCATCAGGGTTTTGGAAAAAATATTTTAATGAATACGCATTTGTGTCCGTTAGTAAGAGACTGTCCGCTTTTGAAATTTTTTACACACCTTTAATAAGTAGTCTATATCTGTGACTCTTTAGTTCAATTCTTGATTTGAGTTTTTTTTTTTTTGGATTTTTGACGGCCTCCTAATCATGAATAGTAAGGGAGACCTAGATTTAGATTAGCCTTTAGTTTTCCTGGATTTAAATTTATTTTTCGCGGTTCCTTGATCTTTTCTGGATGGTCAAGAAATCTGGTTAACATACGTTCAAGTTTTTTCCAATCTTGACCAGATTTCTCAATCTGGAAATCTTGGAAAAATAACTTTTAATCCAGGAAAAACACCTAATCTAGGACTTGACATCCTAGACAGTGTCGTATAAATTTAAAAAAAATTTTTAGACAACAAAAACTTCAATAAATCCACAATTATTAACTTCTTCATATTTTAATAAAGTAATTTCATTTTTACATTTAAATGAAGAAAAATTTTGTAAAATGTCTGACATAACAACTGGGGACTTTAAATTCTTTTTTATGACACCAAATTCGTCAGAAAAAATTGTCAAATATTTTCAAGATGATATTAAAAAAGTTTTGAAAATTTTGAATAAATTGTTGGAATATTCAAAATTGGATAATAATAAAATTAATTTTGAACAAATTAAATTGTTAGCGAAGGAAGAAGAAGATTTTTCTGCAGGAAAAATAACTACGTTTGTTTTAAATTAATTTTTTTTGTTGCGGATCTCGCTATTAGTGTAAATAAGAAGCGGGGCGGGTTGTCCGCAAAATATTTTTCTATTTTTAAGCGATATCCTCCCTGTTTAAGATACAAACTTTTATAAAATCAATCCGATTTTTAAGCCCCGGGGGGGGGGGGGGTCTGACTGAAATTTTAACAAAATTCTTTAATTAATAATTTTTTTCTTTCAGTCTTTTTCGATTAGCAATAATTGATAATATATCTGGACCACCTATTCATGAACTTGTTAAATTTTTTGGAACAAAGGAAATTTCAATAAGATTAGAAAAAATGGTTTTTAAATTGGAGGGATATTTAAATAATTGTGATGATGTGAAGAAGAAAAAATGTGAAGCAGCCTGAAAATATTATTTTTTTACTTTTTTTTTGTTAAAAATTTGATAACCTTTAAAGTTTGGAATTTTTTAGGGTTTTTTGTTAAATTATTTTTGTTGTTCCTCTGGTTTTCCTCTTCTTGTTTGTGTGGATTTTCTAAATTAATTCTTTTGTAATTTGGTGTTTAGAAATATTTTAAAATAATTATGTCAAAGTGTTAACTAAGGGAAAATATTTCTTTTGATCGTTTAAACATTTGGTTATTTTTTCCATTTTTTCTATTTTTTAGAGCTGTTAATTAGTTTTTTAAATTTCAGTTTTTGTAAAAAATGTGGCCACCGCCTAGGCATAATATGCCAATTCCTCCACCACCTATTCAACCTTATGGAATGCCACTTCATGGACATCCACCTGATCCTTATATGGATAGAAGAGTTGGTGCTGGTGCTCCTCCTCCTCCTCTTGCTGGACCACAATGGAATCATAGAGAAGTTGGTACTTGGAGAGTACCTGGAGAAGATTGGCGGTCTGCTGTGCATCACCAACCCTGGTCAAGTTAGTTTAATTTTTGTTTTTTTTTTTAAATTTTTGAAGTAATGTTGGGGGATTTCTGTTATCTAGTCTTACAGGCCTGCCATACCACAAAATATTAACTAGTGCCTCTTTGTCTCTAAATTCACCTTTTAACCCTATCTTCTAATCTAAAAGAAATTATTTCACTTCCTGTTTTTGTCAGATCACGATTTTTATCAACGCCAATATGGAGGGAATGTCCCAATTGCTAGATCTTTTGCTCAATTTGATAGAAGACCTGGGTCTCCATTAATAAAACCTCAAGAATCATCTTCACATATTGATTATGAAAAGCAATTGAGGGAACATTATGAAACGCCTAAACCTTCTTATAGTGATTTTTCTGAAATGACTAAAGCTGCTGCTCCACAGGATGAAAAGTACTTGGAATTAAATTCTGTAACATCTGCAAGGAGAATACATTTAAATTGGAAGTTGCCAACTCTTCCAGGTTTTTTAAAATCAATGGGAAGTATTGGTGATTGAATGGGTCTGGGCCAAGGTTTGAGAATTATTCGCACTTTCTAAAAATTAAGCCTTACTGTCGAATTTAGTCGCTGTCGAAAATAGAGGAAAACGGTGAAAAAAAGTAGTTAACTGTCGAATTTATCAGACACGGCTCACTCAGTCAGATCAGGCTTATATCAGTACCAGACATTTTACTTTAATAAAACATTTTAGATTCTTTTTATTTTTTTCATTTTTAAAGCTAACGACAAATTTAAAATAAATTTGGCCATAAAATTGGAGGAGTTGGAAGGTGGAATTGGAAGAGGTGCAAGAACTGGTGAATTGGGATTAATACTTGATAAAGTTCTTCCAATACATACAACAAAAACTTATTTTGATGCAATTCCTGGATCTTTGTATGTTTTTATAAATATTAGAGACAGGACCGAGACTGTAGCTTAACCAAAAATTTCAGTTGAGGTCGAGATTTTTCTAGATTTCTCGTACGATTCTTTTACAACCCTACATTTTTGTCTTCAGTTTTATATTAATTAAAATATTTCTTTGATTAAAAACATTTTTGCGGATTTATTTTTTTTGTTGGGCATTTATTTTTTATTTACTCCTCAGACTTTTTGTGATATTTTTTTACATTTAACTTCAACTTTAAAAGAATTTTTGTTTTATTTTTTTTTAGATATTCAATTGATCTTAACGTTATTGGTCAAAAAGGAAATGTTTATACATCAAATAGTACCAAAGAAAGAGCAAGTAAATTTTTTTAAATTTTCAGCGATTTTTTCATTATTAAAAAAATTTTTTCTAAAGCATTTTCAATTGATGAAATGATGGTTTTAATGCAAAAAGCAATTGATTTTACTGGAACATCAATGCAATCTTTTACTTTTCTTTATCGTTGTAAACCAAGAATTTATTGGGATTATGTTTATGAAATGGGGCAAGTATTAAATCCTTATTTGAAGGATAGTAATGGGCAGGCAGCTTGTCCTTTAAATCAAAATATTGAAGGTTTTTATTGATTTAAATATTTTTAATTTTTATTTAAAAAACAGGACTTTTCTTTTCTGCTAAAACTAATCCTGATGGTTCTTTGCCTAATTCTTCACCATTTGGAGATGTTAGAATGGTATATATTTTTTTGAAAATATTCCAAATATTCTAATAAAAACCCATTCTCAATAGTAGCTTTTTCCTTCTAAAAGAGCCCAGTTAATAAACGCCTAGTTATTCTATCCGAACATTTATCTAATTGTCAATTAATTAAATTTTTCAGCAATTTTCCTTTCAAACTTTATTCAAAACTAAAAAAATTTTATTTTTAAAGGTTTTGCCCGCACATAATTTACTTGATCCTCAACGTGTAAATTTATATTTTGCTGATTTTTATTGTAATCGAGTTCCTCATTATGTCACTGTTGTTGTTGCATTTAAAGATTCTGAAGTTGATAAGTATTAAATTTTTAAAATAATTTTAGAAAATTTCTTTTTTTAAAGATTTTCTAAGGATAAACTTCTTCCATTAGACCCATTTGACAATCAGTTCTTGCTTCTTCAACATACTTCAAATTCTCAATCTCCTTTAAATTTTTTTGTAAACAAAAAAGTTTGGGTTGAAATATATTATACTGAAACTGTTCCTATGAGATGGTTTGTTTTTTTTAGTTTTTAGCTCTTTTCTTGTTTCCCAGAAAGTCCGCAACTTTTGTCCGCAAGTTACTAGATTAGTTTATTTTACAATTTTAATATTAAAAAACCTCGAAAATAAATCAGTTATTGTTCACTAAATTCGAATCAGAGACCGACTGCCTATCAAATCGGACGGTTACCCCTGTGAAATACTTTACGATGGGGTTGTTTAATTTTATCCACAATTGTAGATAAAATTTGCGGACTTTTAAATTAATTTACATTTTATTTTTCTTATTTTTTAAAGGGGACGGTTTGACAATATAATTCCACAAGGTGTTGGAACTTCTAAAATTGGAGGACTTCCACATAACAAAAATTGTCGTACTTGTAATTTATATCCAGTCGGTGTCCCAGCCCCACCATTACCTCACAATTATGATTTATTGAAAAAAGACCAAGCTGATCAAATGGTTAAAGAAGCTATTAATGCTAAATTACCCGACGAGGATGATGATGATATTGAATGTTTGGATGAGGTTTTTCTTTTTTTTCTTTGAATGAGGGATTGAATTTTGTAATTCCTTTGTGAAAATAACCTGCTTTGGATACAAAAATAGACTTAAAAGAAATACATATTATCTTTAGTCGGTTATTATTTTGTTTATATGACTGACTTTAGCCCGGTGTTAGTGTGTTAGTCTTGGGGACTTAATTGGTGCGATAATAACTTAATTAAATAATACTTAACTTAATTATTTTTGAGAAAAGAAAATTTTTTGTGATCCGAAAAAAGGCTTTTTAATTTAAAAACTAATTTTCAAGTCAACTTCATCTTCACGTTTTATGTCTTATGAATTGCTTCAAAGGCGTTATGAAAGATTGGAGCATGCAATTTCTAGTGATTTTATTAATAAAGAAATTACAAATTCTGAACATGAAATATATAAAAATTTAACTAGCGAAGTTTATGATTTTTTGAAGAAAATGAATAAAGATTTTATTATTTTAAATGAAAGAATTGATTTGTTGGCAAAAAGTGAATATTTTTGTACAACGACAACGAATGAAACTAGTTGTAGCAATGATATTAGTAAAAAGGTTTGTTTAAGTTTTTCATTTGAGGGTATTCGAAATATATTGATATTAAGTTGAAGAGACCATCCCTGGAGAAATTGGCCGAGTCCGCAAAAAATTTTGTTGTCCGAAAATTACATAGGGAGTTTTTTACGAACTTTCCCCCTTATTTTTTCTTGGACAAATTCGTGTAATAAAAATCTGACGATCTCCTCTATCAGTTCCTTTTTAAAATTGAAAATTTTTTAAAGATGTATCATAATATTTAAATAAAAGTCCAATGAGGAATTGTGGAAAAGTCCGTAAAAAAGTTTTTTGACTGTAAAAAATGGGACCCTCAGGAGAACAGAATCCTTGATAGATTTTAATTCTGAAGGCCTTTCGGTCATATTACAAAAAGATTTTTAAACTTTCGGTTTTTGAAAAATCCATACTTACACTTAATAAAATAATTTTATTTTTAAGAAAGATGAATCTACTAATAATATTTGTCCAATTTCTGGAACATTAAAATCTGTGATAGATATAGTTGTTTCTAGTCCAGAAGGAAGGGATGACAATGAAGAAGAAGACAAATCTCATCATTATAAACATCATAGAACAAGAAAGCTTTCAATAAATTCTGAAGTGAAAAACAAAAGGAGAAGAAGTATAAGGGAAGATTCTATTTAAAAAAATATTTTATTTTTATTTACTAGTAATTTATTTAAAAGAAATTTTTATTAAAATTTAAAAAATTTATTGGTTATTTTTATTAAAAATAATTTTATTGGTTATTTTTTAACCGAAAAAAAAATATTTTTTAATTTTTATTTTACAAAAATTAGAAGTAGGCACGGATTTTGGAGAGTCCCATAAAAAAGTTGAAAAAATGTGAATTTCCCGTTATGGGGCGGTGCCTCCCAGACACATTTTCAGGTCCCAGTTTCCTCTCAATTTCTTTCAAGGCCAATGGTTTTTTGCGAGTGGGAGTAGAAGGGAGAGGGGCTGGGGTTTGAATTTGACATTTTCTTGGATTAGTCATTTCTTAAGAAATTTTACAAAAAGAAAAAATCAATTTAACACTTTTTTTGTTTTGAAAGGGTTGTTGGCGGTCGGTTAATTGAAGCAAAACCGAAACCCGGTGTTTTGGCCAGAAACCGAAAACTGCGGGGTCAAATACCGGTGATAACCGAAAACCGGTGGCCTAAACCGACCGGTTTTTCGGTTAACCGAAAAACCGGGGGGCGTAAACCGTTGATAACCGAATACCGTGGTTACCGGTTAATAACCGGTCGCCAACAACCCTAAATTTAGTTTTCCCCTTCAGTTTAAAAAAGTTAAATTTAAAAAATGGAGGAAGAAATCAACAACAGCAACAAAAATAATAATATTAAACAAAAAAATGAAGATAAGCAAGAAGAATTAAATGAAAAACAAAAGGAACGAAAATACCTAATAACAAGAAATTTACAAGAAATTTTGGGGGAGGATAAATTGGTTAAACAAATAATAACAGGGAAAAATATACATATTTATTGGGGAACTGCAACAACAGGAAGGCCACATGTTGGCTATTTTGTACCAATTCAAAAGATTGCTGATTTTTTGAGAGCTGATATTAGGGTAGGTGAAAAGAATTTTTTGAAATTTTTCTGAAAACTTGTGAAAAATTTTTTTTAATTCCACTTATGGGCCAGCTTTTAAGCAATTGAAAGTTTTCCCTCAATTTTTTTGAACACTTAAACCTATGAAATTGAGGATCTATCCAACTCAATGTCGTGGTGTTATAATGATTAGCACTTTTGTCTTTCACTTTTTTATACGAGGTTCGATTCCTTCCATGGTTATTTATTCACATAATTAATTATGTATTTTAAGGTCACTATTCTTTTTGCTGATCTTCATGCATCTCTCGATAATTTAAAAAGTAATTTTGAATTGTTGGAGAATCGTTTACTTTATTATGAATATGTGATTAAAGCTTTAATGACCGCTTTAAATGTTCCTTTAGAAAAGTTACATTTTGTACGTGGTCAATCTTATCAATTGTCTGAGTTAGTTTTTTTTAATTTTCTATGTTCTTATTTAATATCGAACCCGCCCCTATCCTTATTTGAGTCAAATTTATTTTATTTAATTTTCTGTCTCGAAATGGTCATTTTTCCTTTTTATAAGTGTTGATTTTTGCCCTTGCCGTCTATTTTTTCTTCCTAATTTTTGCTCAATTAACATAACTTTCACTTATTTTCGAGTTAATTAAATGACTGTCAATAAAGGTAAAACCTCAAATGGGGAGAGGTGCAGGATTTAAACAAAGTACCCATTTTTCTCCTTATTCTTTTCAGGCCTTACACAAAAGACTTGTTACGGTTATCCTCTTTAGTTAGCCTTCGAGATGCAGTTAGGGCTGGCGCTGAAGTTATAAAACAAATGGATGATCCTTTGCTTAGTGGCATTTTGTACCCTTTACTTCAGGCATTAGATGAACAATATTTAAAAGTTGATGGACAATTTGGAGGATTGGATCAAAGGAAAATATTTATTTTGGCTGAGGAACAATTACCAAGAATTAAATTAGGGAAACGTTTTCATTTGATGAATCCAATGGTTCCGGGCTTGACAGGCTCAAAAATGAGCAGGTTTTTTTAATTTTATACTTCATACAATTTTTATTTTTTTAAAGTTCTGAAGAATATTCAAAAATAGATTTACTTGATGATCCTGATGTTGTTAGTACAAAAATTGATTCAGCAAATTGTCCATCAATTGAATCTGGTATTGACAATGGTGTTCTAGCATTTTATCAGCATGTTGTTTTTCCAATTATTGGAGAGGTTTGTTGAGTATTTTAAATTGAGAAAAAATTATTTTTTAGAGTATTATAATGAATAACCAACAATTTTGTGATTTTCCGAGTCTTCAAAAAGCATTTAAAGAAGAATTAATTAAAGAAGATGAACTAAAAAATTATCTTAAACAATTTTTGAATGGAATTCTTGCAAAAGGTTTTTTGTTAAAAATTAATTTTTTTAATTAATTGAATTCTTTTAAGTACAAGAAAATTGTTTTAATTCTCCAGAATTTAAAGAAATACTTTCTAAAGCTTACCCGAAGGTCTTTGTTAATAATGATGATTTTAGTAAACTTTGTGTAAATAAAATGGAAGAAAAAATTATTTCTGATTTTGGTACTTTTGGTGATAAATTTGAGGTTTTTTAAATATTTTATTGATTTTTTGTCCGCAATTTTTTGCTTTTGTTTAATATAAACTTAGGTTGATGGGGATTGTTTAATTTTCACCTTAGCTGAAATAAATATTTGTCAACTTTTTTGTTCAAACCCCCGTCTCCTTTCCTGCTAATTTTATTTTCATATTTTTTTAGTCTTCGTAAAATTCTGAGTTTTATGTATTTTTAATTTTAAATTTACCTGAAAAAGTTTGCGGATTTTTTTCTCAAGCATTTTTCTCAAACACTTTTCACTTTTTTAAAGTTTATTCCGTCAAAAACTATTACTCAATCTTCTTTAATATTTAACATGGATTCATCAGTAGAGCAATCATGTCCTTTAAAAATTTTGTGGAGATGTTCACCAAAAGGAAATTTTACTTTAGCACATATTTATTCTCTTGTTCAATTGAAAATTCTTTGTCAAAAAGGTTTTCAATGTACAATTTTAATTTCTGATTTGGATGCTTTTCTTGATAAATTAAAATGTCCATGGCAGGATTTGAAGGTTTTTTTTTAATTTTTTTTAAATTCAAATAATTTTGTAGAAACGAACAGAAAATCATTTGAAGATATTAAAACAACTTTTAAATCTTTTGGAAATGGAAAATGTGTCTATTTGTTTATCCAGTGATTATGAATTTGAAAGGTTTATTTATTTTTTGGGGGGTTTTGGGGACTTTTTGAGTTAATTTTTGGAGTTTCCACATTCATTCTTTTTTAAACTCAAAATTAGTCAAAAACCAGTCAGTCTAATTATTGCCTGATTGTCTATATTTTACAGCATAATTTCTTATTAAATTTACCTTCTATTGTAAGCCCTTTGAAATTTTTTTCCCCCAGCCTAGCAAATAAGCATTTTCTGGGATGAGTTTTCGGCCGCTTTTTTCCTCATTCAACAAGAATTTCGAAAAGCTAAAATTTTAAAGTCAGTACAGTATAACAAAGAAGTACCACTTTTTACCTCTCTTTTGTCCCCTCCTTTTTCTTAAAATTTAAAAGAATCCGTTATTTATAGTGATTTTACTCTAAAAATGTATCAGGCTGTCAGTGTTGTAACAAGGGATCAAACGTCACTAATTCCGGAAGCAAATACTGTTGGATGTCATCTTTGTCCAATATATTTTGCTTTGGATATATTTTATGGAAATTATGACATTGTAAAGAGAAATAGGTTGAAACATAAATAAATAGCTCCCCCCCCCTTGAGACAACTAAAATTCAACAAGGTTAATTATATTTTTTGTGATTGTAAGATTGCCTATTTTCTGGTGATTGCCTATTTTTTTTGTGATTGCCTATTTTCTGGCAAAAAATAAGAATCAAAGAACGAAATTTCTACAAATATAACTAACATCTTAATTGATAAAAATAAAAAAGAAATTAGATAAATCGGTTAAGTAATAAATGAATTTTTAACTAGGGGGCTAATTATTTATGTTTCAACATAATTGTAAGTAAAAACTATTTTTAATTTAATTTTTAGGTTTTAATTGGTCCAAATCAAAAAGAATTTGCAGATTTAGCTTTAAAGGTTTTCTTTTTTTTATTTTTTTTTGAAAAAAGAAATTATTTAGATTAATAAAGAATTAAAACGAGAGGACACAAACATGCCGGCTTTTCTTATTTTGGTTTGTTTTTAGTAAATATTGCAGATAAAACCGAAGAAATTGGAACAAAAACAGCTTTTAGGGTAATTGTCAAGAGTGTTAGGTGTTGAAAACACAAAAGTTTTTCAAAAAGTAAGCACCAGGCATTTTCAATTTCTCTGTTACCTTCTCAAACCTAAATTCCCCCCCCCCTCCCCACTACATTTTTTTGTATTTAATTAAATAAAAAATTTTTTAATTAGCCAGAAATAATTGGAACAGATGGCCTTAGAATGAGTGCTACAAAGCCGGATTTTCATTTAAATATCAACGATGGATTGAAAAAAATTCGACAAAAAATTGGAAAATCTTTTTGTGAACCAGGAAATTTGGATAAGAATGTTGCTTTAGAATTGTGTAGAAAAATTGTTTTTCCTTTTGCTGAATATTTGAAATGGAAGGAAAAAAATATTTTTGGTGGAGCAGAATTTAAAGGTTCTTTTTTTTAACTAGAAACAAAAAATAAGGGGGTATTAACAGAGCTACATACCTACGATTTTGGGTTATTTCTGGTTTTTGACCCCGGTCTTCAATTCCTTGTTCGGTTAGCCTTATTTTAAACTAGAAATTAGTAAATTTCGATAGTTCCTTATTTTTTAATTTTTTTAAATAAAATAAAATACGAAGCGTGGACATTTACCTTATTTTCGGTTCTCACATCAGCCTCTTTAAAATTTTTTTTTTATTTTTCAGAGCTGACAATTAAAAGATCAGCAGAAAATGGGGGGAATTTAATTGTTAAAAATTACCAAGAACTTGAATCTTTGTTTTTATCATTAAATTTACATCCTGCTGATTTGAAAGCTTTTCTTGTTGAACAATTAGATGCATTTTACTTTGAGCCTATTCGAAATAATAAAAAAATAATGGTAAGTAAATAAAGAAGAATAATTTTGAAACTAAAAGGCTTCATTGACATTTTTGCGGACATTTTTTGCGGAGAAGCTTTTTCAAATTGAAATAAATAAATTGGAGAGTAATGTGCACCCTATATTATTAATTAATGTTTTTAATAATTATTTTGTGATAGATTACATTTAAAAATCAAAAGCTTTCTGCAAATGTCTAATTTTATTAGTGTCCGCAAAAATTTATGTCCGCAAATATCTATCTATATATTTTTAATTTTTTTGCAAAAAAAATTTTTCATTAAATAGAAAATTTTTTAGTAGCTACAACTAATTGGAAGAACAGATTGAATGCTACAAAACCGGAGTTTCTTAATCCGCAAAAAATTTCTGTCCATAAAAAGCGATATACTCCAAAAATAAATTTTCTTTTCTTTCAAACTCTAATCTTATATTTAATTGTTTTTATTAGAGACCGGAACGGGATCCTGTCCCGTTTTCCCGGTCCTTTTTACCGGCTTTTTTGCAGATGCCGGGATGAAACCGTGATCGGGAATCCCCGGTGTCCGGGTCCCGGCCGGGTTCCTTCTGCAACAATTTCCCGTCCCGGTTTTTTCAAATTCCGGTCTCTAGTTTTTATTTGTTTTTGAGTCAATACTTCATTTTATTCCGAAAATGGTCAATCCCTCGCTATCAAGTTGGAATGGGTTGAACTGCGCATTGTTTTCTTTCAATTTTGGACTCGTCCCAAATCTTTTATTTTAATTTTCTGTTGTTCTTTTGGTGTTTAAATGTATTTTATTCTAAATATTAAATGTTGTTGTTTTTAATTTATAAAAAAATATTTTTTCGAAGTTTGTATTTAGATTCTACATCTTTTAATATTTTTGTTTTTTATTCAACATAATTTTATTTTTTCTTTAGAAAAATGGATAGAATAGCGATAGATCATGCACCAGGGCAATTTAATCTGTTGGATTTTTTTAATTTTAAAATTAATTTTAAAAAATTTTAAGTTACCAGTTTCCTGACAAATTTGTTGTTGAGCCAGTGCTTGGTGAAGGATCATTAGAGATTGATCGATATTCAAATGACGTCAATTTGAGTGAGTTTTTTGAAAATTGGAAAACCATAGGCTCACTTTTGATCGAAAAATTCGAATATGCAAATTATAGCTCATTAGAATGAGATTATTGAGCTGACAATGAGTTAAATTCATGGCATAAATGGGACCTTCAAACATTATATCTCTAAGGAAGAAGGTCTCTAGCTCTTCCTTGAAGTCGCAGGATGCATTGCGGCAGGATTAATACCAGCCTATTAAAAAAAATTTTTTTCTCAACTTTTTTATTTCAAAAATAGAAATAACAAGTAGACAACAGCCACTTCAATCTAGTCATCAAGCAATTAAAGTTGAGCGTATTAATGGACTTGTTGGAATTGTTGAATTAGTTTCTGGCCCATATTTAATTTTTATAAAGTCGGCAACAAGTATTGGTATGTTTAATGATGCTGAGATTTTCAAAGTTGTCGAAGCGGAATTGGTTCCATTCAAATCTTCGAATTTGCATCTTTCTGAAAGGGAGGTTTGTTTGATTTAAAGAATGTCTTTTTGTATTTTTCTTGTGGAGAAGGGTATTTTAAGGTTCTTATTTTTAAACAAAATTGTTGAAAACTTTGAACTCTATTGAAATAGGAACCCCGGGGTATGTATTAGTGATATGATGGATTAGTGATTCTCGGACTCTTTTTGATTCGGAATTTGTCTCGAGCAATTTTTTAAAATCTGAACCCCGATTTTGTACATATTTAATTTCGTTGTGCTATCTAATTTCGGAAGAATTTTTCATGACTAGACTAACGCCGAGGGAGCTCTTGTCACTCCTTTAACGTGAGTAGAACGAACTGCTAGAAGAGGTCGCAGGTTCGATGCTTGCTCTGGGCTAAACTTTTACCTTATAATTGCTTTCCTTTTCCATAACTTCAAAAAAAACCTTTTTGTTGTTTTTTAGAGAAGAATTAATCAAAATTTTGTTGAAATGTTAAAAAATGTTCTTTCTACCGAAAATTTTTATTATTCAATTGGAATGGACATTTCACGTTCATTTCAATGGTTAAGTGAAAATGCTTCTCCAGAATTACATTCATTACCTTTACTTCAAAAAGTTGATAAGAAATTTGTTTGGAATGCAAAATTGAGTGAAAAATTTGATACTGTTGAGGTTTTTTTATAATTTTTTATTTGAATTTTATCTTGTGAAAATGTAGAATTGCTCTGAGGGATCCCGTAACAGTAATTTTTCCTGTTATTAGATCAAATTCGAGAGGTTTTTATGTATATTACTTTTTGAAATATTTGGACAAATTTTAGGCCTTATATATTTCCACTGATAAAAACTTTATATTCTTTAAATTTTACATAACGATTAATATTTTTTTCTAAATAGTTCTCCAAGTTTATTCAACCTCTAATTCACGGATTTGTTGGAATACGTCGTTGTCGTGTAAACAATTTATCATTTAATTTGGCATTAATTTCTAGGAGATCAGTTTACAGGTTTTTTAAATTAGAAAGAATTTTAAAAAATTTGTTTTTAAAGGCCCGGAGTTCGTTTTCACACTCGTGGTGCTGATTCAGAAGGAAATTGTGCAAATTTTGTGGAAACTGAACAATTAGTAGAATTTGATGTTGGAGGGAAGTCTTCTAATTCTTCTACTAATAATAAAAAAGTGGTTACTTCTAGACATATTGCTTCCTTTATTCAAGTTTGTTTTTTTATTAAATTTTTAAATTGAAAAAATCGAATTTAAATGTCCCTCGTTTTAAAAAAAAGGTTAAAACTCCCAATAACTGCCCACTAGGTATCGGATTTGTGATTCCCTAAAAGTTTAATATAAATTTAGAAATTTTTTAAAAATAAGATTCGAGGTTCAATTCCACTTTATTGGACTCAAAAACCAAATCTTAAATGGCAACCGACACCAAGTTTGAAATCTAGCGCTGATGAACAATTTAATTGTTTTAAACAACATTTGAATAATTTATTGGATTGTTATGGAAGAGATGCTTTGACTGGAAATCCTAGAAAAATTGTAAAAATTTTTATTTTCTGTAAGACTTTTTTTCATGTTGGCAACAGGGATGTCACGGGTTGAGAAAAATGTCGGGTCGGGTTTCGGATCGGGTTTCCAAAATTTTTCTCGGATCGGGTTTCGGGTTTCGGGTTGAACAAAAAGTCGGGTCGGGTTTCGGATCGGGTTTTCAAAATTTTCTTCGGATCGGGTTTCGGGTTTCGGGTCGAAAAAAAGCCAAAATTTTGAGAATTTTGGAAGGCCAAAAAGCCAAAAATCTTCCCTTCTCAGCGCCGCAGGCGAAAATTTTGAGAATTCTTGAAGGTCCGAAGCCAGATTTCTTCCTTTTTCAGCGCCGCAGGCGAAAATTTTCAGAATTTTGGAAGATCATTAAGCTAAAAATCTTCCCTTTTTCTGCGACGTGGGCGAAAATTTTGAGAAAACTCGGGTCGGGTTTCGGATCGGGTTTTGAAAAATAAAAATTCTCGGGTCGGGTTTCGGGTCGGGTTTTAGAAAATTTCTCGGATCGGGTTTCGGGTATCGGGTCGAAAAAAAGGCCGGGTTTCGGGTATCGGGTTTCGGGTAACCCGTGACATCCCTGGTTGGCAAGAGGGGTCTGTTCTAGCCAAAATCTTTATGGGTTTATCGATGCCGGTTTCAAAAGCATTGTCTTGTATGAAAAAAGTCCGCAAAAATTTTCGTAAAATTTTTTAAATAATTCTTTTCAAGCTTCTTCTAAGCCTTTTAAATCAATATGGAAGAGAGAAGAATGTTGGCTCACAATTTCGTTCAGTTGTCGAAAAAATAAGAATTCCAAGTGTAAAATATATTGCATTTGACTTTCATCGGCATTGTCAGTCGTTAAACTGGAAAAGATTATCCTATTTAAAAGAAGAAATTATGCCTGATATTCGACAATTTGGGTAAATTTTTATAAGTTGTTTAATTTGCGGACAAAAAATGTTCGCAAAACTAGTATAATACTTTTGACTATCCTTCCAATTTAATTAATTTTTATTTTTTTAAAGATTTTTCTCAACTCATTTATCAATACAAGGTGATTTTTGGATTGAGGCTAATCCAGAAAATAGGCAATATCAAAATGGTTTTATACGTACAAATTGCATGGAGTTTGTTTCTTTTTTTAATTTAAATTTGTTTATTTAGTTGTTTGGATCGTACAAATGTTGTTCAAGCATTAATTGGGATTGAGTCACTTCGGTAAATAAAAATATTTTTTAGGGGACTCGGGAGTTTACACTTTACTATAAGATATCCACAAAACTAGATACTCCTTCAATTTTTAATTTTTTTTTAAAATTAGGGGATAGCCATTGGGTGAAGGGACCTCCCTAACAATAAGCGGTATTCCACTATATTTAAGATACACTCCTCGGTTGTATTTTCAACATCAAAGAGGATAGTAAACTTATAAAAAATCAGTCTTTAATTTTCCGCTTGTCCGCAAAATTTGTCCGCAAAAATTTTTTCTCTTTTAAAGTTTTCAACTTCAATATTTTGGTATTATAAATGAATCAGTTTTTAATTTTGATGCTTGGCCAGAATTTGTTTATACGTTTAAAAATTGTCGGTTTTCCTTTTCGGCGTTTTTTAATTTTTATTTATTTTTAAAGTATGGGCAGATAATGGTGATATTTGTAGTAAACAATATGCTGGGACTGGGGCTTTAAAGGTTTAAATTAAAAAAATTAAATTTAAAAAAACTTTTTCAGACTGATTATACACGCGTTGGAAAACGAACTTTTGGTGGAATGGTTAATGATTTGAATAATTCTTTGACTCGTTATTTTAAAAATAATTTTACGGATGGTTATAGACAGGTTTAAAAAAATTTTATTTTTTAGTGGGAGGATTTTTTGGTTTAAAAATTCTGCTGCCTCGGGGGTACAGATAAATGCAAAATCTGGTTTCCTCTCCGGGCATTCAAGCAACCCAATAATCGCCGGCAGGCATCGAACCTGGGTCATCTTAATCCTAAACCACTACACCACGATAAATTTTTCTCAAAATTTCTCAGATTTCTCAGAATTTTCTCAGTAAACCTATCTCTAATTAAAAAAATTTTTTTATTTAAAAAAATTCATTTTTTAAAAAGGATGCCCTAAATTTATTTTTGCTCAACTATACAGTCGACAGAAATAGTTTACCTGAGAGAGCAGATCATTCAATAATTAATTTTGACAGTAACGGAGCGGCAATTGCTGGAGCAATATTTTCTGTGACTATGACACTTTTATGTATTTTGATCTCAGGTTTTATTTAAAAAAGAAGATTTTTTGTGAAATTTTAACGAGAAAAAATTTTTAGATAATATAAGTGCTTCATTCTTTTGGTTTGTAATATTTATTTTATTTATGGGCTTTATTTGGGTTAATGGAGATGATTTTGTTGATAATCCATTGCTTATACCGACGTCAGAAAAAATTGGAAAAAAGGATTAAATAGAAAATAAAAAAATATGTATTTTTTAATTAATAAATTTATATGATCGGATTTTTAGGTTGTAAAAACCTTAAAATAGGTACCTAAATATGTATAAAATGCCAAAATAGATCTTTCGGTCCATTTGGCAACCCTATTTATGACCTAAAAATCCTATCCCTAATAATTAGTGTTGTAAAAATAAAATATATTCTATAATTACTTTCGATAAAAAATATACCATTTTTTGACTGTTTATTATCAATTAGTGTACTCATTTAATATGTCCTCAATTTACAAGACTCAACTCAAACTTCATGACTCGGATGAGTTAAGTTGTGGGACTCATAAGGTGGTTCGTCATAAAATTCCAGGACTCAACTGACCCGCAACCGACATTCGAGCGTTAAAATTTTGCTCTCGACTACTTTGGTGTTCTCTTTATTTTCTCCTAATGTCCACTATTTGGGGTTTACTCTATTGACATTCATTTCACAATTTTTCTCCTTAAACTGTATTAACGCCGCTGACCATTCGTTTCTTTTTTATTGTTAGCTAGTTAAAAAATGAAGCCAAGCGACTTTATTGTGTTAATAAAATCTTGTTTTTAGCTTCTTTTTTTTTAATTTTTTTTGTTTAATCCGCTTAAATATTTTAATTAAATTTAGTTAAAAATATTTAAATTTATTTTCAAGTATTTTTTACAACAACAAGCTTTTTGTTGCTATTATTTTATATTAATGGTAAGTAAATGGCTCTTGTACAGATTGGGTGTCCTCCAAACACACCCTTATAAGTTGGCCTTCTCTATCCAATTAACCCCCTTGTGTGTCCAGAATTACTTTGAACGCACAAAGGGATGATTGAACGCCTAATCTTGACAAGAGCTAAGTTAAAGTCTGACTATTATAGAGTAAAATACTCCCATTTAAGCCAAGTGCAAGATCAACTTCTCGTGGTCGGCCAGTAAAGCGTAGTTCGCGTTCAACAAGCGCGAGTAGGAAGGCAAAGCCAACAATACAAAAATTTTCTCCTCCAACACAGCAGCAGAAGAAGAAGCTTTCATCACCACAATCATTGCGCAAGTCAAAGTCTCCACAAAAATCAATTCCTAAAGAAAAGGCACGCAAAACTCGTTCAACTTCACGAACTCGAAAGGTTTTAAATCTTTAAAATGATTAATAAAAATTAAGAATTGGTGGGGTTTTTTGGGTATATCTTATTTTTGCAAGTTTCCATTATTCAGCCCACTTGGCTTGGGTCTGACCAAGACCCCACAAACATTTTTTGAATTTCATTGTCCGCAAATTTAAAATTTCCTTTAAAGGTGAATACTGCTCCGCCAGCTGTGAGTGCCAACAAGAAAAAAGAAAAGACTTTTAGTCGTCCGAGCCCTCCACAACAATCGTATAGTAGCTCAACTACAATTAAAACAACTACTTTAACGGCAACCAGAGGTTTGTAAAAATTTTTGAAAGAAAATTTTTCGGTGTTTGTGGGTCCAGAGCCCAGCATTTTTTGAATTTCCAGGGCTTTTTCAGGGCCCTCTGTTCAATAGAAAGGATTTGACCATTATGAGAATAACCCACAAATATTCACTATTTTTAAAGGAGCAGCTCGTCCAGCTACAGCTTCTCCACTTCCATTTGCTTTGCGTGGTTCAATTTCACCACCATTACTTCGTTCACGTACTGCTGCTGCATTAGCAAATAATAATAATCAAAGAGGACTTACACATTCACCGCAGGCAAGAAAAACTTTGAAAAGAAGGGGGACATATTATGAGCAGATAAAGAATAGTGCAGTCTGTCGACAATTGGGAAAATTTGGAAATTGTGTTAAAAAGGTTTTATTTTTTATTTGAATCGATTCCATTCCTCCGAATAAAATTCCTCGAAGAACGGATCGGAGCATTTTTAGCATTCACACGATTCCCCCCACAATTTTAAATATTTCTCAATTTTCAGTCAACATTTTCAATTTTCAACAAAGCCAAAGCTAATTGGCGTTTACTATTCATTTTATTTTTTCTTCTTTTATTAATTGGAATATTCTATAAATTCAACAATCAATTAATTCAATTAAATAAACAATTTGTTGAATTTGTTAAAGAGCAGTACGAGCAACAGCGACACATATTTGGGTGATTACAAAAAGAAGAAAGAGGTGTGGTTTAAATAAACCTCTTTTTTCTTTAATTGTTTAAAAAATTATATAAAAAAGTCCGCAAATTCTGTCCGCAAGTTTTTCAAAAATTTGTTATTCTTCCTGACGTTTTTTTACTTTACAGGAAAAAAGCACATTAAACCTGCTTTGGTATAAAGCACTAAGAAAAAATTCACATCTTAGTGTAGTGGGATACTTTTTGGATTTATAATAGAATGGACGGAGGTTCGAATCCCTCGTGGGGAAAATAATTCGTAAATGTTGAAATAAATAAAATTGGTTATTTCCCGATAAATTTGTACTTTTTGGTGTAATGGGGGATATTTTTTGGATTTCTAATAGAAATAAGTGGAGGTTCGAATCTCTCACAGTAAATTGTGCTATTTCTGGATAAAATTTGCGCAACTTTTATTTAAATAAAATATTTAATATAATTAAAATATTTAAAAAAGAGAAGTTTGGATTAAATTCAAAAATGTATCAGAATTTGTTTGGAATGAATATTTTAATAATTTAATAAATAAAAAGACAGCAACTATTTCAACTTCAAAAACAATTTCCCCAAAAATTAAAGCAACTACTCCAACCCCAACAATTATTAAATCAACAACACCTCAACAATTTGAGCAAGTCTTCAATAATGAAGATGAATTTTAAAAATTATTAAAGCCTTACTTTAAAAATTAATTGAAAATTTTCTGAAAATTTTTAAAATTTTTCGGATTTTTTTTGAAAATTTTCTATATTGAGAAATTATTTTTGACTATTCTCGAGTTTATGCTTTCCATGAAGAGTTTGAAATTTTTGAAACATACTCATGGAAAACATAGACTGAAATAGAAGGCATTGGGTTGCTTTAAAAAATTTTTGGAAAATTTTTTGGAATTAAGAAAATTTTCAGCAATGAATATATTTCTCTTAAAAACCCTTTTTTAATTAAAAAATCTCTCATTAAATATTTGAGTTTATTTATGTTTAAAAATCTTTCTCCTCCTTTTATTTTGTTTTTGGTATTTAGAAAGCATTTCATCATTTTATTTTTATTTATTTCTTCCCAAAAACGCATTATCTATGTTAAACCCTTTTTTGATCTTCATATCTGTTATTTGTGAAAAATAAAGAAATTAATTGGTCGCTATCATACAATCGCAAATATTTTTAGGGGTCCGTTTATTGAAAGGGGGGGGCCTTATAAAATTGGCAGTTCCCCATCTTTAAAGAGTGACACCTAATTTTTTAAGTGTTATTCAAAAACTGTTTAACTTCCGCCAGGTATCGAATCTGGATTATCTTAAAAAATACAAGTCAGGCGTGTTAACCACTAAACCACGGCAGCGCTTTTGAACAGATTTTAAGGTTTCTTGAGGGATTTTCATTTGTTTTCTTATTTTTTTCTCTATTTTATGTTTTTTTTGAATCTTTCTCTCTAATCTAGATTATTTGTCGGAATTTTTTAATCCATAAATTTTTTTAAATTTCGTCAATTTTCTAGTTTAAAAAACGCGAAAAAAGCTGAGACTAAAAATGCCAAATTTTGTATAAAAATTGCCTAATTTTCAATACTTAATTTTTTGCCTTTCTCTTTTCAATTTAAAAAGTACCTCCAAAAATTTTTCTTTTCTAAAATTTTTTTCTATGATTCAAAAATGTTTTTGCTTCTATATTAGAGTATCACAAAAATATATTTTTGCTTGATTTTTGAGTGTTACTCTAGTGTTACTAGGGATGTCCGGGTTACCGAAACACGGGCTTTTTCTCGACCCGAAAACCGATCCGAAGAAAATTTTGAAGATACTAAACCCGCCCAACTTCTCAATCTGTGGCATCCCTGGTATACACAGCGGCGATCCTGCCATATCATTTCCCGAAAATAGGAAATTTCCGACGTTTTTTAGGGCGGGGATTTCCGATTTCCGAAATTATTAATTAATATTTTCTCGGAAATTCCCTATTCCCAAAATCGGGATTGATTTTTTATGTTGGCAGGATCTCTGATGTACATACATATATTTTTTGACATTCTTTTGTCGAGTCAAGTCTAAAAAATGTGGAAGAGAGACGTTTTAGAATAATAACGATTTTACTGTTCAACATATGGGAATTAATCGAAAAAACAAAAAAATGCTGTTTAAAATCGTGGCTATTCTAAAACGTCCTTATCTGAACAAAAAATTTTCATCTAACAAAATATTTTTTTACTTACAAAAATTTTTCTGGCGCTTTTCTTAATATAATATTTATTAACATTTTATTACTTAAAAATTTTTTTCTTCTGCCATTTGATGATTCATTTACTACACAACCCAAATTTGGTTAAAAATAAAAGTTTTTTCTCAATTTGATTACATTTTAATTGATTACAAAACATGGGGGAAAGGTAGGGGGTGTAGGTGGATTTTTCCGCCTTGCGGCACTTTTAAAAATTTGGCAAGGCAATCCTTAGTAAAAAACTTGATTGCCATCCCATTTTTGAATGGTGAGGTATCGAACCTTGGTCACCTAGCAAGTATGAGTCAGGGATATTAACCACTACACCACGAGAGTAAACATTTTAAAAAATTGAAAGAAATACCAAAGCTCAGGCCGAAACGAGTGCAATATTGCTCTGTTTTTTTAAAATTGGCGTAGAATATTCCAAAACGCTTCAGCCTGAACATATGGCACTTTTCTGGTTGTTAAGAAAATTAATTAAATTTGCCTTTTTTAATAAAAAAATTTTTTTTCTTTTTTAAATTAACGTTTTATTAAAACGTCTAGAAGAGCCAATAAAATATAGGTCATTCATTAAAAATAAAATTTAGGTAGTCTTTTTAAATAAAAATTTAGTGGCGGTTTTGTCTTTTAAATAATTTTAACCTTTTTCTTTACGTGTAAAAATAAAGAAGAAAATTTTTAGAAGGAGGGAAGGGAAGAAGATGAAGAAACAAGTCTTTATTTCTTCTTCCCCGGAAAGGCGTGTATAAATAAAACGTTAAAAGAAACACACAAAACAAAAAATAAAGAAAAGAACCCCCCAAAAGGAGAGCGCGGAAAAAATTTTTTGGGCCTTATAAATAAAAGACTGGTTTTTTTATTTTTGCGCATGAGTAAGGAAGGGGAGCTATTTAGGCTATAAGGTTGTGGGGCGATTGCGCAAGATTATTTTTTATTTTAAAAAGATAGAGAGGGTAAAGTTGGAATTTAGGAGAGACAAATGTATGGTAGAAAAACGACAAAATGTTACCACAGGGAAAATATGACAAATGTTTCTATGGGAAAATAGACAAAATACCATTAGACAAATAGGGCAAACCCCTAGTAAGTGTTCTATAGCGATGACCACATTCTATATACACTAGGATCTCCCAATACTAGATAACATTTATTTAAGGTATGTTTTTTAGTTGGCTCCTTGGATGAGAGGGAGCTGTGACAAAGCGAGATACCCCTCATTATAGGATACAATTTATAATTCCAAAGGGTTTAACTTTAAGTGAGAGGTTAACTGTATATTTTAAATAAATACTATATTTTTTAAAGAAAATGGCTAAACAAAAATTGGGCAGTATTTATCGTGCCCGCACAAAATACCGAATTCTCAAAATCGCGAATCGGCTAAAAAAGCTCAAAATACCGAATCGGGAAAAATATCTCAAAATATGGAATCGGCCAAAAAAGCTCAAAATATGGAATCTTAAAATATCGAATCTCAAAATCTCGAATAGGCTAAAATGCTCAAAATACCGAATCGGCTAAAAAGTAGTTAAAAATGTCGAATTTTTTAAATCGAAAAGGGCCGTTTGAGTGCCGCCAATTGAGTGCAGGTCTTTTTCAGTTTATTCAGGGGTCTGTATCTCAGTCCAATAAAGTCGGATTTCATTGATTTTGGTATCAGTCGATGCAGCTCGTCGTGCTCTTTCAAATGAGCTATCATTCGGAAAATCGAAATTCGGTTCGGGATTCGAAGCTCGGTTCATGGTCTGGGATTCGACTTTTTCAAAATCCGAGCTCAGATTCGTAATCAGCATATTTTTTACCCTAGAAAAACCCTTTTGCATATTTTTAAATTTTTTTCGAAGTTGTTGATAAAATTGTTCAGACTCAACTGGCTTTTGCCGCATTGTCGATATTTTGAGCTTTTTTGGCCGATTCGATATTTTGGGATTCCATATTTTGAGATTCGATATTTTGAGATTCCATATTTTGAGCTTTTTTAGCCGATTCGCGATTTTGAGATTCCATATTTTAAGAATTCGGTATTTTGTATGGGAGCCGTATTTATGTGTAGGGGGAAAAGGAAGAAAAATGATTTTTATACAAATTATTTTAAAGAAGATATGTATGACTTCTCCAATTAAATAAAAAGAGGATTTTTGGGGGAAGAATATAAAAGCTTAAAAGAAAAACAGCTTTTTAATAAAGAAGTTTATTTTTATTTAGTATTCTGGTTTTAGTTTCTGATTTTTGTTCATCCAACTTTTTTCAGAAAAAAGAAGTGCGCAACCAAAGGGAACAAGTTTTTTTTGTCCGCAAAATTCGTCCGCAAGGTTTCTGCAGAAAAATGCTTGGGAAAATTTTTATCGAAAAATTAGGCCGAAAGAAACTTTTTATCCGCAAGCCTGTTTGGGCAAAAATTTTTCTTCTCTATAAAAATTGCTCTAGAAGAAGAAGATTCTTATTTTTTACATAAAGCGCTATAATATAGAGCAGGTTTTATAACACACAAGTTATTTTAATGGTGTTTGTTGTTGTTGTTGTTGCGCGATCAAAATAAATATTGCATAAGTGACTTTTGGAGGAAGAAATAAAAGAATAACCACTCAATCAAAAAATTAAATCCAGTTGTGTTTTATGTAGAAAGAGGAAGAAGAAAAAATATATTTTTAATATGTGTGTCCATGGAAAAATTGTAAAAACCAAATAATTGGTTTCACCTTTGAAGAAAAAAAATTTTTAAATCCAAAAAATGGCAAAGAGTATATGGATTATTTTATTAAATTAGTAGGGAATTAAAAAGTTAATTAGAAATCTGGATAAATAATTAAAAGTTTTGATTTAAATAAACGGGGGTATTTTGGCATAATGTAAAAATTAAATATATTTTAGCTCCTCCATATTCTGCCAATCCATATTTTGCCATTGAGGCTAAAAGTCCACGTTTTGCCAACAAGTTTATTGGCAAAACGTGGTTTTAGCCTCATTGGCAAAATAAGGATTTGGCAAAATGTGATAACTCGATATTTTCTTTTTTTGTCTGGTCAGTCTTTTTCTTATTGGAAAATTTTTCTAATTATTATTTAGAGGTTCCTCTTTATTTTTTAATTTTTAAGGAATTCGTCTATATTTATTCTTAAATTTCTAAGAAATGAGTGCAAGCAAAAGAAGATTAGTTAAAGAACTTAGCCAATTAGTTACTGAACCACCAGCAGGTTTTTGTTTTATTTTTGATGTTTTTGGGGAGGGGGGGGGGCAGAGGGAACAAGAAAGCCGATTTTCCTATCGCAGCCTGTGTTTTTACGAGAAAAAAGGGACTGAGGTAGGTCGTGGTTGTCAGTTCGGGTCTATATTCAATATCTCCGTAGAGAGATCGATTAAATTGCCTAGATTCGACATGTGAAAAATTTTGAGAGCTGACAAGGTAGACTTGGTGCAGTAGTTTGGGGTGTACTTTCCCTCAACCAAAAATTATAGCATAAAAATTAACCACAAAAAAATCTTTTTTTCAGGTGTTCGTCTACTCCAAGAAGAAAATTGTGATTCTCTTAGTTGTTTGTCTCTTGCATTGGAAGGATCGAGGCATTTTTTAAATTTTATTAAAAATGTTAGAAAAATTTCCTTAAGAAACACACTTTATGAGGGCGAAGTTTTTCAACTTCAATTTAAATTTGATGATCAATATCCATTTTCTTCTCCTGAGGTTACTTTTATTGGTGAAAATATTCCTGTACATCCACACGTTTATTCAAATGGACATATTTGTTTGAGTATTTTAAGCGATGATTGGACACCGGTTTTTTATTTTAAATTAAAAAATTTGGAGAAACTTGAGAACACGGGCCACTCGAAATATTGATATATTGGAACTTGTCCAGTTTAGTACACGCTCCATTTATTCGCAATTAGAAACATGCCTACGTTATTACGTTTAAACTTGATTTCGATGAGTCAAATGCCTCGCCGACTCTAATAGGTTGCTTTGACCTTTTTGAGCTTGCTAATAAGTGGAGGACTGCACTGACGAATTATTTGTCTCATTTAAAAGCGTGACCAGAGGAAACGATTGACACCAAAATTACCGGAAGTCTCCGCCCTGGGAGACTGAAAATCGAAAACCTTACTTAGAATGAATCTATGACCCTCCGTAGCGGCGCAGAAAGTCCATATTCGAGAGTGGCTCTTATTCCTAAGTTTTACAAAAAATTATTTTTTAAAGGCTCTAAGTATTTCTTCTGTTTGTCTTTCAATTCAATCAATGCTTTCTTCTTGTAAAGAAAAGGCGCTTCCACCAGGTTTTTCTTTGAAAATATTTGGTACTGCTCCGTTAAAAGTTTGGACAAAATTTTCCCTCTTTACTTCTCTCCTTACGCCATTGTCAAACAACGAAATAAGATTAAATTTAGAGTAGAAAATTCGTGCCAGCGCAAAACTTCGTCCAGACAAAACTCCGTCGATCAACATATATAGGTTGATTTGGAGGAATAGTTGTTCTCTAAATTAACTTATTTCCCAGCTAAACCCGCCAAATCCAGCAATTTTTCTAGCTACTCTAAATTTTATTCTGTTTGATTGATTGGCATAAAGAGTGAAAAATTCGTCCGCAAAAAGCATGTACGGATAATGGAGTAGTGCCAAAAATTTTTTTTTAATTTTCACGAATTTTTAGATAATACTTTTTATGTGAGGACATGCAATAAAAGTCCAAATAAAACTCGTTGGTGGTTTCATGATGATAAAATTTGAAAGAGGATATGAAAGATGGTTGTTTTATTATTTTTGAGAGGCTAGTGACCGGTGTCTAATTTTAATATTTGCTTATGGTATAACTCTTTGGTAAATCCTTAGAAAAAACTGTTTCGGGTAATGATTGGTGGCTCTGAATCTAGAACATTTCGGACTGAACATCGATTCGGATATCCGATGATTTCCCTGGATCGACCAACCGTAGTCTAAAAGCCCTTTTTTTGATTATAAACCTGAGGTTTCTTGTTTTTCTCTATGTTCATGGTCACATGCTTGTCTATATAAACTCATAAAAGTGTATAAATATATATTTCTGTCAAAATTTTTTTCTTAAGAAATTTAGAAATTAGCTTTTTTAAAAATTTCTAAAAAAATTTTTTTATGGGAATTTTAAATTTATTCCTTCTCCCATAATCCTCTTTAAATCTCCTTTATTATGCTTATTATATGCTTTTTTGTATCAATATTTTAATATTAAGTAGAAAATGAAGGATTTTATTGTTAGTTTAAATTTTGTTTTTGACCTAGTTTATGAGTTCAGGGAAGCTTTTATGAGGTTAATGAAGCTTTATGGGGTCAAAAAAGTTTTATCAGCTTGTTGACACTTTATGGGTCCAATTGACCTAATGACCCCAAACAAAATTTTTATCGGACTCGTAAAGACCATTGAAATTACTCACACAACTTCAACTCATAAAGCTCCATTGTGCCTCGTAATCCCTCTTTGAATTCATAAACTAAACCTAAATTTTTTAAATTAATTGTTAAATCATTTTTATATTTTTATTATTTTTAGTTTAATTTTTTTTCTTTTTCATTTTTAAACAGATTTAAAAAATTAAAAAAAATGTTTCTTGGCCAATTTACAACTTCTTTACCAATTCTCTACAAAACTTCAACAAAATGTTTGCCATCACTTTTAAGTCCTTTAAATTTAAATTTGGAATTTATTCGTGGTCGTAAACGAGGGCGTAGAAAACCATCAAAAGCTGAGCGGTTGGCACGTTTACAACGTAAAGAGAAGAAAGATGCTGAGAAATTGGAAGAATCGCAAAAGAGACGTTTGGAGGAATTGAAAAAAACGTTTGTTTTTTGGGGATTTAAAATTAGTTTTTTTTGGGGGGGGGGGGGGGGGGGGGTCTGAGTTTTTTCGATAAAAGTAAAGTTTGATAGAAAAATTTTTCCGGGCTTTTTAACAAACAGTTGAAACGAAAATAAGCAAAAATGTTATCAAATTTTTATAGTAAATTTGCTGCAATGTGGCCACCGAGATACGATGCCGAAGTTGAAAAAGACTTGCCTGAAGTTTCTCAATTTAATATTTTTTTCAAAAATGAGGTCAAAACAATATTTTACACAATCTCGGAAGCCTTGGTCTTTTTTTGAAAATTTTTATTAAAAATTTTTTAAAGGAATTTCATCGAAATTTGCAATCACCTTCAATTTATGGAAAAGTAGATGCTCCTATAAAACTTAGAATGGAATTGAATATGACTACTGAAAAAGCGGTGTAGAAATTTTTTAAATATAAAGGAGGGATGATTTTCACCCCAAAATTGTCTTACTTGTTTCAGCACTTATATCTCGGTCCTGAATCATTTCCTAAAGAGGGAGTCCATTGCCTTGCCATTATAGGGAAATTATTAAAATAGGGTACCTGTTGACATAGAAAAGTTCAGGGTCATTGATCTGGGTCCAATCCTACTTCAAACCTTTTTCATCAATAATTTTTAGACTAAATTAATTGGAGCCTCTCGTCAGTTGGTTGCCATTCCTTTTCCTTTTAAACATCAAGAAAAGAGAGCAATAATTGCCTTTGCACCTAATAAAGAATTGCAAGATGAAGCTTTAATGGCTGGCGCTGAGTTGGCACTTGGCCCTGATTCAATTAAAAAGGTTTTTTATTTATAGATTGGATCCGTTTGGACTGCTCTAGGTGAAAGTTCTTTAATTTCCTTTTTGGATTATTTTCTTTATCTTCACAATGTTTATATAAAGAACTCACAAGGAACCATATTGAACTGTCAGGAAAAATTTTCAAATAAAAATTATACCATCGTGTAGAGTATGGAAAAAAACCTAATACGTATTTTTTCTTTTTTGGCCATAACCCCCATTTCGAAAAGTTTCTACACGATGGTATAATTTTTATTTGAAAATTTTTCCTGACAGTTCGATATGGTTCCTTGTCAGTTTTTTATATTTTCTATATTATTTCAGATTTTAAAAGGCCAATTTTTGATTGAAGATTATGATTTTTGTGTGGCACATGAAGGTATGGCAAAAGAAATTTTACCTTTGAGAGGAGTGTTAAAGTCAAGGTTTCCAAATAGAATTAATGGTTTGTCTGGTTTTTTTTAATTTTTAAATAAATAATTTTTTGTAGGTGGAATTGGTAGTGATTTACCTGCAATATTGGAAAAATTCCTTTCTGGTTCAAATTTGGTTGTGAAACCGAATGCTGCTTATGCGGAATGGGGATTAGCTGACAAGGGAACATTTCGAACTGTGACCAAAAATTTTTAAATAAAAATTATACCATCGTGTAGAGCGTAGTCGAAAACGTATTGTGGTGCCCGGCTTTTCTTCCCCTGACCCCCATTTCGAAAAGTTATAGGGCTTCAAAGTTTTAGACTTTTAGAGCGGTTGAGTCACCCCCACTTTTCTTATTATTTCTCTTCCTAAAGGGAAAAATAAGACTCCTTTTCTCCATTTTTCCTTTCCTTTTCTTTTCCCATGTTGGTTAAAGAAAGAAAAAAATAGAAGAGAAAAGGAAAGGAAAAGAGCATCTCTGCCTTGCGGCTAATATCAATTAAAAAGGAAAGAGGAGATGGCAGACATGCCTCCTTTCCTTTTCTTTTCTCTCCTCCTTTTCTCTTTCTTTAACTAATATTGAAAAGAAAAGGAAAGGAGAAAAGGAGGATGGGAGTCTTATTTTTCTCCTCAATAAATTCAAAATCTCTCTTTATGAGGGTGACTCAACCGCTCTAAAAGTCTAAAACTTTGAAGCCCTATAACTTTTCGAAATGGGGGTCAGGGGAAGAAAAGCCGGGCACCACAATACGTTTTCGACTACGCTCTACACGATGGTATAATTTTTATTTAAAAATTTTTGGTCACAGTTCGAAATGTTCCCTTGTGAACCTGTTGTTGGAAGGGTTTATTTTTAATTTTTTAAATATCCAATCAAATTTCTATGGCTGACAGACATTTACGAACAAACCTCGAACCTATTGGCTGAAACATGGGAGCATGTTAATGACGTTTACTTTGACATTTCGAGCGCAAATTTTTTTGTAACTATTGTTGCTCACAAAAGTTAATTGGACGCATAAACTAGACCAGCGCCGAAACTTTTGTTTAGGATTTGACTTTAGTGTTGGTTTTCGCAAAGTTCAAAATTGTCCTGATAAAAATAATTTTCTAAATATTTTAAAATTTTATTTTAAAAATTCACAGCTTGATATGCCTGATGAAGAAATTGAGGCAAATATTATAACAATAATTTCATCATTATGTCAACAAAGAAATCCAGCATTGGGGCCATTTATTAATAGAGCCGCTTTGATGACCTTACCTGGAAAAACTTTTTATTCAATTAATATTAATGAATGGTTACCTGTTCCAACAGAAGTCGAAATTAGAAAGGTCTCGTTTAAAAATTTTATTTTTACTCAAGAAGTTGAAGATCCGAATACGGTCATGACAACCCTAATTAAAAAATGAGGGGTTTGCGAAATGATGGGTTGGTGTAATAGCAAGGCAACTTCTGCCGGAAATAGGCGACAAATTTGATTTTGTGCCTTTCTAGTAGCTGTTTTTTGTTATCTCAAATTTTTTAAAGGTTGAAAAGAAACCAAAGAAAAAACCAAAAAAGGAAGATGATGATGAAAAAGAACTTGAAGAATTGGCTAGTTGGAGACTTGATCCTCTTCATAATATAATGTGAAATTTTTAGGTTGTTTTTTTTTGTTATTTTTTGGAAAATTGGGGAGTTAAAAATTTTTTTTTAAATTTATTTTAATTCCTCAAATAAATAATATGAATCATTTTTGTTTGTTTTTATTTTAATAGTAGAATGAGTAAATATTTATATACTCCTATATTTTCATGTAATTTATCATTTTTTTACTTTTTTTTTGTTTATCTAAAAATGGTGGAAAAAAGATCGATTTTTTAGTAAAAAATATTTTCTAGTTTTTTTTAAATTTGACAATAAAATTTATTTATTAAACAAATGGGCCAAACAACATCATCAAACTTTGAATGGTCTTATACTCAGGAACCTCACGCTACGCGGTCAGCCTAGTTTTGATATGTGAGTGACTCAGAATTTGCAATTTAAAAATAGTGTTAGGTGTAATTTAGATATCGGGCACACAGTGTGATCTTGAGTAATTTTATCGATAGCTTGGTGAGGTTGGGGGCCCTCAAGGGGTAACACCTTGAATATCTACTTTAACATGCCGATACTCTGGGTGGGATTTGAGTCTATCCTTTACTAACAATAAGCATTTTCTGAATTTTTCTTACCTTATTGCAAGTTTAAGATGGTTGGTTAATGCGGAAATCCGCATATTTTTGGCTGTAGTTTATTGTGCCGGTGGTAAAAGTCAATTTTTGGGTAAAAATTCGAATATGATATATCCAATTTCTTATTCAAAAATTTATTGCAAATTTTGGTCTTTCACTTTTTTATACGTTTAATATTTTATTTTTTCAGTCGGAAACAAATACTTGAAAAATATCCCCAAGTAAAGCAATGCTTTGGAGTAGATGAAAGTTTTAAATATGTTGTTGTTTCAATGGTTATATTTCAAATATTTATGGCTTATTTATTAAAAGGTTTTTCTTTGAAATTTTAAAATTATAAGAAATTAGTATTTGAGGAGGGTTGGGCATTTTTGCGGACAGTCTGCTAACTTTTTTGCGAACTTTTTTAAAAACCGCAAAAAGGACCCCGATTTTTACATTTTTCAAAAGATTTAAGCTCACGAGGAATGAGCTACATATCATTTGAATTTTCGAATTTTTTACCCCAAAAACAGCTTGGTTGCCCTATGGTTTTCAATTTTCAAGGATCTGAAAATCGGGGAAAAACTTCTTAATTCTACCTTTTGAGCACTTTTATAATGTTCCTGTTATTACGCATTGTTTACACAAGAAAATTACTAAATAATTTCAATGTGTTCATGAATGATATTTTAGCCTAATTAAATTTTAGAATCCTCTTGGCTCTTAATTTGTTTACAAGCTTATATTGTTGGAGGAACAATCTCTCATTCTTTGACGTTAGCAGTTCATGAATTGTCACATAATTTGGGTTTTGGACATGAAAAAATTTTACAGGTTTTTATTTTCTTTTTTTAATTAAAAATAATTTTTCAGAACCGTATTCTTGGTTTTATTGCTAATTTACCTATGTGTATTCCAATGTCTACTTCATTCAAAAAATATCATTTGGTTTGTTTTTAAAAACTTTTAAAGTTTTTGAATGAAAAATGTGTTATTCCCCTTCACGTCTGACATGAGAACTTTCAAAAAAAATTTTTTCTAGGAACATCATAGAAACTTGGGAAGTGATGTGGTTGACACGGTTCTTTAATTTTATATAAATTTAATTTTAACTTTAAAAAAATTTTTTTAGGATATTCCAACAGAATTTGAGGCAAAATTTTTTGTTGGTCCAATTGGAAAATTTGTTTGGTTAATTTTACAACCTGTATTTTATGGTTTAAGACCTCTCAGCACTTATAAAAAGGTTTTGAAAAAATTTTCAAAAAAATTATTTTTTTTATTTTTAGTCAGTTCTCGATTTTGAATTACTTAATGGATTTATTCAAATAATATTTAATTTGGCAATAATTCAATTTATGGGGTACAAATCTTTTGTTTACCTCATTGGAGGGTTTTTAATTGGATTAGGTTTTTAAATTTTTAATTAAATTAAAAAAATTATTTCTAAGGTATTCACCCTCTAGCAGCTCATTTTATTAGTGATCATTATGTATTTGAGGCTGGACAGGAGACTTATAGGTTTTTTTAATTTTCTAAAAAAATATTTTTTAATTAAAAAGGGTTTTTGATTTTCTTGAAAAAATGAGGAAAGCGGAAAGGATTAGGAATTTTTCGTTACTTTTGTAAGGAAAAGGACAGACTTTTTAAATCTTCTTAAACCTGTTAATTTTTATCTCCAATTTTGCTTCCTCACTAAAATATTCCAATAAAATTATTTTCCAAAATTTTATTTTTAATAGTTATTATGGAGCAATAAATTTGGTAACATTTAATGTCGGATATCATGTCGAACATCACGATTTTCCTTATGTTACGGGAAAGAATTTACCAAAAGTATAAATTAAAATTTTTTTCTTCAAAATTTTTTCTTAGATTTCAAAAATAGCTCCAGAATTTTATCAAAATCTTTCAATACACAAATCTTGGATTGGACTATTTTTTGATTTTGTGAGGAAAAATTGTTAAAATAAAAAAAAATTTTTTTGAAGATTATTGACCCAAAGATTAGTCTTCGTAGCCGTGTTAAACGAAAAGTAGATCCTTCGCTAATTCAATTTTATGGAGCAGGGAATTATGCAACGAGTTATGTACACAAATTTGTTGCTTCGGTCAGTTAATTTTAAAAATTAAAAAAAAATAGAAAATTTTCTAAAGGTTATCAGTTCATTAACTAGAAATTCAAACAATGAAATCTCCAAAAATAAAAATAAGTGAATGAAAATTTTTAAAATTGTTAAGAATTTTGTGCCATTTTTTGAATAGCTTTTAAACTTATTTTTCTAAACAAAAATTAATTTGATAAAATAAAATAAATAAAATTTATTTATAAATATATATATTTGCATTTTTTAACAAAACCAATCATAAGAAAAAAAAGAAATTTAATTTTTGGGGTCAAATGGGGAAAGAAAAGGGAAGGAGTTAAAGGCGGGAGAAAGGGGATAGGTATATTTTAATTTTTTGTGACAGAGGAAAGAGAAAAAAAGGGAAAATCTAATGGGGGATTTCGTTGTGGGTGGGGTGGGTGACCTTTATTTTTTTACATTTAATTTTTAAATTTCTACAAAATTTAAAAAAAAAGTAAAGGAGGTAAATATTGAAAAAGAAAAGAATTTTTGGATTATGTTTTTTAAAAAATAAATAATATGCACGAATTTTTGGGAAAATTTGAAAAATTTCAATTTTGAACAGAAACAATTTTAACAGCATTTCGCGCTTTTGCTTCTTTTTCCAAAGTTTTGCGTTCGCGTTCTATTCGCTGCTTTATGGCTTTTATACGTTTTTTGATAACTGCACGTTCTGAATGATTAAATAGACCCATTGCCTGAAATTAAAAAAAAAAAGTTTAAACCCTTATATGTTTTTCTTAAAATTACTTTTAATTTGGAGCCGTCCAAATCGAGAAATTTGGGTCCTGTAACTTTGTTGACTGTAAATTCTGAAAATTAGATTTATTATGTTAATGATCTCATTTTTCTTCATACATCTCTAATTTTTTTGTATCCCCAAACCTTCCAATTATTTCATTATCTGACTCATTCCACTCTCTTTTACTTATCCTCAACTTATGTATATTTATTGTTTATTCACCTGGTATATACTTTTCCAGCCCCAGATGAATTAATAATTGACATATATCATCAACACCCCAATTTAGTACAGCCATTCCTTGTGCTTCTTGATTTTCACGCCAAAATTCATTTTCTGCTGGAGCAAAACAACGTCGTCGCAAAGGGAAAAGACCGAGGCGTGGGCCTGTACTATTACTTTGTTGAATTGTTGTCCCATGTCCAATATTATGTTTTGCCCATTTTTGTGGGAGTGCAGGGGAGGCTGGCTCTGAAATTCTTGGAACGGGGCTGCCTAGAGAAGGACCGGAATGTTGATTTCTGTTTTCATATGGTGCAGAAGCCATTTCCTCAATAGCAGGTGATAGAGGATGCCCAGGGGAAGGAAGAGGACGTCCTCCAAAATGAATAAGGTAATGTGGTGGATGTGTTGTCCCAGAAATAATTGGAGCGGCTGATAAAGGGACTGAATTGGAAGTCTGTAAAGAGAACAATTTTAAATTTGGATTTTTAAGTCTGACAACTAACAAGTCCAGCATGTCGAAGTCCCACAGGTCGGAATTGACGCTGGTGCTGTTGTTGTTGGTGCTGTTGTAATTCCCCTTCACGTTGTTGTTGGCGTGGTTGAGAAGGTAGCATTAATTCATTTCTTCTTTGTTGTTGAGTTTGATTTGTGTGGTGGTGGTTACCTCTATGAGCTGGTGGTGCTGGTGGAGGTTCATTTTCTTGTTGTTGTGGAATGAATTGTTGTTGTTTTTCCCTTTCCTTTTCATTATTATTATCCTCCTTCCTTTCAGCTATAGCTAATTCTATCCTTTTTTCCAATTCTTCAATACGTGAACGTAAATTTAATATAAGTTCAGAATATTCCTTTTCTTTTGTACGCATTAGTTCAATATGTGTTTCTTCACGTTTAAGCATTTCTCTTTCTCTCTCTTGAAATGATTTGACAATATCTCTAGCTTGATTATATCTTCCTTCTAATTGTGAATAATGTTGTCTAGTATTTTCTAATAAAGAATTCATTTCTTCAGCTTTTCTTTTTGATTGTTCCAATTCAACTTCTAATAATTTTATTCTTGAATTTATTTCTTGTTGATTATTTGATTGTTGTTTTGAAGAGTGAATGAATGTTTGCTGTTGTTTTTGTTGTTGTTGATTTAATTGCGAAGTTGATAAAGAATTGACAATCCTGTCTTTTTGCTAATAAAAATGTTTTTATAAGCAAATCAATTTTTAAGACTTTTGAACGTTTTATATTCGAAGGTGGATAATATATAAACTAGCAGATGTTGTCAGGCATCGAACCTGTGCCACCTAATTGCCGCATAATAACCACTACACCACAGAAATTCATTTTTATTTTTTAAAAAAGGCTACCTGTCCTTCATTTTCTTCTTCTTCATCCTCTTCATTACAACTATTTTCAACTCTATCCCACAATTTTTTTATTTGATGTTTATGTTTTTCCCCAAGCCTTTCTTGCTCTAAACTTTGATTTATTAATTGAGCTACTTCACTTCCTTCTAAATTATGTTCACGTCCAATTGTGAATTGAACCCTAGGACCTGTTGAACGAAGATTTTGTGCAGCAAATCTGTGGCAAAAAAGTTTCAGAATTGTTTTTTTCTAAATCCTTACAATTGTGAAACGCCAACAAGCGAAATACCATCAACACAAACAATTTGGTCACAAACTCTAATACGCCCGTCACGATGGACAGCACCTCCAGGGGTTATACTTTTTACAAAAATTCCAAGTTTTTCTAATCCAGCATCTGCACCAACGCCCATACCTATTATACTTGAAAGAAAGGGAAAGTTACTTAACAACAAATAAGTTTCTTACTTAATTCCTAAACCTTCAGGGCCTTTTTCAAGTTCAACATCAAACAGTTCCATACGCTCTAGTCGACGTTCCAATTCATATTCTGCACAACTAGCTACAGGATCTATTTCTTCATTGCGACGATCGTATTCTTCTATGCCCTTCAAAAAAGGAGAGAATTTTTGATTCTACTCATTATAGAGATGGGACTTTACTCGACCTAAACCCGATCCGAGAAAATTTCCGAAATCCGATCTAACCTTTCCCTTTTAATCCACCTAAATGACCAGACACGAACCTGACCATAAATCCGAAACCCGGACTTTTTTAAAACCCAAAACCACATCCGAAGGAAATTTTCAAAACCCGACTCGACTTTTTTCTCAACCTATCCCATCCCTGTTACGCATTATCAGCTCACTTACATGTGTTTTATAAACACGGATTGGAGCTGTACTAAAAGATATTTTCCTGCCGCTATTAACCAATTGTTCATCTGGCGACAATCCTCTAACTGTTTCAACATTCAATTGTGTTTCTATATCTTCTGTTATATTATTTTGTTTTTTTGACGGGGATGAAGAATTTGGACGAGGTTCACTTGGCACAGATTCATCGCCCCCGGATTCACTTCCACCACCTCCGCCGCTGTTAGTTGGAGAATGATCTTTACGGGGGGATATTTCTGCAATAAAAGAGGATAATGAAGATTGGCACAAAAAATGCCTCGCCAACATCTGCGGACCGATTTTATGGAGTCTCGAAATTAGAACAGATACCGTTTGATATCTACACTCTCAAGTATTTACACTTTCAAGTATTTACACTCAATTACCATCTTCAGCGAGAGGTTGAAACTAATTCTCCGGGGTAATTACTCGAGCATATACGGTAAACAAAATGTAATGTCGGTCCGCAAATGTCGCTTTATACAAAATTTACTTTTTTGAGAATCTTCTTGGCACTCTGTGTTAACAGAATTATTTCTTTCAATACTACCAAAAAGACGTTCTCTATAATAAGCTGGCCTTCTCCAATAAGCATCATATCCAATTTGATTATCTTTTTGATTTGTTTTATTTAAATTTTTATTATCTTTCTTTTTAGTTTCTTCCACTATTTTTTCTTTTTCCCTTTTCTGTCCATTTTCGTCGTTTTTTGTGGCACTAAAAAATTATTTTACTTTAATTGGGTCCACCTCAAGAGATCAACATTCTAGAAGATAACAGAGGGAGATTAGAACCAAAATTTGTCAGAATAAACTGATCCTTAGTCACGCTAAATTCGCCAATCCATATAGCTGGAAACAACATTTTAATAAGATATTTTGGAGTTGATCTCTAGGGTCATTTAATTTCCAGGGAGTTGATCTCCACGAAGTTGTCCTCCAGGGTGTTGTACTCAATAGAAGCGATCTCTTGGGTCGATCCCCTTTTAATTTAAAATTTTACTTCGTTTTACTATCCCCTCCTTCATTTGCAACAATTCTAGATTCACTAGCAATTCTCTCAACATCAGAGGCAAATTGGCTAAAATTGCGCGCAAGTTGGGTTAAAGGGCTGCCGGGTATAGGATATTTTTGGTTGTTATTTGTATTTTCAATTAAAGGTTTTGGAGGTATTAAAGGTGGGTGTTGTTGTTTATTTGGGGTTGTTGTTGTTGATGTATTAAAACCTAAACTTGCTGAAGAAGAACGTTGTAAACGTGGAGAATAAAAACAAGGTAAAAGGCGATTATTTTGTTGTTGTTTTTCTTTATTAAACAAACTTTCTGCCTGTTTTTCCATTCTTTGAAAAAGTGCTTTATTTGCAGAAAAACGACTACGGGCGTCTGGAGGATTTTTATTCAAATTTTCTATTTTTTGAAAATTTTGACAATTTTCTTCTTCCTCATCTTCCTCCTCTTCTTCATCTGAACAAGATTGCGAAATTGAAGAATCTGAAGAATGAGGCATTGAATGACCGCTAACTCCAGTAAGGGAACGTTCAAGCCTTAAAATTGAGAAAATTTTTTGTTAGAGCGACACTTTGACATTTGCGGACTGAATAAGAAAACATAAGTTTTCTTATGTATTATAATAGCAACAATCTTTTGATATAATGGTATAGCCCTGCGGTGATCCAAGTTCAATTTTGTTTAGTTTTGTCCGCAAACGTTTTTGTGGGCTCAAAGTTTTATTCACTAAATACCTAATCAAATCAGGCTTTCTCCTTTGTTGTTGTGTTGCTATTATTGTAGCTTCTTGATGTTCATAATTATAATTTGTATTTGTACTTCCTACACCATTAGAAGTTTGAGCCGAAATCATTTTTAATTAAAAAAAGGAAAGACTTTTGATAATTTTGATAATAAAAATAAATTTTATGATAACATTAAATGAACTGGAAAATTAAAAAAAATTTTGTTTTGTCTGTTGATGAGCTGGATTTATGAGAAAAAAGAGGGCGGGGGAAGAGATTTAAAAACAGAACAAAGAAAATTATATAAAAAAAAGAGAGAATTGTGCGCAAAATTTACGTTTTATGATTTTGTTGCTGTTGCGCAATTTTGGGGGAGAGAGTAGAGGGAAGGTTGAAGATTTTATGAATTTGTGGGGAATTTGTGAGGGGGAGGGGAGGTTTGGCAAGAAATTGAAAAAATTTTCGATCTCTAGTGTGGTCAAAGAAAACAAGCCGAAGGAAATTAGTGTTTTTTGGTTTGGTTAAATGTCTCGGATGTTTTTTTATAATTATACCGTGTTTATCTATCTCGCCTTGAAATAGAGCTACAATTTGGAGGATAGTGAAAAATAGAGCCCCATGGACTTTATTATTTTTGGAGCAATATATTAATGTGGGGTATTAGTTTTTGACGTTTGGCGTTTCTTTGGCGCCTAAACGAAAATTATTTTACGCACTTTATTATTAACAGTTTAATAATTTTCACGTATATTTTATATACATACTTTCTTTTAATAATTTAATGGAATTTCCCGCTGTTGTTATTTATTGCCTTTTTGTGGGCACAAAAATAAAATAATTTTGTTATTACGAGAAGAGTATATTCAAGACAGGATTTTATGGGGGATTTGTGTTTGTTGCTTTGATTTTCTTTTTATTTTTAATTTTCTTATACAAAAGTTAACCAAAATAAATATAAATTTAGGTTAAATATTTTATTTATTTATTCTTTTCTTTTCCGTTAAAAGTTAAAAAGGGGGAAGAAATAATTTGATTAAAAATAAAAATATATTTGCATAAAAATATAAGACAACAAAAATATTTTTGGTAAATTAAGGAAGGGGGGGGGGGGGAATTGACAAAAAGATTATGAAAAATAGGGGTAAGTGATGATGAATGAATGATAAATAAAGGGGGGGGGGGGGGGGGAAGGGGAATATTTTTATAAAATGTCATCGTCATCCAGAAGAAAAGGGCAAGAAACAATATTTTAAAGGAGCTGGTGAGCGCCAAAACACGAAACAAAAAATTGGCGTTTTTTAAATATGTATGTAATTAATCTGTGGATTTTTATTGGAATAAGGTACAAAAATTATCCTGGTAAATGAACTAGCCTTGTCTGAAATGTGGCTAGAAAGACATAAATGGTTGTGATAAAAAATGGAATGAAAGTGGTCAGTTGGAGGGCAGCAGGATCGCTTAAATGATTTATTTCAATAAAAATTCTGACACTAATCTAGTCTTAAAAAGGCATTAATCCCCAAGTTTTCTGCCATATATCCACTCAAACAAAAAATAATTTCAATTAAAAAATAGGTCAGAAATAGTTGCATGCCTTAATTTTAATAGAAAAAAAAACAAAGGAATTTTTAAAATCGAGAATAAGAGTGTAAAAATATTTAAAGATTTTATTTTTAGATTATGAGTAAAAGCAGTTACTTTTTCTTATTAAAAATTAAAAATATTTGGGAGGTATTTTTAGGGGAAAAAATAAAAATGGGTGTATGTAGTACACGGAAATGGATAAACACAGAAGGTTTTAATCTAAAAATGACAAGCTTTTCCCCCTCTTTTTTGTTGGCCTTTAATCTCTTTTTTTAATAATTTTATTTTTTTTGTCCAGCCCTGGTACGAGAAAAAATATTTGTTTGTCTCGATGATGGTATCTCTACATATACCCTTTGGCCTTTTTTTAAAAACAAAGTATTGGTCAACTAAAAATAAATGAAAAAACTGGCCAAAAGCTTTTTTTCTGCTCAGATAAACATATATAAATACTTGGCAAAAGAAGAAAAATAGTTTTATTGAATAAATGTTGTTTGGAAAGGGAAGGAGGGGAGGGGGGGGGGGGGGGAATAAGGCAGGCAGGCTGTTGTTTAGTTAGAAAATTAGTTTGGAGGGAAAAAAAAGAATTTATGACCACCCGAGAAAAGAAAAATTTATAAATGAAAAAGAGGGGGGGGGGAAGGATAAAAAAGAAAAATTGAAAAAAACATTTTTGGAGAAAAAAAGTTTTAAATTAAATTTTTGATATTCTTAAAAATATTTTGGGGTTGTTCCCCGAGGGGGGGGGGGGGAAGGGGATTAAACACAAAAATTTGGCACCCATTTGTATTTTTCTCATATTTTTTATCCGAGCTTAAAGTCACACAAACATTCTAAATTAATTAAGTTTTTGAAAGGGTTTTCTTCCAAACATCTGCGCTTTTTTCTTATTAGTAAAATAATAATAAAATAATTTGGCACTATTTGAAGAGGAGGAAGTGTGCCTTCCCTTCCTCTTCCTTTTTCTTATTTTCCATCTTTTTGTAATTAAGAAAAATAGAATTAAATGCAAAAAATAGATAAATTAAACTGGATATTGAACAGGAAACTTTAATTTTTTATTAGGAATCCGCTGGAAAAGTCTAAATTTTTAGGAGAAGTTTCAGACCTGGTTGGTAACTTTTGTTTGAAACAAAGTCCGAGTTTTAAGATACCCACAAAATTAGCTCTACTAAGAGGGGCGGATCCGAAAAAAGACTGCATATTCGCGTAAGTTTTTGGGTCGGATATCCGGGGATTTCATAAGCCACCCTTATTAGCTACTCCTCTGTTTAAGATACTTCGATATTAGGTAAATTATAATAAGTTAAGTTTTATATCCCTAAAGGGGTAATTCTTTTATAACGAGGTCTGACTATAAAAATAAGTGAAAGAGAATACTAAATAGCTAAATTAAAAAGTCAAAAACTTTTTTTTCTTTTACAGAAAAATATAAGTAATTATTAAAAATAAATATCTTGTTATTTGTGTGTTGTTGTTGTTATTCATATGTATTCACTCAAAATTACCAAACAATCAAATAAAAATACTAGTATATATTTTTATATTCACATTTGCCGGCTGCTTTTTCTTCATATAAACACCAACAACCCCAACAACACACACATCCTTTTCACGCACCCATCCGTAAATAATTTTTGTTGGAATAAAAAAAAAGAGAATTGAGCATTTCAAGTCTTTTTTTGGGGAAAAGGTTGAGAAGTTGAAAAAGTTGAGGGAAATTATCCCTTTCGCGTAGTCGAGGAAATTTATGGAGAATTTGTTTAAAGTAAGTTCTGAGTGAGGTAACTTGTGCATTTTTACCAGAAATGTCACGGATTGCCAGAAATCTGAATAACCCTTACTTTTTCCGAACCGAGCTGGATCTCAATAATTTTTAAAAACTTGGCCAGTCTTTTTCTTAAACCCGTGACATTACTGATTTGTAAATAAGACGTGTCAGTTGTAAATTGGTTCGCGGCATTCACCGATAGTCAGTTCTGGATGTTCCGAGCCAGAATAATAAATTTTTTTAAAACTTTTTAAATTATTTGAACAATTTTTTATTAGCAAAATTAAAATTTTTGGCACATTATTAAAGTGGAAGTGAGTCAAGTCGATTGTTATTATGTTTGTTCTTCTTTTTGCCCATAGCTACCCCCCCCCCCCCCAGCTATAAATCCTTCTATGGCTGCAAAAGGCAAAATCCTCTCCCCCCAAAACTCCATAAATTTTCTTTTTCTCTATTTTTAATGCCCGCAGCGTTTTTCCGGTTGTTTGAATAATTTTTATTAGCTGGCACAAAAACATTGCATTGTTTGTTTTCAGATTTGGGACAAAACACCGTCCAAACAAAATACAGTCGGACAATTTTAGTCTGGACTTCCTCATGTTTTCTTCATTTTTTGTTTTCAACTAAACATTAGAGATCGACACGGGGGGAATCCCAAACGGGATTTTTACGGATCCCGTCCCGGATTTCTGGGGGTTGAACGACAGACGGGATTCAGGGATTTACTTAATTATTCTTGTGTGATCCCTTCCCTGCTATCTCTGTAAACTCGATCCCGGGAATGCCGATTTTGCCGATTTCTACTCTACATACAGTAATTAATTTTAAAAATATTTTCCTCTTCCAAAATAAAAATATCCCAAAAATAAACACTCCTTCCTTCCTTTTAAGCTTCTCATAAAAACTTTCCTCCTCCACTTTTCTTGACTCGTGTTCTCTCGACCTTTTTCCTTTAAAAAATACCCAATCAATCACAGCCCCTCTTTTGATTTTTTTTGCTGTTTTGCTTTAGGGGGTGTGATTTTTAAAAGAAAAGATTTAAAATATTATAGACCACCTGACACTTTTTTTTGTTTTTTATTGCTTCAATATATTCTCTTCAACTTTTAAAACCCCTTGTTTAACCTTTTTAACTTTACAACAGCCTTTAAATTCTAAACACTTTTTATTTAGTTTTTTATTTTTTTTAATTTAATAATTTTTTAGCTACAAATATAAATTAATTAAAACTTTCCCCTATTTTTACATTACAATATTATTTTAATTACAAATCTACTTCAATAATCATGAGCAAAACAGAGTTAGTTATATATTGTTTCTTTTAATTTTAAACATCCCAAACTTGAGTACATCCCCCCTCCTTTATTTTAAATATAATTTAGAATTTAATTCCTCTTTTAGGTATAACACTGTGGGGGAGAGTTCCTCTTATTTTAAGTAACAACCTCTCTCTCTCTCTCTCATTTTCAATTATTTATGGTAAAATTGAGAAGATCCAACTTTTAGCGCTTTATAAATAAAATTTTAAAAATCGGGCCCAGAAATTCTAGTCCATAAATTGAGTCCACAAAGAATATCAAACGTCGTAAAATTTTTAGACAAACAAATTTTTACCTTTTTAAATTTGGCATTTTGTTGTTTTTTTTATCCTTTTTAAAATTTTGATTGTTTTTCTTAATTAGTTGCCTTTTTGTGGTGTAAAAAAGTAAAATCTTTTTTTGTTAATTTTTCCTTAAATCTTTTATTATTTCCATTATTTTCGTACAATTGTCATTAACAAAAAAAAATGGAAAAGTAAGTGTTTAAACAGATGCTTATTTTTCTCTATTATTTTTTCATGTTTGGCAGTTATTTATTTAGTTTATTCCAATATATTTTTAAGTACTTTTCTCCTCATTTTTTCAATCAATATTTTTGAAAGATTTTAGATCATTTTTTACTTTAAAAAATAAATCTCTTATTTTTGGGATTTTTTTTACAAAAATTGAAAGAAACGAAAAAAATTCTGGGTAGTAACTGGTTTGTGGACAAAAGTCATTTGCGGATAATCGTTTTTTCCTGAGTCAGATCCGGATTCCGTATTTCTCCTATAATAGAGTCGAACACATCCGGCAGGATTTTCTGGATTAATCTGGTCTGGACAAATCACTAAATCTGAAAATATCCTGATTAGGAACTTGGATTCTAGAAAATCCAAATATTTTCTATCCTTTAATTTCTCAAAAGTCTTCAAAATCCATTTGAAAAAGAATTCTTGGAAAATAAAAAAAATTCTTTTTTTTTTCAGTTTTTACGCAGAAGAAAAAACTTTGGCAGCCCCAAAATCAATGAAACAATCAGGCCCTACTTCTGGAGGATTAGCAACACATGCACCATCATTAGCAAGTGGAGGGGCAGCAAAATTTTATGGAAGGGATTTGCGGGAATATGATGACAAGGATATTGAAGGGCTTTTGTCTAATTTGTCAATGGAGGAATTGGAGGATTTAAATAATGATTTTGATCCGGATGTAAGGATTTTTTGAAGGGTTTTTTCAAGGAATTTTTAAATTAAAATTGTAAGGAAAGGGAATGGAGGGGGGGGGGGGTGGTTTTTAAATTTAAGAGTAGGATAGATTGTTGTCCGCAAAGTAGGTGCGAACTGAACTTTTGTGAATTCTGCGCAATTTGCGAACTGACCTTATCAGATCTTTCAAACTTCTTTCTGATTTCGGAAAGATTTTTAGTTCGTAGCAAAAATATTATTTTTTTGACTTTTAAATTCCCAATCCCTCTACATGAATCACAAAATTTCCAAAAAAAATTTTTTTTAATTTTTCAGAATTCTCTATTACCACCCTCTCAGCGTTGTCGTAATCAGACCGATAAAGAACCAACAGGCCCCTATCAAAGAGATAAATTATTAAAATATTTGGAAGACAAGGCCAAAACTGAAAAAGATTGGGAAGAAGTTGTGCCATTTTCTCCAGGAATTAAAAGAGGTTTTTTTTTAAATTTTTTGGTAAAAGTAGGCTTCTTTAAGTTGGTAAAATTTAAAAATAGTTTTCTGAAACACTCTTCTTTATTTTTTAATTTTTTCACAATCCGCAATTTCTTGCGGATAAAAATTGGATCTTTAAAAATAATTTGGGGTACCCAATTACAGTCCATTCCTCCGACATCCCCTGTTCTCGAATCTAATTTTTTAGTTAAAAATTTAAAATTTTAGGCAAAATTTTTGAACCTAAAGACGATGAAGAAAGGGAAAATAAAATTGGTATAAAGGGGGAAATGCAAATGCCAATAGAATTGGATATTGATGATGACGATGATGAATATGATGGAAATGATGATGTTTTGATTGAAAAAGCTTTTAAAAATGCCCCAGAAGGGGATTTGGTTGATTTGGCTGGAATTTTGGGTTTTCTTTTTTAATTAAAAAATTTTATTTAATTTACAAAATTTTTTAGGAATGCACAATGTATTAAATCAACCACAATATTATAATGCTTTGAAAGGAAGAGGGCAAAATGAAGAAACTGGATTTTCGTTTAATGGTGTTATAAAAGCATTTCAACCACGTCCAGTCCCAGATGAACCTGAAAATGAAACTGATGTCGAGGATTGTATTAGGTTTTTTTTCTTTTTTTACTATATTAAAAATCTGGAGACATTTGGGGGTCAATATTTGCGGACAAAATTAGAACCAATTCAGATTAGAATAAACTTACTTGATATATTTCCAATGCTATGACCTCAGAATCAGGGATAGGGTGGGTTGAGAAAAAGTCGGATCGGCTTGAGAATTGTGTAGGTTTCTAATCGGCTTTTACAAATTTCTTTCGCATCGAGTTTTGGATTTGTGGTCGAAAATACTGTTAAGGCTATCGGGTTTGAAATTTCTGCCCCGTTCCATTTACTTATCCATTACTATTTTGGATGGTATATTTTACATTACAACCCTTTATTTATGTTATACTATAGAATGTCCATAAATGACCACATTCGACCAGCCTTTTGTCTAATAATTAGTTTTTTATATTTTTTTAATTTTATAGAAGGCTAGAGCAAAGCGATACGTCTTTAAATGAAATAAATATAAATAATATGAAAAGAATTTCAAAAGAAAGAATTAGACAAATGATTAGGGCGGCGACGAAATCTAAAAATTTACAAAAATTGTCGTTGGCTAATACTGCTATTTCCGATCAAGAAGCTAGGGTAATTTTTTAAATTAAATTTTTTCAATAAGGGGACAGAAAGCCTTATGACTAGGGAGTGGCAAAACATGCAAATGCATATTTTGTATGCGGATATGCCATGAGCTGAAACGATCAAAAATGGTGTTTTTACGTCGGTACGAACATTAGGGACCGGGTTCCTATAGCATATTTTTGCATATTTCGGGGCTTCAGTGCATATTTGCATATCGATGCATATTCTGGGAAATTTTGCATATTTTTGCCAAAATTTGTGCATATTTTGGCATTTTTTGATAAATTTTAGTAAAAATCGAGCAAAATTTTCAAAATTTTGTAATTTTTTGAGCAAAAAATTTTTTGATAAAAATTTGGTGAAAAAATTTTTTCGAAAAATTTTTCGGGAAAAATTTTTTTCAAAAAAATTTCTTTGGTTGAATTAAATGTTAATAAAATCGTTAAGAAGTGCTCTTAAACTGCAATTTAAATGTGTATTTTTGTATTTTTTACTTGAAATATTGAATTTTAAAGCACATTTTCATTATTTTCGCTGCATATTTAGTGCATATTTCGGCAAATTTGGCATATTTTGATGCATATTTTGGGCTTTTTCAGTGCATATATATGCGCATATTTTGGAATTTTCCGTGCATATTTTGCCACTCCCTACTTATGACCATTAAGTTTTTTGGGCTTAATCAGCCTATCCTCGACCAAAATTATTGACACCTCTACAAGACTGCTCTCGATTTAACATAAGCTTTTTTTTGGGGTTTTCGGTAGTGTTTTTGAGGTGTGATTTTGTCTTGGAAAATTTTTCGGTCTTTGACACACCCACCTCGGTTTTGGTGAAAAGCTTCACTATTTCTAACTAAGTTTCCCAAAAAATATTTTGGTCTAATTTGGTTCTTTATCTTAACTTTAATTTATATTTTTTACAGCCTCTTTTGGAATTAATAGAAAGGACAGATTCTCTAAAAATTCTCAACATCGAGTCGAACTATATTAGTCCAGAAATGATTGCCAAATTACTGAGGGCAACATTAACAACCCAATCCCTCGTTGAATTTCATGCTGAAAATCAAGTTTTCTTTTCTCTTTACTTTTTAAAAAAATTTTTTTCAAAGAGACAATCAGTTCTTGGAAATCAAATAGAAATGGATATAATGTTAAGTGTTGAAGATAATGATTCTCTTTTACGAGTTGGCGTTTCTCTTCAATCTATGGAGGCAAGAAATCGTGTTGGTGAAGCCCTTGAAAGGAATTATGAACGACGTATATTTTTTTGTTAATTTGAGTTTTTGGGTTGTTTAACGTTTGGGTTCCGAAATATTCTTTTTTTATGAGGTTATTATCACTTTTGATTTTTTGGTAATATAAATCCAACTCTTCCTCCCTTATTTTTAAATTGACTTTTGTGGCGGGGGAGGTTTTTACCCCCAGAGCCACCATCCCCGCTTCAAAGACATCAGCAACTTTCCACACTCGCCTGTTCGCACATGTTTAAGCACTCTAGTTTTAACTAAACCAAAGCTTAAATTTGAGAGATTTTTGAAATTTTTCTTTTTATTAATCTCTGAATATTTTTAGTACGCCTGCAACGACTGGGAGACAAAGCAAGAAAGTAATATATACATGTACAAAAAAGTTAAATTGTTCACCTATTAAACAGGACACAAAGGTTTACAATACAGAAAATTTTGTCAAAGCTTTATATAAATCCCTTCCCCCCTCCCTTTTCTTTGTTCAAAAAAGGACAAATCCATGGCGGATATTTTTTGTATAGAAAAAATTGGCTTTATTTTAGGACATGCGTCCCATGAGTGTTTAAGCGTCCATAGAGTATATACGTACCAACAATAATAATATAAGCGTCCTATCTATGTATAATTTAGATATGTTAAGAAGGCAGTCTGGTATGTTAGAAAGAGGCAAAAACCGGGTACACCGCTAATTTCACGCTGTTGATAAGGATTTGTAAATTATTTGGGGATTAATATTTTTTGGTACGCATGTATTCTGATGGGATGCTTAAACTCTCGTAGGACGCTAGTCCTAAACTAGAGCCAAAAAATTTTTTGATCAAATTTTTTATAAAATTTTGAAAAAAAGTCATGGTTTTGTTCAATCTAGTGATCGGTCCGTGTCATACAACTAACGGTATCTTTAAGTATCGGTATTACAGTACGTTACAAAATTCCGATCACTAGTTCACTCCATTAATTTACACAAAATTTTTGTACTCACAAAATAAGTTTGTTTTTTTTTGAAAATTACTCTCATTAGTCATGTTTAGATTATTTTACTATTAATTAAATTTTATAATAAAAAAGTATTTTAAAAAAGTTATTTTTAAGCTATTTATTTATGTCAGTCTAGATATGGGTTCCCTCCCCTCCACACAATTTTTTTCTTGATGTACTTACTAAATGGTCAGTCATTTCTTTCTTGAATTTCGGGACATCATTCAATCAGTTACTCTTCTTAGAACATGTTTTTTGTGTGTGAGACACATTTTTCTTCAATTTTTTTAATTCAAAAGAAAATTGAAAAAATGACAAAAAATTTTTCGGGGCTTCTTAAGCAATTTTTAGATTATTAAATAAAACAAGAAAAAAAGAAATTGAAGCGAATTAAGGTGAATATAAAAAAAGAAAACGGAAATGCTTTCGTGAAGGGTTTTACTTGTTTGTGGAGAAGAAGACCTTTTTTAGTTTTATATTCTTTTTTGTTTTGTTTCCTTGACTTTAAAATTATCCAAACTTTTATTGAAAATGAGGTTTTAATGTTTCTTTTTTTGATCCTTAACACTCAAATGTCTCGAAATCTTTTAAAAAATTTTGCTCGCTTCGCAAAATTTCGGCGGCCGTTCCGCTCGACATCCCCGGCCTACTGTCCGTTGCAGCACAAAAACAGTTTTCCGCGAAAGAAATCTCATTTGAAAGAGCTCGGTGAGCAGAGTCGAATGTCACCAAAAACAACATGATTCATTCATCTTGAGCAAAGTTATAGTTGCGCACGCCAAACATTTCTGCGCCGAAAAACTGGCGCCCAAACGTTCGCGCCGAACCTCTTTAAATTTCAAGTTTTCTCTTTATTTTCTCCCTTTTTTATTATAACAATAGTGGGTAATAATTTAGTTTCGATAAAATAACAATAGAAGAAGCATCCTATTTTAAGTATTCTAAAATTGCCAAAAATGGAAAGGCTAAAGTTTGCTAAAAATATTTTTTTAATAGTTTCTGCTTTAGTTTAGAATTATTTTTATTTTTTCGTTAAATATATTTTTAATCTCTACCTCTTATTTAAGCAGAAAATATTTTTAAAGGTGTGTTGATTTAGAACGTCTTTTTCACAACTAAAGGTCCGTTGAGGTTATAGACAAAAAATTCTGTTTCAAGACTGAAAAAATTACATATTTGTGTAAATATGTATGTAGGTTTTCGGGACATATGACAGAATTTTACTAAGATTCTAAAGTCTCGTTAAAGTGTAAACTAAAATTTCCTGTTCAAGACTCTAATGACCCTTTTGAGGTATAAGAGGAAAATTCCTCAAAAACCTTTTGATTTTTAAAAATATAACAAATTTGTGTGTGAAATTTTAAAGTGAAAAAAAAAGAAATTGAGAAATACTAGAGGTATTTAAATGTAGATGAGAACTACTCAAATTTCTAAAAATAAATTGATAGGGGAGGAGTTGAAGTATTCACTCAAAATTATTTTTTTTTGTTTTTCTTACCTTTAAAAATAAATTTGCTGCAAAAATAGAAAATTCCTTAAAAAATTATTTTTAAAAAGATTATTAGCTCAAAAGATGTCGTCTTTCTTCAATTTAATTATTTTATTAATTATTTTTTATTTTTGTTGCTCAAATTGTAAGTTTTTTTTTCTTAAAAATAAATCTCCCTTAGTTAAAAATAAGCACAACCTAATAAATCAAAAAACAATTTTTTACATTTTTTATCGTCCCATTGGGAATTGTTTAAATGATGGATAGATAGTGAAGGGGGGATTTGTACACTAAAATATTTTTGAATTCAAAGATTTTAAAATAACCCCCCTTCCCCCTCCCCCCCCTGTAAAAGTGCTGTCTAATGATGTCCCTCAGATTCTAATTTTCCAATTTTTTCTGTCATGCAATCAATTTGAAAAAAATCTGTCCAGTTGTTCCACAGTTAAAACTTTTCTTTTTATCTCCCAGGTTCAGAACTGTCCTTCTATCACAGTTCAATTATTTTCAATACCGTATACCTACCCAATTACCGTATATTGAATTTTAATTGTTTTAAATTCCTCCAAATACTTTAAACAATTTGTTAACTAAAAAAGTTAAAAAAAAATATCAATTTATTTTTCTTTCAAAGAAATTACTTTAAGTATATCTTCTCTCTTTTCTCTCTCTTCTCTTTTTATTTTTATTTTCAACCAATTGCTTTTTAATTTCTTTTAAAATATTTCCATCAAAAAAGTGAAAATCTTAACAATTAAATGTTTTCTTCAGAGAATTTCCTCTCTTTTTTTCAACACTTTTTTTTTGTTTTTAAATTTTCGAGAGTCCAATGCTTAAATAATTTCCAAGAATACCTTTTAAAAAATAAAGTCAGCATTTTAAATTAGGCTGAATTCTATGGGACGTGTTTTTAGCCTGACCGTCCAATTGTCGTTCAGTTCCACGATCAGCTCAATTCCCACGAGTTTTTTTTTACTTTCCCTTATAGCGGGTTTTTAATGCGTGTCGGATATGAACGAAACAGGTGTCAATGAGGGGTGATTGGTATCGATCTAACAACCATGATTCAGATATAAGGCTCGAAATGGTCAAAAAGTGCAGGGGATCCTAGCTGATTTTTGGAGTCGAATTGACAACTATGCAAATTATAGCTTCTTCAAAAGAGCCGTCAAAAGAACCCGTTCCCGCATTAAGAACACGCTACAAGTGAAAGTACCGTTTACCTTCCTACTGATTTTCTACAGCATTTTTGACTTTGGTATTTCCCAAAGGGATTGCTGTATTTCCTTACCGTATTTTCTCAAAGGGAATTCGGTCGATTTGAATTATGGAGATTATTTTTTAATTTATTTTTAAAAAATCCTTCCACTTGTTCTGCCCTTAAAATTTACTTAATAACTAACCAAAAATTTTTTTTAAATTTTCCCCTCAAAAATCCCCTTTTTATTTTTTAAAGGTAAATTAATTATCGTCAGCCAAATGAATCGATTTTCAACAGCCGATAAATTAAACAAAAGCCGACCAGCTATATTAGTGCCTAGAGGAGGAGGAGGAGGAGGAAATAATCACCATCCATCTTCTACCACAATTTTACCTTCTACAAAAAATTTTTTGAAAATTAAAGAAGAAAAACAAAGCTATAGAGAACAATTACTTTCTGTTATTTTACAAAATACTTCAAATACGTAAGTTTTATTTTTTCGAAAAATTTATTTAGGGGGGGGGGGGAGTTGACCTGTTTGGATTTGAATAGATTTTATATACCTAATAGAGTTCCATTTTCAACATTTTTAACAACCTTTTTATTATTTTCTTTTAAATTCAAGTTTCAAATTTCTTTTTTTTTCTAAAGCTTTCCAATTTATATTAAACACAAAGGATTTTTTAATAATTTTTAGCCGCAATTTTATTTAAGTAACATTTGTCCTTTTTTTAAATAAAATACTCATAATTTTTTATTTCTAAATTTGAAACAATTAAAAGTCACAAAAACGTCAGACTTTTTTTGACAGATTTGTGCTAGGTTCTGTGAAACTATTTTTGTGTCTGACGGTAAATTGCCCTCCCCCTCTCCTCCCTTTGGCAACATTATTTTTAAAAAGCAAAAATCAAGTTTTCAAGTTTCTAAATTTATTCATCAAGTTTCTTTTAAAGGTTTTTACTCATCTCTTCTTCCCCCCCCCCTTCCCCCAATTTTGCTTTTCCTTTTTTTTAAATTGGGTTTTCTTAGAAACCTTTTTTTTATTTTTTACATGACAAGAAACCCTTCATTTTTTTTCTTTTCATTTTTAAAATAATGTGCCTTAGATACATTTGTTACGTACACATTAGCCATTCAATTTCTCAAGGAGTCTGCTTTTTTTCATAAAAAAGAGTACCTTTAAATTGTATAAAAGGATGTTAAATATTTTTGAATTTCAATTAAACCTCGCATTTAAATCCACCCCTTGATGCTAAAGAATAACGCCTCCTTGTCTAGGAACGAGGTCCGGAAGGAACACGGAAAGGAGCACCAGCCAGCCGATGTATGCTGGCTGACACTCTATTCTAAATTTTTTTTTTGACGCAGCGTCCAATACTCCAGTTGGACGTTGCGACCGAGATCCAATTGTTGTATTTAAAAATAAACAAAAACAATTCTTATTTAGTTCATTTCCACAAACTGCAGACTCCGAATCAATTTCCTCCCTAAATACAAATCAAAGACAATACCAACCAGAGCCTAACGGCAATATGAAGTCTAAAGATTTTGGAAATGGTGATGGGGAGTTGGACATGCTTTTTGGTGAATCTTTTTAGTTGTTTTATCTCAAAAATTTCTTTACTCTTTCCAGGCTTTTTTGTAATGAATGGCGCCTGTATTGGTAAACAAAAATTAAATTTAAAAGGAGTACTTCAATAAAAACTCCTTTTAAGTGTTTTTTCTACTCTTTGGTGTTTGTGTAATTTGTAATTGCGCAGCCAGAAAACCAAAATTTCACGGCAGCAAAGAAAAGAAAATTAAAAAACCTACAGTGTCCAGACTTGTCGCGGTAATTTATATAATGAAATTTAAAAAATTTTAATTTTTAGGCAATGGCCCCAACAGGTTTTGGTCAACGCTCAACTACCAAAGTCCCATCAACAACTAAAAAGACAACAGATATTGCCAATAATCTTAATCCAAACTCAACAAATAGGTGAATTTTTGGGGACGGGGGGGGGGGGGGGGGACGAATTGGGGTTTTTCAGTGGGTCGAATTGTGAGTGTAACTCAAACACGAGAATTTCATTTAAATCCTAAATTATTTCCCGGACTCCCTTAAATTTTCTGTCCAGTTGACTCTTAAAATAAATTTGATTAAAAATTTTAGTCGTCGCGGGTCATCAGCATCGATTGTTCTTGAAATTAATGGAAATGGAGGTTCTGGAGTATTTACAGCACGGACTGGTCTAATGACTGCTCAGCCACCCTCTAATAGATCCTTTAGGGTATGAAGGATTTTTTGTTTATTAAAAGGCCCCTCTTTCAATTAGAATCTAGTAGCCAAAGCAATGGCATCAGCAAAAATAAACTCAACAACAACAACAACAAATAACCAAGAAATACCCCAATCTCCAAAGGATAATCAACAGTCTAGATCAAACACAAATTCGCCTACAACAAACAGAAGAATGTCTGGAGGAACTCCTTTATTAGCAATTAATAATAATTTAAATAATTCTGCTGATGAACAGAATAATAATGGTAATTAAATTTTGGAATTTATTGAAGAGAGAGAGGGGGAGGGGGGGGGGGATTGTGAGGAAGGAGTGGGTAATTTTTAATGTTCTTGATTGGATAGAGAATTAAATACATTACAAGATTTCAAAATTAAAATTCTTGTCTGATTGATAAAAAATAGTTTTTCTCGATAAACTTCCGAAAAATCACTTTTATTTTTTGATATCTTGTAGTGTACATATTTAATTCCCTTTCCTTTTAAGAACTATTTACTCCTTGAGTTATAGAGTTGGGACTTGTTGAACTGCTCCGTTTATTTTTAAAATTTCATTGCCCTACCCAATTTTTGTTTTGCACAATTAGTTTTTTTTAATTTTTATGCACAACTAACCCCCAATTTAATTTACTAACAATTTTTAAAAAACCCTTCCATCCACCCCAAATTCCTTTTTGTGTTTAGTTCAACTTGACAGTCATCTACTACTACAAAAACAACAAAAAATGATTGAAGAATATGAGGAAGAGGAGGAGGAAATTATTTTCCTCTAAAAGATTTTTGTTTTTTTTCTTTTTTGTTTTTAATTTTTGTTTTTGTAATTTAAAAAAGAATTTTTTTTAATTAAAAATTTTTGTTTGTGTTGTGTTAAAGGAAGGACCATATTTTTTTTGAAAAATGTACTCACGGTTATTATTTTTATGCACAACTATTCTGCCTAGAGACGTCCAAAATTCTTAATCTTAATTCAAGACTTTTCTTGGGGTTTTTCGGTATTGGTCTTAGAAAAATTTCGATCTTGGACACCCAACTATGAACGGATTAACCCCTTTTTAATCCCAAAACTAGGCACTCATCCCCTTCTATTTAAGATATAATTCATTAATTTTCATCCCTCTCAAGGGGGTATCTAAAAGTAAAGTTTTCGTATTATAATTTTTAAATAATTCCATTAGACTGTTGCCCCAATGGAATGCATGTCTTTGAATTGCCAGTGGAGGTAGAAGTTCATCATTGTACTCCTCCCAACAATGAAACAAAAAATAAAAAATTAACAACAAAATTACCAAATTCAGTTTCTGTTCCTTTAAATTTGGTTTCAGAACCTCAATCAACCTTCGCAGACTTACAACAAACTTGTTTGGCAGAACAAAGCCAATTTGTTGTTAGAAGGGAGGGAGTTAGTGCATCAACAGCTTGGATAGGTAGTCTCTAATGTTTGGTCTCAAACGTCGGGTCCTATGTTGGAAAAACTGCCTTTATCCTCAAAAACAATATATAGGCAGTTTCAGTCTCGAGGCCATATTTTGGCCATAACCTTTTTGTACTTAACCAATTTAAATAATTATTACATCAACCACAAGCTCTGGATGTGAGGATTATTTTAGTGGGAAGGTTTGATTTGATCAGATCACCCTACAAAAAGTTATAGCCAAATAAATATCAAAAATCGCGATTGAGCGTACTTATCCAATCTTTGCTTTTTGTGTAATATTGGGCCACAATTTAGATACTCAACATTAAAATTTCGATCCGCAAAAACCAAAAATCCACAAATTTGTTTATTTAGGTCCACCACCTTCTCAATCCTACCTAAGTAAACATCGTTGTTCTTTGGTTGTTCCAATCCAAATGCCTTGTAACGGCGATTGCCGAGTTCAAATAGACGAAAACAATAAAGAATTAAATAATAAAGAAAATCAACAACGACAACAAAATAATTCTCGCCAATCACCTTCAGCTGAAGATTTTAGCGTTATACGTCAAAATTTACTTGGCCCTCTAACATTTGATGATCTCTACTATATTCATTAAGGGAAGAATTATTTAATTATTTATTTGAAGAGTGCCTCATTTATTTTTAATTTAGAAAAAATATAATTGTTGAATTTAAAATAAAGATTTTTAAATAAAATTATTAGACTTTAATTAAAATAAATTTAAAAATTACCCAGAAGCGGAGAATTCTTAGAGGCTAGAAAGTCCTAAATTTCTCCCAGAATTTACTATTAGAATCAATAAAGTAATGCGATCAACTTAGAAGGGTCAACACCATAAAAGTCAACGTTTTAGTACCCAATTTTGACCAATAAGGTGGACTTGAAGACAAGTCTAAAGACAAGTCTTCTGGGGTGGACTTGAAGCAGTGTGACCAACAAAAAACGAAAAAAAAATTTTTTATTAAATTCTTTCCTTTTTTTTTAAAAAAATTTTGCAACAAACATAAAAAAATATTTTAAAATTTCTAGAGGTTTTTATAGATTTTAACAGTTTAGAAGAAAAAGGAAATAAACGAGAGAATATATGTTGTAGGGGGGAGTTAGCCGACAATTTTTTATGATAAAAAAAGAAAAGAAACTAAACAAATTTTTAAACAAATTTATAAAAAATAGGTTTAATATACACATCACCGGGCTGCCATTCATGTTTTTTTTATTAAAAACTGCAAAATTTAAATAATAAAATGAAAATTAAAATTCAGTCGGAACTCGCTATAAGATATACTCGTGGGGATGAAAAAGCGTATAGTAGAATAATGAAAGAGGGGTATCTTAAAAAGGGAAATAACGCCTAGACAGTTCTCTCCCTCCCTCCCTCCCACCCAATGACCAACTCAAAAAAAACAATTTAAATTTAAGTAAGTGTAGCTAATATTGGGTATATCTTATAGTGGAATCCCGACTGTTCAGTCAACTCTTTATTAGCTAAAACTAAAGGATTATGAGAGAGGGAGGGGAAAGAGTTTAGTGAAGAAAACTGGGGGGAAGCTTGTAAAGAAACTTTAAAATAAACGAGAGTTGACTGTATATAAACATATAAATTTAAAAATGTGCTAACAATTAAAAGAAAAATTTAAAAAAATGTCGGCTAGCTCCCAATTAATTTTCTTTCTTTAAATATAAACATAAATTTAATTGAATTTAGACAATTTAAAAAGAACTAAAAAATTTTTAACTTAAAAATTCAAAAAAATTATTCAGTTTTACTCTAAAAATTAAAAAAAAAGAAAGAATAAAATAAAATACCGGGTTGCCAAGAAAGGGGGGTATTTATAAACAAAAAAATAAAATAAAAATATTAATAAAATTTTTAAAATTTTATTAAAACAATTTTAAAAATGTTTGTAATAAAGAAAAGGCGCTAACCGGGAAATATATAAAAAATATTTTTTAGTAAAAGCTACAATTTCATTTGAGGGGGGGGGGAATAATAGAAACAAGTTTTTGTCTAAAAACTTTTTCAGAAAAAATGTTTATTTTTTTTTAATTGAGAAGGAATTTGAAGCAAGTTTTGATTCTGAAAAACTTAAAGCAAAACTTATTCCAAACTCTCAAATCAAAAATAAACTTGAAACAAACTTTTTTTTAGAAATATAGCTCCATATTTTAGACAAAAATTGTTTTTTTTAAATAGCCGAAGTGTAAATTAATTTTGTGAGGATAAATTTCATTTATATATATCACAATTTTGCTCGGCTTGGAAAACTATAAAAAATTTGAAAGGGTAAAACAAGTTTATAGAGAAAATAAATTTAAAAGATTTTTTGCTTCAGATATCCTTATTAGTGTTATTCAAACGCGATTGTTCAGTATCGGTATTTTCGGTAAAATACCGATACCGAAAAATACCGATTTTTAAAAAATTGTTCGGTACCGTATTCGGTATCGGTATTTCGGTAAAAATACGGCGGTATTACCGAAAAATACTGCGGTAATACGGTACCGTGAATAACACTAATCCTTATTGTTCTGATTGAAGCAAAAATGTTTTTTTATAATCTCTTAAACTTGTTTTAATAACATTTTAATGAAAAAAGCGGGAAAAGAGTATTTTTTGTCAGTAAATGTCCAGTAGACTCCCCAACTGTCAGAAAGATTACTTTCTTTGCATTTTTGGCATTAGGAGAGGAACACGAAGGAAAAATAAAATGTGTTCCCCTCCTAAAATGAATGAAGAATTCGGATTCTCTTTGCGGACAGGTTTGGGGAGTCAACTGGATATTTAACTTTTTTTACCAAGAGTTTACCGAATTATATTTTTAAAAATACTAAAAATCTATAAAATATTTTTTAATAAGTGTCCAAGGCTCTAAATAAAAGAAATTTGAAAGAATTGCGATAACAAGGAGTTTTTTTTTATATTTATGGAAAATAAAAACAATTAATTGAATAAACAAATGCCCTATAGATCACCAATGGATATTGGTGGTAATCTTTTGGGTTCAACAAAAATTGATGGAAAACACGCTAATTTTTTCCTTTTTATTTTTTAACAATTAATTGTTTTTTGAAATTATTCTAATAAGGAAAAGAGATAAAGAATATATAATATTCGGTCCTAAGAAAAACTGATATCAGTGAATTTTATGCTAAAAATACAGAAGAAAAAAGAGGGAATATACCTAATATAGGCTTCAGATTGTATATTGAATAATTAGTTTAATATTTTATTTTAAAAAATTGGGAAGGGGGAGGGGGAGAATGAATTAAAGCTTGAATTAAGAATCAAGAAAAAGAATTGAAATGTTGAACTTATGTCCAAAAAAACGAAAAAATTTGAAAATTCTTTAGCCTCAATACACAGAATAAGCCTATAAGGGAATAAAAATTTTCGGGAAATAAATGGACGGAAGAAATAAAAAGAATAAAAATTTGTGGGATTAAAATATATGTAAAGCCATTTTAATTTGTTGTTTTTTATAATATTCAGAGAAACCAAAAATAATTTTAAAAAAAAAATGAAAAAAGTTGTAAAGGATTCTTAATAAAAAGACGCGAAGGATTGAAGTTAAAATTTGAAAAGAAAAGACAGCAATAGCATCACAAAAATGTGTTTATACTGGAGTTGATCTCTCCTTTAAAAATTTTCGAAATTTGTATTTGTTTCTAAAAAATACAAAATAATGATTTTGATACAAAAAAAATATATGATTATATGATTATATATGATTCTGATACAAGTATTTAAATGTGTATTTTATCAGAACTCTTATACAAATTTAATTTGTATTTATACCAGAATTAAAATCCGAATATACTTGTATTTTTAAGTAATTGTTACAAAAATCAGAATTTTGTATTTTTATTTAAAGGACAAAAATACAAATTTATCTACCCACCTTTTTAATAGCCAAATCGGCAGCTTCTGTTATGTCAGGATCTGTTTCAATATCAGGTTCGCCAGCAGTAATGTGTGCTTCAACTGGGAGACTTTCTCCGCTATTAGGACCAATTACCGTTGTTACATTGCTTGTTTGGGCATTCACATTTAATGCCTAAAATTCCATTTCTCCTTTGAAATTTTCTTTGAAATTACCTGAAGCCAATTCAGAACAAGCCTGTTAGACTGAGCAATGTTATGAGGCAAAGACGTTGAATTACATGATGCTGATGCTACTTCTCCTCCAACATTAATATTATTATTCCTTGTTTCAACCAAAGAATTGCTGGGGCCTTTACTCAATTCTAACAATGCTGCAATAGAATTAGCATCGGGAATGTGTTTTAATGTGTCGGCTAAAAAAGAGAAGAAATTTATTTTGTAAGGAAAAACTCCGTGCCATCTAATTTTGGTAATAAATCTTAAAAGATGATTTTACCTAAATTTTGTTGCTGTTTATTAGATGTAGCAACATCATTTTCTGTTTGCTCTGTAGCAGACGTCGTTGTTGGAATTTGTTGGTCATTTTTTGAATTAGAATTATTATTATTTCCATATCCATTTTGTACAACGCATTTTCGCATCTATTTATTTACATTTTAAAGTTTAAATTAAAAATTGGCAACAAACGTGTTTTTCGAGTGTTGAGTGAACAGAAAAGGGCATTTGACAAATACTGCAGTTAAAAACCTGGAAAATACAAATATTCTGTATTTTAGTTTTTAAATATTTTTAATAATATTCTGATTTTTGTATTTTTTATTAATTTTAAAAAATGAGGAATAAAATCTTATTTGTGTTTTTAATTTTAAAAATATTTCACGTTTTTATAAATATGTATTTTTGCAAAGAATAATAAAAACAACGAAAATACAAAAATCAAAACAGAATTATTATTTAAACCTCTTTTCCCTGTTGTCCATGTGTTCTCATATGCCTTGTTAATTTTGAACTCTGCGCACATGCATAAGGACAAAGCTGACATTTATAAGGTTTTTCGCCTGTATGTGAGCGGAGATGTACAATTAAATTGGAACGATTTGTAAACACTTTTTGGCAAAATGAACATCTTTTAATGAAGTTATTTTTGAATTTCCATATATTTTTACCTATCCTTTTTCGCCTTCGGGTCTCGTTTAGCAGCTGGTTCTGCCAATTCTCCATCTTCCAAAGTCGGTAAATTCTTATTACTTTCATTTTTATTTGTCCCTTCATTAACGACTTCATTTCCGTTTCCTTCCTTTCTTCCATCTTCAATATCACCAGAAACATCCAATTCAATATCCCCATCATTATCTTCATTTTCCTCACAGTCTGTAGCCGTCGGAATTCCAGATTCACTACCGGGAAATGTCCCGATTTCTGAAATTAATTAATTACCTATTCATTTTATATATCAGAATTACTGTAAATATCCTAATAGAAGCCTTGGATATTTATTTTTAATTGGTCTCAGGGGTTTTTTAGGACAGTGGCTTCTATTAGAGATGGGCCTCCAATAGAGCATGGGGCCTCTATTAGAGACGGGCTCCTATTAGAAAATTCAGGTATTTAAATTTACCAATTGAAGAATGTGGAGTTAAAGACGCAGCAATACTTAAAACATTAGCTGCTGAACATGTTCGACGTGAAGGTGTTAATAATCTATTATTTTGAGTTTTGTTAATAGCAGTGACAGGGCTGGGCGAAAATGATGTTGAAGGGGCTGTTGGTGAAGCCTGAATAAAAATGGTTAATTTTTGTTAATTTTCGAATTTTTTTACCAATTGACTAAGCAGTGGAGAACGTCTTAATATTCCTCCACCAACAGGACTTGAAATAACTCCTCCGGTTTGAGGGGTAATATTTGAATTATTGATAAGAGGGATAGAGGAAGATAATTGTCGAGAAACAGAAGAATGTTGTTGTTGTGTTTCATTACCAGAATTTTGTTGAAATAAAATATCAGAAGAATTATTACAAAGCATTTTTGTTGGAGTAACACAACCACCACCTCCACCACTACCACTATTTCCATAACGTTTTGCAGCAGCCATTAAATTTGCTAAACCTAAAATTGTTGAAGCAGAAGTAACAGTAACAGAAGAAGAATGTTGCTGTTGTTGTTGATTTAATCCAAATAATGTATTAGAAGATGAGGAGGATGTTCCCGCATTTTTTGCAGCAGAGGCAGCTTGTTGTAAAATTGCTGCTGTAGGAGAAGAAATATTATTTGGGGAAATAATATTTGATGTAAAAGAGCTACCATTACAATTATTTGAAACATTGCTGGATAAATGTTGGGGTGATTGCTGTTGGCCTAGTTGTATGTAATAGTTTTGAATAGCTGCTAATACATGTGGTTGGAAAAAGTCGTTAACACTCTTTAAAATTTAAAAATTAAGAAAAACATCTTAAATTATAAGACCCCCAGGCAGTGAAACAATAAGACAAAAGGACTGCGGGGAATTGGACAGCGAATCTAGTAGTTAAGTGGATCTACATGGCAATTACCGCAAAAAGCGGAAGCGGGAGGGCACAAAAAGAATTCTGCGGAAGCGGAGGAGTGCAAAATAAAAGTGGAAAAATGAAGAGAAGAAAGGACGAACTGTGAAAGACAGCCCATCCCTGGTTCGAATCTTTATATGAATAATCTTCCCTTTCATACCTATCACAACTTAACAGAATCTTTGAAATTAAGTACCTGTATAGTGCCATGCCCACTCTGTTGCAAAGCATGCACAAGTGACTGTCCAAGCGTAAAAGGCCCTCCTCCCCCTCCTCCTGCAGTTCCATTAGAGGAAAATCCACTTGTTAGAAAAGCGGCAGCATTTAGTTGTTCCGCAAACGTTGTTGTTAAATGATTATTGTTAGATGATTGGCGAGTATTTCGTTGTTGTTGTTGTTCATCATTTGTTGCCATAAGCCTCCTTGAAGGAGGTGGTGGAGGTGAATCTTTTGCTGCGCTTTCTCCACCTGCTTTTTCTGCCATTTCTCGAAGTCGTTCAGAGCAGAAGGCGTTAAGAGAGAAAGAAGATTTTGCGGGAACAAGAGGTCGTGTTGCCTCTGGAAATATAAAAATTGAAAAACTAAAAGGTAAAGAAAATACTTCTTGCAGTAAGTAGTGATGCCGTTGGAGTTACTGGTTGACTTTCCCCTCCAGACATTGTATTGTTGGATTCCCCGGTAGAATTACTACGTCTAGTAACCGTTTGATGGTCTTTAACCGTCAAAAAGTTAGGCCGTTGTAGTCCTCCCAAGGCCTCTGGATTAGAAACAGAAGCAAAGTGTTGTTGAGAGATTAGACTACTAGCAGAGACTGAAAATAAAAAAAATGAAAATTGATCGGAATTTAAAATCAGAAAAACCTACCAAGCTGTGGATAGCAAAAATTAGGTAAATGTTCGTCTGATATACGAAAACCATGAGCCGTAAAAACATGCTCAAGTAACGCCCATATTTGAGGGCATTTTTGTTTGCAAGAATGACAGGTGAATGGACCAGGTTCTCCAACATTCTTTTCTCCAAAATTTGGATTTTCTGTTCCAATTTCTCTTTGATTTTTGGTTAATTCATTGCTACAGGTAAATTTATTGTTGGAACAAGAACAACAATGATTCTGTGAAGATTGACCAGTAGTCGTTAGTTTGTTTAGTAAAGGAGGGACTTGAGAATTATCAGGCTGTTGAAAATTACTTCTTTTTTGTTTAATATTAATGTCTTCTGAATTAAATTCTGAAATATCAGAATTTCTACAATGTTGCTGTGCTATACAAAAAAAATTAAAAAATCTTTCTTGTCCTTTGTTATTTTCGTAATTTAAATTTTTTTATTTAATATTTTTAATAGATAAAACATACAATGTGCAATTTTATGTTCAATAAATTGATCAAACTCAGAAATTGGCCATTTATCCCCACAATTACTGCAAACAATTAAATCAACTTTTTTCTGTTCTACTTCTTCTTCTTCCTCTTCTTTACGCATTCTTTTTGCTGCTAAAGGGCGTTGTTCTGATAATAATTTTGTTGTTGCCGATTTTTCTGATATTTTTACAAATTTTGATGGTGTTGTTGTTGAAATGAGTTGAAATTGAGAGGAGGGTTGATTCTCTTCTTTTTCTTCATCTTCTTTATTTTCATCTTCATTTTCTTCCATGGGAAGAGGTTCTTCCAAAATCCGTTCTTCTACAAAAATTTTAAAATTTATAACAAGACTCAGGGAAAGCATCCAGGGATGCAAAAGACAATACTTGCCTGGAACACAAAATAAGGCCTGGGAGACAAAACAAGGCCTAGGATAAGGACAAGATATCTAGCCATTTATTAACCAATCCCTCACATCTCAAAAAATAATTATTTGATCACCTCGTAGACTTTGTCCATCCATTTCTGAAGGCTTCTTAAAATTTTCCTCATATTCTTTTACTTGATCCTCCTCCTTTTCCTCGACAACCTCTCTCTCAATATTTATTTCAATTTCACCATCTTTAATAATCATTCCTTCCCACTCTTTATCCTCGTCGTCCTTTTCTCGTTTTTTGTGTTCCTGTTCCGCTACACGTCCTGACCTTCTAGAAAAAGATAAACGCTTTCCTTCATCGTCTTCCCTTTTCTTTTCATCATCTTCACTTTCAATTTCTTCATGTTCTTCCTCTTCTTCTTCGTCTCCATCTTCACCAGCCGGCCGTTTCCGCGGTCTCCCACGGCGTTTTTTCAGCGGAATTATTAATTGCTTCTGTGCCTTACAATCGCCTGGCCTACGCAGCTGCCGCTCTCTGACGGTTGTTGAAGCACTTTAAAAATTAAATTCTCAATTTTACAAAAATCCTCAAAAATAATTCCTAAATGATACCTAACAGAAGCATGACTCGCATCACGATGTCGCCTAGGTGATACGTCATTAGATGAATTAGCCGCCGTCATGATTGTTGAAGCATTTCCCGCCATACTTGTTGTAACTGTACAAGGTTCTTCAACTACATTAGATTCAGAAATGCCACTGTCTGAAGATGCTAGAGGCATTCCATCTATTTTTTAAAGTTGATTTATATAAAGTGATTGATGTAAAAAGAGAATTAATGACACTAACTAAACGTATTAGGTTAACCCAGACATAACAATATCCATTTTCCCCTTGAACTTTTTGCAAATTTTAAAAAAATTCATAAAACTAGTAAATAATCATTTTTACCTCCACCTCCGTGCAGTCTATTTTTCAGAGGTTTTTGAATTTTTTGAGAATTAGCAACTTGTGTTGAACTTCCTTCATCTTCATTAAGTGCATCAATATTCTCATCCCGTTTCTTACGTCCTCTTTTTCTTGGCACAAGTAAAGGAGGGGGAAGGGTTGATAATGATGATTGATTTTGTTGTTGGTGTGTTTCAATGCTAGTCATCTGCTGGCGACTGCGTAAAGACAGACCCAGCGCAGCGGTACTTCCTTTAAATGAACGTGTTAACTGAAATGAAATTCCAAACTTGCCTAGTATTTGTTGTTGTTGACTATTAACTTCCTTAGAAGACAACTTTTTTGTTGGCGTAGTAGAAAATGGAGAGGATTTTCTAGTAGGAGTACAAGTTGAAGGAAGTATAACTGTTGAAGGCGTTTTTATTGACTCTAAGACACTTAAATTATTTGAATTTGTTGTTGTTGAAGTAGAAGAAGAATAAAGTCTTCTACGAGTTGTTGCTATTTTTAAATTTTTAGGAATATTGAATAAATTTCTTTTTTTGTTGAACCGAGGAAAAAATTAGTCAATCACCGGGAAATTAAAAAAGAGGGGCAGTTCTTTTTTACTTAATAATAAGGCGCTAAAATAAAATATATTTTTTATTTTACATATTATTACAAATATTCTTGCCTTTGGAAACCGTAAAATGTGAAACAGTAAAATAATAAAACTTTGTTGTTGATACTAGAGTGAAGAGAATATAATCAGAATAATTCTGCTTTTCACATGCGAAAAGACCAGAAGAAATGGAATCAGAACAACTAAAAAAATTAATTTTAGCTGAAATAAAAATCAGAATTGGTTGTTTAAGAATCAGAATTATTTTAAAGATTCTTAAAAAAATCAGAATTCCCTATTCGTAGATAAAAATCAGAATTACTAATTATAAGTTTGCAAAATGTCCAGAAAAAAAGATAAATCAGAATATACAGCTTAAATAATGCAGTTGCATATTTTTTATAATTAAATAAATCAGAATTGTAATTTTGTATTTTAAATAAAATATTCTTCAAAATAATTCCTTACATACAAGTAAGTAGACTCAAGCTGTGTAGCTAATTTATTTTATTCTGTTTTTCCAAATAAAAAGCTGGTCACTGGTCAGTTGTAAATTTGTTGCTAATTTTTATTATACAAAGAAAATGCGCAACATAATAAAAATCGGAAAGAAAAGTTTGTTGGTTGTTGTTGGAAGGCAAAGAGAGGTTGTCAAAGTTTTTTGATATTTAGATGTAAATTAAAGATTGTTGACTGCCCTGAAATTTTTTTAATACAAATAATTTTTTTAAATTAGTGGTTTTTAACAAAGTTAACAAATATTGTCGGTAAATTATTTACTTATAAAACACAATATTTAAAAAATAAAAGAATATTTTTCAAAAATTAAAAAATTTTTTTACAAAAAACGTGGACTTTAGTAAATACATTACTAAAAAAATTTATTTTTTTTAAATAAATTTTCTTAAAAAAATAAATACAATGAATAAAATCGCGTTTAGAAGGATACAACTTTTAAAGAAAAAAAAATTTTTAAGGAAAAGGTGATTGCGTAAAAAAAGAAAAAACGCATGGAGGTGTGTTTGTGAACCTGTTTAATAAAAAAAAAAAGTTTAGAAAAAAATAAGCGCGAACGCTGTTAGCGAGAACCGGTCGGTTAAAAAATGAGAAAAGGAGGTTATAACGAAATTAATAAAGAAAAAAAGTATGTACTACTAAATAGCAATTCAAACGACCAGTTGGAAGAAAAGGGCGGTTGGTTATGAGGCCATTGGGCACATTATTTTATTTTTATTTTTCCAACTGATATGAAAAAAAAATTAAATAGAAATAAAGTAATTCAATTACAAATACTCAAATGGTGGGGTGATTATGTTGAACGACCATTGAGGGCAACTAAAAAAAGATTCTTCTCTATTTTTAGCCATAAATATTGGAAGAAAAGATAAAATGCATATAATACCTCTTCCAAGTACAAAAACAAAAAAAATTTTTTTGCCTTTTTGGTTATTTGGTATGTTGTTGTTGTTGCTATTATATTTTCTGTCATACATTTCTGTCAGCCAGCCGCTATTGCCAACCGCCTTAGGGGAGGAACATTGTTGGAAAGAGTGGTCAGAGAGAGAGAGATAAAACATGTTTAAAAGGCAATAAAAAATAGCGTTGAGAGGAAAAAATTGTTGAGGACGTCTAAGAGCTTGTGGCCAGCTTTTAAAAACGTTTTAGGCGATAATAGGCGAACATTTCAGAAAAACACTTTTCTTAATAAAATGGTTTTTAAAGTCATAATAAATGAATAAAAAATTAATATTAATTACCGTACTCCCACTAATAAAGCCCCCCTCAATTAGTGCCCTATCCTCTTAATACATAAATCCCCAGTCTGAAGGATAGTTGAAAAATACAGCCCTGTTAAGCAATATTGTAGGAAATACAGTCTCCACTTTTTGGACACGGCTGACAATAATAGCCGGGTCAGTTAACTTTTAATTTAAAAAATTTTTAAAGAAAAAATTTCCCCAAAAATTACATAAAAGAAGAGAAAAAATATGTATAATAAATGTGGGGATGAAAAAAGAAGAAAAGGCAGGTGTCCAAATTGTTTAAAGAGCCACCCAATTTAAATAATTATGGCCAAAAGGATTTTTAAGAGAGTAATGAAAATAAAGAATATTTTAATGATTGGAGAGGTAGAGGAAAGATAACCCTTATTTTTAAAAAGACAAAAGAAGTTGTAAAAAGGTGTACCCATAAGTACAAATTTTATATTTAAAAAATTGAAGCAAAAAAAGAATTGAGAACGGAAAAATTGTCTCGGACGTTGGCCTGACTTAGAAAAATAGAAAATCCAAACTCTAAACTTGAAAAGATGGTATGGAGACATATCGGTTCGGATAAAGGTATCTGGATTGCTGTGAGAAAAATAACTGCTAATTTTACAAATAAAAGCACTTTACTTCGATAGGTCAATGAGACCCAGTGACAGTATGTAGGTTCGGTAACTGTTCGTGCATTGAAATATCCCGATATGTCCGCTCTGATATGACAGGCTTTCAAAAAAGCTTGACAAGTTATCTGGCAAGTTTTAAAGCAAATAAATAAACGAGGAAAATCAAAATTGAAACTCAACGAATATGTAGCAACAAAAAAATCTTTAAAGGCCATTTTTATTGGTGATTATGATTATTTCTTGAGGTGAAAATGTGCGTGAATCGATCGAGAAAAAAAAATAAAAAAGGAAGAAAAATGAACACGAACAACTATTAGGTGCGGACATAATTAGTGGCCGTTTTTTAAATTGGATTTTTAGTATTAAGTTTATAGAAAATATTTTTTATTTTTATTACAAATCATTTTTTAGTTTATTTTCTAAAGGATCCCAGCATTTCAGAATTTTTGGTTAGGTATTCATGGAGTTCTGATCGAAAAAGTCAAAATTTTCGAAACCATCGAAAATCAAATTTTCTCGAGTATCTGTAATGATAATATTAAGTGTAATATGTCATTCGAAAGCTCTTCAAAAGCTCTATCAGGAGGGCACAAATTCGAATTTTTAATCCCAAAAGTCTAAATTTTTCAAAAAGGTCGAAATTCGAATTCCGGGTTCGACACAATTTACAGACTTTATACTTCGGATTTAGAATAAGCCCTGAAAGTTATATAAAAAACCGTTTAGATCATCCTGATTGGATGATTTTACGCTGAGTTATAAGAAAAAACTTTTTGGGGGAGTGTCGTGTCGTTTTCCCATCTGTGCAAAAGAGAGTACACGCGGCATTTGATTTGCCTTCCTTAAGCGCAGCCCGCGTTTTTTGGGTCACGCGTGGCCATATGTATAGAGCAGATATCCCTCTATAATACAGCAGTAGAAATAACCGGATTCCATCTAAGCCGGCCGAGCAGGACCGTTTTCTTAATGACAGACGTCTCCCTCGACCATGTTTGCTTCTGAGAGTTATACGGCCTTATTCATAAAGCCTGAACCCTATTTTTTGCTGTCTAGCATAGACAACGACCCCATTGACTAGATCATTAAAATTTTTTGCTTCTTGTGTCCATTTTTGGTAATTTATAATTTTTGGTGTAAATGCTTGTGAATTTCACTACGAGGTAGTGAAGTTTAAAAAATCATAACTTTAGGAATATAACCCGTATATGGCTAAACCTGGTATTAAAATGAAGAGCAGATTCGTATCTTTATGTTTATAAATAATGAAAAAGAAAATTTTTAAAATAACACCCCTAAAAATTCAATCTAAAAAAACGGCCACTAATTATGTCCGCACCTAATATTTGACGGACGGACATTTGGAAGGGACTGGACTAAGCAAAAAAAGAAAAACGAAATAAGAAAATGAGGCGAAAAACGGAGAGAAAAGGAACGTGGGTAAATAACAATAAAAAAAGAGAATAAATAGGAAATAAGAAAAGGGGGGAGAGGCCATCTGACAACACTACAAACCAGTCGCCAACCGACGAGGACGACAGAGACGACGACTGGCCAGCAGCCGTTTTTGGCCATTTGAGAGAAAAATGGGAAAAAGATAAAAAAATAAAGAGAGAGAGAAAAGAGGGTGAAGAGCAGCCAGTCAGTCGAACAGGCTGTCTTCAATGCTTGATGGAGAAAAGAGAAGAGAATTAGTGTATAGCTATGGGAATATATTTAATATGTGTGTGGGGGTATTGGACAGCAAAAAACTGGTTGTTTGTTGAGAGACGTGAAGAGAATAAAATAATAGTAAAAAATAAAAGAGAGAAAGAAAGAGAGAAAGAAAAGAAAAAATAAGTGCGAAAAACAGCAATGGCCAAAGCTACAAACCAACCAGCCGGTCACACTCTCCTCTAACTCACCCTAACATTTGCGTGGAAAAGGCTAAGAAAAGTTGTTGAGGTTAGAGAAAAAAAAAGAATAAAACTTAAATTAGAGTCAAAAATTAAAAAAATAATTTCTTTTAAAAATTTTCTTCCTCGGAGCCTTCCAATGGCTAAAGAATCGTTCCAAGAATAAAAAGAAGGTCTCAGTGAAACTCAAAAGGATTAAGTAAAAGAAGTAAGAGAGTTAGAGATGTGTCCATGACAGTTGGTTGGAACGAATGGACCCGCGGACCTTCTCAAAGAACCTCTTTAAAAATTCACTATTTTTTAGATTTTCTAGTGAAAAGGGCAAAAAATAGAAAATGTTTGGAAGCTAAAAGGAAAAAAGAATGGGATTATTTTTTAGTTTACAAATCCCGTGACCTATAGAAGAAAAATAGATGGTCTTTTGGAAAAAATATTGTCTTGGCCTGCAATTATAGTTAATATGTGGACATAATTATGGGGGGAATGGGGGACATAAATTAATATGGGGACATACAATGGCAAAAATAAAAGTAAAGGAAAAGCACAATTGTGAAAGAGTTAAAAAAAGGACGGGATAAGAATGGAATGGAACACACGGGAAAATGAAAGTATTGAAGAAAAAATGTGAAAATGAAAAAAAATGAGAGAGAAAGAATATGCAAGTAAAAGAAGAAGGCCATTTGGTCACAAGGAGAGATCAGAGACCATTTATACAGCGACCAGCGCCAGCCGTTCGTTCGACCAAACAGCAGTCGATGGCCATTCGGAAATCGAATGAGAGAAAGGGGCGAGAATTGTTTGCAAAAAGAAAAATCGAAAGATGGAAAAAAAGTAGAAAAAATGTTTAAAAGGGAATTAAAAATAGTAGAAACAAAAATAAATATTTACAAAATTAAAACGAAACAAACTATTTAGAAGTAGGTAAAAATAATTGAAACAAAAATTTTATTTTTCAATCACCTTCGGCATTCTACACGCTGTTTCAAAAGTATAACCCACTTTTTGAGATTTTGTATTTTGATATATTTAACATATACATATGTATTATAAAAAAAATTAGGCCCATTTCTCTTTTCAGTGTCGTGATCCTGACACCCCGAAAACCTCGAAAATCAACGTAAACGGGTGTAATTCTTTTTAAAAAATATTTTCAAACCCTTATAGGTTGTTTTAGATTTTTATTTTTGATCTATTTGAAAGCCCTTGATATCAATAATCTCATTTTACAGAAAATATCCATTAGCGAGATACAGGTGATTAATTGTCAGAAGCGACTTTAACGGCCATTTTAAGAGGCATTTAGGCGTTTTCTGTTGCTTCGAAGGATTAACGTTTTGTATCTCACAATGAATTTTTTCTGAAGAATTAAGGCAAATGCTATCTTGCAGCAAATTTCAAGGGCTTCAGTAAGCCAAAAATAAAAATTTTAAACAAACTATAAGGGTTCAAAAATATTTTTTAAAGACCGCTCAATACTAATTGGTTCAACTGATATTTAGCAGATATACCCAAATAGTTAGAGGATAAAGTTCTCAAATTATCTATAAAATAGCATTGGTTCCAGTTATTTTAGCCTAGCTTTTTGAGGGAAAAAAGAAATCGGCTCACAGTCAGTCAACTTCGTCATTTTTTTTTGCTTTATTCATTCCACTCACCCCACCACCACCACCAACCTCCCACTCATGCCTGGCCAGCTCTTCAACGATCCCTTTTTCTTTTTTATATTCTCTTTTTATATATTCCCTCTAAAAATTGCTTTAACCCTCTCAACTCTTCACGCGACTAGCGCCGTGGACCGACGTCCCTTTTGTTGAGTGACATTTGTATACATATACTAGGTAAAGTGAGGGACAATAAAAAAATGTAAAATAGTTAGAAGAATAGTTAGAATTTTCTTTATCTTATCATTTTGGATAGGGTTGTCAAAATGGACCGACTAGATCCAAAAGAGGGAGTTAGGCATAGGATATCTAGCCCGAAAGTGACTCGCAGGGCCTGTCCGGATAAAAGCCCGAAAAATGCCTGGAACGTCGGCCAGCTCGAAAACAGAACCTTAATTTTGAAGAGCTAAACATCTCCTTAAAGGAGATGTTTAGCCCCTTAATCTCCCCTATAAAGTTAACTCCATTTAAATTATGGTATTTCCCTTCTCTCCCTGCCTCATTTCTTCCATTTCCTTTTAATAAAACAAGTTTTATTATTATATGTATATGTACTAGTTGTGTCCAATTGTAAGTGAATTTTTAAAAAAATGAAGGAAATTTTTTTGGGAATAGTGAAGTAGATAATGGGACATAAAAAATGGAGAGGTTGTTGTTGTTGTTGCTGTTTTTGGGGGGAGCACAAACAATGCGAATTTTTTTATTTTATTTTTTGATGGCTGGCCGGTTGTGTGTTTGTTGCCTCGACAGACTGAATGGTCGGCTGATCCTTTCTTTACTTCGCCAATTTTTATAAAAAAATTTTCCTTATGTTCAAAAGGGAAATGGGGCATTTTAAGGGAGGGAAGGATTGCGCAATATTTTTTTTGACAATTTGAAGAAGAAATGACAAAAAAGGGTAAAAGAAAATGGTCAAATAAATAATATAAAAAGAAAATTAAGGAAATAAATATTAAAAGATTAAAATTTGAAGGAAATCAACTAATAAAATTAAATGAGAATTAAAGGAGGAAAATTCGAAGAAAATTAGACTTGAAATGAAACAATTTGCAAATGGCTAGGGATCGGATTATTAGGTTATAAACTATATATTTTTTGAAATAGTTACGGCGTGAGAAGCTCAAATTATTTTTTGAATATTTTATATTTACAGGGGGTTTATGTACCTAATTTAGGTATTTATTTATTTTAAGGCCTTTACAACCTAAAAATGCCGATTAAATGTTTTAATTTAATATAAATTTTTATTTGAGTGTTTGAAGAGGGTAGTCCAGCATGGCCATCATTACCTCAACCTTTTTTCTATCAATAATCGAATATTTCAGTCATTCAAAAATTGCCCATTTACTTTTTTTTATTCTTTTTTTCTTACCTCCTCTTTCCGATCCTCATCTTTCACTTGCTCCAACCAAAAAAATTT